ATACCAGCTCCTTTAACCAAAGTGGCTATGTCCAACGCCATACTAATCAAGGCTTTTCAGGAGATTTCTCTTTCCCCTTACTCTCCATCTCCATGACTCTGAGAATGGTAAGTGGTAGCCAATAGTAATCCAAGATCTGCATTTAGAACTAGGGTCCAGTCCCGTCTTTAAAGCCGCCTTCCTGCCGGCTCATACAAATTCTCCATAGTCCTTGTGCAGATCAGCCAACGTACGGCGTCTATTGCTGCATGGAACGGTAAAGACGTCTCTACGGCTCGTTTTCACTCTTTTCCACAGGCTTTACAGACTATAGTATCCACTTTGTGTCGTCAAGCGTGAAACTCCCTCAAGGGGGGGAGGCTAAGCTGTCGTGTCAGTTTTACTAGTGGAATGATCGACGATGAGTGACGCGCGTTTGTGGCTGTAAGTTTCAAGCACCACCGTTATGTGTTTTATACGAACATTCTCTTTTTTTTTCTATGTACATGTGCCTATAGTTTACTGCATAAGCCGCATGAAATCTCATCTACTGCAGCTTTGCCAAACAGTAATCGTATTGGTAGAACCTAGATAGGTTACCATTGTAAAACAAAAGATCCACCAAAAGTAAACACGGCAAAGGAAAAGTCATGTTAAGCAACTCATAGCGAGGCAAAAGTCAGTCAGCCTGGGAAAAAAAACCGGAAATTGCTGACTCACAAAATGGGGGTTGAAAGAAGTGACTGGGATACGTTCTGTCAATTAAGCTTAATTAGTTCTACATGAAATAGGCATCCGACATCCGCGAAATGAGAGAATGACAAAAAGACGTTTTTTCTATATAATCTGATAAATTATGACAATGCTAAATAAAGAATCTTTTCTTTTGATTAGACCCATATTTAAAGATACACTTGATTCCTTCCAGAATGATGATGGTTAAATGGGCTAGGCCACATTTCGTCTCGTCTCGCCTCGCCTCGTCGGGGAAATTATGTCGTCTGTCACAGGCAATCTCATCTAATTAAAAATGGCACACAGACCAATATTAAAATAGTACCCAAATCTACAACAATATACTCAAAGCAACGCTTTTTTTAGATGCTACTTATCATACAAGTACCTGTACTTTTTCTCACAACGCTCGTCTTTCACGTGAATATCCCACTCCCCCCCCCCTTTCATTCGACTATTTTCCCCAAAGTAATGATACTCCCCCTTCTCTCGCTTCCTCCATTTTCAAACGCTCAACATAAGTTCCTCGGGCGAGCAAGCCCAGCAAGTTCTAGTTCAAGTATATTCTTTTTTTGGTCTCCTTCTACAGTAGTACAAAACCCCGAAATTGAAAGAAAAACGCCGGATAATGCAAAAAGGCAAATAGAAAAGGAAGGAAAAGGGGCTGGATGCGAAAACAACGAATGCTACTTCGACACACGCAGTCAAAATTGCATGTGATAGTATGCCGTAATCATGTTCAGTTCACAGGGACAAATCGTTCCTCATTGCTCAGTATCCAGCTCGTAGAATAGCAGATACACCTCTTTCTGCATGCCCAAGACTTCGCTTGTCTTGGCTTCGCGTACTTTTTCGTCGCTTACTCGCCACCACTTTTCCGCAAGCTTTCGCTTCTTAGGTCGAGGCTGAGGCTTGGCCGCCGCCAGGCCGCCAGGGGATGAAGCTCCATTAAGACTTGACCTAGGGGGCGCGAGCTTAGACAGCGCTGATCTAGTAGATGCGGCTACAGACCGAAGGCTGCTGGTCTCACCGTCTCGATCTTTGCCGTTAATTGAGGGATTCGGGAGATCAGCAGGAACGCTCCGTGGAGGACGCAACGAAGATTCTAATGATGGTGTGGATGAGCTCGTATCTGAGGATGGCGATAACAAATCCGGTGTCGAGACAGAAGGGCTGTCAGCTTGACGAGCTAAAATCTGCGGCGTTGAAAGGGGCGTTGGTGTCTTGCTATAGATTTCAGATTTTTGAAACGTGTTGATGTTGGCATAAGGAGATGGCGTATTTTGCCGTCGAAATGCCTCGTAGTGGCCGCTATTATGGCCTCCCCTGTGTGTCACGACGCCAAGTAGCTTATACTTGCGCTGCTCAGCGACACTTCCCAGAGGTAATCGCTCGGGAAAAGACACCTTGGCCGAGTTTTTCTGCGTGATCTGACCAACGCCATAGATTGATCGAGATAGGTGAATGGCCAGGATTCTGGGAAACGTAGACATGCGTGTCGTCTTGGCAATCTTTCTCTTGGGCGCATACCGAATATCGCCAAGTTCCACGTCTTCGGGCGGCCGTTCGGGGTCTGTCTCTATAGCCATCTGAAGCTTATCGATATTTTCTTGAGCTAGAGCTCTAAAACTCTCAGACGTCGTTTTAGCCATCTCCTGTTCGAGGCTGGCTTTTGTCTGTACCAGCCGACACATTTCGCACTTGAAGTCGTCGATGTACTCCGTCTTAAATATACCGTCGAAGCAAGAGTTCAATGATGTCGACGAGACTTGCGGAACTGCCAGTGTCAGAGTACAAAAAGTCTCTTCTCTTGGCTTGGTGGTGTAGCCGCAAGTCTGGCACTGGATATGCGACTCGTATTTTCCTTCCAAGGGAAATCCTTCGTCGAGCTCCGACGGGGCCTGAATCTCGCGAACTGCCCTCTGGACATCCGCCATGTCGATATTGATTGCGACTGCGGTAGTGCTGTCGGCAGCATCCTCTGACCTGTCGGTATCGTTGCCATCCTTGGCGTTCGGGTCGGTTGCTGCCGTCGAGCCCAAATTCCGCGCATGCAGCCGCGCCCGCTCGCCGGCATGATATTCGTCCTTGAGTCTTTCCGCCACAATCTGCAAAAACTCTTGCGCGTCCTGCTGCTGTCTGCTGATGCGCTGCTTGAATGCTATCTCTAGTACCTTGACAAAGGGGAAGGGCGAGATGGCCTTTTTCGAAATGGGCCGCTCATTAAGCGCATCCAGCATCTCCTTCAGCCCATATGTTACCAGTCCATCCTGAAGGCCCTGCAGCTTCCACTGCGCAAGCTGTGTCCCATCCAGGGGCTGCACCAGGTTCGCGTACACGGCCGGGTCTTCGATACGGCGGCGATGTGTCTCGCGGATCAGGTAGACGCGCAGCTCGCCCAGCCCGGCCAAGGCCTGCAGCACCGAGTTGATGAAGCAGTCATTCGCCTGGTTGCGCAGGCCGACGATGGTTTTCTTGCGCGAGCTGGTAGTGTCATGGTCGATGGTGAAGGTCGGGCCGAAGACGTAGATGAGGGCGGCTGCGGCGAGAGACGCTCCGGCGGCGTAGGAAACAACCGACGTCGTTTTATCGGGCATGGCTGAAGCTTGATGAGGATCTCGCGGGCAGCGAAGCGGAAGCCTCGGGTCGACGGGCACGAGGGTGCGGAATTACGGCTATCCGAGATCAAGAAGCAGACGGCACAGTCAGCCAGGAAGACGGAGCAGAAAAAAACAGACTCCCGGCTCGGCCGCACAGGGCAGACTGAGATTCGGGCTCGGCGTGCGTTGGAGCGCTCAGACGGCTGTGGCAGACGTGGCTGGTGGTGACGGCATTGCACGACGGCCGCTGAGTGTGAAGGAGAGCAGAAACACAGAAACAGGCGGCACGTCACACAAGGCCGGCGGATCCAAGGCAGAGGCTGTTCGGAGACAGATTGGCTGCGTCGCCTAGGCCCAGTACGAGAGACCTGTGCGAGACGGTCCGCAAATATTATGCGGCACGCACAGGAGACCGACTCCGCTGCTGTACTGCGCGATCTCAACGAAGAGGCTGACGGCGGGGAGCCCCAGATTCTTAGCGCTGCCTAGCAGTCGGCCAGAGGTTCGTGGCGTCTGTCACGCTCCATTGTACAGTATCTGGCGCGGTGAAGCGAAGCGGACGTTGCTTCTTTCTCTGAATCTATTCGCGTGTTCGACTCGGCAAGCAGCACTTCGTACCGGTCCAGGCCCTGGCTCGCCTCCAGTGGATATTTCCACATACAGCGGCAAACGGGGCCTCTCTTCTGCTCTCGTCGTCTTTGTCTCCGAAACTTCTGGGTCCCGGTTTTCGGGTCCGGCAGGCTGGATGGTGAGTGCGTTTGTGCCTGAGCTAAAGGAGCGAAGCGCCGATTAGACTGCGAGGCGCGACGTTAGCCGGACTTTTAGGGCCTCCAACGCCGAGCCGCAGTTGAACCGAAGTCCGGGGTGAAGATGATGCATATACACATTTACCCTGAAGAACATGAGAACATGAGGTATGTGCAAAGTCGTACATTTCATAATTGAAGAGATTTGTAGATGTTTCTTTCTATCTTTTTACCTACGGTTTTTATTTTAATTACGACGTAAGTAAATACATGTGCTAAAACATGTATATAACTACTTTAGCTAGGCGTAACTTTGACACATTGAGGACTTTCCATTAGAAATAGTCAGACAACAGGTCCTGACAACGCCTTTGTCTATTATTCCCGTGACAAAAGCTCAGTTCACTCTAAATAACCTATGTATATCTTACTGGGGTATAGTGCGAGGTTGAAACTCGATTATAGATTATTAGTATTTCTTAGAAAAAATTGTAAGTTTGCTTCCGTAAAAAGATTTTCACTTGCACTATGGTTGCGATTTGTACTATACTTGCAGAGTTACTAAATTTGCGGTAAGCGAGCTCAATGTAGAGGTACTTACATTCAGAGGATACAATTATTATTTGGTCCCATACTTTGAATGAAATGATTGTCAATGAAATGATTGTCAATAGCGAGACTTTAGGAATGGTTATATGAAAGAGACGTTCATTTCTTTGTGTATGATTCGTGGGATTGTGGGCATATGACTTTGTTAATACTAAAATTGAGAACAACTGTGTTATTTGTACTGTTTACATGATACCAAGATTTAGAATAGTACAGAGGGCTACTTGAGATAACAGTGAGGTTTTGCTTGGTCATCAGTATTCATTTATAATAGACGGCGCGTGGCCCTATAGATCTAGGAACTTTTTTGTTAAAAGCCATTTATCCATTCTTAACAGCTCGTTGCATCTCCCAGCCCAAGGTCGCTAGCTGCCAACAAAAACTCCATGAATCCAGCACTGGTTGCACGAAGGTTGGAGTTGTACTGAGATACGGTTGGGTAGAACGGGCAAGACGCGGCATTGTTGGGGAAGCCAAACTCCACTGTGAAGGAGTGAACCAGGTTCTTGGAAGAGTCGGCAAAGTGTCGCGAGTAAGCATAATCGTCGCTGGCGCCCGACGTGGGATACAGATTGGCTGACTGGAAAGCGTCATAGCTGCGGCCGCCGCCTCCGGTCAATCCAGAAGCAATGCGGTTAGCCGCGGTGATCTTGTCGTTGAGTTCAGCCTGGGGAACGTATTCGCCGTAGCCTCTGCCGGGGCTGGGAGTGTCTGTGAGAATGCCACGGACGCTGCTGTAAGAACTGTTGAGGAAGTTCATGGACGAGTACTGGGACTGGTTCTCGTCGCTGCCCCAGTTCCAGAGCACATCACCCGCATAGGAGTGAAGGTCGATAAACCAGCGGATCTTGGAGTATGTGTCAAACACCCACTTGATGTTCTTGGTCTCAGCCTCTGAGAAAGCGCTGGTTCCATGGTAAGTCTCAGAGTTGGGAGACGTTGAGGCAACGCTTGATTGCACTGATGAGGAGAACAGGCGGGTGAAATCCCAAAGGAAATCGAAATTGCGGTTCAGATCGACTCCTCCCGAGTTGGAGTTGCGGTTCTTTCGCCAGCAGCTGTTGGTTGACTGGTCATAGGCCACGCCATCAGGATTGCTGAGTGGGATGAAGACGAGTCCTGTAGATAGGGCCTCTTTGACCTGTGCGTTGGTGTACGACTTGGAGCCGTACGTCAGACCAACGTTGTTCTGGTTGGCGTACAGCAGGTCGGCAGCGAAGTAGAGTACGCTGTCCGCGGATCCACGCTCTCGCGCATGGATGTTGCCGTTGATGAATGTGCGATAGGCATTGGAGCAAGTACCGTTGCCACCAATTTGGGCCCCAATAACGGTGGCTCCCTGCGCTGTCTTATATGGGGTGTTGAATGTTTGGATTCCATAAGTATTGACGAGACCCTGTAGGCCACTCTTGATCTCATTGACGTTGAGAATGGTGCTGAAAGAAGTAGATGAGGACTGAGTGCCCAGTCCTCTGGGTGCAGTTGAGCCGCTCTTAAACCTGTCGCCTGTTCCAATCGGAGCTCCATTGCTGCCCTGGCGGCGGACGACTGGCTTCATCACTGTCTCGTCCCGCTCATGAGGAAGAAGACATCCCGACGTCACTTGAGTGAGCGCGAGAAGCGCCCAGGGAAGAACAGTCTTCATTTTGTTTGAGGTGTTGTTGTTTTGTGTAAGAAAATGAACAAGGAAGTAGAAGTGTTTTCAAAATTTGTTAGAGAACGTCCCTTTCTTTTATAGAATTCGAGAGTATGATGCGATTTCGGATAGCCGCACGTTATTAGGGATGAATAGCAGTGTTACATTGAAACCTTGCGGCAATCCGCCTACATCGGGAAGCTGGAGATAGTGAAGCGAGAGGCTTTATTTGAGCTGCCAAAAGAAGAGGGTCTTTTTATTCCGAGGACTGAGAATAGAAAAGAATTAGAGTTGCATTCGAGCCGACCGCTTGCCTCTCAGCGTTTAAGAGAGACAAAAGTGCCATGTGCCCCACGTCGGGCACTTACATGTCTCAGTGCGGAGAACGGAGGATGAATGTTAACAGGAAAACTGGCGGGCTAGGGTGATGTAACTATCCAAAAGATAGTCTGATGATTAAAGAATCTATCAATGCCAAAGTCAGCCATTAGACGAAGATGTAGACTCTATCTACTCTATTACTTTCGTTACAATATTTCTGACCTTGATAGTACTGACTCCCATCCGCTGAACAGCGGTGCATGTATCGAGTGCACAGATGGCCTACATTGGTTTAGCTGCTCCGTACTTGTGATTGCAGTATTGGCGGTCGGCCTATGGCCTAAGTGAATCAACTGCAAGGAATTTTTGTGCATGATGTAGATAACGGGTTATCCCTACCAGATTAAGAAGGTCGCCAGACCACAGCCTCACGGCAGTGCGTTCTCGATCCTGGCAGTACCGGAAAGCTCGTCTACTGGATTAAACCCGCAATCACTATAGATAGATAACAAGGCATTTTCACGTAGCGACGGAGACATTGCAGAAGAGTATGGCTTCTTTTTCCGGTTTCGCCAGATGTTCCGTGATTCTTTGCCCCCCGAAGGCGAAAATGAAGCATTAGATGATAGATTTGATGCTACCCGCCGTGGCCACAGAGTTCCGCGAGATTTTTGCTGCCTAGCGCGGGGTTTGTTACTCTGAGACGATTTCGACTGGAATTATGATTATAACTCTAAATTTAATCTTTGAAGTAAACATGCTATCACTTGATCCTACCTATAGAGATACTCAGCTTCCTATTGCAGCGATAGCGCCCCGGCAGAGAAAAGGCATACATGTACTAAATCGGCATGTAAACGCGCATATGTATACATACAGCACTATTTAGCTTCGTCACAGCGCTTTCACGCTATATTATAGCGCCCCTTTCAACCAATCTGGACTTAGGGTTATAAGATCGATACAGGCCGATTTTGTAACATGTGAATCGCCTACCGTATGATTAATTACGGGCCAGCCTCTCTTGCTTTTGTAGAAAGGGACAATCTTAAAATCGCTACATTCATTCAACAAGCATCACTACACAGATATGTATTCCCGCGTAGATAATACTGCCGATTTTCTATTCGCTTTCTACCGGACCCCATCGTTGAATTGTTGCAGAGAATAGTTCTCAGAATGAGATGCATCCATGTCGTAACTCCCGTCAAGCATTGGTGTAATATTGTCTTTTGAGAGGCGATCTTTGTGAGGCCTTTTATGTGAAATACCTCTACATAAATAGATTCTTATGGTAATTCAGTACTGAAATGCAGACTCACTCACATGCAGACAAGCATATGGTGTGCACGTACCTCACTGGGATGCACAACAGCTACCGGAGCTCACATGCGTTGTCGCCTGTCTAGCATGTGCATTTTTCAGACTATTTCATGAAAAGATAGCTGAGAATGATTCAAAAGCATGGGCGACAATTGAGTTTCAACCGCTGATTGCTGTGCAACCAACAATTTGAGTCGATGCTTTGGCTGATTCTGGCGCTCAAAACGCTTTCCCCATCAGTCAATGCTGTCACGTGATACCCTTCTAGAAAGCAGAGCTCACTCTAGTGGCTCTGAGTTACTTTTTGACTACATTCAGATTTTTTTCGATATCCGCAATTGACATTACAACAAATCAAGCTTGCATCCTGCGAAAGTGAATATATGCAGTTGGAGAATCAATTGCACGAAGCATCTTTTTATAGCATTTGATATCCATCTCAAATTCGTCATATTTATTCAAAAATGGCCGACCAGCAACAGTCACCATGCCGCATCCTGGTCATGGCCTCTGGCTTTGGCTCAAACTTCCAAGCTCTCATTGATGCTGTTGCCGCGGGACGGATTCGAAACAGCAAAATTATTCGTCTTTTCGTGAATAGAAGAAATGTTCAGTCAATTAAGCGAGCAGAAAGCGCAGGTAAGATAATCTTCAGCAGTGGGATTGCTGCATTTCTAACTCAGCAATTAGGTATTCCTTGGGAATACTTCAACTTGATCAGCAACGGCTTTATTGCCAAGGGAGAAAAGGACGAGCAGAAGGTTGCTGCAGCTCGTCACAACTATGATGCTGCTCTGGCCGAGAGGATATTGTCAGCAGAGGAAAAGCCAGAGTTGATTGTCCTCGCTGGATGGATGCATGTCTTCTCAAGTGGTTTCCTAGAGCCTGTGGAAAAAGCAGGAATACGTGTGATCAATCTTCATCCCGCCCTGCCTGGTAAGTCAAGACACTTAAGCAAATGCCGAGAGCAAGCCTGTCTAACTGTACTATTAATAGGAGAGTTTGATGGAGCTGGTGCAATTGAGCGGGCCTATGCAGAGCTCAAAGCTGGTAGAATAACCCGCACTGGCATTATGGCTCACTACGTGATCCAAGAGGTAGATAGAGGCGCACCTATTTTGGTTGAAGAGATACAGTGGAACGGAGAAGAGCTGGCCGAGCTCGAGGAGAAGATCCATTCGCGGGAGCATGAGCTGATCGTGAAGGCTACGGCGAAGGTGGTTGACGAGATTTTGGAAAAGCGAGCATGATAAGCCTGAAAGATATTCAAATCTCTCATGCTGTGATCAATCAATGGCATTTGTTGCGCATGCATCTTATTCAACTCAGCGGCGTAGTCTATGTTACCAACTAGGCGTGCCAAGCGGCCTCTTAAGGTCTCCAATATTCTACGACTCTGAGATGCATAACAAGGCACAGTTCGAGCAAGCATGAGTTTCTGGATATAACGCAGCCCACAAGCCATCTTGCGAAAGCTCAACCTAGCCACGAAAGCTACGGAGACCTAAAGCTATCTTCCAAATCTTCTCTCTCAGCGGCGATGCCGTGGATGAAGTACAATGCTTTCGCTGATATCCACTTATAGAGTTGCTTGCTTTATCATCAGCTGAGCCATTAGATGACCATAGATGCCACTCACATTATTTCCAGCCATTTATGGGAAGACGGATACGGAAGATTCAGGAAATGACCAATACCAGGGCAGCGGAGCGCAATAAATGAAATGAGATAGCCTCAGTTACCTAGGTACGCTCGGTAGACACTGCACTATGACACGCAGCGTCATGTCTAAAAATGATAAGAGGGCATATCTAAAGCTTTGAATATCCTGTGAGCTTACTTGTGGTCACCCGACCATTGAGCGCCATCTCACTCCTGTTGGGATTGTGGGACGGGTTTGCATCATGCATGAACTAAACCCAGCCCAGAACCTTGGAACATCTCGGCCTAACGGCCTGTCAGGCCGATATGCGTACCCAATATTTTAAGTTATAGTCAGCATCTTTCTGGCTGCACATTATAAGCGGCACTCTGTTGCTACACAATTATATCTAGGAGTAATGCACGGACAAGATACATTATAGAATGAAGACTATGATATATCATCTTATTCATCTGCATTGAGCAACTCATATACATCGGGCACTTTTAGATGCAGTTGCATCACTCATGTAGCTTTTCCTGTAAACGCTTAAGGATTTAGTGTAGTCTCATTTGGTGGAGTTGCACAACCTTGATTGTTAATTTTCTTCATCGGTTCTACTTCAGCAATAAACTGGCTGTCAGAGTGGTAATTAGTGACATGGTCCTGTCGTTGCATACGTGGACGCAGATTTAGGGGTTGTTGCTTACGACGAATAATAGCTGTAGCAGCGAGTTGGGCATATATCTTAATCGGCAGTCGGAAGATGTGGAAATATCAGAGAAAGTAACTTTGGACTCGTAACGAACTCTGAAATTGAACTTGCATAGATTGGTGTACCTGATAAGGCCATGTGCGTGTGTTTGGTGAAAGCTCCTTTTTGAAAAGACGGTTAACTGCAATATCAATATCATTGCTAGAGCCTCATCGTTCAGAAATTCATTGCAGATTACTAATTATCGGTCGGCTGTATGTAAGTAACAATGGCACAAACCATTTCCTGGTACCAAGATGTATGACTTATTTCAAATACATAGCCGACCTCCTACATGCATGTTGTGCTTGTAGCCTTTTACCTGCTGTGGTGGCTTCGTTAGCCTCCATTCTACATCGACACGTCGTGGCAGCATGGGGTAGGGCTTTTATCAATAGAGCATGCATGCATTGGGAGCCCAAAACGAATTCACTTGGGATAAAGCCGTTTATACTCCGTCAAGCCTGCTCGTACAACGTTTGAATCTTTGCAACCGGCCGTCAATCAAACTATCATGAGAATGGGTGGCCTATAACATGCGGCAGGTATGCAGCCGCTAATAAATGCAACCATGCCACGTCGTGAGGCTCTGTTAATTGCAGGGATTGGGCCCCGCAAACCGCTTCTACGCTTGAGAGTTGGGCCGCTGTATTATTGAGTTAATGCAATGCATATGCAAACGGTGCTGTTCGATACTAAACCACGTCACAGCACAGAACCCAGCGAACCAAATATTTTTCGGCAATTCTGATTCAGCAACTCAAGTCTCTAGATACATGATAGTGGCGATACGATGTACAGTTGGGAATTGGGTTGGAGTGCATTTCTAGAATATGCAGAGCTGCGGCCTGACTGAGCTCACATTCATCCCCTTTCCATAATAACGGGGTGTATCTCACATATAACTGGCCATGGACAGTGAGATATTCTATCATTCCGACAAGGGCAAAAAAAAGAATTCTGGTTCTTTTTATTCTTACTTTTCTGTCTTTCATCTCAAGTAAACGCTTCTTGCAGATAGCAAATTATCCTTGCCTTTGTCATCATGGCAGCAGCAATCACCATCCCATATACTCGCGATGACTATACTGTTGGGTGGGTATGTGCACTGCCAACAGAGCTCAGGGCTGCGATATACATGCTCAAGGAGAGACACCCAGACCTCAAACAGCAAAGGGGTGACTCCAACGCTTATATTCTTGGAAAGATGGGTGAACATAACGTTGTCATTGCCGGCCTACCCAAAGGCAGAACTGGAACTGCCAGTTCTGCAACTGTAGCGGCTCAGATGATATCTAGCTTTCCAAACATCAGAGTTGGCCTAATGGTGGGCATTGGTAGTGGCATCCCTCAGAAAGTCTGGCTCGGAGATGTGGTCATCAGCGCCCCCGTCGATGATCGGCCTGGAGTAATTCAGTGGGATATGGGTAGGGCTGAAGACAAGGGTTTCATTCAGACGGGGTCTTTGAATCCTCCTGCCAAGCTACTCTTGAGCTCTCTAGCTAAATTTGAGGCCGAACAAATAACGGTCCATGCCAGCATGATGAAATCTCTGGCCAAGAAAGTGCCCGAAGATTACTTCAAGTCGCCACAGCCTAAAGACATTGCCTATGAGTCGACCTATCAGCACGTTGGCGGGAATAACTGCAGCCAATGCGATGATAGTAAGGCGATGAAGAGGGAATCGAGAAAGCGTCACGGGCTACACTATGGGCTTGTGGCCTCGGGCAATCAAGTGATAAAGAGCGCTGAGCAACGTGACAAGCTCTATCGCCAATTTGACGAAAAGATCTTATGTATCGAAACAGAAGCAGCTGGGCTTATGAACGACTTTCCTTGCATCGTGATTCGCGGAATCAGCGATTATGGAGACTCTCATACAAATGAAGCATGGCGAGAATACGCTGCAGCAGCGGCAGCAGCTTGCGCAAAGACATTCCTCGATGTCGTACCTGTGGGCGAGGTTGACAAACTAGAAGCTGTGAAAAGTACGTATATGTTGCCTATACCATCTCAAAGATTGAGCGCCTAACAGCTTCTTCCCTCTTAGGTCTTATCCCTCCCGGGATGGTTGAAAGGACTGTGAACTCTTGGCTCTCATTCTGGTTTTCTAAACCTCCTCAAGACGCTTCTTCTAATTCTAGTAAGCAATGATTCTACCGTCTATCATCGTAGATTAAGTACTAACGACTTTAAACAGCTAATCTTGAAAAGGCCGAGAACGAGAGTCTCAGCAGGGAACGGAGTGCACGAAGCTCTCTGCCGCCAACCATTATTAAATCGAAGTCTTCAGTTAGCGTACATGAACCTCAACGAGAAGGTCCAAAAGGCTTGATTTCAACACCTCGGTCGCCCCTGGAGCCAAATTCGCCACAGATGTCTACGCATATGGACGCCACCTTGCATAGTATTCCAACTACCCCTCCTCCTCAGTATAAAGAGTCATTCGGCACCGACGACTATTTCACTCACAGTCCCAGTTGGGGCAATGGGTATAATAAGGGAAAAGATCCTTCAAGGAGAATCCGCCACTGGCCTGATATATTGGCCGCCGGAAAAGCAACACACCGGCAGGCCCTAGGCCAAGTCGCAGCAATCGGCTCGTTGTACGATGCGCGCAAAGACCAAGTCCTCACTCAGTCGGTGTTCTCAAAGCCACTGTCTACAGATGACATCTTCAGAGACAGATTAACGTCTAAAGAGTGTGAAATTGAGAATTCTGGCTCATTGATGGCAACGTTTGAGCAACTAGGACTCTCTCCTGAACAGGCCCTAAGCTACCTCGCCGGCACTGGTCCATACACAACCAGAGGTAGTGTGGCTCACCTTGCTCGAAAAAGAACATGTGATGCTGCGCAAGAAGTCTCTATTGTTTGTAAAGAAGTTACTATGCACGACACCCTCGACATGAGCACTGAAAAGTTGCAAAACGCCGTGGACGAAGAAGTTCTACAAGCAGAAGAGGCCACCCATATCGTCATAGGAATCTGGTGGGGTACTAGAACTGCGATAACGTCCATCACCTCTCCAGTTCATTCCATCGCCGATGACAAAGCGAAAGAAGCACAGATGAGCTCACAGGAACGTGTCGTTGAATACTTAGGCCTGCTGTTAACTGGACAAGTTGCCCCAACGTATACTGCTTTCAAGAAAATCTCCCAAAGTTTGACTTTCCGGGTGGACGCTGATATTGGCCCGAACAAGATGTCGGCTCGTCTCTTCAATTTTGATGGGGTCTGTGACTTCATTAGCAAGATTCCTGATACTATAAAAGGAACCAAGACGGGTAATGGTATCCGAATAATGTACGATTTGCTTCCAATCACCGAATTTGCCCAGGTCATAGATAGAGAGCTTGAGGGAGAGTCACAACTGATTCAACCAATTGTTCAAGAGTTTGAAAACCGTGTATTATTCCTCTTTGAGAAGCTTTATGCGGCAAGAGTCAGTCTCAAGAGTTATTTGACCGAAATCTCCCAGCGTGAGCTGGAAGTTCCAAAACAGCATATTGAGACTACGAAGACGAATATTTCCCGACTTGATGATCTCGAGGATAAGCTGAAAAGTGAGCTTCATCAAGATCTTCTTCGCGCGCGAGACTTCAGCTTCAACGGAGCGTATAAACTCAATAACCCAGATTGGGAAACCGATATTGAAGAGTTTGAGTCTTGGGTTTCGAAATATGCAGCCAAAATGACTTTTGAAAACGAGATTACCGCGCTGGGAATCAAGTACACGCATGCTGCCGATACCAAGGCAGCTTACTCTGAGCATGAGAGCGACATCTATACCCTCTTCTACAGTGGTGCCGCTCTGGCCGCTCCAAGCTGGAAAGATCACTACTCTAAGTTCATGGAGCTCGCTCACGCTAAGACCTCTGAACAGTTGATCTATGCAGTCGACTGTGATTTTGAAGGCGGTGAAGAGCTGAGAACCCCGCGCATAGAGCTCCGAGAGAATGGTGAAGTCGTGACCAACGATTTTGTGGCAGAACAACGGAGCTTCACTGGAAAATGTTTTGTTCGTGCTGCCACACCAGCAGATATGGAAGAGCTGCCTGCCAAGTCACTGGACTCAATGAGAAGAAGCGTAAGGATCCGCTGTCCCTGTACGGCCGCTACAAAAGGCGCCTGTTTCTGTCGAACTTGCAAGAGCGCCATTTTCCTGTTAGAAGATGACGATTATATGTATTGCAACTGTGGCAGATATAGGCCCACTAATGCGGTGTTCAAGTGCCTGGATCCAGCTCATGGGGCCAGCTATCTCACATATGAAGATTATGAAAGTCTTCTAGAGGCTTATGAGTACCAAGGTTTCGAGCAGTATAACATACTACTCTTAGGCGAGTCGGGCGTTGGAAAGTCGACATTTATCAACGCGTTCATGAACTACATGCTGTTCGAGACTCTAGACGAAGCAATTCAGACTCCGGATCTTCAATGGGCTATTCCCTCAGCTTTTAAATACACTGAAACGAATAAGAAGAAGTTTGAAACTTTTACAGTCACCGTTGGTGAAGAAACAAAAGCTCAAAGGCACTCATTAGATGGAGACTTAGCTACCCAGAGCTGCGTGACTTACGTTCTTCACCTGAGCGGCTTGACTCTTCGCTTAATCGACACTCCCGGTGTTGGGGATACTCGGGGCCTCCAACGGGACAAAGATAATGTTAAAGACATTTTACAAGCGCTCAAATCAGTTGAAAGAATTAATACAATCCTGTTCCTCATGAAACCCGACGTCTCACGTTTTGGACAAATATTCAACTTCGGCATGACAGAATTGCTTTCCCATCTTCACAAGGAGACGAGCCAAAATATTGTATTTGGGTTTACGAATTCCCGAAGCACAAATTATTCTCTGGGAGATACCGGGATTCCTCTTCAAAAGTTCTTGAAAGATAAAAGGATTGACATCGCTGTTGATTACGACAACACTTTCTTCTTCGATTCGGAAGCTTTCCGGTACTTGGCTGCATACAAGACTATGAACAAAGAAATGAGGGACAAGATTAGTTTTGAAACGAGCTTCCGAAAATCTGCTGAGGAGGCGCGACGCCTCGTCAATAAGACAATACAGATGGCACCACACGAAGTGCGCAAAACGTTAAGCTTGAGTGATACACGGCTATATATAAAGCAACTTCAGAGTTCTATGATCTTGATCGACAAAATCGTCCATGAAGACCAAGAAGAAATTGAAAAGCACAAAAATCACATCAAGGGCCTTCAGATGTCAAATAGAGCACTCGAAGACAAGCTAAAGGTGACAATCCAAAGGCCTGTCAAGAAGCCGCTTCCAAGCCCGCGCACCGTCTGCACCGACGGTGAATGCAGAACTGTAAGCAGAGACGTAGATGGCAAAGAACACGTCGTATACAAGCAAATATGCCATGATTATTGTTACATCAAGACGACTAATGAGCTGGTCGGAGCTCCGGAAATTTCTACTTGCGAGGTCTTTGACTATTCTTCCAAGCCGTGCCTTGTATGTGGTCACGAGTGGGACAGGCACCAGCACATCTCTTACACTCTTACAGTTGAAGAAGTAGAGGTTGACGACCCAGACGTCTTGGAAACTTATAAAGGCAATAAATCAAAGCTTGAAAAAGCCGAAGCAGCTATCAAATCTCTGTCGCAAAAAATGAAACTGCTTGGAGAACGCAAAGACTTTATCAACTACTCGTTGGCAAATTTCGGGGCTTATCTTAGCAGCACTGCAATGGTGAGATATAATGACGCTAAAATCACTTACCTAGACTACCTCATCGACAATGCCAAGAAAGAAGGTAGCGATGACAGCCAGCGGCAATTTGAAGAACAGCGCCAGATATGCAAAGAGCAGTACGATGAAACCACTCAGGGTGACCGGAAATCCGACCTGCTACCCAAGGTGCCTGGTTACGATGAGATCATAGCGATCATACAACAGCTCGACCAGATAGAGCTGAATGGTAAAAAGATCATACAAGCGGAGATGGGTAATACGCCCTCTTCTTGCAATACCGTCACACTTCCGCTTGAAACGGCACGCAAGGGAGTTGATTCTTTTTCTTGGATAAAAAAGATACCTCCCCGGAGCCTTCATGTGCATTCCTCTTCTCGAGAAAAAAAAACAAGAGAAGAGACAAGAGAAGAAGGCGCGCTCTTTGAGTCGTACCCCTGTAGAAGAGATGCCCAAGCTAGAGCCAGTATTCGAGGATGAGGAAGATTTGACTGAAGTAGGAAGAGCCTGAACGGAGGTTCATATATTTCAGTAGCATATTTCTTTGCCGCGTATGCCAGCGCGGTGTAGTGATGTGAAGCCTTCTTCTGTGTTTAATACAGACAAAGCTTTTTTTTTTCTGAGCTGAGCAGTTTATTCCAGCGAGTTGTTTGCGTGATCTTGGTACGACGGCCTCTTTCTTTTATCTGTATATATTTCGCATGTTAAATTAGGATGTCTTAAAATTTACAATTCCAAATATTTTTATATATATGACATACTCTATATGGGTATACCAAATTCCGTAGGTTCGCTTGGAGGCATCGCTTGCCGTAAGCCCCTCTGGAAGGTAAGGACTACCTGCATTTACTCGGGACTTGGGTTTCAACGGCAGCCTTACTTGCCTTATGAATACCCTTTTAAACGGTTATCAGCAATTTTCAGTTCAGGTGGCTTCCTGAAATCCCATGCATCTGAAGTTTGCTATTTGTTTACTAAAACATTACGTCTTTGCTTATCTTGTCCCGCAGTTTCGTCAAAGAATCACTATCTTCTCGACACCACAGCTATCCAATGCAGCATTATTGAGCTCCAATGTCTCAAATTGCAGCGAAATCATCAAGTAAAAGCGTAAAGGTTTTTGCTTGTCCCTTTCTGCAGAGGAGCCCATCAAGCTTTGAGTCTCTCAAATGGGTAGAATGCTCAAATAACTCTTGGACAGAGTATGAGAGGGTCAGGTTGGTGCATAATTGCCATGAGAATTGAAAGGGGAAGAACAAGAAATTAACGTGCAGTTTTTTATACAGAAGACATGTATTTAGAAATCACACACTTCCAATTTATTATTGCGACAGGTGCCTCGCAGATCTCAAAGACGCTCAATCGTTGCTGCGGCATCGGGGTCAATTGCAGTGCGAGCAAAAAGCGCCTCTGTACTATACGACGGCCCGTCAGACGTTGGAACTACTTACACAATGGAAACGTGGAACTGAAAATTCTGAAAAATGGGAATACATGTTTCGTATATTATTTCCTGGAGAACGCATTCCTAGCCCATGTATGTGCTACGAACACATGCCCCTATCTTACTGGCCCTACGTGATTTGGAGACTAACGACGACGACCGCTACAGATAAACAAGAGAAATCTTCCAACACGATGGACTGGGCTTCAAAATTTGAAGATATCCATGATTCTTCGGCTTTGGATGCCAAGTCCAAAGCAGAGCAAATCATAGGTGTCGCTAAAGAAACAATGCATACTATTGCGAACGCCGCTGAAGAAGCAATACGAAATATCATGAGTCCATATCCAAGAGCTCACAAAGACCTTCAAGAGACCGGCCGGGCAAGGCCTACGACCAATAGAGACATAAAAGCACTAGAGGTGCCATCTACTCCCGATTTTCATACCCGCTCTCGAAGATGGTTCCCATCCGCGGAATTCATTAACCGCCAATTCTCTGAAGTTCCAGCTCTTAAATTTGGCGCTCAGGATGACTCCGCATCTTATATATATGATCCGGTTCATAGCATGGACACTGACTCTTGGCAGTTGGATTCCAATGTGCCATCTACTCCTGGTGTTCTTAGCCGTTCTCAAAGATGGTTCCCATCTGCGGAATTCATTAACCACCAATTCTCTGAAGTTCCAGCTCTTGAATTTGGCGCTCAGGATGACTTCGTATCTCCTATATATGATCCGATTCATAGCATGGACACTGACTCTTGGCAGTTGGATTCCAATACTAACAAAGCTGGATCCAATACGGAACAATGATTGGTACATATGACAGGACTAATACACGGCCATTATCACTGGCTATGAGTTATATTCCATAAGCCACGGATGAATTTTCATGGTCTGCGGTTCTTTTCTCCGCGGGTGGCAAAGGTTGAATCGGATCATACGCTTTGGCGTGTACTGTGTACTGTGTGTATGGCGTTGGCATATTAAGAGCTAGAGGTTTTTTTTTCTTCTCGACAAGCATGGGAATATTGGAGGAGCTGGGAAAATTTCGCATGTTTAGATAGAGCAAATCAGATACTACTCAAATAGAATTTTCTTGAAGTAACAGTTCATCCTGTTGAGTGGTTAGTGGTTTTACCCTTGTTTACTAAGCTCTTCGTTTGCTTGAGCAATTTGCTCCTTTCACAGTCTCACACCCACACCCACATACAACGAGGATTAATTGCCAAGGTCATCAACTTGCTCAAGATATTGGTGCTGCCAAGAGTCCAATGGCCCTTGCTATAATGGCTTCATGTGCTTCTGCAACGGCGAATTTGGTAGTGAGTTGGCAGGCTGTCCTTGTGGTGTGAATAATAAGTGTGAATCTAATGTTTTGCGGCTTATCATTTCTATATTTTTTGAGCTCGCAACCTCATAATAATCAGTTGTTCAAAAACGTCAGCCTACATGTAGGCATAGCAATTGAAGACGGCACTGCGGAGATGCTGCAGAGTTAACTGGCGCTACTGTTTCTGGATTCATTTGCACGGTCGTATTTACAGCTATTTTCGCCACGTTTAGCGGTTTTATGATGCCCTTATAGTGCTACAAGTCTATTATTCTATTATTACCATGACTCTTAGCGACAACACACAAAGAAACTTCTAGCAATAGCGCATAACAACCGCTTCATGTTCCCTGCTAGCGCCCGAGGCCTAGCTCAGCCCCACATTCCAAATTGGGCAATGGAAAATGCTAGAATACCAATTCAGGCCAGAATACTCCAGCCAGAATATTCCAGCCAGAATATTCCAGCCACTTCTACAAGCGGCGATCCGATCTTACCACCACTTCTAGAAGTCAGTAGCTGTTTCTCATCACATCGCTGGTCGATGGAGCAACATTCTGCATTGAGAAGATTCAAGTATAAAGAAGCTGGTTGATTCTTCCTTGACAGTGCCTTGCTCATCTTCACAACACACACACAAACAATCGCGAGCTAAAGCAACTCTTCAATACACCGCTAATCAATTCTTACCTTTGAATCCCAAACTAAGTCGCCAAATCATCCAAAATGGTCTTCTTCCAGCGAAACCTTTACACCCCCGAGAGCTCTTTCACTCCTCTCTTCCGTCTCCTTGACGATTACGACAGCTACTCACGCCAAAACAATGGCGCACAACACGCAACTCATCGCACTGTCGCACACTGGCAGCCCAAATTTGATGTCCGCGAAACGGGCGAGGCCTATGAGCTCCACGGCGAACTCCCTGGCTTGAACAAGCAAGATGTTCACATCGAGTTCACCGAACCTCAATCCATTCTCATTAGAGGAAAGGTTGAGCGCACTTATACTGCCGGCACTCCCCCTACCGGTGCTATAGAGGACGCCTCAGTGAGCGGCGCAGTCACCGACTCAGCAGAGCAAGACCGCCCCAAGTCTCCTCATCAACCCACCGTCGAAGACGAGCCAGAAGACGGAGCGACTACCACCACTGCTGTCTCCAAAAATGAGGTTGTCAAGGCTGCGCCGACACAGCAAAAACCTACCGACACTGCCAAATACTGGCTCACTGAGCGCAGCGTTGGCGAATTCTCTCGCACCTTCAATTTCCCTACTCGGGTCAACCAGGACGGTGTGACGGCCAGCTTCAAAGACGGCATTCTCAACGTTGTGGTTCCTAAGGCGGCGAAGCACGAACCTCGTCGTATCGCGGTGTTCTAAAGCAATTCTCTCTTAGAATTTCTTGACTTGATTGTTTCTGTCATTACACACTTTACGCATGTTTGAGCTATTTCACTTTTCTTCTTCTTTTTTTTTTTTTTTTAAACAAGCGACAATCGCATGCACGGAGGAGTTTGGAATTGCGCGTGTATTAAACAGATATACCTTCTGTAAGACCAGGGTGGCAAAATGACAGTGCATCGCGCATTAGTGGTATTGGCGAAGGAGAACCATTGCTGTCTTATATCTATAGCTTCACGATTAATTACAGCTTAATAATTAAGATGATTTTTTTTTATGATAGCGTGCCTGCAGTGACATGAATTGGCTCCAAATATGAACAAGGCTAAATATATGACGAAATCTCAAAATTGTAGTATTACATCTTGGTCGCTGCCTTTTGATAGGCAGCGCTGCAAAATTTTGAGAGGTGCTATTTCCGAGTGACTGTTCAAGAGAACAATTGATGCGACGGCGAGGACTGCCAGTTTCGGGAATAAACATATACAGTAGCTTCACTATAACTGTAGTCTGCATGAATTAAACAAGAGAAAAAGCCTCAGTTCTATTATCTAGTATTCCTACTACTCCTGCAACCACTGCGAATTTTAAGCGCATGTACCTAGGTGTATGACGGTTGCTTAAACGCTTAAACGCTGGAAGCTGAAGGAAATTCTATTGGATGTAACCAGTACACGCATCTCTGGGCCCGCTGTAAGCCTAAGCACGCTGTAAGCCTAGACATGGAGGCTATAACTCAAGACTCAAGAAACGCCTTCGATTGTGCCTTCAGTAGCGTGGCAGTCTTTAAGGCTGACTTTGAGATCGATCTATCCCGCATTTAGATTCTGGCAAGGCTGTGTGCATCGTACTAGAAAACACACCAGTTCCGCCGGTTTACAATACTGCCGTGAGGAAGTGTGTTTTCCCCTCTTTGTTGACTATCTTGCACCATAATACTTGATCCCTTATATCACGCTTTTGACCCTACGAAGCAACAAGTGTCATAAATCAAGTCGCTTCAAATAATCCTCCATAATAGCTGATTTATCAATTTCTGCGTTTCGTGCTCTCCATTTGAGCGCTGCAATTTCCCGATCGCTGGCGATTACGACCCTACTGGTCTCATATGGATTTATACCAGTATGATGCGCTTGACCTTGGCAGACCCGCGATTCGACTGGTCCGCCTTCTTCCTGGAGCTGGCTCTGACACAATAACATGCGAGCTTTTTCAAGCTTTTCTGAACCAAGAGGACGACATCGTACCATATGAGGCTTTATCATACACTTGGGGCTCCGCGGAAGCTCCCAACCACATCATCGTCAATGGGAAGATCCTTACAATTACAAAAAATCTGCATCAAGCACTGCAGCAGCTTCGTGATAAAGTTCAAGATCGAATACTTTGGATGGATGCAATTTGTATCAATCAAGGCAATGAGAAAGAAAGGGGCCACCAAGTGCAACAAATGGGCGAAATTTATAAACAAGCAGACCGCGTGCTATTCTACTTGGGAGAGAGCAATCCATACAGTGATGCATTCATGGACACCCTTAATATGATGGGAAAGCTCAGTCTCAGCTATTCTAGCAGGAAATGGAGTTCAGATGATGAACGTTGGAAGATCGTCTGGACGAGCGCTGTCCAGGCTGTACTGGGTAATCGGTCAGCCCCCCAAACTGCTACTCTTCAGCAAGGCTACCGGAACCTTCTCGGACGGTCTTGGTTCAGAAGAGTTTGGATTTTGCAGGAGGCGGCCAACGCGCGCGCTGGCCTGGTGCTGTGCGGCTCCAAGGCGGCCAAACCGTGGCTTTTACAAGTTATTCCAAAACTCCTTGACATTATACCGGATGATCACTGCCAAGCAGTTCTCGATGTTATGCCGGGACCATGGAGAAATTCATCCTGGTGGAACAGAAACCAGGATCTTTATACTTTGCTATCGAGATTTGGTGGTAGCGAGGCAACTGAGCCTCGTGACCTGATATATGCTCTGAGAGGCATGTCTTCCGATGCCAAGGACGCACCCGGTCTGTACCCGGACTATACCAAATCTGAAGAGGAGCTGGTCCGTGATGCCATTATATTTCTGTACCCTCTTCAAAACAAAGATCTGGCGGCACTCTCATTGCCAACGACCATTCATGACTTGGTAATAGGTCTCGGGAATCTGGGCCGTCACATTTACCGCGAGATGTTTGCCAGAATTTCCAGAGAAAACCTAGAGGATCTGCTAAGATTCTCAAAAGCCCAAACGTGGAAATTGGTCTCGCCCTATGAAATACAAGAGCCGCAGTCGCCTGCTGAACAAAGATATTTGTATTCGCCCTCTGCCATAAGGAGTCGGTTGCTGTTGACAAAATTGCAAACCGATCGTACTGGAAGTGCGGCGGCGCTCTTCCGATCCGGCCTATCCAGGGACAACTTGAGAATTGAACAACTCATTGCCGCGGCTGAGAACATACATGGAACAAAGCCGCTTGAGACGGTACTTGATCTTGCGGATTATGGATTCGAGATCGCGGAAGAAGTTTTGGTGTCAGCGGCCAGAAATAAAGACCATGGGGATAAGATGATGGAACTCCTGCTCTATCATCCAAGCTGTCAGCGATATGTTACTCAAGGCGTGATAGAGGCAGCAGAGGATAACGCTGGGTGCAGGCATGAAATTCGGAAAATCATCTCAAGATATGAAAACAGATGGTTTTCAACAGCTGGAGACATGATGTATCTGGGCCATCAGTTGCGAATAACTGGTACAAAAAAAATGGCAGCGGCAAAAAACGTGGGCTTGGAGCATGAAACCCTGGAAGCTATCTTGAATGCTGACAATAAGCAGCTGCCAAGGGCCGTAGTACGCGAACGTGAATGAGCGTTGTTTCTCTTTTTTCAGCGAGTAATGCATGTGAAGCATGGCTTGGGAATATGCAAACGGATATGAGTAGTAATATATACACCAAACATTAATTAATTAATTAACAATCTTCACCGTTTCACCTTCCTTGCCCGTCTCATCCTCCAACATCACTCTGCATCTACTTGTTTTCTCCAACCTTTACCTCCTCCGGGTCGACTCTCTGCCCATCCAACTCCCATATACTCCCATCCAGCGCTGACCTTCTCGCCCACTGCGACACAATCTCAAGCGGCGAGTCATCCATGTAAAACGACAACGGCACCTCGAATGCTTCCACCGTCATATTCTCTTCCGGATCAATCTCCTGCCATTTCTCCGTTCTCACCGTGCCGAGTTCATACGCCAAATCCATGAGCACAACTGTAATGTCCCTCCTCCGCCTCATGTCATCAGAGGGTAGCTTTTGGAAATATTCATCCTTGATATTCACTGCGTCCAAGTGAACTGGTCGTGCCAGCACCACATGCTCCAATTCCGGCAGCGCAGCAATGTCATCCCAAAGTCGGGAATTGTCAAGAGGAGCACTGAACAACACCAGACGCTTGAGCTCCGGCCACCACCGCCAGACATTTGTTTCATAGGTCGAAAAAGTCGACATGGGATATTCCTCCAAGCATGTAAACTCCTCCAGCTTGAGCAGCTTCTCAAATCCCTCCCGCAACGTCTGCCGCACGCTCAAGTGATCGTCCATTGGATGCAAGCTCGCAAACGGCATCTGTACCACCAGCCGCCGCAGCGTCCCCGACACCTCGCAGAACAGCTCCCGCACCCATTGGGCCGTTGGCAAATCGTCCAGAGTATCTCTAAACGGAGCAATGTACAGCTCCGAGATGTGCCGCAGCGACAGGACCGGTGGCAGACTCGGCACCAAGCGCGGCATGCACCGCAGGATATCCGCCAGCCGACGGCTCGAATCCACAAACATGCACCGCTCCCGCAGCAGCCGCGTCGCCTGCGCGTGAGTCGCCCGCGATACCTTGGTCAACGCCAAAAGCGTCCGAGTCGTGGAGTTTGATGCGGGGAAGAGCAGATGCGGGTTTGGCGGCATGACCGCATCGACAATGAGGAGAAGCAGCTCTGGTGGCAGCGTAGGCGATGACATCATGTGTGTTGATCTCGGCGTGTAAGTCGATTGCTTGAACGCTGACTTGGAGTGGCACAGAAGAGGAGGAGGCGACTCCATCGGATGCAGTGCGAGAGTCACATATTCAAGGAGAAAACGGGGAAGATGGTCCTATTAAAAGAAAATTCTCAATGCCTCTAGTTTGTTGCTCGTGCCCGTTTTGTGTGACTCGTACAGTTAGTTGGTCGAGGGCGGCCCAGCTCCGCACGCTCGCCGTTGTTGGTCGCAAATTGGTGGCTAAACTGAAAGCTCGATCCCAGGTCGGAGATCCCACACAACCAGAGCGGCAGTGCTAGTACATATCAATGCGACGGAGGTTGGCTTAAAGGCACAAGTAAGGTAAGTAATGATACAAACTATTACTCTTTCAAGCCATGTACACTGAAATAGAAGCCTAAGGGGGGCTTTTGCCAGGGGGATATTGACTTTGTCTACGGCTTAGTCACTACTAAAGGCAGTAATTAATGTAACCTTGTAGGATCTCCTATCTCCGCCATTACCCGACATAGTATATTGATGAAAATAATATTCTGCTAAGTCAGCAGCAGTAGTTGTATATCGCACTAGCAGTTGTATGATAGAATGAATACATGTAACTTGCCTACAAACATCCCTATGCTACACTTCACGGGATCATTAGTGAATGCATATGCAGCCGTTAAAGAGCATACCATATCAATGTCAATCTGGCTATGTCGTAATTATTGTTGTTATTATTCAAGGCAAGTCAAACACTTCCCCATTGGCATTAATTCATGGGTCTTACAAGCTGACGGATTGAATCCTGGATCGGCTTCTTGCGGTGAGAGCACTGCTATTAAAATCACGCTAGAGTGGGATGAAAGCCGCGGATAATAATAAATAATTAATAAAGTGCTGACTTAGCTGCTAGGATACATGTAACTTGGTTCGCTACCGTTATCTCAACTTACAAAGGACTGTTGCATTGCAGTTGGGGCATCTATTGTATGAAGAGTACGTACAAAGTTTTATGCGAATCACTATTATTGGCATTATGGATTGAATCATTTCTCTAGTACATGCATTATACTAGTATGTCTGACCTTAATTGTGTACTTTCAGCCTAATACAACACAACTTCAGCATCCACCCAAAGAAATTCCCACAAGTCGCAGATCATTATCTAATACTTAGCTTCGTCCTCGCAAACTGGGGTGCCGCCATTGGCTATCCGATCTTCAGTCTTTGTTACATTTTCTAGCCTTTGTATCTTGCCCCTTTTCTGTTCTACAGAAGTTTCTATATTGTGTCTCGGAAATCTCGTATCGTGGCGGTAGCCAATCATTTGGAACTTGTTCATTAACTATCTTCCATTGTATAAGAACAGTTTCTTCCCTTCAAAGACCTATATTTTTCAATCTATATATTTGATAGCAGTGCCATCTTCATCTTCTAAGAAGCAAGCATCAACTGCAAGCCTGTGCTATCTTACGTTTGTCTTCATGTTATTTAACGCTTGGTGTATCATCCTATAGATTAGGGAACTTTAGTAAGTTCCTCGAGACATTCTCGGCTGTATCTAATTCAGGAAATGAAAATTAAGCATGGCAGAAACTTCAAAGTCAGCTCTACACCGCTATTAACCTACATTTATTATAATTCACTAGCGTATTACAAATCCCACTAGCGTGCTAATAATATTACCTGTACTAGCGTGCTGATAATATTACTAGCGTATTGCGTAATGTCTAGAGACGGCAACATTAATTCCTACACTAACGTATATCATCCTTGAGGATACGGAGAATATGGGAAAATATAAGCAAGGCTCTAGAAATCCCATCGCCTATCTACCCAAGGGCTTAGCTAACGTCTAAACGCCAATTGAACTCCCCCATTTAACCAGCAATGACGTTGAAGTTTCGGAGGAATCATTCTTTGTAGCTATTGGCTGTTAATTCCGCCACCAGTTCCTGGCCGTGAAGAGCCCCAAAGTTATATATTAAACAGGAACAGGAACCGCGCCAAGGAAAGCTATAATCTCACATAACAATCCCAACAACGTCCTTGAGGATTTCCGTAATGTAACGTTATTACATATGTAGAAAAATATCAAGACAAGAGCGTATCGAACACAGCTGTTAACGCCTCGGAGATGATACTCGATAACGGCATCTTACCAGTTCCCTGGAGCATAAGAAGCCGATAAGACGCGGCGCTTACATCCCGCGTTGCGGCGCAATCGCGCAGTCGGGAATGGTAAAAACGGCGGGGGTTCGTTCCGAACACAGCACCATTATCCAAAAGGGGAATAAGCCTTGGAAGGAATATCATTGAAGTAAATAACGTCAAATTGCGATCACGGTGCCGCCACATGCCGGTATATCACCAATTATATCATTCTTATCCGGCACGCTGTCTAGTGTAATTTAGAGAGAAAAACAAAAAGATAAGCCATGTCCCAAGATCCAAGCAGTTTCGCAATGGAAGATCTGCAGCAATACTACCCAACGCCAGTGAACAAATTTGGCCAAAATGATGCGCCCAAAATATGATTTAGGTTAGTAAAAAAATGTAAATTCCCTCTTTTCCTACCATTATCACTTCCATAGCCGAATGACCATGATATCTATCATCATCACAATCACAATCGCCATCATCTTCTCCGAGGCGTGCTCTCATAGCTGTAATCCATGCTCCATAGCTGGTCCCACAAAATCGAGCTCTTCAGGGGACTCGCAACGGTTGAGCTCCTCCGTCGGCCGCTTCTGTGAAGCTGTGCCTGTGGCTGCCACGAAACCGATCAGTGACTCAGGGCCCAAGTAGAGAATCAACGGCTCGTACCTCGGAGGCCTTTCCCGATTTATCCTGCGCCAATGACTCGCCGCCTCGCTGTCCCGCATCAGTAGTGGTCGTGCTGATAACGCTGCCTTGTACCGGGCTTTGAGCAGTTGGCGTGTCGGGCGCAGCAGCGCGCAGGGAGTTGGTCTCGCTCGCCAGCGCGCTATTCTTCAACAGAGCTGTTCCACCGCTGATGTGAAATGGCAGGGCCTTCTTAGACGCCGAGCTACTCCGGCGGCTTTCCAAGCTCTTGGAGAGCGTCTTGTTGATTCCTTCGATGCTCGCTATGCTGTCCCGGCTTCTTCCTTTCCCCTTGGCTGCGTGGGATTGAATATCAGCCGTGGCCTCAACATTAGTGGCGGCAACGGTTGATTTACCCATCCCAGGTGTTGCGGGCGCCCCTGCTTTGTCTTCTTGAGCATCGATGAGATACCATCGCAAGCCGTCTGACAACTGGAAGGGGTTATCATTCTCCTCGTCATTCGAATCAGTTTCGTTGTTCGTCTGCAGACTCTTGGAGAGATCTACAACACGCTCCTGGATCTTGGAGATTCGCGCAACCAGCCACTCCCGATGTCGTAGCCGATGAGCATCTTGCTCGCGGAGGAAATAATGCGGGAATCCCACGTTAAAGGCGGCCCAAGCTCCCGCTTGCTGGTTCCGTGTTGGCAAGAAAAGTGCCAAGTCACCCTCCTTGAAATTTCTAAACGCAATCTTGTTATGAGAATCCTTTTGCAAGCTATGAGCTCGGTCTCGATACGATCGAGCTTCTCGCTGCCACTTTCGAGCCTTGTGCTCTGCCTCTTTGACTCTGTGATAAATGGTGTCGGAAAACAAGTCGGCGTCGAATGCGCCAAGCTTCTCAATGAAGGCTTGGTATTTCTCGTCTTCGACCGATAGGTCGGTGCTGTTCACCCAGTAGAGAAGCTCTAAATCGGCACTATCAGTCATGGCTCGACCTCCCAAGCTAAGTGAACGGCGAATAGAAGATCCAGGATCCGAAGAATCATTTGGATTTGCGGGCGCCTTATCGGAACGAGAAACCCTTGTAATCACCATCTGCCCGGCATCACGGCTGATGGAGTATCCTACACGCTCGAGCAATCTGGTTAGGCGGTCATTCTGAGAGTAGAGCCGCTGAGTTAGATCCTTGGTTCGTCCATCGCGCGCTTCGTACTTGGCATTAAGCCCAGAGAGCTTCGATTGAACATCTTCAAATCTCTGCTTGAAGAGACGAGACTCTTCTTCGAGGCTGCCACCTTGAGACTGTCGCCACGCGACTTCTTCTGAAAGCTCTGCAACCTTCTTCTCCTCCTTTTCAAGCCTTTTGCGCAGCATCTCAGATCCAGTCTCGCCGTCAGACAGCTGGCCACGAAGTTGGTTCAATTCCTCTCTGCTCTCGGTTACTTCACGTTCTAAAGCAGTTACCTTTGCCTTTTCTTCGGCAAGATTTTCTCGAACATGCATGGCCGACATCTCCTGGGATGAGATTTTCTCCTCCATCTGCACCAGCTCTGACCGTAGTTCCTTGACTGAAGTAGTAGCCTTCTCAAGCTCAGATCGTAAAATGGAGGCATTGCTTCCAGAGTTTCGCAACTTCTCGACAAGATCGGCGGCACTGGATAGAAGAGCTTCGGCCAAATCAGCCTCGTCAGTTGGCATAGCGATGTCTGATGATAGCTCAGCATATAGCTTCTTCAGCCACTCGAGGCGAGACTCGGCGCTCTCTTCTGCAGCCTCGAGCTTCTTCGAAGTAGCCCGGGCTTCCTCACGAACAGAGCGTAACCTTCGTTCGGAGGCGTCGAGCTGATCTCGTTGCATCTGAGTCTCCTTGCGTAAGAACTCAACTTGCCCCTGGAATTTGAGTGCATCGTCCTTCCGTTCCTTGTTAAGTTGCTCAACCTCTGCCTCAAGACCCTGGATTCGCTCGTCAAAACCAGCCTTTTCATTCTCCCGAGACTCCCCAAAATGATCCATCTCTTCCTCCGTATCCTCCAAACGGGCTTTAAGCGTTTTGATTTCGGTCTCTAGCGAGATCCTTTCGTCCAGAAACTCTCGCTTCAGTGCTTCCATGTTCTCAAGGAGATCCTTTTTCGTCGAGTTGACTTCTTCAATCCTATCTTTCATATCATCTCGTTCCGTGACGCGACTGTCGAGATCTTTCTGGATATCTGTTGACCGCTTCTTTTCTGCACGAAGCTCGTTTTCCAACTGCGCTATCCGTTGTGATAACTGTTCTGTCCCGTCTGATACTGGTTGGCGGTCTTCAATACGCGCCGACTTGATTGACGAAATGGAATTATGCCGCGAATGCCCATTTTGCTGTCCTGGTAGCGGGAACAGGTTCCCAGGACGCGAGGCTTGGCTCTGTCGATGGAGAAGATCTTCGAGGCGGCGCACTCTGCTGTCGGCGGTCTTGAGTTTGTTCTCCAGCCTGGTCTTTTCGTCCTGCAGAGAAGTAATGAGATCATCGTCCCCACGGATCAGGAGTCCACTTCTTCCTAATGCCGCCTCATGCACGCTTCCATTCTTAAATGCTTTGAGTCTCTTTGCTTGCTGCTTAGTAGGGGTGGTGAGCTCTTGAAGGAGTTTCGCGACATCGTCAACAAGCTCTGGGTCCGCGTTCCGCTCCTGCAATACCTGGAGAAATTCTTCCAGCTCGTTCTTCCCAACAGTAGGCCAGGGAATATCCTCTCCCCGTAGATTGACCTCAAGCCCCATGACATTGGTGTCAAGGCCAGGTCCGTAGGTGCTTCCGACCATCTTTTGCCACTTTTTTCGCCGCTTCGACTCTTCGTCTTGGAACAGCGCCATTTCGTTGGCAAGAGTCGAGGAGTCGGCTTTCACCTTGTCAATCCACTCCCGTCGTCGGATCGCCTCTACCATGAATGAGGCATACATATATGGCAGTTGCTGAATGAGCCGCAAGTAATCAAACGTTGTCATATCATCTTCGGACTGGTTTAGAATATTGATCTGATTCCTGACGCTGCTGTGCAGAGAAGTGATCTCGGTAATGCTTCGCATAAATCTAACAGAATCCGCAGCAATGCTATTTCGCGATCGCGTGGCATATTGAACCATCTCATCCATCTCCTTTGCTCGCTTTTTAAGAGTGGGCATGAGTCTTTCGGTGTGAATAGATGCAGTTTTCGAAGCCTGGGCCAGATCTCGCTGCGAGTTGCTATAGCTTAGTGCCGTATGGTAATCTGAATCGATCTGTCTGGCCACTACCTCGATGTCCTCCATGAGTTGCGGAGTATCATTATTATGGGTCAAAAGAGACCGATTCATCAGTTGATCAAATTCAGCAGAGAGAGTTCCAAGCGCTTGATACATCTGAGTGGCCGCATTGTCAAGTTCGGTGGCTTTCTGGGTAAATCTTCGCTGAGCTGTGGGAGCCAGCTTGACGGCCTTATTGACAGTTTCAAGTTCGATCAAGTCCTGTAGCGAAGAATCGGCCTTGTTCACTTGTCCGCGAGTCATAAATCTGACCAAGCCTTGCGATATAGTAATGCTCCCGGCCAGATCCAGATAATGCTCCCAAGACGAAACAAGCTGCTCATACTCGGCCAAGGCCGGCGTAACCCATTTCTTAAGCTCATTATACTTTGGCTCGATCTGCTTGACGCTTATCTCGACATTGGTGACGGCGGCGTCCAAGCATCTGATCATGACGTCTATCTCGTCATATCGGGCCTGCGCGTAAGCGTTCAATTGGGCGCAGTCCTCCATTATCCGCGCAGCCCAATTCCGGCGGTCGTTGCAAAGTTCCTGCCATGATGTGATTGCCTGGATATTCTCGATCGAGTTTGGCGCGTTGGGGATGGATTGACGCCGAAGGGGCAGCGCCTCGGAGATGAGCGATGACGCACTGCCAGGAGAGGTCGGGTGCGTGACACGGATATCGTAGATGTATATCTCTTTCTGGGGGGGGGAGAAGTCAGTTCTCATCTTTCGCACAAGCTTCAAGCGGCCGTCGCATACCTCTGTGTGAAGACTCGCAAACTTGACGCTGCGGCCCTGGGGTGTCAAGGCAATGATATGCTGTGGTGAGAGGGAGCTATTCCGGGCCACCCACGTCTTCAGGTCGTCAAGACTATAGCAATCGTTAACCTCACGCGCCATACGCAGCATCCATGGGAGCAAATATTACCTGGAGAACTGCGCTGTATCGACCTCCAGCCGCTGGCCCGTATGGGCAATCAACACCTGTGTAGCCATCCCAAGACATCTCCCGTCAAGCACAAGGCGGCGCTGGGCGGCTGATGATCATACAGAGCAAGATTGAAAAGAGTCGAATAACGAGCCAACGCAGGAGAGACGAGCAACTACAATGCGCCGAGGACAGAGGGATTTTGAATGCCACAGGCTGCGAGGCCAAAAAGTCAAAGCATCGAATGGTTAAGATGCTGAACCTTATCGGGGCCCTACGGCCGGCATTACGTTGGGTAGTGTGACGGGTGCCTTGTGACTTTTGGTAGCGCTGAGACTGCCCTGCATTACAGGGGGAGCTTTGTACCGAGTTAGATAAGCAGAGCGGCCTGTGGCTTACTTCGTCTTGAGAAACGGCGCGCCACAGGTCAACAGCCACGACATGGGTTTTTGCTGGTGATGAAAGACTCGTTCGGTTGAGCGAATCAGCGCCTACCACTGGTCCTAAGCAGGCTGCAAGATGAGTGAAGTCGACGAGCCCATGACCGGTGTAGACGGCGGTGAATCCCGTCTGCCCCTTTCCGAGGACGAAACGCGAGTGCTGGAGCTGTATGACAAGCTCCAGGAGCTGAGGCTTGAAATCGCCATAATCAACGCGCAGCAAGCCGGTAAGGGCCATCTGATAGGAATGATGGATATATGTTGCATGACTTACTCACACGATGACTCCGGCATCTCTAGGTAGAAATTATGATGATGAGAGCAACATCGCAGAGGCTCAGGATGCGCTTCTCACAGCAAGAGCTAGATATAGGCTACGCAACGATGCGATTGAGTCGGTGATGATGGCCAACCCGATCCTCAAGGCAGTCCACAACGGCACACAGGCATCACCAATAGAGCGGCACGTATTACTCTTACTTACTCTTAACATCGCAGACCAAGCTGAGAATTGGAAATGGCATAAAAGGCCCTCCCTTTGCTGACCCAACTACAGGGATCTGTTCCCATACGTGCAGGAACGAGACGAGACGTCCATATCCGTAGCCCAGCACGCAGACAGCATGACAAAGCTCCGCGACGACCTGACCGACGTCCAGGTGCAGAGCATACGCGTATGTCGCCAGAACATGGAGCTCACAAGCGAGCTGTTCGCGCTGGCAGAGCAGGCCAAGCAGAAAAAGGCCGTCCGCGTCGACGACCCCCGAGTCCAGCAGGAGATTGAGAAATTGACGAAAGAAGTCAAGACGAGTAGGCAGCGGTGGAGGGTGATGAAGGGCGTGGCTAGCGGCGTGGTTGCTGGCAGCGGCGTCGACTGGGCAAAGGATGAGGATTTGCGCAACATTGTCCTGGATCCTGAGGATGAGGACTAAGATGGGATGGCAATTGGTTTATGAAGATACCCCCTGAGTAATCAATAGACAATTTGTAACTGTCTTTCTAGCTTATTCTTGGCATATCACGCTTTAGAGCTATCAACGGTCACCTAGAGCTCTGTGATGATAACTACTAGTATTTTGTCCTGGCCTTTATAACTCAGGTTATCAGAAGTTGTGGCAGCAGAAACTTGGCCCATCGCGCATCAAGCCAGCTCTGAAAAGTCTACAAAATAAATCTCAAAAAGAGGAATCTAAAAGTCTGAGATTGTCACAAGCATCACAGCTATTACATACCAAGTCAGTAAGGCATGCCATCACTCATAGAAAGGTAGAAACGCATTCATCAAGACGCGCCTCTTCCAGCCGCGCAGCGCAGAATATTAAAGGAAACAAGTCAGTAGAACACGCCATGTACCTTATATACGCATGACTAATCAATCACTCGCGGTGCAAGATCAGGAGCATCTGACAAGTCCAGGGGGGCCAGGGAAAAAAAAAAAAAAAAAACAAGCCTTATTCCAAAGTATGGGGCACATAAAATGGGGACCCCGAGAAAATCGAAAGGGTCCCTGGAGTGATTTTCTCAGCCAGCACGAAGCGGTACCTTGCTTGCGAGAAGCGCTGTAGAGGGAGCTATGACCACCACCCATTTTGCTGCTGGGAGCCACGTGATGGCGCCTGGCAGCTTGTCATTTGGGCGTTGTTCGAGATAGAGCTGAAATTGAGTAGAGTTCGCGCCGGCTTCGTCGTCTGATCCCCTTTTGATATGAAGTCAAGCTGTAAAGGCACGCAAGCGTGTCTGTTGGATCAACCACGAGATGCCCATCACTCACTCGCCACCTTGAATTGATGACCTCTCGCGAAAAGGGGTGGAGCACTGCAACTGCAGTAGGTACTCCATACTACTAAAGGTAGCAGTAGCAGTAGCAGTAGCTTGAATGTACACATTGTTGATTACAGTATGCCTGTAGCTCTTATTTGCCTTTCTTCTTCTCTCCGCTCCCAGTCCCTTTTTTCCCCTGCGCAGAGGCGTGCGCGCGGGGAGTGTGAGAAGGGGACAAAAGGCAGAGGCTTCCCCATTTGGCTGGAGGTGCGACAGGGTCGAGGCATGTACTGCACAGTACAATTGCTCGGAGAGTCAAGCCTGCGCCTGCGTGACAAACACCCGAGCTCCCAGTGGTAAAGATCGGGGTGTGTGTGGTGTCGCGTACCTTATTAGTGTGCCTGCGCTGATGGAGTAGGTGAGGTCGCATTATCGTCGGGTGCTTAGCATTTTGCACGGAGCAGCTGAGACCAGTCTCATTAGCTGCACTGCTCCTTTGCCCTTTTCTCTATGCCTGCACCATGCTCGCTCGTCTCAGTCTACTAGTACATACCTCCAGTCTTTGCCAGCCGTTTTGGTCTCAGTCCCCGATACGCACGCAGCACGCGAGGTACCTCTTCGCACATCGTTTAAGCACTCGCCAGGAAATGCTACCTTGCAAATAATTCCGCATCGGAATGCTGCAGGCTTTGGAGGGGCTGGTCTTCGCCGTACGCGTCTCTGTACTCCGCGCGATATGTGCGCAGCCGCTAGAGGAATGCGCCATCAGAGACAAGCTCAGTACAGTATGTGATACTGCTGCTCCGTACATGTGCCTGTACCAGCAGGTCGAGCAAAACGCATGCCTACCTGAGGCATATTCTGCGTGAGAACAGGAAGACAATTCAGCTTCGGAGACAGATAAACTAATCTATACATTTGCTGCTGCTTATGAGATGAATAATACAGCTCGCCACGCGGAGATATCATGAGTCGAATTTGCGGCATGCTACCGATCCGTAATGAGCAGTATCAATATGGGCCAAGCACCGCAGCACACAATACCTCGCAGCCAAATCTGCACCGTACGGTAAAGCGCCCCCCAACACTTGGTGCTGCCTAATGCATCGAGGACCTGTGGCTTTTCTCATGTAAGGATCATCAATACGAGTCTGCTCTGATGCCGCGGCTTGTTGAAAGCACTATCCGTTATCAGTGCCGCGTCTAAGCTCGCTCCTTCACACCCGTCGAAGCAGTAGCGGTAAACTCTGCTGCTGGTGGTGTTTGTGGGCATTTGCGCGTACCTCGTCTGACGGAGGAGAATCAAGAAAAAGGTACCTAGGGCAAAGTACCAGTACTTGCAAAAGTCGTATGACGGTACAATGCGTCATGCGCCACTACAAGTACACCCTTCTCTGGGCAGTTCTAGCTTGCGGTGGCACAGCTTCCGAGTGCTCCGCTGCTCCACGCCAGTTTGTAGCATCAATATCTGCCCGCTAGCGAGCTCTTCGCCGTGGTCCCTCGTATGGATTTTCTCCTGCATGCTTGTGACGTTGCGAAGAGCGAAGCGTGTGGCCACTGGTACCTTGGCTGCTTGGATATTTGCTGGAGCGGTCTTTACCCTCATTACCACCGACATCTCCCTTGCAATGTGGCCGAGGTAGCGTAGCACGACGGGCCTTTGTCCCCTCTCTGGGGACTCATACCCAGCATACCAACCCGGTCTGGACAGCCATTAGTAGTGCTACTGCTGCTAGCAGCTATCAATGGCAAAAGTCTATGCCGAGTATGGTATACAAGCACCAAGTAGTAATACCGTGTAGGTGGCCCTTGACAGCAGTAGTAGCACTCGCGGCACGGCCGATGGAGCAATCAGCAGCAAGAGGCTAGTAGCCGTAGTAAGGTATGGGAAGTTGAAGCGGTACGGAGCCTGAGCAGGTACTCCAGCTAGCGATAACCAGCGCCCCGGCTCGTTTCAAAAATGCTTCGAGAAGGCCGGAGTGTAGAGTACGACAATGCGCATGTAGTACGATCCAACTGCTATGTAAGGTAGCAGCCGTTTCCGCCAGGCCATGCTGCGTGCTGCGTCCCTTTGGTCCACTAGTCTACTGGAAAACCGCCAACACCTGTGCCCGCTGGGTACAGAAAACCCCCCGTCGCTGAGATTGTCGAGTAACCGAGAGAAGAATCACTGGGCCGTGGCAGAGCGAAAAGCCAGTGCCCCAGTTTAGGTGTGAGACCATGAGGGGGAAAGGTAAAGAGGAGCTCCGCGCTAAAGTGTAACAATATTGGACTGTGGCAGCAGTCGGCGCAACTTTCTGGCTCGCTGGCACGCCAATGCGTGTGTTGCAGCGGGCAGCGCGACTGATTGCCCAGGAGGCAGGGCTACCTCTCCATAACAATTTCCCCATGGCTGCTTTGAGAAGGGCCATATTACTGGGTACCTGTCATACAAATGTCACGAAGCAATGAGACTTCTGGAAGCCGTGGCGGCCATCTCAATTTCCGCAAGTCAACGCAGATATGCCAATTGATCTAGATCGTCCCCTGCTGGCCGTCTTCAGCCGGTTTGAGACTTTGTATAGGTGCTCGCGATGCCAGCCATGGGAAATACAGTAAGAAACATGCGTGTTCTCTGTAGAGTGCTCGCAAGCGCTGGGACGCACGTGTAAGGATTCAACGCGAAACACGCAGGTCCATTGATCGATCCTATTTGCTTCTCAGCCAAACACCCAAACCACTCATTACAACGCAGTGGTGGTAGTACTTCGTATTGGCTGGCATTAGCAAGGGAGGCCGTGTACATGCAAATGAAGCCTCGCGCTCGCATGCCGTACTCCGCACCGTACAGGCCCGTTTCGTTTGCTGTGAATGCCACTTGTATCTCTTCTCATACTACTGCCGGAATTGGGGTCTTGCTCTGAGTCCTGTCGCTGCGCAACCGGCGACAAGCCATGGGTAATGGTGCAGGCAACTGAGGTGTGGCACCGCCAGAATCATAAGGAGGGTGCCAGTAGTACGGAAAAGCAGTAGCATCAATAATATGGAGCGAGAAGAGGAGAAAAGAGAGCGTAGAGAGGCAAAAAAGCGCAGGAGGGAGGCGCGATACCAAGAACTTGCTACGGCCCAAAGTTCCAGGGAGGCAACACGGAGCTAGCACTCAATGCTAATACCGCTACCGCTGGGAGTACAAGTACAGCCACTCCAAGGATGAGGGAGGTATGGGCGGCTGTAAAGTATACAGTGCGATTGTTCAGATAGACGATGGGATACAAAGGGCGTGTACTGTCTGTGGGAGGGGAAGGCTAAGGAGGCCAAGTACCTGTACAGTATTGCGCAATCAATGGGCGAGCAGCACTTTGCCTGTGACCACCAAGCCGACTCGTCTGGCTCTGCATATGACGACAGCCCGTAGCTGAGCTGGGAGAAGATAGACGCAGTGGCCACGACTATGTGCGTCTGTGAGTGGTGACGGACGAAATGCGCCTTTTCGCAATCGAGCACAGTACCTGTTGCGCAAATTGCAGCTTGGCCAAGGTAAGGTTGTATGTAGACTAAGTACAATGCGGATTCTTCTCAAGAGGCAGCAGCAAACGCTGAGCAAAGCAAGCAAAGCAGTGGTGGCTCGTCCGTGTAAGTCATGATGATGCCAGTAGGAACCAGGTAGACTCCTTTGCTGCAAGGAAGCAGGCAAAAAATTAAGGTACTCTGGCCGTTGCAGTCCTTGCTACTGTACTTGTCTTGGTACCTAATGCCATGCTGCTGCCTGCAACAAATAGCTACAGCAAACATCCATGGAGCGGCTGGTTGACCCAGCCGCTTCCTGCAGTTCCTTGGCTCTGCGCATATACACATGAGTAGGTAGTAGTACCACAAGATGCGGTAGCAGAGCAGATCAGCAATATTCATCAATGCAGCTTCGGAAAATGTTAGTAATGGTAGTAACACTTGACCGTATTCTACTCGCGGAACAACTGTAATCAAGCAGTGGAATAGAAGAGAAAAGATCCATGTCAATATCATATTGCTCGCCTCGCAAACTTGATGCGCAGAAGCGGCGGCCATGATCCCCGCGAGGCCAGCCAGAGCCAGAGCTGCCGCGCGGAGGAAAGTACTCGGCAGCAGGCAAATAAGGGAGCAGGTACAAGTACCTTGCGGTCGGGACAGCACCCCATGCCCAGTGTGTGCTGCCCAGTGTGCGTTGCCCAGTGTGCCGCCTGTAGCAGCGCTCCGTCGCAGCCAGCACCCAGCACCAAGTACTCCGTGCCCCATCCGCCCAGCAGTAGCAGTACCTGGCCTGCCCGCCCAGCCCAGCTTCCCAGCTCCCTCGGCCAGCGCCAGCACCAGCGCCAGCGCCCAGAGAGGGCACATTCGCTACTAGCGGTACGGTAGGAGAGAAGGTACATGGCCCAGCAGCAAGCACCCCCCTCACCCAGGCCCAGCATCCGTCACCCCTCTAGGCGGAGGGTACAGCCAGCAAGCAGCGCAGAAAAAAAACCAAAGTGCGAGAAAGTTGTGTGGGTGGTAGCTTTTTAGGCCGTTCGGCGCGTGCGCGCGTTCTCTCCGCAGCCCGCACTCCCAATCACCCGCCCATAGTAAAAAGGCTGCTTGGCCCTCCCCCCATACAAAGCTCGCCTCCCCTTCTCCCTCTCCCATACAAATTCTCCCATACAAAAATCCTCCCATACAAACTGCACCCGCGTCCTCGTCGCAACACAACGCGCCTATCTTGTGAGTACCTCGCCTTCGCCGTGCATCCCAGCCAAGCACCAGGTCACCAACAATCACCGCATCACGCATCTTGCCCTGCGTGCAATTGGCTTTATTCTGCCGTTGCATCTTGTTTTTGCCTTGTTCCCAGCTTCATTTTTGCACTCGCAGCTTTGCACCCAAGGAGACTGCCTCTGCATCTCTGGTCGCGCATCTCTGCTCTTCCTCTCTCATTAGCACCTCTCTCGCTTCTGCTGCGCCTTGAATAGCTCAGCAGCGCACGCTGACTCGAGCGGCTCGCATCGAAGAGAAAAAATCTCAACGTTGCGGTCGCGTCTGTCTTTGTGAAAATTTGTTCAAAGTACGAAGATTGTTTTGACTTTGTCATTTTTGAGCTTCAAATCCCCCTCGAGCAACACATGCCGTCTCAATTGCGTTTTCGCAGCGCACTTGCTACCTCATGCCGAGCTCCATCTACCTTGAGCTACACCACAAAGCTACCCCTCTACACGGCCCACGTTCACTCATTCTCATTGCGCTTTTGGCTTTGGCGAACAAGCTTAGTGGCTGTTTGACATGCCGTGACAGCGCTCAAGTCCATTTCTCATTTTTTCAATCACCAACACCACGTCAATCAAGCATTTTGTGCCTATGATGCAATCGCGACTAACGCATCTCTAGAAATTACAAGACACACATCAGTCAAAATGCCCAAGGCTGCAGCTGGAAAGCGTGGTGCCAAGGACACCAAGAAGCGCGCCAAGAAGGGTATGTGATGTCTTCAGCCACTACACGTGTCCAAGATTCGGTGGCTAACTCAAACCAGACCCCAACGCTCCCAAGCGTGGTCTCTCTGCTTACATGTTCTTCGCCAACGAGCAGCGTGAGAACGTCCGTGAGGAGAACCCCGGCATCTCATTCGGTCAGGTCGGCAAGCTGCTCGGTGAGCGATGGAAGGCCCTGAACGACAAGCAGCGTGCCCCCTATGAGGCCAAGGCTGCTGCCGACAAGAAGCGTTATGAGGATGAGAAGCAGGCTTACAACGTATGTCACTCTCCTCCCTTGCTTGAGTTGCCTATGAGATTCCATACTAACATTGTCTCTTGACAGGCTGACCAGGAGGACGAGTCATCGTAAACTGGTGCTGGTCGCGGGTGAGAATGCTGAATCATGCTTATGGTGATTCTTTTTGCAAATGATTCACGTAGCATCTGGGTCGAAGACAATGGCAATGAGGCCGCGCGCCTTGCTATAAAGCCAAGCATAAAGGCCCATGCTGGTGATGTCGATTTCTTTGTATTATGGGCAGGACGGTGTTGTACGAATGCACGGAATGGGTTGCGTACTATTTGCTTTCAGGTGCCGGAAATTCAACGGAAACAGGGTCTCGCATACTTGTAATTGTGAACGGGATAGTGGCCGGCAGAGCTACAATGCGACATCGAATACTTTTTGCGTGAGCTTCATTCGACGTAATACCAATGGAGCCATTGGACCATGAATTGACAAGATTATACTACTGCTGCTGTTTGACTCTCGAATTGTGACTACATGTTGAAATCGGATAAGGTACCCAACATCTGGTTGCTTCTTGATTGCGACGCAGTGAGACTATGATTTCAAGCTATCCATTATCTCGAAGCGTGGCTTCATTCAGCAAAATGCTCCCAGCTTTCTGTGTGGCTAGTGTATCTCGGCACGGATCAATCACACTTGCGGAGCTCTCGAGGCCGGGACCCGGAAGGACCCTCCGCTCTGGAATTGATCCAATCCATCCAAGCACAAACCACAGCTAAGAAAAAAAAAAGAGCGAGACGAGAAAACAGTAGCTCAAGAAGAAAAGGGGGCGAGGCCCGGTCGACGGAGGCCCGGCCCGCCCATCTCTAGCTCTCCACAATCTGCCATTCTATGCTCCTCAGCCTCAAAGGCGGCTCTGCGAAAAGAAGCCCGTTTGAGGCTGGTGAGACCCCGAATCTCGCACAGAACCTCGCCCGACCCCCGTCGTCCAGCCACATCCATCCACATCCATCCACTTCGACCGAAAGCGATTCGTGCTCGCCCACCGCTCAATCAGAGGCCGGCTTGCTATCGTGCTTGGCCACCGCCGGGTGCCTCCACCGCAAGCGAGCCAATGGTCCCCGAGTGGGAGGAGATCCAAGATCGGCCGCGATTCGCTGTTGGTGCTGGACCTCATGTACGTTACCAACAGAACATGCTTTGCTGCATTCGGGCCATGCAAGTGCCGGCCCAATGCACCGCAGACCAGCGTCGGGTCGACACACGCTTGCAGCTTTGCTTTCGTGGCAGGCTGTGAGCTGCCGGCGCTCCTGCGAGGCTCCTGTGGCTCCAAGGCGACGGCAAATGGGGTGACGGGCTCAAGTCTGGTGGGCTGCTCGCGATGCATCCATCCGCTGGTCATCCGATGGTCTGCGTGTGCTCTGGACATCTCGAGGGATCTTCTTTCTGAGGCAAAAGAGCAGGAAAGCAGGTTGTGAACGGGTTTATGCCAGACCCAACATTTGCAGCTTTGTTCATTTGCTTTGTGGTGCATGTCTCTCAACCCAATGCAATTGGCTGCTGTTGGTGTTGCGACTCAACACCCTTTTTTCGCCCTTTTTTCTTCTTCTACCCTTTGATGCATTGGGCCGCCACCAATTTTCTGTGCTACTAGCTACAGACCAAGCGTGGGAAAACGATCCCCCTCCACGCTCCCGGATTTGACGTTGCATGCTCTCTCTCATTGATTTTCCCCCGCCCACCCCGACTTTTAACTACCGGTCCACCCTGCCACTCCGACATTTCGATTTGATCTAATATTAACCCGACCCAATCTTCCGGAATCCTGTCTGGCTTCTCTTCGTCTCGCTGGCTTCGCTGCGGTGACAAGGGACAGAGGCCTTCTCCCTTCTTGCTCCGCGACTGACCGATAGGTGCAGAGGATCGTATACTGTATAGAAATTGCCGGTGATAACCAATCCACTTCAACCGGCGCCGGGAAGCGACGCGGCCGGCCAACTTATTGTGAGAGCCCGATAGAGTAGGCGCCGAGTAGTTGGGTAATACTTCATTCACGCCGACTCATCCCTGATATCAATCCATCTGTTACTGGTCATGCACAGATAGGCCACGGCGATTCTCTTCAGGCTCTCGATTTTATCCCATTTCATTCCAACTACTCATCTGGTTTTTCTCCAATTCATACAATCCTACCATGGAGGTAACCCTGCCAATTGAGGATGCGGGGGCCACCGTTGATGCCCATCTTCTAAAGGGATGCTGCTTGGAAGCAGAGCGATCAGACAGCGTCTGGCTGCGCCTCGAAGGCCTCTTCCAAGCTCTGCCAGAGGCCAATCGTCGGCAGTTGCGATCGCTTATCGACGAGATCAGGACCACTAGCTTGATTCTGCGAGAGCTGGCTGACCTGTCCCAAGTCCACCAAGACCGCGTGCCACTGGTGCTGGATCCTCTTAATACCATCTTGCCGTGCCTGTCACGATCTCTGCGGGACATTGTAACGCATTATGAGAACCGGAAACTGACCAAAGTAAACCGCTGGCGGACCATGTTTCACGACATGACCAATGAGGCGGGCGGTCTACAGCTCCCTCAACGATTTGTCGTCTATAATCATTATCTGACTGCTATCCGGAACTTATTATCCAGGTATTAGCCTTGTTCTAATTGTCTTTTTCTTAATATGCTAATCTTATAACTCAAGATCGCCCGACTTTGATCTTAAAATGATGGAAGCGTTCCGTCTGCAAATTCTGAATTTGCGAGAGGCAAGAGGAATTCGTATGTATCATCATCAATAACAGGAATAAGCATTTGCGCTAACAAGAAAATAGCTCCGCCTCCAATACAAGCCGGCCCTTTGGTCCGCTACGGGACCATAGCTCCCATAGGCAAAGATACCGTAAGACAGTCTCATCCTTGCTAGGTAGCATATCGCTTACACGTATTGATACAGTCTGTACATTGGGCCGAACAAATCTTTTCTATACCTTTGCCCTCTCGGTCAGCTTTGAAGGGCGGGCTGCCGTAAGTAGAATTGTATTCCAACGCAGTGGATATGAGATAATTGTCTGATTGTCCAAATGCCAGATCCGAATCCTTCGGACCGCATCGACCGTGGGGTCACTTGACTATTCCCACCAACTCAAAAGTCCTCTTTCGACGGTAGGTTATTTACGAATACATATTTCAATGCTCGTTATTTCAGCAAATACGACAATGTAGCTAACTATAATCCAGGCCCGTAGATGATGATAAAATCTCTCTCATCGCCTACTCTGATGGACGGGATGGCTCCCCTTACCTCCTGCTTCGAACATTTTACATGGGCGGACCATGGTTTTCACTCCGCGGGGTTCATGAGCTATGTATCCAGCGAGAGAATGATTCCATACAATTCACAAGATGGAGCCATTCCGAAAACTGCTCCAAGCTCTGGGCAACATTGCGCTTCGGAACTTGGGAAGGTATGTTCATTTTTGTTGAAGGCCCTGAGTGCCACTTATTTACATGACATCTGCGGCAGAATAGTGCTATACCGTAGATGCTATTACTAACATGTATACTTACAGAGCTGATTCTCATGTACTGTACGTTCTTGGCTCTCAAGTCTCGCAACGCCTTGACAGTGCAGCTGGCAACCAAAGAATACGCACCCAAGGGCGAACGCAAACTCTTTCAAGCGTGAGTTGCCTACCTTGAATTCCTAACCCCTTCGAGAAATCTTTTTGACACTTTCAATAGCACCATTCTGGACGACGGTTTCAAACATTCACTCATCATTTTTGAAGACCGGCACACAGGAGGTCGCCGTATCCATGTCGCCGTTTATGAGGGAGAGCTGCGCCAATGCCCCGTCTGGACAGCCTTTGGTTAGTATTATATATGCCACAGATACGAAGAGTCGCAAGCTAAACAACGTTCTTTTATGTACAGTAACGCATCAATCTACGTCTCCCACCTGGCTCAAGCGAGTCAGCCGCAAGAGAGTCCGCCTGGCCGACATTCAGCTATACGTGTTCAGCCAGCAATACAGGCAACAAACACAACGAAAAGGCACCGGGGGGTCATTCGAACTTCAATTCTATAGCGAAGAAGGTAAATTATAATCTCTTCATATGTCTACAGGGTTCTTTACTAACGTCCCGCAAGCCGCTCAAAGCTTCAGTGACCTATTCTACGTCCCACAAAAGTCCAACACATCCCGGCCCATTACACCAAGGCCATATACGCCGAGAATTGCGTCCCGGCCAACCACTCCAGGAAGAGCTTGATGTCGAGCCACTCGGTTCATATCTTCTTTTCTCTTTTCCCTAATTTACTTTTAAAAACTACTTCTGCAATTTATGAATGGTGCAGCTCCAAGCAACGCTTCACGATGACGTTTTTTTGCTTTTTTATATCTATACCCGCTCAACATTTAGCGACTTACTTAACGACGATACGACTGATAATCTAACGACGGCCGGCCGGCAATACTTTTCTTTTCTTTGCTGTTGGAAGCATGGCGCTGAGACAAATCTACTCTCATCAAAAAGTCTGTATAGGAAGATCATCTCAGCTGATTTCTAACGCCTATGATCCTGTTTCTTGTTTTGCTTTTTTGTTTTTTAAAAGTTTCCAAAATTTGGTACTGCATCGGACCAAGTAATAGTCTTAGCTACGCTCTTGGAAAAACAGTGAAAGATGATTTCTTTTATAATTCATTGCTTTTGATACAACTTATTGCTGGGCATGACTCATACATCTTTTGATTTTCCGCCCCGTTCAAACACACTATGCTTCGATTAAAATAAATAAATAACAGATGATATCCTTTTATGCACACAATGCTTGCTTAGGTCTTGACATCAGGCTCATCACGGCCAATGTGCTCCTTGAACTTGAGCAGCTCTGTCGCAAACTTGACTTCATCCTTGAGGAAATCCTGAGCATCAAGATCATATTTGGAGGGGTCGCTGGTGTGCTGCTCAATGTAGAGACGGATGGTGGCGCCGGAGGAGCCGGTACCAGAGAGACGGACGACAATGCGGCTGCCAGAAGAGAAGCCAGCGTAGAGACCCTGGTTGGATGAGACTGAGCCATCGAGGTCAGTGTATGAGAAGTTACCGGCCTTGGTGACGGTGCGCTCGCCAATCTTGCTGCCCACAAAGCTGGGGTTGGCAACCAAGTTCTCCAGCTCGCCAACAACCTTGTTGGCGCCCTCGGAGTCAACATCCTCGTAATCGTATCGGGTGAAGAATGTGCGTCCGTACTGGGTCCAGAAGTCCTTCTGGATCTGCTTGATTGAAGGGGTGACACCAGGGTTCTGGACTCCAAGGGCAGCAATAATGTTCAACCAGGCAATGACAGCCCACAGACCGTCCTTCTCACGGATGTGGTCGCTACCAGTGCCGAAGCTCTCCTCTCCGCAGATGGACAGCTTCTTGGCATCGAAAAGCGCGCAGAAGAACTTCCAGCCCGTGGGGACCTCGTAGCTAGTGAGGCCCTGTGCCTTGGCGACCAGGTCGACGGCGCCACTGGTGGGCATGGATCGAGCTAGGCCGTTGACGCCGTTCTTCTGGAAGTAGGGGATGAGCTTGGCGTGGTGGGCAATGATGGCGAGAGAGTCTCCGGGGGAAACAAAGGCGTTGGCGCCGTAAATCATGTTTCGGTCGCCATCGCCGTCAGAGGCAGCACCAAAGGGGATGTTGTTCTTGTCAACAACCTCCACCAGGGAGTGTGCGTAGGTGAGGTTGGGGTCGGGGTGTCCGCCGTTGAAGTCGGGGCTGGGCACGCAGTTCTGAGTGGCGCCGGTAAGGCCAAGCTCCTTCTCGAAGATGGCGGTACCGTAGGGTCCAGTGACGCCGTGGAGGCCGTCAAAGAGGACCTTGAAGTCGGGGTGGGAGGAGAAAAACTTCTTGATGGTGTCAAAGTCAAAGATGTCCTTGAGCATAGCGACGTAATCAGCAGTGCTATCAATGATCTCGACCTCTAGGGCGCCATAGGTCTTAGTGCCAACAGTGGATATGTCAACGTCGGGGATCGAAGCGAGCTTGTATGATGTCAGGGTCTTGGAGGTCTCGAAGATTTTGTTGGTGACGGATTCGGGCGCAGGGCCGCCGTTGGCCAGGTTGTACTTGATACCGAAGTCGTTCTTGGGGCCTAGTTTAACACGGCATCGTCAGCGTCTTCTTTGCTTTCAGCTTGGTTGATTCAGGTGAGGGACTTACCACCGGGGTTGTGGCTGGCAGTGAGCAAGATGCCTCCGGTAGCCTTGCGGATGCGAATGACATGGCTGGCGGCGGGAGTGGAAAGGATTCCATTCTGGCCGATGATGAGCTTCTTGACACCGTAGGCGGCACCAATCTTGGCAATCAGCTGGACGACCTCGGGGTTCCAGAACCGGCCGTCACCACCAATGACAAGGGAAGAGCCTAGAGAGATGGAAGGAGAAGAATCATCAGCGTCTAGCTCAAGGCTGTCTTTGCAGCAGAACAGCACAAGCTCATACCCTCAACGCCCTCGGGAATGGACAGCAGAATGCTGGCAACGAACGCCTCGCTGTAGTGCGGCTTCTGGAAAACGACGACCTTCTTTCGGAGACCAGAACTGGTGATGCAAAGCTAGTGTCAGCAGATGCAATGCAAGCTTGTCTTGGAGTGGCGATGGCTGTGACGTACGTTCCGGGCTTCTGGTCCTGGAAGGGAGTAAACTCGACAGTCTTGACGTCCATGATGGCGGCACAAACTCGGCAGGATCGGCTCGTAAGTTGAGATTTTGGTGATATCAGGAGAGAGAGAAAGGGAAGCAGAGCTGTAGGTATTTATCGCTAACGATGCCCAGGCTCAGCGGGAGAAATAGGGGATGTCGCGAGAGCTTTAGGGGGCGAGGAGGGGAAGCTCCAGGATCTGGTGGGGGAGGTTGGGCATCTCGTTAAAACGATGGAGGGGCAGCCAGTGCTGGCGGAAGCTCAATTCGTACTGTAGGTATCAGTACAATATGCTTGGGAAGCTACAGTGCGGAGTAGCCCAATTTCAATGGAGCTGCAGCTGGGCGGTCAGTCGTTGCCTGTTCGTCCAACGAGACCCGAGCTTTGGGCCATCAATGACATCAAATCAGCGCGATTGGTGCTTGGGCAGAGGCAAACTATGAACAGGTTTTCTGTGCTTCTTTTTTGCCGTTGTAATTAGTTCTTGTGCTTGGTGGGATTAGGTCTTAGTGGTGCAACTGTATATGCATGAAATGAACGAGTGGGCAGATTGAGTAAATGAGTTGGGCTGCCGATGACGTCGAGTGTTGCAATCCAATCTATTTGCTGAAGAAACTATTCAACTGCTCAGCTATTCCAATGCACTCGCACCCAACACCTCCGCGCCAGATTCACTTCTCAACACCCAATGGCTGCCGTCCGTCATCACCTGCGGGCAAAGATAGCCTCCCTGTAGTATCTCGCCTCCTCAATGCTCTCCAGGATGTCGTCCCTGGCCTTATGGCTGCCCTTCTTGGCCGGCGCCCGCGAGAGAACCTGTGGCGGGCTCCACCGCCGGGCAGCCTCCTTGATGGCACTAACGTCCAGGATGCGGTAGTGCAGATGCTCCATCACTTTGCCGTAGGGATCTTTGCGCAGAAATGCCCTGTCGGCGTGCACGCTGTTGCCGGCCAGCAGCGCGGTGCGAGGCTTGGGGAGGAATTTTGTGATGTAGCGGTAGAGACCGTCGGCAGCCTGCTCGGGAGTCGTCTCCGAAGCTATCACGGCGGCTGTCAGGCCTGATTTGCCGTGGGTGTTGGTGCACCACTCGTCCATCTGGTCCAGACGAGAGGCCGGCCAGTGGACGACGGCATGGTAGCCCTCGGCGTCGATGATGTCGAGGTTTGCCGTTGTCAGAATGCAGTAGATTTCAATAATCTCCTCGGTATCGGGGTTCAAGCCGGTCATCTGATAGGCAATGCAACTTTAGTATAGCTCAGTTCAGCTCAGCTCAGCTGAAAGCTCTGTGAAGCAGTAAGACGGCACTTCGCACCTCGCAGTCGATCCAGACCAAGGCATCGTCCAGATTAGACTCGGATCCCGGCATCTTGAATGATCGGATGTAACCACACAAGGTCAATTAGCGAGCTATGTCGAATGCCGAGGCCAGACTAGACGGCGGATAAAGGACAAGGGAATGCGTCTCCAGGAATTGGCGTCTCATTGAAGTTTTGGTCCGATCCAGGAGAGCCCTAGAAGTTCTACAGGCCTGTAGACGGTACCTGTAAAGCCCCTAAAATCTCGGTCGGCACCCACTACTACGCCAACTGAAGCTAAGCCCCGGGCTACACCGTAAGTGCTGTAAACTTCAGCTATCCCCCAAAACCTCCCCCACCGAGAGCTTGTCGCTGTTAATCTTGCCCCATATGGTCGATAAGCAGTGCCATCATCTGATCCAGTCGAACGGCTTTCCCCCTCACTTTGCTAGCACTGGAACGTTGCAGGGCCTCTCGTCCAATGCCTGAGACGCCGTTAAGCCACTGTCTTTCATCGGCTCCAAGCTGATTGGGCGGGTTGGGCTCGACAGCGGGAATCCCTGGCTAAAACGTGCCTTATCGTGGGGATTAGCATCTCAAGTTCTATATATGTGTCCCTGCCAAGCCTCAACTTAAACATGCCCGACTGGTGTCTCATCTCAAAGGCAGCAACAGCTTCTTGATGTTTATTTATATAGAGGCTGTTCTCTCGTACAGTGCCCGGACTGACAAACGTCTCTCAACTGCATCGCCATCATGGCCTCGCTCAAGGTCTCAAATGACGCCGCCGGCGATCCCCATGTGAAGCCTCTCCCGAGGCCTGAAATGTCAGAGGACCCTCCCCGCTTCATCATAATCGGCGCCGGTGCTCGAGGAATTGGCTATGCGAGAGGCATTGATATCGCCAGCAACGGCAAAGTGGCCGCCGTGGCAGATCCGGACAAGTATCGACGAGAGACGCTGGGCAAGCAGCACATCTGGGGCGGCAACGGCCCCAGCCAAGGCCAGATGTTCTCGGACTGGCGAGACTTTGTCGAGTATGAGCAGAAGCGGCGCCAAAGGGTAGCCAGTGGCGAAAAGGACGTCCCCAAGGGCGTTGACGGAGCCTTTGTCTGTGTCCAGGACCAGATGCACCGAGAGGTCGTTGTTGGCCTGGCTCCGCTGGGCATTCACATCATGTGCGAGAAGCCGCTTGCGCCGTCTTTGCAGGACTGTCTCGATATTTACAAGTCGCTCAAGCCGCAGCTCGCGTCCAACATCTTCTCCATCGGCCATGTGCTGCGATACAGCCCGCACAACATGATGCTGCGGAAGCTGCTAGTGGAAGACCAAATCATTGGCGACATCAACAGCGTCGTCCATACAGAGCCTGTTGGCTGGTGGCACTTTACGCACTCGTACGTGCGAGGAAACTGGAGAAACTCAAAGACCTCGGCGCCTTCGCTGCTAGCCAAGTGCTGCCACGACATCGATCTGATCTTGTGGCTGCTCTGTTCCCCCGAGAAGGCTGGCGAGGGCGAGCCTCATCTCCCCGACTTTGTGTCGTCGACTGGTGGTTTGCAATTCTTCAAAAAGAGCCGCAAGCCTGCCGCTGCGGGATCTGCTACAAACTGCATGACTTGTCCCCTCGGCGATTCCGGCTGCAAGTACTCTGCCAAGAATGTATATCTCAGTGCCAACTGCGAGGGAGTCGGTACTGGCAACACGGATTGGCCAATGACCACCGTCGTGCACGACATTGAAGACTTTAAAACGCTTGACGAGCGCAAACAGGCCGTCATCAAGGTCCTCGAAGAAGACTATGACGACTCAACCCCGGAAGAAGTGGTCAGCTCGCGCAACTGGTTCGGTCGATGCGTTTTCGAGTCCGACAACAACGTCTGCGACGACCAATTCGTTACCATTACATGGCCCGAGTCCATCAAGCCCGCCAAGCGAGTCACCATCCAGATGGTGGCCCAAACCAAGAAGCAATGCGACCGCTTCTCCTACTTCTACGGCGAGCACGGCGAAATCTACACCGACTCCGAAAAGATTATCGTGCAAGACTTCGACACCAAAGAGACCAAAGTCTATACGCCGCACGCGGAGCACAAGGGCCACGGCGGCGGCGACTTGGGCCTCACGAGACAGTTTGTATTGGCCTGCGATCGGGTGAAGAATCACGGGTGGGAGGCTGAAAAGGCGCAGAATGAGTTTGTCGGATGCACGCTCGAGGAGGTGATTCGTAGTCACGCAATGGTGTTTGCCGCGGAAGAGGCACGCGAGAATAACATTGTTGTAAATTGGCCCCAATGGTGGGATAGGGTCACGACGGAATAGTGTAGAGATTAATCAAACTCGTGATACTACTTCTCCTTGATAAGAGTTCAAAAGTTTTTAATTCATAAAAGTGGTATATATGACCGTCCTACTTCAAATTGACTTAATAAACACAAATATATCCATACCCACTAAAGACGCTTCATTATACTTGTATCCAATAATTGCCGATTTCCATTACAGCGGTGTTCATCCAAGAGCTGTAAAAGAGATTGACTTTGGCTTGCAAATTCTATCCACAACAAAAGAAGAAAAAAGAAAAATCAACCACCCTTATATCCCGCACATGTTGTCCCATGAATCATATACATTTCATCTACTTACCACCACCCAGCTCTGCCCTGTCCGTCTCTACTCCCAGCTCTGCCCTGTTCGTCTCTGCTCCAAGCGGGCTTGTCGTTGGCAGCTCGGTTGCAGTCGCCTCGCCCTCTTTGAAAACGCCCGGAGAAGGAGTCGTATGCACTGGAGACGTGCTCGCCGTTTGCGCCGGGTAGTTGTAATTGTACTGCTGCTGCTGGGGAGGATACTGTCCCTGGAACTGCTGCGGATAGTAGCCTTGCTGCTGCATCGGCACCGGCGCATAACCAGCCGGTACACCTGAGGGATAGACAGCTCCGCCGGCGGCATTGTTCTGTCCTTGCGGAGGCTGGCCAGCAGGAGGAGCGGTATTGCGAGGATTACGGTGGCGGTAGAGCAGAAAAGCGGCCAGGCCAACGAGGCCAAGAGCTGCAACACCTCCGACTGTGCCTCCTGCAATGGCGCCCACTGGAGTACTGCTTTTGCCGCTGTTAGAATCGGGAGTGGATGTGGCTGAAGCGGATTCGGTCGATGCGGTTGAAGCCGTCGTTGTCGTGGAGCCGAAGCTGTGTGTTGCCAACCAACCTGGATCGACAGTCAGGAGAGTGCCCCTGCCAGCCGTCAAGGAGCATCCGAAAATGGTGTACAGTTCAACGGCCTTGTCGGTTGACGCGGACGTGGAAATGACCCAAGTGTAACAAGCCGGCTCCGTTGAAGCGCTAGAGAAGAAGCAGAAGAGTGTAAGCGAATATTCGATTCCCGTAGACAGCCGCAAGAGAAGGGAAGCTCACCAGCAGAGAGTGTGAAAATCGGACGGCAGGTTGCAGGCACCGGTCTGTGAGGCTTTGTAGTCGATACACGTCGTCTTGATTTGGCTGCAGGAGCTGTTTGGCTGACAGCATCCCACGTGGCCTCCTTGAGGCGTGCAAGTGTACCCGGACGAGATGCAAGTATAAGAGTCTAGCCAAAGTCAGTCTCATCAACGAAAGTAAATTGGCGGCATCATGACTTACTGCCATCATTCCCAGGCACAAACCCACACGTCTCTGGCCCCAGCGTATAGCCATCCGCCCGCGGCATCATCATCCTGCCGAACAAAGGCTTGGGCGGCTGCGTCGGCTTCGGAGACCATCCCAAGGCAACCTGTTGCTCAATCTCATGGCCCGAGGTGACGGTTTCTTTGGCGGGTGAGGCCCATGATTGCTGGAGGCCTGATTTGGGGACGGGCGGGTTATCGTTGTCGGCTCTGGCGGTGGAAAGGACGGCGCCGAGGGCGAGGAGGAGGGTCGTCGCCGGGTTGTGACGCATTGATGCGATGATATGTGCGTGTAAGTCGAGCTTTATGTGGGCGATTGTAATTAATGCGACGTCGATGGATTTCAAAAGAGTATGCTTGTGTTTATTCCGTTTCCAGTGGCTTATAACATGGCCATGGACGTGGACAGAATGAAGGGACAAGACAGCAGCGTCTAGACAAGTGTAAAGCAAGCACGGCTATCAACTCAGCTCTATAACAGACGAGGAGGTTTCAAGAAGAAATACCAGCAGAGCTTCTTCATTCATCACTTGAAGAGACGAGGGTAAAGAAAAGAAGGAAGAGAAACAAGCACGAGAAATCTCTCCTACCGCTCCCTCTCCCAATGCGGCTCTCCCAGCCCAAGCCAACTCCAGTCCAGTCCAGTCCAGTCCATAGCTGCAGCAATTACTAGCAGCACCGATACAAACATCCAGTCCAATCAACTCCTCCTCGCAGACCAGAGCAGCAAACCAACACGGCCACAAAATCAGGGCCATCAGACCCCGTCCCGCTACATGCTCTAGTCCCATCAGCCCCCCATCCGAGTGCAGTCTAGCCCGCCAGCCAAGGCCGCAGCCATGGGGGAAACGGAGGCAAAGCGCAACTATGCTTAAATGCTCCTAGTGGAGCTGTTCAGCCCCGGGGCATGGGCAAGTCTCATTCGCCGTGGTGGATCCGGTGATTCGACGAGCTGAACGTTGGGAGGATGCGGCGCGGCAGTGAAGCAAGAGTGTAGGTACTTGTTCAGATATTTTATTATTGGTTGTACATAGTTGTCAAAAATGCACATGCCCTTGATAACTGCGAGGTCTGTCTGACGTCGTCGGGAATCTCGTCCTTTCAGCCCAGCTTGTCTTACAAGTACATGTAGTAGTATACCACAAATTACCACACACATGTGTCTCAGCCCTTTCATAGTACCTCGGCGGACATTTATCATTAATTGCCTCTTTTCCTCTTTCCAAAAAAAATCAATAGTGAAAAAACTACTTAGTACCCAAACACTCACACGCACAACCAACCCCTGTCAAGCCATCTCCTGCGGCTGGACGCTGTGCGACCTGCTCTACTGCAGCCGAGCCCCTCCTCTGGATCCTGAGCCGCCTTGGAGGATCAGAGAAAAAAAAGCAACGCGAAACTCGGCAGCAAGGGGGAATTCCAGCCCGTGATTACTCTGTACTAGGCGGGTGATTTTCTTCTTATCTTCTGGTACATCCTTATGTACAACGCTACTCAGGGTCCTGATCCAGCTCTGTACAGTATGAGCAGCAGCGTCATCTATAAATAAACAACCAAGACACGACGAGTCGTCACTATCCTTGGCATCACCAACGTCGTTACTTCAGTATATTCATCACCCAGGTTTTATTATTCATTCTGTTTTTCTCTCAGCTCTTGCTCTCCATCAAGCAACGGCGGTGATAGTAGACGCCAAACAGCGAACTAAAGAAACGAAAACCCTGCCCAGCACGAGGCATATTTCAGTGCCATGCACTAACAGCCGGACACATTCAGCCCCGGGCAAACAGGTTCTCAAATTCTTATCCGTTCCGCGCGAGACACGCAGCAAAAAGTGGCAATTCCTCTAACCTAGCTCTGCATTAGCAGACAGCTCTTAGGTAGCTTGGCACCCATGCCACAGCTTGACTTGCAGCGTGCAGCTGATTATGTTGATTTCGTTAGTCCATTCCCTATTGCCTACCAAGTCCCCTAATCTTCTCCTCTTCTTTTTTTTTTTTCTTTTTTTATTTTTCTCTTTTTTATTTTTTTCTTTTTTTTTTTATATAGCCGCTGGAAAACAGTATGATGAAATACAAGAGGAAAAACAAAGCGCTATGGTTACCTGCTATGTACTAGTAGCTGGCCAGTATGGCCATATCTCTGTTAGCGCACATCATTCGCAATGCGTGTCTTGGCCTGAAGCTATTATTAGCCTCTTTACCCACAAATGATCGCCATCTGATAACCTTTTCCCTCTTCTCAAGTCTCATCCATCATCTTCTCTTTAGCTCGGATAGCAAGAAAGAGTATATAAAATACTACATTCGTCTTCTGAAGCGACATCCGTGCCGTCGGCCCGCAAATCATAGAGATCTGGTCACATGTCCCACTTCTATTAGAAAATTCCCGAGTGTCCACAACTGCTCTCCATATTTATGCAGAGAGAATGGCGAGACAAGGTCCTTGTAACAATAAACTCTCTCCTGAAATCATCGTAACAAAACTAGATTTCTAAAGAAATCACCCACGTGAATAGCTTACGATGCGATCACTGTGCATTAATAACACCCAGATTCAAAGTTTACTAAAGTGCTCATCAATATGCTCCAGCTTTATTGCTTCTCACGTTACTTACCCTGTATGCTCTCACGAATTCGTGATTTTATACCATAAGCGATTGTTTCATTTGCTTTTTGTTCATATGATACAGACAACCCTACACCTACCGCTTACTGCTCCAACTACTCGGGTGTTTTTGGATATATTATCTCAGTTCACTGCGAGAGAATGAAATTTGCATTGAGAGACTACAAGTACAGTAGTTTCAATGAATAAGGGGCATCTAGATACTAGCATCTGACGAGAAAGAGTATGTATAAAAGTTACATGGCAATTGCATCTGAGAATCAGTAGACTTGAGCGCCCAGAAAGATTGACAAATGAGACTAGTAGACAACACAATTTTACAGTGTAATCCCCGCTCACCCAGCGTCGTTCTCAGCTCCCAAAACTCAGCCCATCACTCGATTCGAAGTGGCAGGTTCCTGTGCAGGCCGCGTCTAAGCAATCCAAAATGTACGTCATCCTCCTCCCTAATCACACCCTTTCGAAGCAAGAAATCTAGCATCACGAGTCCGCAGTTGGGCTTCCACTCTGCATTCTTCAAATCACGCTTCACCTCCTCCACGGGCTTCAGTACGAACCCATCAATCGACTCCGGCTCCTCTGGATATGGGACAAAGCCAGGACTAACTTCGAGGTCAAATGTGTACCGAATACCAGGCTCAATGTGGCCCTCCTCGCTACCAGCAATATGGTCTTTCTGATCATAGAATGAGATCAGAGACCCGCCAGCGGCTCTGCCAACATAGATGCCTCTCCAAGTGACCATTTTCGTGTGCATGTCAACAGCGAGCCCTGCTTCTTCCATAGCCTCACGTTGCAGCGTCACCAGAGGGTTCATGTTGTCTTCCGGATCCATTGCTCCAGCAACAAGCTGGTCAAGCTTTCCGGCGTATGTGACATTTTGGGAGCGACGCGAAACCCACACATAGATCCCACCTCCTCTTATGGTGAACATGTTCATGTGAACACCCGTCGTGACGATACCAAAGATTCCTCTAGCAGCCGAGGGGATGACCAAGCCGGCCAACTCGGCATCAAGGCCACGAATAGGATGGAAGTCTGAGCTCTTGTTGAGCCACTTCTTGAAGCAGCCATTGAGATTGTTGGCATTCTTTTCGCACAACTTTATAAATTCGCGGCGGCATATGTCGACAACATCGTCGCCTGGCTTGATGGCAGGGTCCAGATGAATCTTGCGCTTGGATCTGGAGATTCTGAAGCTCGTATTGTCCCACTTCATCTCGGCAACGTGCTGGGGCAGCATGTATCCAACAGGAGTCGAGTTGTCCAGAATGACAAATTCCCACATTGCTGTACCTTGCCCCTCTTCGAATTTATTACATCGACGGATAACATCATATAAAGAGCCCATGTTGTTTGAACTAGCGGGAGTTATTGTCCACGTATGGATTGTAGGACCTTCTGAAAGTATTGTCGAGGATGTTCGAGGGCTGGAAAACGATGCCATCTTGAACTAGTTTCCCGCTGAAAGCGGAGGCACTCTGATATATGCAAAGCTAGACAGTGATGAACGAGACCTATGCTCTGAAATCTCTTGATCACAGAGTGAACAGTGCTGGATGTAGAGGACATCAACGCCCCAATGAGCTTGTGACCGTATCGTCGAGATGAAAAGAGCTGAATAGAATAGAAGACGTGAGGTAATATTGACAAGGCCACCCAGTCAGACACTCAACAGGCAGACAGAACTGTGGCATAAGACTGAGCACCCGCTTCTGTTCTATTGGTAGAAGAGACCAGGGGATAAGACGACGCTGGGATAGGCTGCTCAGGAGGCAAGCACGTGTATACCCGTGTATACCAATTCACCACGACCGAGGATGGAGACCTGAATATATGTGACACATTACTGGTGATTAGGGAGCCTCGACCCGGCTGTGTGTTACCCATGCAGGAACAATTTAGCAAGCATGCTTCCGACAAAGGGAGGCCACGGCAAGGTGCAGTGGTCAACAGCACTACACGATTTTGTAACATGACAAGTCTTACCGACGGCCTGGGATTGGCAGAACTTTCTGCCTGGCGTGCCGTCGGGCTCTGCAGCCGCCCAAGCATCTCTAAAGGTGGCATCTGTCAAAGTGCAGTAGCCCTGATTTGAAGACTGCAGAGAAGCTATACCAAGGCCTCAGCTGCTTCTCTCTCATCCACGCCTATATCCATCCGCATCCATCCACATCCATCTCATGGGCCGTATCACACCGTGCCTGTAGAGCTCCACTGTGGGTAGCAAACGAAGACGAGTATGCAGTTAGCCATTGACCTCAGACTTGAGTCAGAGACAAGCTGAGATGGCATACGCGGATGGGCAAAGAGAGGAGCAGCAATGCCCAAGGCGGGCATATCATCAGCAACCCGACAACATGGTCTGCTATTCAACGGTTTGCGCCCTCTAACGCTGTGTGACCATGACATGAATGATGAGACAGTCCCTTGTCCACGAGCCCGGGACGCGCTCTCGCTGCTCGCACGAGGCACTGGAGTCGTCCTGTTGAGCTGTCACATCGATCAGCAGTAGCGCGGCAGATGGCGGTGCTAGCATCCCGTAGTCTTGAAGCAAGCGAGCCAAAGCCAGCATCCGGATTCGCAAATCTCATGGACGGCAAGCTACCGTGCAGGGAAAGCTGCATGTTACCCCAGCAAAGGCGCCACCGGGCAAATGAACCTAACGCATGTCGTCCGTAGCAGCCTATGGCATCGTCTGGGACGCTCACCGAGGTGGAACTCGTCCAAGCCCATCCCCCACACTGATCACTTGTTGCAGCGTGTTGTATGCATGGTGCCTGCACAAGGGGGCATATCGCAGCTTCTCTGGATGCTCTCGAGAAGCAAGTTTCGCTGGCACCGAGTCACCAAGGCTAGTCGAGGCACCTTTGACGTTGATTGTCTGGGCCTCTTTCTCCTTTCTTCCTTTTGTTGCAGTACATCATCCGCCATTAGCGAGCAGTATCGGCCAGAGGTGGCAAGGCAATGCGGATATGCTTGCGAGCGAGGTCGGATCATGGCTGGACTCGAAGTCTGCAAATGTGGCTGCAATGTTCAGTTTCATTTTGTGCTAGCGTTTGGGGTGGTCGTGCAAGTTTGAGAGAGAGCTGGGAGGTTTGAGGCGTCTCCCCTATCGTATCAGGCGAATCAGTACATATACCTAAAAAGCACCTGACCTGGCTTGGGCTTCACTTGTTTGTGCACTGAAGTTCCAAGTGAGGCTACACAGCTATTGCCTGAGGCATGCTCAAGTGCCTTTTGGGATATGCCGATATCTTGCCGATTCTCCTTGCTGCAGCAATGGGTCGTTGTGACGTTTGTGAGTACTACATGTACTTGGTGCATCCGTATTTGGCCTCGACAGGGGTTTGAGTGAGTGCTGTATGCACTGTTAGGCTTATCACGCAGCTAGCGTTATGGCCGAGATAAAAGCAACGAAAGGAGCCATATCGCTGCAATACCAGGACTCGTATATCGGAAACTTGCATGGACGGCTAGAGAACTTCAAGGTAGGGAGGAAAAGATCCCGACTTTAGCTGAGGCTCGCGCTACTTGGTAGCATGGGAGTAGTATAGTATTCCTCCATCCATAGCTCCAAGATGCTGCTCTGAATAATGCTCAGCAAACAAACGGCTAAGCGCTCAGCGGTCGTGCCTATCATATTCAAGCATGTAAAATTCTGTCATTTCGCTTCCCAACTGCTCCAATTAGGTAGCAATCGCATTTCAGGTAACGTCCATGTCGCGTCTCTGGCCCAATTACGGTGCAGCCCATGGACCGGTCTGCGTTTTGGTCCGACACCAGACTATAATGCTTTGGCGAGGCCTTTATGCGGTCACACTGCAGCTTCGCACATATGGACAGGGAGTCCTGGTTGCCAGCTCGTCATATGATTTCAAGCCCAACAAAGTGCGATGAACGAAGTGGCAGCAGGAAACGAGCCCACCGAGGCTGCAAGACGATCAATTGGCTGCCCAAAATAAAAAGTAGAGTAGCGCAATGAGAGAAGACGTCAACAATGGCGTGATTCAAAGCTGAATGGCCTTGAGACGCTGTGAAATGCTTAATCGGAGACTCTTACACAACTATGGATAGATGAAAGGGAGTGAGTGGGAGCTAGAGCTGGAGCTGGAGCTGAGCTCTAAACGGTACCAAGACTTCCATACCTTACTGTACTAGTAACAGCCTCGCTATGATTGGCCCGTTCCAATTATGTCATCAGCAACCCACCTTCCGGCGACGACTTCACTCGCTTCAATCTCGATGCCCGCATCAGCCTTGCGACGACCACCTCCAATTGACTACCAGCGCCGCCACAATGTTCGCCGCACGACAGAGGGCAGTTTGCGCCGCCCGCCAGCTGCAGCGGACATGCCGAACCTATGCCTCCGAGGCCCACGGCCACGGCCACGGCCACCACTCGTCTGCGCCCGTCAGCGAGTCCTTCGGGGTACGACCAAAAAGCCCATATCTCGCTCTTTCGACGCCGGGAGAAAGATTGTTCCAAATGCTGACTGGAGGTTGCTATAGAAAGGATCCGTTATTACGCTCGGCGCGTTCCTGGGCACCATTCTCGTCTTCCAGTTCCGCCCTCAGGAGAGCGAGACCTGGAACGGCGTGCTCGCAAAGTACCGATCAAAGGCCGAGGACTGGGAAGCCATCAACGCTCTGCACACCAAGGCCGCGGAGCAGGCTGGCTACGACAGAAATCTGTTTGAGAACGCATCAACCAAGCGCGCGTTTGTCGACATCGCATACCCCGAGTACGTGAACATGTTATCGTCTTTTTTTTTTTTTTTAACGCAGTGCTGGCGAGCAACAGCTAACGTTACGAACCACGACACACAGGGCCTTTACATCCCACGCTCAGCGAAACATCCAGGCCGGTCACCTCCCTAACATTGACCACGTTGTAGAGCACTACCGACAACAGCACTTGAAGGTGGAGGAGAAGAAGGCGACCAAGCTGGCCGCTGCAAACAAGGACGAGTAAGGGGGCAGTACTGAGTTATATCCATTCATAGAATAAAAAAAAATTCTGCAAACTTTGGGCCAATTGATGCGTCACAGTGAAATTGCTCTTTTTTTTATCAATATAATAGGGCCTACTAAAACCACATTGTGCTTGCTGAATCAGGAAGACCAAATGGCGTCTGAGATACAAACCGTAAACCTATAACTGCTACATCACGTTTACAAGCTGTAAGATATCTGCTCTTTCATACCATAGACAGTCTTCATTAATACGTTTGTCTCTTGCACTTGCTAGGCATCAGTCATTTCGGCTCAGAAAGCCCCGCAAATGAGACAATCCCCCCCAAATGTCTTTCCGCGATGCATCTCCCAATCACATCTCAGCCACGACCAACTCACTTCATCGTGATAAGACAGAAAGAGCGCTCGACAACGGCAAGCGCGGCAGACTCAATATGTCGCAGATAACTCAGTAGCTTTTCCCTTGCTTTTGCTGTTTTCTCTTCTTCTCTTCCACTGCTATCAGATTTTATTGATCAACGCCCTTTTTGGACAACTTTCTTTATCAGTCATCTTTCCACTCGTTTCTACCAAGACTTCAACATTACTGACACGGTACAATTTTTTCTACAACAAATTCGTGTAGCGACCAGAACGCCACATTCACCATCAAACCGAGGTCAACAGCGGTTGTGCAACACTCGTCTTCCAGTCCATAGACACAGGTTGAATCCAGCGTGAGACAGTCCCCTTCTATCAAAAGGGCTCTGAGACATGCGAGGTTGAAAATGTAGGGCTAACATATGGTGTTTCTGTTTGGTTTTAGAGGAGAATTGTGGTCAACATCTGTTCGCCATGCGTCACTTCAACCCAAACCATCTCAGGAGCTCTCCTGGCGAGATTGAACCAGTGGAACCACAGAGTGCAAGTGGTGAGAATGGTACGCCGTCGCAATCACTTTTTTCTACATCTCTTCCCAGTTCCAAACACCTTTCTTCCTCTCTTCTCACCCTTTGATGCGAATACAATGGCAACTCCCGTTTCCACGGCCGAGTCCGTTAATATGTTTACATCCTAGGCCATGAAGGGGACTCTTCCAAGTCTCCTGACACGCCGACAATCGTCCTGGTGAATTCTCCAAGGGGGAGACCAGAGGCAAATACGCTCAAAACTACTACGTCGGCTCCAGCTCCGGTGCAAGGGCAAGCGATTTTTCCTTCTCGCCACGATGCTAACAAGTTGGATGGCGTCAGCATCAAGGATACGTTTAAACGGCGCCGCTGTGGCGTGTTTGCGAGGAGGTACTTTGAAAAGGGTGAAAATATCATCATTGAGCGTCCCGCATTCTCGTGCGGCGCTCATAAAACGCCAAAGGGGGAGAAATGGCCAGTTGCGGAAGACTGGTGCAAGCTGCCAGAGGAGACCCAATTGAGCCTTCAGAAACGTTTTCGCAAGCTGCGGTCGGTACCAATAGGCAAGAAGAAGCTTGGGTGGTATTGGCAAAAGAAGATGGAGAGATTTGTTTTAGAGTATGGATTCGCTAATCCCCAGAAGACAGAAGGGCACGTCTATGCCGTGGGATCCCACATGAACCATGCATGCATATCCTGCGCCAATGCCGAGCAATGGACGGAGTCTGGACCCCCGAACCGCATTCTCGTCAGGCTTGTCAAGGCCGTGAGAGGAAACGATGAAGTTCTCATAAACTACAACAATAAGGAAGGAAGTTCGTTGAGTTGTGCCAAATGCGGTCGACATGGCCTGAGGGGCCGGCTCGGAGATATTCGTAGAAGCATTTCTCGGCTGATTATTCGACCTGTCTAAACGAACAAAAAAATCAGTCACCACTTTTTGCAAGGGGACATGCAAACAACGCAAGTCAGAATTTTATTTCTAAAACGGCATACTGCTGATCGACTGCTCGTTCGCAAGACGATGAATTTTGGAGTCAGCGACAATCTGGAACCTGGAAGACGATGGTAGAGGCATCACGTATGCAGTTGCAAGACGCATCATGGCTGTAGCGAAGCGGGAAATGGTTTTTATGTATCAACAGCGCCTAATGGCTGGCTGTTTAATGAAAGCGAAGACAATCCTTCTTATTGTACTATCATAGAATTCATTGTCATCAACAACTTCAGTAGCGGCTTTCCTCCGTCTACTAAAACCAGTCCTTTTTCGCCCGAAAACGTCCGTGAATGCAGAAACCACCCAAGACCACAACCTCTTATTTGAGGGGAATGAAACGAGAAGAGTGAGTGGCACCAATACCAGGTCGACCGTGCTTGACAGGCTTGCTGTTGAGGGGGTCAGTAACAGTTTATCAATGAACCGAGGAGACTTTCTCTCCGCGAAAAAAGCCCAGTCAAACGTACTATGAGATAGAGAATTCACCCAGGTAGTGGCCAACCATCTCAGGCTTGATCTCAACCTGGTTGAACTCCTTGCCGGAGTAGATACCAATGACGCTTCCAATCATCTCGGGGACGACAATCATGTCTCGGAGGTGGGTCTTGACGAGGTCGGGCTTCTCGTTGGGCTTGGCCTCCTGCTTGGCCTTTCGGAGCTTCTTGATGAGGCCCATGGGGCGGCGCTTCAGACCGCGGTTGATCCTTCTGCGGGCACGGGCGTGGACGACATCTCGGAGCTGGTCAGAGGAGAGGTCGAGGAGGCTGTGTCGGGTAGATGGTCAGCGCCGTTGTTCTCATTAAACGGTGGTGAAGAATCATGTCCTTCTCGCTTCCAGGTAGTTGAAAAAGAGATGGTGGCGGATCTGGTTCGTCATTGCACAGGGTGGAACAAAGCAACGTACTTGTCAAGGTCGATTCCTCGGTAAGAGAACTTGCGGAACGCTCTTCTCTTCTTGAGCTCGGCGGCCTCCTCGGCGTTCTGTAACATTGAACAAATTTCGTCAGCGCTTCGTTTCGATATTTTTGAAAAAAAGTTTCCCCCCTCATCCTATCGCAGCGGCAGCGGCATCATCGACGTCCATCAATCTCTGTTCATTCCCTTCTTTTTCTTCGGATGCCCTGCCTGCCATAAGACGGAAGATGGAAAGCGTGAGGCAAAATAAAAACGTACGTATTCGGAATCAGCCATGATCGCGGTTGGTGTGTTGATTCAAGGAATTCGCTTATCGACGCGCAAGTATCGACGAGCGAATGTAGTAGCCGTGATGCGGAATCTTCTTGCAAAGAGGGCGGGCGGGACTGCTCGCTACTAATTTTCGGCCGTAGGGTTCATGCCCTTTGTCTGCAGTCAGGTGACCTTGGCGACCGAAAAAAGTTTTGGTGCGTTTTCGAATGTCTGTGGCGGTGCAGTGCGATTCGTGGCTTGACATTCGTGGCTTGACTCTTTTGGCTCGAGCCCGGACAAATTCCGGACAAGGAAGTCAGAATTCGGTCCGCCGTGTTTGGGTACGTACCTTTGCTCCGTGTCGCGGAGCCGACGCACCGCCCGCGGAGGTCCCCAAGTTTCGTCGTACAGCTCGTGTGTGATCTCGCCTCGTTTGCGTGTCACTCAGAGACGGGCTTCACGATTGCGTGGAATTTTCAGCTTGGCAAATTGGAGGCCTTTTATTCACATATTCCGCCCGCCATTCTGGGAAGCTGTTGGCGAAGCAGTGTTACAACAGTTACGCAATTTGTGAGGCTCGAGGCTCGAGGCCAAGACTCCCGTGTTCACAGTGGTCACATCAGCTCGTGATATATGCGACGCGATGCGTAACTTGACGGCAGTTGTACGTGAGGCTCATGGCAGGGCGCGCCAGCAGCATATACGAGTGATAGTGTGATATAGTCCAGGATACTGTACCCGAGCGGAGAGCAGAGAGAAAATGCCTATTGAATAACAAGACATTAACGGGAGAAGGGGAGAATGGGTGGGTCTTTTGGACAACGCCAAGAAAGCATACACGCATTATAAGGTCACGGACCTCGACCAGAGCCAGGACTCTTGGCTGGACGTGTTTGTAGATCCCATCGCTTCTCTTATGTCCAGCGCTAATCGTGGGCTATTAGTCCGCCAAGAGGCTCTACCCTCATCCTCCAGCGCCCAAGGGAGAACCCCCGGTTGATTCACATCGCTTGATATGCCCTCCCTCGGCAAGTTTCCATGTGCCCTCATCACTCTCCCAGCTTGCACCACGGCCCCATGTCTACTAGACGACCGCTACGAATTAAGCTATCCGACTTGTGCTGCAGCTCTTTCGCCGCTTCTTTGCCTTTGCCTTTTTTTTTAGCTCCACTCGAGACCCGTTGCGGGTGTTTCTAATCCATACTGCCTTCATTTCTCATCCACAGCTAACTGCCGCCTTTTGTCTTGGCATGGATACTATCAATACGACTCTGAGCGCGCAGCTGACAGCACGCCGCGCTCTTCTCTCTTTTCTTGGGAATTCTTTTCTTTTTCTGGGCCGCACGCGGGTGACTAGCATCTGGGCGGCCGGTTCCAGACTCTGCCGAGAAAACTGCCAAATGAGGCCCTTCGTTTGCTGGTGGCCCAACCCGAACCTGTGCTTGGGCCAATTCTCCAAAGTAAGCAACGCCGCCGAGACCTGCACCGCTGGATTGTAGGCTTGGCAAAGTCTCGGCACCAGTTTCGCCAACGCCATCCATTACAAAGTCGATCTAGTTAGCCTTTCAGAACAATGTTTCCCCCCCCATACATAACCCGGGGCTGGGAAGACTGCGTCGACGACTGCTGGTGCAACCTCCATTCCTCTATCTCTCGTCACTGGTGATGGAGACTTACAAGCCTCACGCCGAGCGCCCCAAGCACAGCTGAGACGACCTGGGCTTTTTGTTTTGCTTCACTTTATAGGGGGCGCATAATTGGAGCTGCCTCGTTTCTTGGCGGGGGTTCGCTCACTCACGATCAGAAAACCCTTTCGCGTCTGCGGCTGCCCTTTTGACTTTTCTATAAATCGGAAAGCCTCCGGAAACCAAACCCCCTGTAGATTGCACAGCCTTCGCCAGCTTTTGCCGTCTGTACGTCTCGTTCTGCTGGTGCATGAACGCGCCACTCTGCTTTGAGAACGGGGTCAGCCTGGGATTCGAGGCCGGTTGGTAATTGAGATAAAGTTATACGAGGTTTTCCAACAGACGCAGACACAGGGCCCCCAAATCTCGAACGTCTACCCCGTAGTCATCAATCTAATCGACGGAGCGAGCTGTCAGTTTTTCACCATCAATACACGTCTGCTTGTCGATCACAGCACCGTCTCGTATCTCTCTACTTTATTCGGTGGAGGCTGTTAGTGTCTCGGAGGGCACTATGTCTCTCACATTGTCAGCGCCAGCTACGTCCTCGACCCTCTCCATAAGCCCAGGCTCTTCATCGACTCTTCCGCCTACAACAATACCCTCTACATTTACCACCAGTACGACTGATGGCGGTCCTCCCATCACCGCCGGGCCCTTTCCCCCTATGACAACGCATTGGAGTCGACCTTTAAGCTGCACATGGACATATGTTGTCGATACCGACCTGCCGCCCGGCGTTTCAGATCCCATTGCCTATCTGGATCTGGAACCTCTTCCAGGGGCTTCGACTCTATCATGTTATCCGGACGGCATGTTCTTTGATGGACGCACTGGAGTGTTTAGCCCAGCGACCTGCCCCTATGGATGGACCACTGTCTCTGTCTCCGTAAACACCGAGCGGATGAAGACCGAGGACGAGGACGAGGTAACCACAACAGCTCTATGCTGTTCATCGTATGTTGAGGAAAGAAAATGACTGTGTGGTTGCTTGTACGCTAACTATTGACAGCGAATACTCTTGGGCGGGAGGGCACTGCAAGCGTCAAGTCCCTACGATTCTGGCTGTACCCATCATATATAACCGTACAGCAGCCACGTACGAAGTTTTGACCAATTCAACAACCACATTGTACAGTGCTACTATCGCCGTAAACACCATCCGCGCGCTCTTCAGAGAGCAAGACAAGCCACTCCTCGGTCTAACAGACGATGATGATATCGACGACCATAAAGATGACGACCAGGGGCTATCATTAAGTGCCAAGATAGGCATTGGAGTTGGCGTGGCACTCGGCGGCTTGCTCGCCATTGGGGCAGCTATATTTATCTTCATGTGGAGGCGAGAGCAAAGGAAAAAGGGTTCCACAGGTCGAACGTCGCACGAGCTCAGGGCCGTGCAGAGAGCACAAGGGCGAATGTACTCCGGCTCACACACACAGGTTCGTGCACGAGATTCCGAACCACCACCCGCCTACGCCTCCGAATCCGAAACCAACAACGCCGCTGATACCGATAGTGGGAGTACTGCAGTGACCCGAGGCGGTGAGATTCAAGTCCTAATAGCCCAAAAGGCTGCTATCCAACGACGCATTGAAGAGCTGGAGAGAGTTTCAGGGGAGGAAAGTCGAGATGGTCCTCAGGAGAGATGAGATGTTGGTTTTATTTTCTACGTTTCTGGAATCTTGTTTTAATCCCCTTTGATTCTTTTTTAGACAGGATTTGTTTATGATACCATCAATGTTACGGGGCGAAGCAAACAAGCCGATTAGTTGACTCTATGTTGACCAAATTGGTGACATCGTGTGGTGATAGATTGATAGCAACAGAATAGCTCATATACTCGGATATAGATGAGCTAGCTTACTCGTGTTTACAGATAGATTACAAGTACCAGGCCAAACAAAATAATTGGAGCTATAAAAAGGAGACCAAAAGATACGAGGTTTGGGTGCTGATATGATGTGAACCTAGCAGGTACCTCCAATAGGCAGCACAATACTGACCCCTGACCATACCTATCTCGCACTAATCACGCTTGGGCTTGGAATGATCGTTGCGGATAGGGCGAAGTGTTGCTCAGCACTCTATTCGAACCTTGTACACCGCAAATAGGGACCAGAGATGGGTGTGATCTGACTAAGGCATGCAAGCTTGAACATGCTGGTCGTAGGCAGCGATGATCGTTCCGGCCAGCCGGGACCGCGAGCCTTGCCGCGATCCTGCTTCGAGAACAGCTTACTACTATTTTGACTCGCCACTGTACTTGCTCTACTTACTAATGCCGCATTTGCCTGATTACCTCTACTTTTACGTCCAAGTCCAATGCATTAAGCCCGATACAATGTCCATAGTAGCATGATGAGGGTTCTCGTCAGGCTCAACGGGCCGCTGTGGATAGCGTCGGAAACCAAAGACCCACCCCCAAATCTCTGGAACCGTATCGGCGCCGTTATGTAGTTACCTAGAACCAGGCAGTCGCAAAAGCGTCTTGAAAATGTAGGTGCCTACAATCTCAGGTCATGGATCGGCCAGCAATTTCAGGTTCCAACCATTCGTGATTACACAGATTGCAAGCAAATCTCAAGAGCGCCGCCACTTCTGCTCTGTCGAACGAATTAAACGGATTCGCTAAAGCTAAACAGCAGCTCAGCATTCTATCCCAGCGGTTCCGAGCTTCTCCAAATGCGCTATTTTAGCGCCTTGCAACTTTGTTGTTGTCCATGGGGGGCTGTCTGTCGCAGGGACAAAACGGGTTGGACTTTGTTCATCAGCGCCAGACGGTTGGGCATGCAGGTACCTCCTGTCTTGTCAATCCATCCCCGCCAAGGAAAAAAAATTCCCTATCCCACCAAAACCACTTTATATAAAAACTCCACCGAGGGGACCATCGCTGGATCTCTCTGCTCACGGCTGGACTACCTCTTAACTTGCCTTTGCTGGATATTTTTGATATACTAGTACTTTGCGCATATTTCTGCAATATCTCTTTACAAATTCACGCCTTTTAGAAGCATCACTTGAACATTATTCCAAAATGAGGGGTGAAGTAAGTATTCATTCCCCGGCGCGCATATCGCTCTTGTTTAGTGCTATGATATCATCCCACTTCTGCGAAATGCGCTCGCGATGCGACATGATCAGCGGTCAACTTTCTACGCCCAGCCACGCCATACGCTCGGTTTTTGCCAGCCTTTGCTAACTCGAACCTTTAGATTTTGCACCTTCATGTTGGCCAAGCCGGTGTCCAGCTTGGCAACGCAGCTTGGGAACTGTACGTGAGCCCCTCCACATATAGGGGATTAATAAGCGCTTCGGGCGTGATGCTGATATTCTCTCGTCGCATAGCTACTGTCTTGAGCACGGCTTCGGCCTCGACGGCCGCGTAGATCCCAACCGCAGCGAGGATGTAGACTACGGCTCGTGGGACACCTTTTTCACCGAGACCAGCGGCGGCAAGCACGTGCCTCGTTCAATATTCGTCGACCTCGATCCCTCGCCCATCGATGAGATTCGAACGGGCGAGTATCGCCAGCTGTTCCATCCTGAGCAGCTGATTAGCGGAAAGGAGGATGCGGCCAACAACTATGCTCGCGGCCATTATACCGTGGGCAAGGAGATGATTGATACTGTCATGGACAGGATTCGTCGTGTTACTGGTGAGTGCCGCGAGGGAGTAATGGCTTGATGACTATGTTTTATTCGATCTAGAAGCTGATGAGCCACGCTACAGACAACTGCCACTCCCTTCAAGGTTTCCTCGTATTCCACTCGTTTGGAGGCGGTACCGGATCTGGCTTTGGCGCGCTCATGCTGGAGCGTCTTGCTACCGACTACGGCAAGAAGACCAAGCTCGAGTTCACCGTCTATCCTTCTCCTCGTACTTCCACTGCTGTTGTCGAGCCCTACAATGCAGTTCTGTCAACTCATAGCACCATCGAGCACTCCGACTGCACCTTTTTGGTGGATAACGAAGCTGTCTACGAAGTCTGCCGAAGAAACCTCGACATTGCCCGCCCTTCTCTCAACCACCTCAACAACTTGATTGCCCAGGTGGTCAGCTCCGTTACTTCGTCCTTGCGATTCGACGGTGCGCTCAACGTCGATTTGAACGAGTTCCAGACCAACTTGGTTCCTTTCCCGCGCATTCACTATCCGCTGGTCAGCTACGCTCCTGTCATTTCTGCCAAGAAGAGCTCCCACGAGAGCTTCAAAATCCAGGAGCTCACCCTCCAGTGTAAGATATCCCCCCTTTGAAAAGTATTCAATCTAAACTGACAATCTTGTCCAGGTTTCGAGCCTCAAAACCAAATGGTCGTGTGCAACCCCCAGAATGGCAAGTACATGGCCGTTGCTCTGCTCTACCGCGGAGACGTCGTGACTCGTGATACCAACGCCGCTGTCGCCATAATCAAGCAAAAGTCCACTTTCCACATGGTCGACTGGTGCCCTACCGGATTCAAGGTCGGAATCACGTACCAAAGACCAACCGCAGTTCCCAATGCCGCTCAAGAAGGAGGTCTCGCCGCCGTCGACCGCTCCGTATCTATGCTCTCCAACACCACCGCCATCGCCGAGGCCTGGTCGCGACTTGACCTCAAGTTCGACCTGATGCACAACAAGCGTGCGTTTGTGCACTGGTACGTGGGCGAGGGCATGGAAGAGGGCGAGTTCTCCGAGGCTCGAGAGGATCTTGCTGCTCTTGAGAGGGATTATGAAGAAGTCGCTTCTGACTCTGTCGAACCTGATAACATGGAGTACTAGAGCGGTATCTTATGAGCCCGACAAAGACAACCAACATTTTGCGCCATTTATGAAGAATTGAAAAGATTGCTTACTGTTTTAATGAAACACTCTGCTTTTGAGATTTTTGAAGGGAAAAAAAAACAATTTGATCTATTTGGAGTCGGATTAGATGAGACGGTCTGCTATATCCTCTCTTTCTATTTCTTTCCTTCTTTTTTTTCTCGACTTATTTGCCAGTTGTCTTTTTTTTTTTTTATTAATCACTAAATTGTATACGTTTGGGAGCAAGCAAAGCGAAAAACTTGATACCAATATCCCCCCGAAAATTTTCTTTCATTGTATATAGTATCTTATCTCTATTATTGCGGCCTCTGGGGACTGACTACGCAAATGGTCAGGTAGTTAGTTAGCACTTGTTAAAAAGAAAACGAATAAACGGAGATGGAGGCAAAACTTTTGAAGCTTGTTTTTCTTTTTGCATATGTGCATGGTTTTCAAATATTATGCACGGCGTGCTGACCGACAGCTTGATCATTCTGCTGTTATTGGACGGAATTCTGTATCCTGCGCCTCTGTGACGTGGCATTGGAATACCTGTTTAGCAGAGTGGCAATGGAATACTAACTTGTATCAGAAATATGCAACGAAGTTGTGCCACAAAGCACGCAATTTTCAACAAAAGGAAACATTTACAAAACAATTGTAATTGTTTGACAAAAGCAAAGAAACAGATTAGACTCTATTAAGGCTCTTCATAGCCTTCACATTAACGACGACATCGCCCTTTGGCTGTTGTGGGAGAGGGGTACCCTGTAGTGCTTCAATTTTTTGCCCGTTCCAAACGCCTATAATTAATTTCTATCTTTTTCTGACCCTCCTGCAGTAGCGGTAAAATACACAATCCTATCCAATAAGTAGCATGGAGGCCAAATGAAAACAGCCAGTGCTCTAGCCACTTATACAGTGAAGGAAGAGGGGAAAAGCAGATTAAATCGTTCCATGTATACGCTTTTCCCCCCTCTCCATAAAGCCCGGCGGCGTCCGCTGCCCTCTCACATGATGAGGTAAGCACAGGTCTTCTTGGTAGGTTTTTCCCACAGACTACCTGCAACCCGTGCTATAGCCTCTTACAAGCTAAAAGGTGCTTCAGAAGCAGGGAAAATCAACTCACACCCGGCTGACGTTCCAAGGCAAGGATTTGAACCCCATTTCCGTTCGTCTTATTACTGCCTTTTCTCTAGCCTCACCGCAATGCTCATTTCTTCTGCTGCCACGCCGCGGCCCTTCTGGCGCCTCGGTGCTGGGGCCGTGCTGACTTGCCCTTTTTATTTTTCTTACCCAACTTGAGGTCCTTTGGTAGACCATCCTTCTGAGAGGCTCTCCGCCCCTCAAAAATTATACGCTCCGGAGTCTTGATTTCACCACCAGCCCCAACGTCCTTTGCAGCAGATGAGAATGACCTCTTCTTGCCGCCAAATCGCTGTTTTGCAGCCGCAGACCGGCCCAGCAGCTTACGAGTTCGCCCAGCGGCGGCCTGTTCTTCTGGCGTTGCCTTGGGCTTGTATTTTGTGCTGCGGCTAGCGCCGTCGGCGTTGTCTGCCTTGGACCTGGCCCGCTCTGCAGCCAGAGCCGTCTTGCGCGGGTCCTTTGCTCTTGTTACACGGAGGGCTCGAGGAAGCATTGGGGGAAATTTTTTCTTGTCAAGCAAAAGAGCAGCCTCAACATCATTGGCATCCTGCAATGGCTGGTTAGCAAACAAGGTCCCAAATGTTTCAAGAAAGCAGGCCCGCGAAAAGGGACATTCCGGCATCTGCCGATCAAGGACTTACATAGAACTGCACGTAGGCGAAACCCTTGCCTACTCTGGTCTTTGAGTCCCGTATAACACGGACATTCTCGACTTTTCCTTTGGTACCAAAGGTGCGCCACAGGCCTTCTTCAATGTCCGAAGGCACCTTGTTGCGCTTCTTCTCGACTGTCTCTCCGTCGGCTTTCGTGTTCAAGACGGTCTCGTCGTCAACGAAGCCAAGGTTTCCGACGAAGACGCAGCTGCGATGGTTCATCGGGCTAGGATGTGCGACGCTATCTACTCTGATGTGGCGGCCCAGGACTTCAGTGCCGTTGAGCTCGGTGACCACTTTCCGAGCAGCCGCAGGATCTGAAAACACTGCGTACGCATTTGTGGATTTTGTGGTGGCGTCCATCAGGGCCTTTGTGATATAGGCTGCGCGCTTGGGCATGGAACCAGTTGAAAAGGCTACAGAGCGGAAACGCAGAGACTCAATCTTTTGTGGCGGTGATGCATCCTTGTCCAGGACAGAAGCAAGATGCTTCATGAGTTCCTTCTTTGCCGACTTGGATGAGATGGCTTCCGTGGCGACATTGCCCAGAAAGACGGTTCGAGCGGCCTTTTCCACTTCGGATTGCTTGCTCTCTTGTGTGAGAGATTCGTGCACGGGAACTTCATCTTCTTCGCTGGCTCTCTCCTTGACATCTTCGCCCTCTCCTTTCTGGCGCTTGCCAGATGGCTCTGATTCATCATCATCGGCAAGTTTAGCCAGATATTTCTCTTCTAGGTCGTCGTTGTCTTGCTTTCTCTTGCGCTTTCTCTCCCGCTTCGTCTTGCCGTCCTGAATGTTGTCGTTGGCCTGCTCTGCCGCATCCACCGACATGGAATCCTCGTCTTTGGCATCATCGTCTTCGTCATCCTTTTCCTCAGCAACATCGTCGTCTGCTTCCTCTTCATCGTCATAATCGAGTTCTTCGCTGATTTCAGAGAGCACTTCGTCGTCGCCACTGTCATTGGCATCCTCTTCGTTTGTTTTCTCGGCGCTTGAGCTTTTCGGCTTGGGCGGTGCTCCAACTCGAGGCTGTGAGGGCACCTTCACTGGTCCAGCCTTAAAGGTATGTCAGCTCTTGACCTTGTTTCGAAATTTTCCTTATCGCAGCCAAAATAGAGATCGGCGAGATACTTACGCTGGATGCGAATAGTGCACTGAGCGTGGGGTCAATGGCCTTTGAGGCAGCGGCCAACGCATTTTTTCTGCGAGAAAAACGAAAATTAGCCAGACATGTCGACATTCCCAATTGCAGAAAACCTTACGATTTCGCCATAATTATTTGTTGGTGGCTCAAGATGGCAGCTTTCGGCTGGCGCTTCACAAAGTTGCGACGGGCGCACTGAAAGCGACAAAAAAGTTCAGAGCAGCTCTAAAAAATTTGGGTCCCGCCGCCGGACATGCAGCGGAACAATGCGTCATTGGCCTCGCTGCCCCCAAGTCCCGGAAAAATGATCGCGTTTCTGCCACCGCCTGCCGCTTTTGCGCCAGAGGTACTGCGGCACTTCTGCCACTGTACCTTTAGCGCTCCAAACGCCTAGGTCCAGCGGCCGAGTGCGCGAGGCGGCGCCGACCTTGTCTTCTTTACTCCCCTCCCCAGCCGATTCTCTCCACACTGCCACGATCTTGCCCAGGCTTCACCAGGCCAATACAGACGCTGCGGACGCTGCTGGAGCTCCAGCTTGACCAGCGACATTTTACCACACCGGCTTTCGCTCTCAAAACCCACCCCGCCGTCGCCGTCTCAGCACGGCGCCGCCCGCTCAAACTCTTCGCTAGACCTGTGGTGGCCGCGCCGGCCCTGACCAGGTGATCGACTGACGGGAGCTGAAGCCACCCTTCACTGCTCACGTCCCGCTGCCGACATTCTCCTACAATCTGCAAAGGTGTGTTGCTCTGCGCCATCGGCAGCACAATGGCAGCGACGGCCTCGGCGTCGGCTGCGTTCCCCCCCGTGGCTACGGGCGGCGACCTCGAGGACAGCAACATTTCCAGCCCTCTCAGCGAGGTTGACGACAAGGATGCGAACGACGAAGACATTGAGCATATGCATCTGGACAGAGAACACCTCAGTCTCGGCCCAGAAGAAATCCGGGTCAACGACCACGGCGGATCCGACTCTGACAGCGCCCTTTCCGACGCAGGGTCTGACGTAAACTCTGAGGCCAACGATACCGAAGCTGAAACCCTGAGACTCTATGACACACCGCAGGCCCAGAGGCACCGTGATGTCGGAATTGAGCGCTTCAATGACGCTGAGCCCTTTGAGCACACTCCGAGCAAGCTCCGCAGGGCACTTGTCAACGGCGACGATGACTCTGCTTCTGCCTCTGGCTCCGACAGCCACAGCCACAGAGACGAAGACGAAGAAGACGACGAAGACGAAGAGAACGATGACAACGAACTGCCCACAAAACCTGTAATGGTAATTGTGAAGACCGAGGAAGATGCCCGTCGTGACTCGCAGGAGCGGAAGCGGAAGCGATCTGCCGCCCTTGAACAATCCGATCTGGAGCAGCCGGTGAGGAAACGCACAGGCTCAATATCGGCTGCCAACGGAGATGCCGACGACCATCTCGCAGTGGGAGAGGATGACGCGACACCGGCTGCGAATCTCCCAAGCGGAGTTCCGTCTCCTGGGGACGAAGAGGCTTCTGCCACAAATGGAGATACGCCGCAGGACGACGAGATTCCCGAAGTATTAAGAAAGACCAAGCGCAGTGGCTCCAAACGAAAAAATGTCATTGCAGATGATGCTGACAGCGAATCTCAAGCCGAAATTCGTGACGAGCAGAACGACACTGCTGTGGAAGACGAGCCCGAAGCCGACCACGCCGAAGAGGAAGCGGAGCCCGAAGCTGATGAAGAGACTGACGCCGCAGCGAGGAATCTGGAAGAGTGTAAGTTTTGCTGTTTCCTTGAGATGAACTCCTGCTAATTGGCAACCAGTGGAGAAGAAGCAAGCTGCCTACCGAGATTGGACCCAGATCGAAGAAATGTTTGGTATTTTTAGGGATCGGTAAGCTAAAAATTGCCCTCTCCGTGCGTGTTATGACGCTTCGCTCACACTTGTCCCAGACTTTACAAAGATAGGCTACAGAGACTCGAGGAAGAAGAACAGTCGCTGCATGCCCCAGAGCCTACACACCCTGAATACCTCAATATGAAGCAATGCCTTGATGATCGGCTAGAGCAGAAGCTGCAAGCTATCAACAGAGAGCACGAATACCGACTCAAAGCCCTCGAACGGCGCGCAGTGGCGCAAAGAGCTCAAATTTGGGGCCAGTACTTCCAAGCCGTCCGAGAGAAGCGAGAATACGCTCTGGAGGGTCTGAATAGGCAGTGGTACGATGTCCAGAGTTCTCGGCGAAGTGCACACAGCTTGCCAGACTATGGCCTACTGTTCCCCAAAGATCCTGCACAGCGTGTCAGGAATGCGATTGCCTACAACACCGAGGTATCGACACTTTCCGGTCTCGCCAAATACGAAGGTTTCCCGGCGGGACCAGAGCTTCAAGGGGCATCTGCATCAGAGCTGGAAGCTGATTTGGCCGCCATGGAAGTGAGTGTGAGATTCTCCATAAAGCTGGCTATTCTTTGAATTTTCGCATTTGCTGACTTGCATATCAGCGAACCCGGCGCGTGCGACACAAGCCTTCGATAAGCCATCTTCGGGAGGAATATCAACCACCACACTTGACTCGCCTCGACCCGGCGGGAGAGCAGTTCGTCAAGAACACACCTTGGGCGAACCCAAACCACTCAAGCCATAAGTTCTACCCGCATCCGGTTTCGGCAGAAGCACGCCCCGAGGCTGCTGCATCGGCTGTTCCTGCTGGTCGAACGCCTCCAAACGCGCCTCCAAACGCGCCTCCTCCTGCAGCCGACTCCAAGACAGCCCTTGACGGCCCGGGAGCAGCTCGATCACCTGCAGCTCTCTCTGCACGACTATCTGAATCTCCAGAAATGACGCGGAATCTCTTGAACCCAGCGTCTCACCAAATGAAACGAATGGGCAGCATGCCAGGACTCAGTCGCAGCTCAAAAACAGCAGCGGCTTGACGCCTGTCCACTCCCTGCATCGCTCAAGAATAAACCGCCCAATCGGGCTATGGCATGAGGATTTCTGCGTTCAGATATTAATGATACCCAAGATCAAGGCTTGTCATTGGCTCCTTGTAAGGGAAATGCGGCCTATGTTTTCTTCTCTTCTCTTCTCCTACCCTCTTTTCTATTTTCTTTCCCCTTTTTTTTCTTTGCAGCAGGTCATGTCTGTATATGTGTACATGCGTATTTTGCCCTTGAGAATTCAGGTTGGGTAAACGGGTAATAAAGATATGGCGGCGTTTTCATGTCCAAGTTTTAGGAAGCTGGCACTGGCGGGAATGGATTGTTTGTTTTACGTGGCAGAAAGGAGGTCTATAACTTTTCTGCAAGGGTGGCTTGTTTTTCATATTATCCTACAAATAGCAAAGGACGGCAAAGTATTTATATAGTTGAATGCGATTGCTTGGAGTTTTTTCTGATGTATTGGAGAGTAAAAGCATAGAGTCATCTTGAATTTTGACTAGTAATATACACAGCAAATCTAGCTGACGGATCGTAATTTGCAACGCCGAAGCGCCTCTGAAATCTTTTGACATGTCATTCTTCCATTCCTTCTTGCCTTTTGTCGTAGTTTATCCTAATTTCTTATTTATTTAGCCTGGGCCGGCTTTCGAGGCTCGTCGGGCACCTTGACGTCGGCGAAATCGTCCTGGCCAACGGCATTGATTGTATAGTAGTCTGTAAAGAAGAAATCAGCGCGAGCGCTCGATAAGATCGGTAAAGAGCATGGAAAGAGCTTGACACATTGAATAAAACATACAAATCCCCGAGACAAGCGCAAAGAGGCCAAGTCCTGTGGCGGCGTTTCTGAAGAGATATGGTCGTCTGGCTCGGACGAGGGCTGGGCCTTGCCGCAGTCGCCGGTCGTAGTAGGTAGAGTGAGACCTGGAATGAGTTTGTCAGTTAGCGATGCGCAATTCTGTATAGTCAATAATTCGTATGAAGGGAGAACAAACGCCATTGCTTGTATGTCGAGGGCCGAAGCTGGATTTTTCCTGGGAAAATACAGCAAGTTATTGGGATCAATGCGCCGCTTCGAGGCCGAAATGGATCGTATCATGCCATGCGCCACAGAGTGGGATGAGCGCTGTAACAAAACGGCATTTCCCCGGCTAAACGCTTTTAGCAGCCTCGGGCGCCTAAAGCTTGGCGCTCTGGTACAAGTTATAGAGCACGTTTGGACGCTTCTTCCAGCAGGGATCAGCCACTTTGGACCCGCGTCACGTTCTCCGTCGCCAAAACCTTCGCAAGCTCGCCCAGGCACTCCAAGTTAGCAAAAGCCAATCAACATACACTGCCTGCCTGCTATTTCCCCAACATCAACATACGACAACCCCCTCCAGCGCCATTATCGACCGGCGCCCCATCCGATTGTTGCGAAGCCGTGCGACGAGCTGCGGTTGGCTGGAAGTGGGAGATTGGCGCAGGGCATGACGATACCAGACGACTAGAAGAAGAAAAGATATATTATGCCAGTAGCCTAGCCTTTTTGTCGCGCGACCTCAATGCTGCATCGCTATTCCGCAATTTTCTCCGTCTGATGTTGTCCGCTTCTCTGTGCCCGCCATTCATATCGATTGCCCACTGAGAGATTCACGACTGCCCAGCCACCCATCTCGAAGCTCTTTAGCTCGACGTCATGGCTGCTGCCGCATCCTCCCTCTCAGTGCCAGACCAGATTCGCCAGCTCAACGATGCGCGCAAGCTCGTCCTAGGCGATGTCAAGTACTATCCCAGCGTCGTCAGAGGAATTCTCCCCATCATTGGGCCCCAGGCGCCTATAGAGCTGCGACGATGGGTCACGGACTTTCTGGCCGAGGCCTTTGCTACGCCCGCGCTGCCAAATTCAGAGAAGGAGACGATACAGCCATACGTGTTGACGACGCTAGAGTCGCTGATTGAGCAGGAGGTTGATCCGCAAGTGCTACGGAATGTGATACAGACGGCAGCGAGCATTTATCCGCTGGCCATGAGGTGGATGTTGGTGGCCTCTCTTCCTAGCTACTGATGTGGGAATGCTATGATTACTGACTATTCTTTGCTGGCAGCATCAACAACAGCTACGATACCGTGACGTGGGAGCGGATGGTGAGTATCAAGCAGAAGATCCTACAGATGTGGGATAATGTCCCACCGACGGTGAGGATATGCTGCATAAAGTTTGCTCAGCGGGTAGTGCTGGCGCAGAGCGTTGCCTCGGGGGCTGAACATAGGGTAAGATATAAAGGCCCATCCCAAAGTAAAGCAGAGCAAGTATTCTCATCGTTCAATGTCATTCTAGTATGGCGGCGGCTTGGACGTCTCTTTAGACAAAGTACCACCCAACCACCAGACGCTCGATCCTAGAAATCTCGAGGCTGAAGCGAGCGGGCTGTTGGACCGCATGCTGAGTATCCTTCAAGGGAACAAGTAAGCCTTTTCTCTCCCCTTATCCTCTTCGTGTCTGTGTTGTACATACGGCCTGTACGCTACGGGATTTTGCAAGCGCGGTGCTCACCTAGTTTAGCGATGGCCTTCTAGTAGACGCAACTTTGAATTGCTTGTCCATTATGGTGCGGACTCGCCCAACTACATCAAGTCGAATTCTCAATGCATTGCTCAGTTTCAACCCTCTACAAGCCGCCAACTCGCCATTGACCCCAAAGACCAAGGTGATGATCAAATCCATGGAGAAAACGGCCCGGTTGCTATTGATTCACCTGACTAAGCGAGACCCCCATAACCCAATCGTGCCTAGAATACAGCAGCATGTCGAGGGCACAATGCGTATGGTGGCCGAGCTCTTTGACGGTGCCGGGCGGAAAAGACCACTGGAGCCCAAGCCGCAAGATGGATATGATGTCAAGCGCCCGCGGATTGAAGCCTCCCAAATCCAGATCCCCCCCTTGGGCCCAGGTCCCCATAGCCTGGCCGATGTCTTTACCCTCATTGGCAACGATGGACTCAAGTTCTTCGACGCCTCTCAGGTTCCCCACAGCCTCGTAGCCAGAATCGCTGTGAATACTTTGTCTAGGCTGGATCCCCAGGTCCTAGCAAAGGCTGTAGATGGTGTTCGCGGCCGACTGGAGATGCTCAACAACAACCCTCCTCCGGAGCTGAATCCAAACACTGCTCCTCTCGGCGTTGAAGAAGACGAAGACGACTATGAGCCAGACTTTTATCAGGCCGAGGATACGGAGCAGATCTTGAACAAGTTGGATAATGCGCCGGCACCTGCTGCAGCTGAACCTATAATAAGCTTCGATGATACCCTTGGGCTGAAATCTTTTAGCCTTCCTCAGCCACAGCAGCTGACGCCGGAGATGGCTCTCAACGCGGGCAGTGGAACAGTGACAAGAGTGTTGGACATGATGAAGTCACTGGAAGAGCCGAGTGTAAAGAAACAAAAGGCTGGCTTCAACCGGCTTGCGGCAAGCTCTGAGAGCAGAGACTCCTGGATGACCATCTTGGCGCGGTTAGCGACACGATCATCTGCAGGCCTTCAGGAAATATCAGTAAAGGGGGAGGCGGACGAATCGACTCAGTCACCATCCCTCAACAACAGTATCCGGGAGATACTTTACAACTACATCATGGAAGACTTTCGCAACCACATCGACGTTGCAGTATCATGGCTCTGCGAGGAATGGTACAACGACAAGGTGCAGATGAAAGCTGGCGGAGACCATCCGATGTACTACGAGAAGTGCACGCTCCGACTCATTGACGGATTTCTCCCTTACCTACGCCCGCAGGATAAGGTTCTTACTCGTTTCCTGAGCGAAATTCCCGAGCTGAACCGAGCGATTCTCTCTCGTGTGAAGCACATGTGCCGTGATCCGAGTGTGACGCAACTGGCATTGACTAGCTTGCTGTACTTGGTGATTATGCGGCCTCCCATTAAAGAAGCTGCGCTGGACGTTGTTCAAGATATATGGACAGACTGTATGTGATGTTCTCCTTTCCCTTCTTTCCTTCATTCAGCACGCGCATATATACGCCTGTCAATAGAGAGATGAAGCTAACATTTGGTACAGATGAGGATGCTAGGACGATGGCAGCCAAGTATTTGACCAAGTATCGGCCGCAGTTCATAGAAACTGCGACAAAGCGCGAAAATAACGATAGTCCCGCATCCGCACCGGGTGGAGATGCAATCGCCGCATAAGAACCGGAGTTTATCACTTTGCAGTGTATTCTAGAAGGAAGAGGGCCGGAGGTTATGCCCATAGTTCGAACTATGAGAAATGTAGCAGCCATAGCAGCTGCATCAAACGAATAGGCGTTGTTTCAACTTTAGATGGGATCATCACAGATTGCAAGGGCAGGCCATGATTGGACAGAATAGAGGCCGCGGAACAGAGACGGAGACAGAGACTTTACTGGTTATAAGTCATAATTATGGCGTAGAAATTAGTGTACACATGAAGGAGACATCAGGCAGGCAAGCAGCCATATATGTTCACTGCTACGGGAATACGAGAAAAGATGGCGCGGATATCCGGGATGCGAGAGAGAAATGTGTATACAAGGGTGCGAATTTCACAATGGGATGAATGCTGCCAACAGTCAAAAGTGTAGGTATTGCTAGAAGGTCGGAGATGGGATTTTGTATTTGGACAAAATTTGGCGAGCGGATATACCTAGGTGCCTAGTCGCTGCGAAAATACCATTATGATATGGAAGAGATGTTTCATTTCTCCCCTCTTTCTTCTTGTCTTCTTTTCGCATATTAATTCGGTAACGAATAATTTTATTACGTTTTTTTCTATACTAAAAGCAAATAACCCTCTCTGAAGAGATGCTTACGAATGTTCTTCTGTTAGAATGATGGAATGGGTTCCTGTTGTTCACCAACGAATAATTAGGCAGGGCGCCCTGTAGCTTATATCTCGCTAGCGAGGCTTAGGCCATGCAAGGAAAAATAACGACACCGTTGGATTGCCAACTATTGATCCAAGACAGTAGCAATACCCCGTATTTCGTTTCTCGTATAAGTAACAGTACTATGATACTAGTACATGCCTACAAGGGCTGAATACCTTACGTATTACTCGCACTATCTACCTAAGTACCTAGGTAGTGCATGAAGTAGGACGTGTGTGTTGACATCATCGCGACGGCCCGTAATAACATCATGGCGACGTTCTATTGGAGTTGCTGCTCCCGCCTTTACTTAAAGCGCCACCGTTGCCTGGTCAGCGGCTGCATCTTCCGGATCTCTGTCCGCAGTACCTCTCCAGCTAACGGCGCAGTGATACGTGAAGCCTCCAAAGGACAAAGCGAAAAGCCCTTGCAGCAGTAATTTTTTATTGAGGCTGGATTTCTAGACTGCATGTAGTAGTTGGTGGAGTGGGCTCAGTGCTGATTGAAGAGACGGAGAGACAAAGGCGGTAGAGACAACATCTTGGATGAGCAGGTAGAACGGTAGAAGGGATTCATTGTTTTCTTTTCTTTTTTTTCTGTCATCAGAGCGTGACGCTTTTTTCTTTGGTGCAGTTTGAGACTCCCCTTTTGAGACTATCATGCACCTTGCTGCTATTAATACATGTACTTAAGACCCCTTTGACCCGGGATATACTATGTGTTGAAGCTGGCTTTCATCACCCAACAGCTTCCATCTGTTTGTTTATTTTGCCCAGGGCTTGATCTGTATTCTTTCCTCTCTCTTTGCGGAGAAGCGAACGCTATTATTACTGTCGTCACATCCATACCAATCCCCAGTTCAGCTCATCTCATTCCATCGCTTCAGCTCTCCTCTCCCTGCAGAACAAAACCCACCCCGGCTCGTCATCCAGGGTCTCCCGCCGGCTCCGCGGCCGCTGACTTGACAGCGCAAGATTAAGACGACGGATCGGTTTCATTAGTGCTTGCAGCATAACCGAAACGAAACACGACTGGCAGTTTCTCGAGCCTCAGATAAAGGAGGGCCCGGCACTGCATAGCATTGATCAGATCCAGATACAGTACGTAATCCATCATAGACATGGAAGACAAAAAGATGCTGCAAAAGAGTCCCCTTCATCGCCTTTCGAAGCAATTCTTCGCCAATCGCCAAGCTCCATCTCCAGGTATGCTTTTGTGTATTCTCTTTTCTTTCTTTTCGCCTTTTCGCCTTTCTCTCTTCCCTTCTTCGCCTTGTCTCGCCTCTGTGCCCTTGCTTCGCTGCACGTTGACGCAGGTCCTCGCTGCCAGGTCCAGTTTTTAATGAGTGACGGCCAGCGCGCTGCATTGCCGCTCATTTACGCGAAAACGAGCGAATGCTTGCCGTACCCACCACTCATATTAATTGCAGATGAGACTTTGTGCCAAATAGTGCTGCGCTCGCTGCACAACCGTTGGATCTTATCCCACACTTGCACACTGTACTGGACTGCACTGCACAGATCACATCTGCAGCAGCCTCCACCGACGCCATCTTTGCTTTTCCACCATCACACTCTCTTTCTATTCCTACTTACTCAGCCGGGTTCATTCGCTAATCCCGAGCCGCCACAACTCGCAGCCCTCTCACCCTCGCTAGATGATTCTCCAGGCACGAGGACCTTAACACCAGCTTCTGCCGGCACCGTCAACGCCATGCCGAGTCGTGCGGCCTCCGTTTCAAAGCAGGCCTTGGCCCGAACGGCCACGATCCGCAGCGTGCCCAGCGTCGAGGGCTCCGAGACGAGTCCCGAGAGCAACCTCGCCAGCGGCCTCTCCAGCAGCGTCAACAGCAAGGCCAGCGCCCTGTCCGTCACAGCGTCCAACGGCGCCCAGATTGAGAGAGCACCGTCGCCTGCGGCCAAGCCTGATGTCGGCAACGCCGCCAACGACTCGTCCGCGAATTCAAATAACGCCAATGGCCTCATGCCGAGGGTTGTGGAATCGACGCCGCCCCCCGAAGAGACCAGCGGTATGGCAGAAGGGGACCAGGACAACCACGATAGCGCGCAGTGGGATTCGACAATTGGCAAAGCCGGCCTGGGAAAGACGGGTCGAGTCATCAACAAACTCGTCAGCGACAATGAAGCCCTGAAGCGCGAGATCAAGATTGAGCAATTGCGAGCGGAAGAAGCGAAGCAGGCGGCCAAACTGGTCGAGGACAAGATGGAGCGCATGATCAGCGACTACGAGAGCCGGCTACTAGAAGCAAACGTCACCAAGACGCTGCTGGCGAGAAAAGAACGACAGGTCGAAACACTGATGGCCACGGTTGATACCGAGAAGAAGAAGACGGTGGCGGCCCAGGAGCTGGAGCGAAACTGGAAAGACGAGATGGAAAAGGTCAAACGCGACGCCAAGACACAAGTAGACGATGCGACAAGCTACGCGCAGCTGATGGAGGGCCGGTACAATGCCATCTCCTCTCATTGGCGCGACCAGGGCGACGAAGTCAACAAGGCCATCTCCACCATCAAGACCGAGATCAACACCATCGTTGACGAGCGCAAGTCGGACGACGATAAGATCCAGACCCTGCGAGACTTGTGCGAGCAGCAGGACAGCAACATCCAGAAGCTACGGCGCGAGAAAGAGGACATTGCGCGATTGTTTGAGCAGTACAAGGAGACGCAAGAGACCGATTTAAAGGATATGAAGGAGAACGCCAAGAAGACGGAAGAGGAGCAGCAGAGGCTATTAGACGAAGCTCGAGAGACGCTTCACAAGTTGAGATGGGCCCTGAATGTCAAAGAGAACGTCCAAGGCGCCCAATAATGAAGCATTCAACCAGTACCACTTTCTCTTCGCCCACGCTCTGCTGTTCTCTTGCATTTAACCCTCCCAGGGCTCTCTTTTCCCTCACGGCCACATTTCTCTTGGCGTTATTGCTCTCTATTTTTTCAATCTTGTCGGTCGGTGCATTCTCATGGAGGCTCTATGCTAAATGGCTTTTTCTTACTTGCTCGACATTTCTTTTCTCCCGCTATACTTCACACCGCCTTTATACAATACACAGCGACTTTATATAATGATACCACATCTTCTCCGCCTCCCTCCCATCGCCTCTTCCATTCTCTCTGTTTTCAACAATTGATTCTTCTTCTCAATTCTTTTTGTCCTTTTTACTATTATTGTCTTTTATACTCTTTTTTTTTCACTCGCTGCTATAAATGTTTAAAGAAAGCGATAAGTTGGTTGTAGACAGGATATGATGTTCCTCTTCCCCTCGTTTTATTTTTTCCCTTCTATTTTCCATCTTCCACCTTTCGCATGTTAGGGAAGCCTTTGCTATTACGATACACTTGGCGTTGGATGCATTTAAACCAAGAACAAAGAAAAGAAGAAATATACATCGTATAAATCTCTACTGCTTCGCTGTATTTGGCCGTTAAGGGACTCCACCTTGTTATAGCCAGATACTGCGTGCTAGATACTAGATGCTAGAACGAGAAGAGATTTACCTGCGAGAGAAGTACGCATCACAATTAGATAAATAAACAAAGAAACAAAGGGTCATATATAGGCATTAAGAGAATGGCAAGATAAGGACTACGAAAGCAGACACAATATATTTATATTGGATTAGACTGTACATTGAATACTTTTCCTCCTGTCAATTTTGCACGTGTCCTGGATGGAGTCGGCTCTGAGTATTATGTGACTGGGTGATATTTCCAAAGTATAGACCACCGATCCTGCCACTTCAAGTATCTAAGTAGGCTATCGAAACACGTTCAACCATCTGAGGTATGGCTCACAGCTGGCTCAGCATAAATCTAGATCATCGTGCCTGGTCTTAAGGATAGTGTGCTGTATTTCACATACACATCGTGTAACAAAAGAAGCTTGCTTGTGTTACAATCTTCACTTGTTTTAACACCAACTACCTATTCACGACACACTTCACACAATAAAGGCCCAGATCGCCATCTCAAGCATTTTGAGTCGCGTACTGGGCAGTGAACGCGGACCACGTCTGGACAAAATGCAGCAACTCTCCCACTTCCCAAACCACACGTTGTTATTCACGAAAGATACCGTAGGTATGATGCTATGCTCTAGAACCAAAAAATGAATAACCTTATCCTTATCCTCTCTCTCAACGCTTATCTGCATTGATGCTGTGAATCGTGCTACAACGGCAAGAAGCTTTGCGGTGAGCAGAACACGTGCCTGACGCTGCACCTGTCATTCAAGCTGCCACTCGCCTGGCAGCTGCCCACAGAGATGCGAATCAGATATAATTTCTCGCTTTGTTTATTTATCTTATTCCCTCTCTCTTCTTTCGCTCTTCACTTTTTCTTTCCTCACCTCCCGCCCTGCGTTATTTATCCGCAATACAAACACCATCCTCCTCTGTTCTCTGCCAGCACATCATTATTTCGTCGTTGCAGCTTGCCCGGCGTTCTTTGTTTCGGCGCCCTTTGCACTGGTGTATTGATTACATTGGTGCCAGCTTGGGTTTCGCGTTGGGCGCCTGTGTTTGGCTTCTCTGATCTTCTGTGACATCGACCTGACAATCTTCAAGGCTGTCTTGTGCATCTACCTGTTTGATCTTTCTATCGTGGTAGAGGTTTGCCTATCCTTGGGCTGAGGTTACACGGCTGTTAAAGATCTTGGTAAGCATGCGTTTGTCCAATTCGCCTTCTGCTTCCATGGATATCACTTTTCGTCACGAGATTCCATCATAAAGTTGACATGGAGATGCACAGAAAGCAAAGATACTAATCATTATTTAGTCGGCTGGTTACATTCCTCAAGTTCTCTGTTTCGTTGCGTTGACGACAAAGTTTTTGCGTGATGGATCAACAAGATGGGTTCGCTGAATTCTACATTACGTGCAATCCCCCGTTGCTGCCACGAGGCGTCAAGCACATCATTGATTCAGCCATGTCAGCCTGTCCAAATGTATGTGTTACTGTATTTTGATTCACTTGATGCCTGGCTGATCATCCTTCAAGGGCGAGCTGTATGAAATTCTGTACGAGCCGGATATCCCATGGTTCAAATGTATTACCATGGACAAGCACAAAGAATCTGTGACTCGCATTATCAAAGACCTTCTGCTTGAATTGGTGAATGCTGAAGTTGTCCGTCTAGAACTTGATGCCCCAAAAGACGTGACTGACGCCAACGTTCCTCAAGTTAATGTCACAATGAAAGCGCCGGAACCACTTTTGGCATCATGGATGGTGTACCAATCACCCGGTACAGATACATATGATGAATACATTGAGTTCCAATATCCAGCGTTCATGGGCTCTCTTCCACACAAGGAAATTTGGAGGGGACTTGAGAATTCAAGTGGCACTTTTGAGGATTTCTTATCTGCATTTCGCCTTCTAATCAAATCCGATCATGCTCCAGCTACCACCGCCGACTTTGCTCTTTGTAATGATTGTCAAATTGCTTGCAATATGAGACAAAATCTGGTATATATCGGATCTTCTACCTCGGAGGCGGCCCTCAAGAAGGTGGTTACGAAGCTTGAGACAGTGCTGAGTCTCTTGGTAAGTATCTTTTTGTTCTGCACAAAGGTTCACCGCGCCTAATACGATGTAGTCAAGCAAGATCAAGGTTTTAACACACTCCATTCTGCCTGAAGGACCAGGAGATGTGCGGCTCGCATATAGATGGCTGCACCGGATTGGATTGCACCAGGCGACGTTTGCCGTTCCATGCGGCAATCTTACCATAGCAAATGAGTATACCCTGCTTTTGAACGCGGCTGCCATCAGGATGGAGAAGAAGAACAAGTTTGGGCACTGGGTGCCTGATGAAACTGTATACCCATTGCAAAATGCACTGAAAGCTAATGTGGGACAAAGATTTCAAGTCTTCAAGAATTTTCATCCCCGTTCCAAGCCACGATTTGCGGATATCCGCCCGGTGCCATATGGACCACCGTCTGCAGCGAAGGAGGTCTCTGCGCCCGCAAAATTACAAGAACCCAAGCCAAAAGCAGGCGTTATGGAGTCAGCTGTGCTCGAACAAGGAGCAGAAGGTTGCCACGGATCCCCGGGCCCTGAGCTGAACGACGGAGGAGAAGTTCCTATTTTCCAACGACCGCCTGCCTTAGATCGACAGGTCTATACGTCTGCAGTCAGAGAAAAAAGTTCAGTAGAACTTGTACTGAGATCGCGCTTTGTTGAGACTTTGCTTCAGAACCCTCCTCCACCCCAGTCTATTCCCGACTGGGTAGAAGGCATAGAAGACGCGGCTCAATCCGAGTCTGAGATGAATGACTTCATTCAAGATGAGCCTCTCATCTCCTTTGATGAGTCAAGCAAAGAGTCTCAGTGCGGTAGCGAAGCTTTCAATGCTATGGAGTTAAGCCCGATCGACGATGGGCTTCGAAAGCTTCACAAAGGAATCATGCAAATTGATCAATTTGAACAGTCTGATGATCTGATTATGCTGGATAACGAACCAGAAGCCTCAAGAGTAAATATTGTGCAAGCTTCAGTTAACGGCTTATCCAATACGTGTCTCTTAAGCGGCGAAATTCCTCAAATAGAGAACGTGTTTTGTCCTGTGCTGGACAACGACTCCATGATGATGGACGAGGGCAATCCCCTTGAAGCTCGGGAGATGAATGTATTTTCTGATAGCTTGGTTCGGTTCGGACTGATGGAAGAAAAGCCGAGAGAAGTTTACCGAACAATGAATCAAAAAACAGGCCGTGCCAACAGCAAAGTAACCAAGGGACCTGTTCCTCATCAGCCCGAAGACGATACTCAACATCAAAAAAACTTGATGCGCGAGGGTATCGAGCTCGCTAGAAACCGCCGACTAGAGGAAGAGGCTCGCAAAGAAGCTGCACGCCGAGAGTGTATACAAAAGAAACTCGACGCTCTTGGACCTCCTACGTTAGGAGACCGCCCGACTACTAGAGCACCGGCTAAAAGAGGACCAAATCCAGTGGTAAGTCCACATATGCCCTGACAATCATCCAACGCTGACAGAAACGCTTCTCCAGTCTGAAGATGAATTTCCACCACTTGGAGGAGGCCCATCATCGTCAAAGAAGCAAGTAAGAAGACTAGTGTTGTATTCTGATGCTGCCAAGCTGTCGAGTTCTCGAACTCAGCAAGAGCGGCGGAAAGTTGCTAATGTACAAGCTACCAATGAGCAACTACGACCCCTTTCGACTGAAATATTCCTTTCAACATGTGATAGAAGTAAGAATAAGTCTAAGGAGCCGAGAGACAAAATACCCGACAATCACCTCGACTACGCTGCGCCACAGAAGAGTGACGTTCTGCGTCATTCAGAAGACCGTCTCAAAGCAATGTCTCAGACCCTTGAGCATTCTCCAGGTCACATTTCATTGGAAGTCATCTTCGGGCGCATCTATATCAAAAAGCTGGCTCCAAGTATGGTGAAAAATAGCGCTTCTGAGTATTCGTATCAATCAGTCACTGAGGCGGTCAACTTTTTGAATGGTTCCAAATTTCCACCGGATTGTGTCGGCTTCTCGCCGATTTTGTCTACCATGGGAGGTGATGCAGATCTGCTCGCCAATATTACGCCACCGGGCGATTTACCATGGCGCCTGACTGAGAGAGAAATCTGGTACGATTTTCAGTGCAAACTTCCCGACACCCGAGATGAATCTTTCGTCCTCGAGCTGAACGCCAAGACGTTTCAGTATCGATGCAGGGGCCCACGTAAGGAACTTTTCTCCATGTACATGCACTGTCCTGGAAGAGCATGGGATATGAAAGCTTATGGAGCTCGGTCTTCTGCTCTGGGAGGGGAGGCGAGATTTGTCAAGTTTGCTGCGTCTCTGTTTGAGCAGATGGCCATCTAGTAAGGCAACTGGGAGCACTTGCATAGCACGATAATGTTAAGCTAACAGATGGCTTGCTGCAGCGTCGATGCCAACAACGGCAATGTAACAATCGAGTTTTTCGAGAATTCAGATGTCCACACCGCCGTCAAGAACATCACCATGCGCCAAGTGGCAAAATTCCGGCACCAGGGGAAAGCGGACAGCTCTCTTCTCTCGATAGCGATGAAGCATATACTGAAAGAAGGCATTTCTCCAGTCATGTGCGACCGCAATCGAATGAAAATAGCAGAAAGAAGAAAGTTCATCACCCCTGATGGCTCAGCGAGCAGTGATTTGCCTCATCAGTATATGGAAGCGAGTATAACATCTTCTCGTCTCTCGTCCTTGTTCGAGGAGAATGTCCAGCTCGAGAGTGGTAACAAGACTGCTTGGGATATGGGCCTTCTCGAAGGGCAAGGCGTTTTTGGAGATATACTTCGGCCGGCATTTGGTATGGTTACGCACATGGATTCAATCGGGGCGTCAAACAACACCAGGAGATATGTCAGTAACCATGACCCGTTCCACGAACCAGCAGTTGTTTCGGCTGGCAAAAAGAAGAAGATTGAGTTTTGGTGAGAGAGAAAGGTCTGAGACTACTATGAATGTATGGGCGCTGGGCTGCATGTATGTACGAATAGTGTCTATCAATAAGATTGACTTTATGTTACCCAAGAAGCTTGACGGCTAAAACTTGGAGTCAATGATTGATTCGTATAAGAGTTTAGAATCTAGCAGTCACTGGATGGATAATCAGATTGACAGCTCATCAATGTAACTAATTTTGTTTGCGAACTCATTGTAGGTGACTTTTTCAGCAACGAGTTAGCCTAGATGCATTAGTATCCTTTGCTTTGTATGTGCATCGCCGCTCTGTTGTATAGGTATCTATCTGCCGATAGGAGAACATGGGTGCCAAGAACTTATGTAGCCAAGCACTTTCCATGGGCTGCTTTAGAGGTAGTTTTGAACACCGCTCTTTAAAATTGAAAATTAATATTCAACGCCTCAGTATCGCTATCTAGCAGCTGAATCACAGTCGAATAAGGCAACAAGTCTGTATATGTTGGAGGTAGTATTAATGGTAGTGATAGTAGCTCCATTTTGCTATTGGTGTCCATACTTCGGGCCGTAGGCGCTCAGCTTCGAGGAGCGTCGCTATATCCATCATCGAGAGCAAGTAAGAGTATCTTGAATGCTTTCTGGAGCATGTCTACAAATGTAAAAAAAAAGAAGAAGAAAAATATACAACCCAGGCTTGGACCAACTTCAATAACTTTGGACGCGCCCGTGATCAAGACTATTTCCGAAAACGATCCATGGTTTGGCGAGCTTTCCATATACTAGTCGAGACTTTTTGGGAATAGCTCTTCCGTAGCATATGCGTTTTCATCTTGTTCTGACGAATGATGGTAAACATGTCTTTTGGGGGCTCCATATTGAACTCTTGGATTTGCCAGTTATTCAGCTCGCGTGTGTATGTGGATGACTGTCTTCTCGGGTTTTGCATTGTCGCTTGTAAACATTTGCTTAGGGCAAATGCCGCAGCAGAACTTGAATATGGAAAGACGTCTTTCAACAGGGTCGGATATCGCTACGCGGTTTGCTTGGCTGTCCCATGAATCTGAATTGCAGCCGAGCTCGGGGGGGATCCATAGGATGTTTTCGCCTTGGTGAGTAATCCAGCATCCCGATGGGTCTACACTGTAGTATCTTTCTTTCTTGCTGCGGAGTAGTTGATGCTCTGAGCAGGAGATTGGCTCTAGATTTGTTGCATTCATTCGTAATACGGCGCGGATATCACGACAGCAGCATAAGTCGAGTATTATATCGCCGCTTTCAGTAAATGACAATTCTCTAAGTTTTACCGACTCCTCTGTAAATGTGAACGGGGAGAGGTTGAAATCCGCTTGAAAGAGCTCTTTTGAACCGATCCCCGTGCCGGAAGTAATGTCCCAAAGTTCAACCTTGACAAAGCCTTCTGGCCAGCAGATCCACGAAATCGCCAGGAGGCTACTGTCTGAAGAGAATGCCAGTAGAAACTCGTAAAAACAGCCTGCTACCGTTTTCTCTAGATGGACCAATCGTCAGGATGAAGCAATATCCCAAATTTCGATTGTTGCTATCAGTGCCCTTTGTTCTATTGTATTTTCAACACTCACATACTTCTCAAAATGACTATCGGCAACAGCTAAGCTCCGAGTGTCTGGAGAGAACGCCATAGAGAATCTAGCGGCATTCGCATAATGCCTTTGGCTAAAGATTCGGAGACTAGGATTCGATGATGTGTCCCATACCTCGAGCCTGCCATCCAGCACGCAAGCTAGCTTGCTTGAATCTGGAGAAAACTTGAAACCTAGAGAATATTTTTCACTTGCAAGCCCAATGCAAGCTGGACTTTTGAAGTCTGTGTCGCTGAATATGATTCTTGGAGTTGGTTTGGCCAAAAGGGCCACAATATTTTCGCCATCAGGCGACATTGCGAAATCGAAAACGCCCAGCATCTCCGGGTTATCATTATTGACAGCCGGTGAAAAAAGCTCTCGCGTGCCAAACTCTATCAAGCTGATAGAGTATCCTCCGCCAACGAATATAGCCCTCCCATCTTCTCCAAGGGGGAATGCTAAAGCTTGGCACTTGGCTTTGACCTCGTATAAGCATTTACCAGAAACAGTGTCCCGAAGCTCAATTTTGCTACAGTCACCTACTTCAAATCGCTCATCAGCTGAAAAGGCCAAACACGGGTGGCAAAGGATCGATATTCAATGAAATCGTTCACTTAATTACGCCTGCCGTTATGTCGAACATGGTGATTGAAGTTGTGAACGACTCAGTGTAGTGGACGACGAGAAGATGGCCGCTTGGTGAAAATTGAGATGTAAAATTTTCGGACAGTCGTAATACCGCATAGTGCGCACTTGATTGCTTGTATCCAGATGACCTATACTGAATCGTGTCTCAAAGTCTGGCATTGATCCGAAAAACGTCGGCGTAATTGCAATCACGTTGCTGTTTTTTGGCGAGAAGTCGATCAGATAAAGAACCTTTTTGGGCGGTAAAGCAATACCAGTGTATTTTGTTCTTTGCCCCGTCTTTGTGTTCCATATCGATATATGATGCGAGGCATCGCTGTTCTAAAGCCCGTATGAGTGACAGCCAAGTAAGTCCTCTCTTATATAAGATAGGCGTAAGCCCACACAAGGATTATTTGTTCCTACGAGCTTAATTGTATGTATTATCTTCCCGACAATGACATCCCAGATGACGATTTGACGCTCTTCAACATTGCCAAACGCAAACTCATTATCGTTTGAAGGAGAAAAGCTGATTAGCTCCGCAGAGTCTGATGCAGAAGATGCACTCAGGCTCTGTATCACTTTTCCTGAGCTAGCGTTCCAGATCTTTATAGTTCCATCTTGGAATAAGATGCTAGCCATGTTCCTCGAGAAGATATAGCAAGTTTCCGGATGAAGCCCTTGTGGCCTTCGAATCTGCGCGAGCATTGACTCCAGCTAGTCCTGCGGTCAGGCCAAAGCTGAATACATTTAGGAACTTTTATCTCAAAAGATTGGCGGATGAGGCTATATTTGGGGCTGAATAGCCCTGAGACGTAGACTTGTAGAGGAAAGTCTGCTATCACTTTGCCATACATTTGGATGAATCGGTTGGCATCCCATACCAGCTTTTTCAGCTCATGAGCTCTAGAGTTTCCCTAAATAAGAGAAGAGAAAGAAGTTAACGAATAATTTCCATCTGAAAAATCTGTGAAAAAGAAGAAGAACGCACCACAGCCTTTTCCAACTTTTGTATGGCCGTCATGCCAACAAATGCATTTCTAAGAAGACTCAAAGCCTCCAGCCAGTATATGAATTTTGTCTCAGTGAAGTTGTATATCAACTGATGGCTTTCTTCAATATCCGGGTAAAAGGTAAAAGGCGATCCTGACGTAGCCCGTTCAAAATGATGTATCCAATACACACAACAATATGCAACTGAGGCGAGTGGCCCACTGTTGGAGGGATCACATTTCAGATCAACTATAGAAGATCCAGGGTTAACCAATCTGTACATGTCTTTTTTCCCTAAAGCTTGGCCCGTTGCTAGGATAGACGTTTTGAAAATATATCGGTTAATGGCCTCGGTTCCGTGAGGGGACAGCTTATCAGAAGCCTGTCCCGTAAGAAAGTCACTGGCAGACTGATGGATAAAATAAATTGTGCCCTGCCTCAGAGTAAGAAAAGAACCACAGTAACCTAGTATGATGTCCCAATCGTAATCTGAAGCATTTTGACCATCGGCGCCATTGATCAATGGGACAAATTCTTGTATAGTAAGAGGCCTGCGAGCGACGGCTGCGATAGACAACACCTTTCTTCCAAGATCCCATTCATCTAAGTCGCATATCTTTTGCATCATTCGATCACTAAACCGGTCGAGTCCTGGAGGAAATGCAGCAGCTCTGCGACGGGCATCGAAACGGGAACTTTCTTGAGCTGTGCGCAAACTAACGCAACCCAAAGAAATGTGCCATCAGCATTGGCAAAAAGACATTCCTCTACATCATGTCGCGTTGCATTGTCATATTTTTCCTCTTGAGCAAGTGGCTGTAATTTGTAGCGAATATAAGTGCTAATAGCATCGGAAACCGACTCTTCATTCAGCTCCAGGCTTATTGTGCATTTGTTCTCTGCTCTAGCCAGTGCTTCATGGATGTCTTGTTCGTTGCGACGTGACAAGTAGGATTCAATACAATCATCATCGCCATAATTGCCAAGTTTTTCTCGTGGAAAGATGTGCGAGAAGGTAACTTGAGCAAACGTAAATATCGAAAACAGAACAATAATTCCAAGGAGAGCGCAACCTGTTGGCTAATACAGGCATCGATGGCTCGATTCTCATGAGAGAAGCCCCAAAACGAACTCCATAGGTAAACATCAGTTTTCAACTTTGCGGGTCCCGCGACAGCCGAACCAGAGCACTATCTGTAACGAAATCCGTCGCACATTACACGAGGGGAAAAGAAAGGACAAGCCCATATTACGTTTTGTGTCGAATCCACGAAATGCTAGGGCGCCCGCAAGACCTGTATCTGGGCAGATGTTGCTTCAGGGGTTTGCCTAAAAGAGTAAAAAGCTAGCTGAGGCCAACATTTTTAGCGGCACGCGCTGTAATTCGTCCCACGCACGCTGCTTTATAAGTCGTATCGGCCCTAGCGCTCAGCTGGCATCATGGAGCTTGTGTCGATTTTCTGTCACCTTCATCTTTCTCTTCTCAGCCGCGCTCGTTACACAGGCCAGCCAGTTTCGTCTGGCCAATTGCCTCAATGGGTGAAACTCTCCTCGCTCTCGTAGGGGGCGTCATTTGCCTGATACTCTACTTGCTCAAGCTGAACTGGGTGCTGTCGCACACACCTCGAGAGGTGGTTGATAGGGCAGGAGAACCGTTCACGCGAGAGTATATCAAAGATGTGTTTGAGCGCGTGAAGAAGGATGGGCTTGGCTCAGAGGCGAAGCTGCCGCCTCGAAAGGACAGACGGTACATTGTAGTGGGAGGATCAGGTGAGTTTGCAGATGTTACGAGAGGAAGAAGCAGGTCTAACCACTGTTGACTCTAGGATTTCTTGGAGGCCAGCTCATTCTGCATCTCTTGACCATGGGGACGCCGCCTGAAGCCATTCGTATTTTAGATGCGCGCCGGCCATTTACTTTCAGGAAAGAGTTTTCTCAGGGAGCGCCGTCAATGGTGGCGTATATTCAGACCGACATCACCAACGAGGCGGCAACACTCAAGTCATACGATGCCCCCTGGCCTGAAGCTGTGGCTGGCCTGCCGCTGACCGTCTTCCATACGGCCGCTGTGATTCGGCCATTTGATCGGTACAAGCTTCTGTACGAGCGCACTTCTCGAGTCAACATCACCGGCGCGGTGCATTCTCTTAAGGCAGCAAAGAAGGCCGGTGCCAGCGTCTTCATCTACACGTCTAGCTCCAACGCGGCCTTGAAGCAGGTAAAGTGGCTTTTCGCGCCTTGGGGAGCCACACAGCAACCCGAAGGATTTATACAGAATCTGAGCAACGAAGACTTTTTCGAGCCACTACGACAGCCGCACGAATTCCCTTCCAACTATGCACAAAGCAAGGCTGAAGCCGAGAGGCTGATTTGCGGCGCAAACGAAGCAGATGTCGGTGCCGGGGCTCCGGCTCTACGTACGGGAGTGATTCGTCCCGGCAACCCCGTCTATGGACACAAGGACGATAACATCCCAGGTAAAATGCTAGCGCTTGGAGGATTCCCATCGTGGGTGCCCGCCAATGTGCAGAACTGGATCAATGTGAAGAACGCATCGCTTGCGCATTTGCAGTACGAGGATGCACTGCTTGGCGAGCATGGAAGAAAAGTTGCCGGCCGGCCATTTATTGTTACAGACAAGGGAAAACCCGTCCGCTTCCAAGACATCTATACGGTACTGGATAGCGTGAGCACGACGGGCATGAAGGTTAGCTACCCACCGCCGGTGCTGATACTGATGCTTTCGTACGTGGTGGAGTGGTATACTCTGCTGGTAAATGCGGTGCCGCTGCTGGGCAAGTTTTTGAGTGAGCCAGTGGGAGATATACAGTGGCTCCAGCCGGGAGTTCATGCGACGAGCTTACACTACCTCATCGATGATTCAGAAGCGAAGAAGAAGCCGGCGGATGGCGGAATTGGATACACGCCGTGCTGCACGACTGTTGAGGGCTTGTGTAGCCAAGTTGTGGATTGGAACGAGTGGGTTGAGGAGGAAAATAAGATGAAGAAGTAGTGGCAGCTGAATCAGGGAAGGTTGCTGGATGACGTCTTGATTGACATCTGTGATGGGGATTTTGAAGTCGGTGTCTCGGAGTACCTAATACCGGTCGTGCGACCTTTTGTGCGAGGCGTCTTGGATAGGTAAATAGGCTCAGATTTGGGTAAAAGCTACAACAATGGTTTGCTCCTATTGAACTCGTCACCATCGTCAATAGTGCGAAGCCATCGTGCAAATCTCAGCCAACCTCAGCGCCACATGGGCCTCCAAACTGTATAAGAGCACAAGCCACAGCCACAGGGACCCTGCGATCCACCACACCAGATCAGACCAGGCTTCTCCAACTTTGATCGTCCCTCTCGATAGCGTGTCGGCTAGAGAGTCCACAGGGGTCCAAGCTCTTTAAGATTCTCACAGGCGGCGCAGTGCAAGTAGAGCCCGCCAGCCCGTCTCGGGTCAGGCACACGACTGTCGTATTCGGCTTTATTGCTTTTGTGGTGCGACGCCATCCTTCGACTCTACGCGCAGCGCAACCCCACGGCGCTTCTTAAAAATTCCCGGGTTTCGTTGCATTTGCTGGGCCATTGGTCACGCTCTGGCCTCTCTGCGCTGCTTGCGGTTGATTTTTACTGCTGCGCCTTTGTATTTCGCTATTCTTCTGGATTGTAAACAGACGACATCGTTTATACTGTCCGAAGTGACACCGTCAAGATGGCGTTTGGCATCCTCGAGCCAAGCTCGGGGGAAAAGGTTCCAGGTAGGGAGAACCCCGTGAGAAATGGCGAGGAGAAGAATTTCGGCACAGCTCTTGGCGCGGCGCGAGATTGGCTCGATTGATATGTAGCTAATGGCGACTAACGGTGATGATAATTCTAGGCACGACGCATTTCTACGATGACCCTTCGCAGCCGCAGACGGCAACAGAGCAGGATACCGTGAGGCTGAAATGCGATACCAGCGGAAAGATCCCCATCATCCTCGTGCGTGCTTTGTCCAGTTTCTGCTGCGGATACTGATCGACGTGTCACGTACTAACATGCTTCATGGCGCGCAGGTCCCTCAGCCTTCGGATGACCCCAACGATCCTCTCAACTGGCCCTTGTGGAAGCGCGACCTCGTTACCTTTACGCTCTGCTGGGCTGGAGTCCTGGCCACCTCACTTGGACCCATCTTGGCCGCAAACACCGTCACCCTCTCTCGCATATTCTCCAAGACGTTTACCAGGGTCGCCCTCTTGACTGGCTATTTCCTGCTTGGCGCCGGCGCCGCTGCCATCTTCTTCGTCCCCTCTGGTCGAGTCTGGGGCAAGCGACATCTTTTCCTGCTCGGCATCCTGATTATCATCGCATCAAGCGCATGGGCTGGTTCTGTAGGGAAGAACTATGGCAGCTTGCTTGGTGCCCGAGTTCTCCAGGGCGTGGGCACTGCTCCGTATGAAAGCCTGCTCAACGCAGCTGTAGGCGACTTGTACTTTGTTCATCAGCGAGGAGTGCGCATGGCATTCACCAACCTGGCCATCTTTGGTGGAGCTTTTTTCACTCCCATTGTGGTCGGAAAGATTACGGCGGCGATGGGTTGGAAGTGGAGTTTCTACTTTGTGTCCATCTTCATGGCGGCGACGCTGCCTGCCGTGTTTCTCCTTTGCCCTGAGACGGCATATCGCAGAGACGTCAAGCTCAACACCGACACTAATGCCGAAGGTGAAGAGGAGATTAAGCTTCAGTCTCGAATCGCGACTGTTAGTAACCCGCCGTCTGACGAGGAAGAAGTACCAAAGAGACGCACCGGCTTCGTCTTCTTTCCTACCTCAAGTGCACTTCAGCCAATTGGAAACGCTAGGACCCCAAAGAAGTCCTTTGTCGAATCTCTATCCCTCTTCGACGGCGCTAAGACGGATGAGCGCTATTGGAAGCTGCTGCTTCGGCCATTCCCACTCATTTTCAACCCGGCCTTTGTCTGGGGCTGTTTGATTCAAGGAACTATGATCGGGTGGACCATCTTTATCGGAGTTCTCGTCGCTGCCATCTTCCTCGGGCCGCCATACTTTTGGGGTGAAGTCAAGGCGGGTTACGCTTACACAGGTGCCTTTGTCGGCGCTCTCTGCGGCTTCGCCATCTGCGGTCTCCTTGCCGATTCCAGCGTCAAGTATCTCACCCGAAAGAATCGCGGCGTTTACGAGCCCGAGTTTCGAATTCTGCTGGTCATTCCCATGCTAATTATCGGTGGCATCGGCTTGTTTGGCTTTGCTCTGACTGCTGGTAACGTTATTTCTGGCCAGTACAGCTACATTATACCTCTTGTATTCTTTGGCTTCGAGGTTGCCGGCATGGTTATAGGTGCAGTTGCCAGCTCGTTATACATTGTGGATGCTTACAGTAAGATGATATCCCTCCGCGATAATGTCACATACGTTATCGTTTCAAAGTTTCTTTGTCATCCAGGCTGCTTACACTTGCTACAGGAGATCTCACGATTGAAGGCTTCACCTTGATGATTATCTTCAAGAACATCTTCAGTTTCATCCTTACTTTCTATGCCTACAATTGGCTCATCAAAGGCGGCATCCAGCACACGATGATTGCCATTTCCATCGTTCAGGTCGTCGTATGCGTGCTTAGTATCCCTATGTGTATGTCCCCTTATAAAATGCCCTGCCCCCATTCCATGTTTCCCATTCGCTAACAGATGGCCGACGTAGATGTGTTTGGCAAACGCTGTCGAGCGTTTTACCACCGCCATGATTTACTGGCCCTTACCGGCTTGCAATAAACGTGTGCCGTTTGCTTCCTTATTGAACTGCGTGTGAGCGTTAAGTTTACAACTATGGCGAGATGCCTTCTAATACCCTCTTGAGAATCTCATCTTTTGCTGATATTATGATGGGAATAATGTATGGAATGATACCAAAGATAATGGGCGGTGCTGGGCGATGCGCGGAATCCGAGTACTTGCTCTTAATAATGCAGGAGCGTATTCTATGTAATTATATGTAATTGTATCATGGGGACCTTATAGAATACGGATTTCTTCTCACTTGCAGATAATTACAAAATAATTAGCTTTCACCACGATCAATTATGTATTAGACGAAAACATATATTTGCCCTACGCTAAGGGTGTTAGCACGTTTCCTATAAAGGGCAGCGTTAGATGAATGTTTCTATACTTCAATTTGCACTACTGATATGCAACCTACCTAGGTATCGAACAGTGGTGTGACAGATAGCCAAAGTGATACGTCAAATAGCTCTCTGCCAATGAAACAAATGAAACACAACATATACTTCCATGTCTTTGACCCCGCACTTTATTTGGCGGCATCGAGCCCTGACTTCAAACCATATGAACTTGGTTAACACGCTACTAATCTCTTTTCCTTCTATTCCACAGAATATCATTCCAACATGAGCTTATCGTGTCCCTGGGGCGTAAACGGACTAGACAAGTATCGTTTCGAAGCTTATGCCAAACTCTTACGGCTAAAAAATGGCGGCCAGATCGAAGAAGCTTCCAACTTTTCCGAAGTGCTTGACGAAGAGATCGAATCAGATGAGCAAGGCGACGCTGTTTCCGTCAACGCGAACGAAATCTTGTTGTTCGACGAGAGAAAGTTGAAAAGGGCCTTTCTTGATAGGCTATCTGAGCTCACTGCGAATGAGAAAGGAGGCCATCATGTCTCGTCATCTCTGATGCTCGAGTGGCCAGATCGAGTCGATATCCTCGTAGCAAGAAACAATGGCTTCAGAGGAGGGGATGCAACTCTCCAGATACTCGAAACTATAGCCTCTAGCCTCAGAGACATTGCCACGCTGGAATCTTCAGGTCTGACATGCCTTGCCGATCTGCATGTAGCGAGCTAACAGCAGCCCCTTTAGATACTGCCACCGTTTCTACCAAGCAGAATCTTTGGAGGTCACTGGTACAATGGTACAAGTCTAGGATAGACTGTTATATGATCCAAGTCAAAAAGGCCCTGGATGGGACTGTCCTACCTACCAGGGGCCGGGTAGAGACTTCGGCTTCGAACGATTGCGCTCCATCGCTTCTTTCGCGCCTCGAGGAGCTTCGTGCTCTTATAGTTGCGGCGACACATTCACCAACGCAGGACGGCCTTGAAAAGGTCGTAAAGAGTGCCCATGATGTATTCTTCCTGTATAAAGAGCGTGATTTTAATGTCATTGCAAGCAAAAATGCCAATATCAGGTCATTAAGAGACGCGCTAGGCTTCCTTGGTAAGTTACAGACATGCTTTAACACTTTGATAAGAAGTGCAGAGAGGCTCTCTGGCTTCCAAAATCTTCGGATCCTTCAAGTGGTAGATTCACCGACTGGCAGCGCCAAACCAAAAAGGATAGATAAAAGCAATGCCTGGTCGTTAAAGAAGACGCTTGAATCTCTGGATCTTGAATTAAATGACAAGACAGCAGATTCTCTTGTCACAGCCGGCAGAAAGAAAACTCTGTGGACCAAGAGCAAACTGCTTGAACGATTTGACAAATTGAAAGCATCAGCTTCCGAAGTACATGCAGAAACGCAAGTCATCCTGGCGGCGACAAAACACGACTATACGGGCGCGGCCATATTCAAGTACGTGGGCTGCAGTAAGCGCAGCTGTTTCCTCTGCTACAGGCTCGTCCAAAACCTTGGATCTTACACTACAAGAGGGTGCCATGGCAAGCTCTACAATCTCTGGACCGTGCCCGAAACGCCATGGCTTACTGGCGAGGAGCGCTCAAAGCTCATTCAAGCCCTCAAGAATGTCGAGAAAGCCATGAAGGAAGCTATACGTGGTGAGACGGCCGCCGGAATTATACATGCTCCCGAGTCCACAATCGGGGGCTCTTCAGTTGCGACCAAGATACTGCAATCTGGCCAAAGTTCTTATATGCTATCCCTCGTCTCGGAGTACCTCTCATCACAGCGCCAAAGGACGAGATCCAGTGCTGACAAGGAAGAAGAGTTTAGAAGCTCTGAGTGAGTCACCATCTTTTGAATCAAGCGCATCAGAATCCTAATATTTCTAACAGGGGATTAAGCCAGCCTTTGCCAAGCGGAACTGACCATGAAGCCAAAGCTCAAGGTCGGTCTGCGAGAACAATCCCGACACCTGAACAGCTCCATGGCGAATGTAACATTTGTGAACGAGAGACTAGTCGCCGCTGTCAGTTCTGCAACCTGGATTGGTTCTGCAGTCAAGAGTGTCAAGATCAAATGTCATTCTATCATCTCACTAAATGTTCGGCTCGCTCGATAACAACAGCTGACATACTCTGTCACGATGTTATTGGAGATCGAATTCCTCAAGACTCGGAGACGCGTGAGCATTTTGGGTTCACTCGATGCCGTGACTGGAGAAATGAGAGTCACCTCCTTGGTCTTTACCAAGGCCTCATACCTTATCTAGGTGTTGGAGCTGTCCGGCTTAACGAATGGCGCGAGAAAGATATCCTCGCGAGCAAAATTATAGAGGCATTTTCCAAATTGCCTGAGAATAACCGTGGGGCTTACTTCCCGTGGTTCCTTCGAAACCAGTACATCCTTGATAGCTCAAATCCGCCTCTTCAGCTCGTTGGTGAAGATGATCATCTCCACCGAGCTGTAAATGCCGCGAGACTCTACCTCGGCCCAGAAGATCGCGACAAGGAGGTTGGACAGCTAGAGCCACCATCTAAAGGGCATTGCTTCCTGTTTTTCGCCATGGTCTTGGACAGCTCGTATCCAAACCCATATTGGGCCTGGTCTGATTCGTGGTACGATTTTGGTTTTGTCGTATTCCGTAACAAATACGAGGAGGACGAGCTTGGGCGTCTCTACAATATCCTTGTTGGCGGCAGTAAATCAAGTAGAGATGCTGATGAAAGTCTAGGGATTGAACCAGAAGTTTATCCCAATATACCAACATGCTCTTTCAACGACTTGTGGCTGGCCTATGAACACGGCGAGCTCGCAAATCTCTTACGCCGGTATGGTTTAGGCTCCATCTTGGGTGGCAACTTGGGTCTGGAGGAATTTCTATCTTTCCCGCTGAATCAGCGTGAACTGCGCCCATCAGTCTAGAAGTTGAAGCACTTCCTAGCCATCGATCCAAACCAGCCTCTAGAGAACTTTCCCGAGATTGAAGCGGCTGCCCAGGAATATGGCTTTACATCGCAGCTCAATGCGAGAACAAGACTGGCCTTGAGGCAGTGCTATGAGCAGTTGTTTGAAAAGGTGAACCCACTCAGGGTCGATGAAGCAAAGCATGGTGGCCAATTGTACGAGTATGCAGAGAGTGTCCTTGATAACATCGATGATGATGTCCGGCATGTATTGCGGAAGATTAGTCGACAAGATGCTGTACTTCTACCATATACCGGTTTGCTTCCAACCTCAATTACATATGACCATAGGTAGTGGAGAATTCTGGGTCCCGTCTGCTCCCCGATAGACAACCCGCTAACCGGCAGATTAGTAGTCAGGTAGATGACCACTGGCGAACACCGGCTATTGTATGTTTTTGCCTCTAATCTTCTTTTTGTGTTTTGGATTTTTCGAGATAGTGTATATGCAGACTTGATACGGGGTCTTGGGTCATATCTATTGGAACGTGCGGGAATTATCTCTCAACCCCTATAATATCAACCCCTATAAGGGTTGATACATGTACGTACCTTTTAGTTCTTATTCTATAACAATAATTTGAAATCAAAGTCCTCTCGTTGTTCAACTTAGCCCTGTTCCTTGATAAGTCGCTAATCGCTGAAGCGGGTGGAATTGAATATGCTACTCTTGGTCTTTAGGGTTGGTATAAACAAGACCAATGCTATTTTGCTTTTGTTCTTGCTTCAACCCAGTACATACATCGTGTGAACACAAGCCACGTCAGTATGCAATTTCAATATGAAGCCCTCAGGAAAGAAAAAGAGCGAGAAAACGAAAAGATAGCCAAATATATGCAACAGACGATGTTCGCTGCTTGTAAGTGACTTGGATGATAGTTGACCAATTCAAGGCCTCGTAGAGACTGCGGCCGCTGAAAATTATGAAGAAAGTTGGAGATCAAACTAATGGGATATGGATTCGGGATATTCATTTCGCAACATCCCAGACTCGTCGTCTACGTGGACGAGGCCATCAGAGAGGGACCATCATTGAGATGATTGCAAGAAAGGTAACTCAGCGAAAAGGCTTGCCAAGTGTCTTTGTGTAGAGACGCACTTCGTCTTGCAGTTGTTTCGATTCATCGAAGCGACCTTGGCTATGGTATACTGTAGCGAGACCTGCCATACTACTGAGCGTGTAAGGATGCTCTTTCCCAATCGTGTTTTGAGAGAATTTGACGATCTTGACCATAAGGGTTTCAGCCTCGTCGTACCGTCCCAGGTTGTGATATAATATCGCGAGATCTTGCATGGTTCCTATTGTCCTTTGGTGGTTTTCGCCCAAAGTCATGCGAAAGAACTCCACTACTTTGACTTGCATGCCCACGACTTCCAGGGTTTTGCTCGCGGCAGCATTCACCATCACCAAACTATGCATGCGAGCAACCTCGTGAAGATGGGTCTGCCTCTGTATACTGTCGCAAATTTCAGATACCAGATCTTCGACGACCGTAGTTGCGTGGCATTGGAGGTGGCACTGCCCTGTCAGAGTCTGTACATGCATTCTAAACCTAATTGTGCGTATTACTGCCTTGATGTAAAAGTGATAATAGGCTCCATCGAGGTGATCTCGACAATATATCAAAGATTTAGCGCAGGCTTGTCCGACTTGGTCGAATTTTCTCTGGCCGTAGTATGCGCGGGCAAGACAATGCAGCGACTCGATCATGAGCTTTCCAGGACACTGGTCCGCCAAATTTTCAAGAAATTGAAGCGCTTGTGTTTGAAGTTCTTCTGCCGGTCCGAACCGGAACATTTTGCACATGATGTTGGCTACATTGTGCATTGAATGGAGAGTGTATAAATGCTGCTCTCCAAGACGGCTTTTGAGTTTCTCGAGCACACTGTTCTCGATCTCTGCTGCTTCCGGATACCGGCCTTGTCCGCAGTAACTCTCTGCAAGTAGCTGCTTACTGCATATTGTGGCGACATCATTAGGACCGAAGAGGCGGAAACGAAGCTTGAAGATTTGAACGTCCACCCACTCCTTGTCCTTCCATCTCTCTGTAGTCCGTAGGTAGACTGATACCCGATCGAGCAAAGCACACATTCGTCTCTCCTCATTGGATATTTGAACCCAGTCTGCAACATTTACTACATGAGCAAAGTATTTCTCGCCGCACTTTAGTAAATCTGGATATTCATTTGCTCCCCTTGAGCCTTCTATTCCATCACCTAAACACTCTTTTGGTGGATTCGGAAAAAGCTCATCGACAACTTGAATAGCAAGCCTGGTGAAGCAAGCTGTGCCCCATTTCGAGTCATCAATGTCTTGATCCGTCGGCTGTCTCGCAGTAGAAATAGCGTGTTGTGTCGCTTCCTGTACAAGTTTGTGCATCTCATAACTTTGGCTCCCCTTTCGTCCCTCACAAAGCTTGATGAATGAGAACTCTCTCAACCGGATGACGGCTCTTTTAACATCCATGATGGTTAAATGAGTCGTGCTAATGTGTCGTGCGGCGGCAGCGATCATGTCATAGGGAATATCTCGATTGTCGAAATAGGCCATTACACGGAGTAGCTCCGAAGCCAACAAGTTCTCCTGCGCGATACGAGCAACTGAAATGCTCCAGATTTTGAGAATGCTGTTGGGAACACCGGCTTTGCGATGGATATCGAATTGTTCCTCTTCCAGAAGCGGCCATCGTTCCTCGTTATTCGAAAGCATAGCCAAATATTCTTGGACAGTTGCCCCAGCTCTTCTCATGTAGGCACCGGCCTGTGAGATTCCAAGAGGAAGCCATTGGAGCTCTTCAAGGAGCTTCTCAATGTCTTCATCTTCATTATCAGCTTGCTCTTGCTCTTGCTCTTGCTTCTGCTCTTGTTCATCTTCAAAAACTTTCCCTCGCGCTATGGCAAGAAGACTTCTTGCTTCCATGGATGTCATATGCGAAATGTGGATTGCCCTGCTCGAAGAATGCACCAGCGATCCGGCAATCTGCCCGTCGCGACTGGTCCACAGCACAGTTCCCTTGGTTCCGACAGCAGTTCCGTTTGGGACGAAATCAAAAAGGTTACTTGAGCCTTGTTGAGTCTCCCCCACGCCGAATAAAGAAAGGTCGTCAGCATTATCGAGTACAAGCAGCCACTCTGATTCAGACTGGATGCGGTTGCTGACAGCCCTGAGCAGCTCTGAATCTTGACCGCCAATGACTCCTGCCAATCCAAAGAGTGCCGCAATCTTCTTATAGTCTTGTATAAACGCGACTCGAGTATCTGCGTGCACCCAAAACACCGAACAGCGGGGATTTTCTGATTGGCGGTAGGCGTGCTCAAGAGCAATCTGCGTCTTTCTGTAGCCAGTATTTGGTCAATTACTCGCCTGCATTGTAACAGCAGCGGTGCAGTAGTATATAGGTACATACCCGGATCCGCCTAACCCCCAGAGGGCGGCATCGTTGAAAGACTTGGAATATTGCAGCAAGAGGGCATTGAGTCTTTCGACAAGGCCTGCTCGATGGACAAACTCCTTGTTGCGGAGATATGGGATGAGCCGGACCGGCTTCCGAGGCTGCGGACGTTCTGAAGGGTAATGGTGATGCACGTCGCCTTGATTGATGGTCACGTTATCGCCAAGCTGGCTATCCGTAAAATTGCGATTGTGCGTTTGAAGCTGCTCTGCATTCATTCTGTTGATGGTTACATTACATTGAAGTTTTGAGTGAAGGAGGGGAGATGCCAAAAAGCCCGAAATCTGCAGCCCATACCGATCAGGCTCGCTTGGGCTGGATCCATTGGGTGATGCTTATTCGCTGGCCTCATGGCAGCGGGGATGTCGATAGTCACGAGTCATCATGTCTGCAGACGCTTATATCAATTATCTTTACAAGTCATGACGGATAATTTTGATATATTGACTGATTGCAAAGACTTCATGACAACATCCAACAAAAGTTGGTTTCAGCTCTACCTATATCACGCGCTTCTCTAATGGCCGTTATTGGCACATAAGTATACACGGTATAGTACTTTGGCAAGACCCAGAAGTTATATCCGTGATATTATCTGTATTATTAACTATATAGGATTATAAGATACAAATTGGTCGTGAACTGTATGCTAGTGGCGGCTTTGGTCAAGAGGAAGTTTTCTCTTTCGGTCTTGGGCAGCTTCTCTCTCAGCTTGTAACGAGAGTGAACACTGAGGCGATGGGAGGGAAGTTGGAGTCTTTAGGCTCAAGTTCATCGGGAGTGCGGACCTCGATAAAGTGCTCAGTCCCTAGGTAGAACTCCTTGATATCAGGGGCGGCATCCTCAGTTGCGCGCTGAGAGCGTTTCAGCTGAGTGTCAACAAACCAGTACTTGTTGTCAGTTATCACATGGTTGATGTTGAGTGCAGTCAGCGTGTCGATGTCGAGGACATCGAGGGAGCCAGAACTTTGAAGAACGTCCACCCACTCGGCAGTGTCGACGCTTTGTAGGTCAATAGGGTCTACCTCGAACGCCACGTTCGTGCAAGTCGCGCTTAGTGGTATGCCTGAGGGGTACGATAACTTGCGGCGGCTGTGGAGGACGATATTGCTCTCTTGGTTGAAGTAGACTTCAAAAGGAGCTTGGGGAGCCATGGTGCTCTATGCCTCATCAACACGCTGTTCTTTACACTTGAGATGTGCCGTGTGGCATCTTACCTTCTACTAGGGCAGAGGCTGTACGGAGGATTAAAGATGGAGTGATAGTGTTCACTGGCTGATTATTTATTCCATGGGTTAAAGGCGTGCTAATAAAAAGGAAAGAGAAAAGAAGAAGAGGGAAAGGAAGAGGAGTTTCGTTTGTTGAGTGCACGGTCAGGCAGATCCACAGTTGATGATAGTAAAGGTGCAAGGTGCTACTTATTCCATCTGCAGAAGTATCTGGTGCTCTATACTTCATTACAGCGCACGATTCACGACCTCTTCTTCGGGAGAGTGCATCCAGGCGGTGAGGGTCGCGGCAGGCTGCTGGCATATGTGAACATGATAATATGAGTGAATGTGTCGAGAAGGTTCCAGAGTCCTAAGAAACAACAACCAACCTCTTTGGAAGCCCATTTATCTATTATTGTTTCGTTTGCAACGATTGGGGGGCACTTGGTGCTTGATCAGGGTATCTTTTCATTTCTTCTTCCATAGTCTTTTTTCTAGTTGTTGTAACACGACCCTCTTCGCCCGCTTTGTCACCTTATATGGACCTTGCGAATACTTCAAAACAACAAAAGAAAAGAAAAGAAAAAAGAAGAGAAAAAAAAATGGATATAACAGCCGATGTTCGCCGTATTCACCGATGGTTACTTACTGGCTACTACTCATCTACCGGTTCTTAGTGGATTGTCTATCGGGGAGTGGGCGGGACCGAGAATTGTCCACTACCAATGGTCATATGTGGTTAAGATTGATAGCAAACCTGTCTATAAAAGACATACGGTCGACTATATGATTCAAATCGTTTGGTATGCTTGCAGTTCAAGTTGATCATGTCAAACGTTACTATTTCATTGGGTATATAGCTATATCTCATTATCCTCCCATTTCCCATCCGCCAACTACACTATAATGTTTACTCCAGCAAAATTACGCCTTGACTGCAGGAGAGGCAGATGCTGCACGGGCATTAGCCAGAGTCGACTTCTTAACGAGTCGCAGGCCACCAAGTAGCATGACGAGGGCCTCAACGAGGAAGATGACACCCAGAGTGACGAGAGCACCAATGACGCCAGCAACAGGTCTGGTGATGTTGCTGTGGTCGATAGACTTCTCAGATGAAGCACTGGCGGTGGTGTTGGAGGCACAGCTGCCGTCGGTGTTGCCGCAGGTAGAGCACCAGTCAGAGGTGTTTGCGACGGCAAACTTGTTGATGCCGGTCTTGAAGTCGTTCCAGCTGATGGACGTATCCTTCTGGCCAAACAGGGGGTAGGCCTTGAGGCCGTTCTCGGCAGCAGTGCCGTTGGACCAGAGGAAGCGAACGGTCAGATCGTCCTCGGAGGTCTGGGTGGCGCTGGGGGCGACGAGCTCGAGCACCATGGCGGAGGCGTAGTCGCAGATGCCGTAGAAGTCGTTGGAGGCAGCGGGCAGCTGAGCAAGGCCGAAAAAGGACATGAAGGCGGCGTAAGCGCCAAACTGGATGTTGAACTTGGGGACGGCCTTGCCGTCGGCGATGCCCTGAAGAGCAGTCACGATCTGGCCGGCGAGAACGGAGCCAGCAATGGCGCGGGCGGGGTCGCTGCTGTTATAGGCGAGGTTCCACTCGTGGGTAGAGGCGTAGTCGTAGAGGTTGGAGAGCGTGGATTTGGTGAGGAGGTTGTCAGAGGGGATGGAGGAGTTGTGAATTGTGGCGACATTGATGTAGTCGAAGACTAAAAGGAGCAGAATGTTAATAAGTTGAAGATTTCAAAACAAACTTCAGTCAGTGAAGAGTTAAACGTACTGGTGTAGCCATTCTTAAAGGTGGCCGTGCTCGAGTTGAATGTGGTGTTAATCACAGGCAGCAAGTTCTGGTAAAAGTCCTTGGTGTTGTTGAGGTCGCTGAGATAGTCAGGGCTCAGGAAGTAGTTGTTTGAGCTGACAACAGCATTGTTGCAGCCGCTGCTGCCCTGGAGCCAGGCACTGGACTCGGAGTTGGACGAGCTGGCAGAGGTGACGGTGTTGACGGGGATGTACTGATATCCGCCGAGAGGAGCTACAACGGTGGTGCCGTTGGCAAGCTTGGTGGAACCGGCAGCCTTGTTGGCGGGATACAGGCCCTGGGCAAAGACGCCCGCCGAGTTCTGCAGCACATTGTCCACCGGCGCCGTGATGGCCAGCTGGGAGAGAACAGCCTTGTCGGCGCTGATGTCTGCAATCTGCAGCGAGGCGCCGTCGTCGATGTAGCGCTTGCGGAAGAAGTCGGCCGAGCTGGCCACCTCGTCGGCGCCGAGGGGAGTCAGGCTGACGGGAGGCCACGACTTGGACGTGCGGTCGCCGTGGCGGTGGAAGATGTAGACGCCGAGGACCTGCTCAGCGGCGGTGGGTGCAACGGCAGCAGCCGAGAGGGCGAGGAGGAGCTTGGACTGCATGTTGGTGATGGTGTTGCTGCTACTGGATGCCTATCTAGAGGAGCTCAGCTCGACAATCTGATGGATGGGCTCTGAACTATGCTGAAAGAGCTGCCACTGAAGAGATCAGAGGCAGCAATGCGCGCGCGGGGACACGCCATGACATTTATATAGGTCATGTACGTGAGAGATTATCTAGTAGTAGTAGTATGTAGCTGTACTCCATCTTACACGCATGGAATGATACGGCCTGTATAGATGCAAGCGAACCTGTTTGCAGAAACAAGCTCTGCTAGGTCCAATTAGCTCGGGAACTTTTCTCGCGGGCCTCGCAACTTTCGGGATATCTCTGCGGAGACTACAGGTCCCGGTGGAGAGAGAAGCTGGGCGGGAGCGAATTGAAGCCCGTCGCGAGCCGGAAAAGTGGCGGTTTGGCCCCGCCGAGGAGGGGAAGAAGGTTGCGGCCTATCGTGGAATCGCTTGAGTCGCTAAAAAAGAGAGAGAAGAGAGAGATTGGTGGAGATGCGGCTTACATAGGTACGGAGATCGACAGTGAGGCACTGAGAAGCTTTTTTTGTCTTGTGCTTCCCAAGCTGAAGGTGCTGTTTTTGGCTATTGCCCTGGTATCAAGGTTCTGTCTTCTCTGAAACTCAATTCGCCTCGTGGCTTCAAACATCCATGTACCTGTAAAGCATTCCGACAGTTGCCTTTTGAGTCAATTCGTCAAGCAATGCATCAAATCTCATGCGACGAGATGTCAAAGCTCCAGTCAGCTTTCTTCTGGCCTCTCTGCCGCCCACACGCCCGGCCGCTGCACCCAGCCTAATCTCATTCAGAAACATCTCCGCTCTCACCTACATGAAAGCTTGCCCGACGATAGTAATGCAACCCACGCAGCCCGTCCATGGCTATCTGCCGTCACCACCACTACTGTACAGCAGCTCGCTACAGCAAATCCACCCCCCGCCCGGAGATACACCTGCCACACCATTGGGCAGCCAAGCAAACCAAGTACCGTAGCACCAATTGCAGCTCGTCCTCCCGCGGGCATCGTGCCGACGAACCGCCAGCTTCCGCAGAGGTGGAGCTCTTTGGCCCACTGGAAACGCCGTTTCTGGTCCGAAGGGCAGTTTTCGTTACTGTAGCTGGTGGCTGCTCCAATGGGCTGCGGCAATTGGAGAGAAGGATTAGAGACTATTAGACGCCACGGGTGTAGGAGTTTTATGTAAGTAGGAGCGCCAAATATGGCTCTACAGGCATCGATCGATGAGAGGTTGGAATTCGACTTTCTAGATGCGCGCGGCCAAGATCCGGTCGCCGTCGGGAGCGAGCAGCGCAAAAAGAAATAGTCAAAACCCAATTTCGACGCCATTCCTGCGCCCTCTCCATGCCATCTGCGCATTATTGATCCTTGGCTGCCAGATCTCGCTCGCTGTTGCTGTTTTGGGACGGAAAATACAACAAGTGATAGCCACCACGTTATCTGCTATATCCCAGTAATTGCCGCTGTGCCGATGCCTGAATGGGCGATTGAATGCACGGCTAGACCATATCAGACAGCACACCACGTCGCCATTAGCTTGGAAGAACTTCTCAGCTCAACTGTATCTGCTGTTGATTGATCGATAGTACTAGTAGTAGTGGGTACCTTAGGTACTCAGGTGCAAGAGGTTGTATCTCCGAGGGCGACTCGGATCCGCAGCAATGCATCTCGCGCGATTAATTAGATATGATAGGCCATCTGCTCATGAGTTGACATTGAGAACATGAACATACATGTAGGCAGCTCCTTGTTCTCACACATGCAGTTGCAGAGAGCCGAGGCTTGTGAATTGTACCTTTCGTAGCAGTTTAACCATCTTGGCGCATTGGTTTTAGAATACAGTTGATGGTATCAAGCAACTCCTCCATGAAGCGCACAGACAAGGAAGTAGACTTGATGTATTCGTCTAACATGTACCTATATATGCCATTAAACATTGCGCTTTGGAAATTCCAATCATGAGTTGAATGCTGCGCTCCCTTCAACTCCAGTGCTAAAACAGGAGCCAGATAGACAGCACGTTTAAACAAGGCTCCGTCTCGCCCTATTTCATCCTTTCACCCCACTCTTCTAAACATGTATAATCCTTCTCTTCCTTGCCAGGCTGCTCTCCTTACAGCTTGGACTTATCCTTCTTTCCTCCCTTCAGGCCCTCGGACGTTTGGCCCGTCTTGAGGAAATCAGGATATTGCACATTCGTATCCACACCAACCGTATAGGCTCCCTGTCGTCTCCATGATCCGCCATCAACAGGAATGATCTGGCCGTTGACGTAGCTCCCCGCATCGCTGAACAAAAACACTGTCGCATCTGCAATATCCTTCACGGTACCGAATCGACCTGAAGGAACCGTCTTTGCAAACGCCGCAATCTCCTCGGGCTTGCTGCTCGCCAGACGAGCCATACCCTCGGTATCGGCGATGGGGCCTGGCGCGATGACATTGGCGACGACGCCGCGGGGGCCGTACTCGAGCGTGATGCTGGCTATCAAAGAGTCCACGGAGGCTTTGGCGGCCGCAACGTGGGCCTGGTAGGGCATGCCGGTGTAGTGGAACGTCGCGGAGACGGCCAGGAAGCGAGGGGTCGAGCTGCGGAGGAGGTGAGGAATGGTGGCCTTGATGGTGTTGTAGGTGCCGAGGACATCAATGTCCATGACCGTCTTGAAGGCGTTGGAGCTGATGCCGTCGATCGGGGCGACAAAGTTGCCTGCTGCGCCAGCACTGCGGCCGTCAGTATGAATACGGAGCACGACCAAACATGAACAACTCACATCACATAATCGATGCCCCCAAGCTCCTTGACACATTGCGCCGCTGCGGCTTCAAGACTCTCAACCTATCAATCGGGCAACGTCAGCGCTGGATCGTTCCATTACTACCAGTCACGAGTTCCACCGTCTTACCTTGCGCACGTCGCATCCTCCAAGGCCAATGACTTTAGCGCCCGATCGAGCCGTCGCGATATCTTTCGCGGCAGCCTCTGTCTTTTGAACGTTTCGGCCCAAGATGAAGGCGTTGGCGCCGAGTCGAACCAAGGCTCTGGTCTGCATGCTGCAAATGGTTCCCGCGCCGCCGGTGACGAAGACGACCTTGCCCTCTGCCGATAGCAATTAGCCATGCTTCTTTCACTCTCCACCAAGCAGAAAAATCACTAAAGGGGGCAGAGAATGCTCACTGAAGATGTCGTCTCGCCATACGGCGCTCAGGTACTTGGATTCGGGGACGGACATGATTGCGACGCGATTGTTGCTGAGCTACAGTAGGTGAAGTAAAGAGGATAGAAGGAGTCTTGAATAAACGGATTTGGACAAGAGAATTAGAGGCAGAAGAACTGCTATTTGTCTATTCGTATCCTGTCGGCTCGATCGGGGACCATTCAACATGAGTCTGGGAGTAAACTGGCTGTGCTGCGTCCCAACAATCTTGAAGGAGGATTACATTTCCTGATTGGGTGATTGAGCCTCGGCATGACTGTGGGGTGTACCGTCAAATGGTCGGTTAATTATGGCCCGCGGGAATCGCCTTATGGTACGCGGTAGAATCTGGGGTAACTCCAGAAATGCCATGGGAAAAAAGAGACTTGCTTTCCATTGATGCCGAGTGGTTGTTGGCGATTAGTGTTGAATAGCTGGTGTTGTTGTTTTGTTAATCTCAGCATGTGACGGCGATGCTTAGTCATCATGGGTGGATGTTTGGATGTTTGGACGCTGTTGTTCATGAACTTCATCTAAACTCAATCTCCAACAACTGCATATCCCTACTATTTTTGGGACTAGTTATCGATTTAGAGAGAAAACCATGAATTCTAAAGTTTAAATATGCACTACAACCGGTCGTATACAAATACAACAGCGGCGAGTGTGGCAAGGCTGCATGTTTCGATGCGTGTGCTTGACGCAGCTCCATCTACCTACATTCACTAATGCTACTAGTAGCAGTCCTGCTTTACTAACGATAATCGGCTCGCCACAGGAGCTTGTGCCCAGACAAAAATTCATCATTTCGAAAGTGTTATATCGACGCGATATCTGTGACGCATTGCTGGCGCAGTTCTTCAAATTTATCTACATATTTCAAGGTGTATGTATGTACACTACGTTGGCTCTCACATCTTTCGCTTCTTTTGCCAATAGACCACTCACCTGATCTTAGCCGCATGCTGTGTAACGACGTATGTGCTCAGTTCAGGCATGAGGACCCTGAAATTTCATCTGGCAAATTGACAAATTGACATCAGTTGCAGCTCAAATTCAGATGATGGAGGATCGTCCAGTGCCTGTTTCAAGCTCGCTGATCCGTAGGCTAAAGCTTTTAGTTCCTAGGCTGTAAGGACTTGCCACTCAACCAAACGGCCGATGCACGTGCTAATTGACGCGCGTGTAGTATTGGAGGCCTACAGCCTAGACTTTGATGCAATTGATCCGACTCCTCTAGTCAGCTAAATGGCAGAATACCAATCGAATGTCTATCTCTTTACATCTCAATTCATCTAATCTTGAAAGGAGAGGGGGAAGACAAAGACATTGAAGACTCAAGGCCAACAAAAAGCTTCAACGTATCACAGCCCGCTGTCACAGCCATTACAGCGAAGCACAGGCCACCTTAGCTGTCCACTATAGCGCTGGCTCGCGTGCTATTCGCCAGCGGATAGCGGGCCCCAGCTCCGCGTCTCCGCATTCAACGAAACACCAAGCCTTACCTCGTCACCAATTAATTTCACCACCAACAGTCAGTCTCCTCTGCTGACGCCCAGCAATCATCGCAAACCGCATACCAGCCAGCGCATCGCGTCTTTCACATGCCCACGTCAGGTTGAACAGCTATCTTCGCTAACTCGCCTTGCTCTGACGAATTTTTTCGACGCAAAGTGTTGCGCCGCCCGCGCTGGGGCCTGCTTCGAAGCGGGAAAACTTTAAGGAGCCCTCGCCTCGAGGCCCTCACGCTGCAAGGACAGCTGAGAGAACAAGACAGACGCAGCCAGCGAGTTGACTGCTGTCAGTTTCTGAACGATGCCGAACACCTCGGACCGAGCTGTACGATTCTCGGGTGGCAGCGACGATGAAGCAACCACCATAGCCATCATCCAGGACTTGAAGCAGCACGCCTTGCTCGAAGACGATGACTCGTCCCCCGAATCCAACGGCGTCGACCTGCACGCCATCCAGCATCAAGATGAGCTGGGATCACTCAACAGATATGCAAACGCCCCCAACAGCCTCACTGGGTCGCTAAACTCATTGCCACCCGGGACGCACATCAATGGCGCCCCTCCTCCCCGGACTCAACGAGCCAGTGGAGGAGAAGCCGACGCGTTGCAGGCTCAACGCCCCAAGGGGCCTATGAGAACGCCTTCCAATACGTACAACCCTTCAAGCTCGCGAAAACCTGCCGTCGTACAGCCGCAGTCGTCATTCTCCGAGGCAGGCCGCTCGTCATCGAAAACGCGACTACGGGGAGGCGACAGTCGGTTCAAGGCGCAAGAACGAGCATACGTCCAAACACTTCGGCAGGGAGGCTACACGGGAGAATATTTCAGCCAGTATCAACAACAAACAAACGGAAATGAATCCGACTCGGAGGGCGGCGGAGAGGGTGAGACGCCCTCATCCGAGGGCCCATTCGAAGACCGCCTCGACCAAGAGACCATCATGTTTTACGGCAACGACGACATACAACCAACAGAGGAAGATATCGCGGTGCCCGAAAATCGGGAGCGGCTAGAGTGGCACGGCATGCTGGAGGCTGTGCTAACGGGAGATGTCGTTAAACAGGAAAAGAAGCGTCTCATCAATTCCACCGACACCACTGCCACCAAGGCTGCCTACAAATCAGAGCTGTGGTTCGAGCTCCGCTCTGAAGCCTGTGGGAGGCGTGTTCCAGTTCAGAGGCGCATTATAGACGAGGGCCGAATAGCAGTGGATCGCGTCCTGGAGGAAGTTATCAATTTCCAAGTCAAGGGGACAATCGAGGCGGGAAAGCCTCCTCACGAGCAAGTCAAAGACATTGTCAAAAAGATTGAGAAATGCGAGACCCTGTATCCTTCTTGGTCTGCTCTTGTGGATGAGCATAGCACTGCCGAGTCCCTCAAATTTATCGAAGCGTACGAGGCCATCATGTCCTGGTATAACACAAACGAAATGATCAACACTGAGCTCTCGATCCTGAAGAAGTGGGTTGGAAACGAAGATCTCGACTTTTCCCGCACCAAGCAGCGATCGCCCGCAGTTGATGGTATCACCAGCGACGAGGCTTCGTTTCTCGACAAGCTCATGAAGGAGGACGGCCTGCAGTCACTGTACAACGACAATGCCAAGGTGACGCTCAAGGGCGATTTGGTCCAAAGAGGAATGCTGCAGCCCATATCTACAGTCATTGATAAGGCAAAACAGACGCTGATCCACAATTCGATACCGTTCCAAAAGCGTCATTTGCCCCCGTATCTCGACGAGCTGCTGACCCTCATCAGCTTCCCGTCACGGCTTATTGAAGAGATTATCAGAACGCGCTTGGAGTATACTAAAAAGGTCAACGAGACGGCCCAGCAAAACCCCTTGATGCAAAGCCAAATGATCACTCAATTCCAGCTCTTGTTGCAGTTTGCGATTAGGATAAAGAATGAGTACCTCACCATCGAGAACCCAGAAGAAGGTTGGGACTTGCCTCCCTGCATTGACGATTCCTTTGATCAGGTAGTGCTGGAAGCCCTACAGTTTTACTTCAAGATGCTCAACGCGAAACTCAGCGGGAATAAAAACACGTTCAAGGAAGCCGAGCTGCTTTTTCAGGAGTGGGACTTTGCCAATGAGATTGGCACATCTCTGAACCGCGGTAACATCAGGGTTGCAGAGCAGTTTAGTTCACTGACTCTCAAGGCATTCAACCGCCTGAGCTCGACGTTTGACAAGGAGCTCCAAGTCAAGCCCGAAGAGAGCGCGGCGGATATGAGCAAGCGATACAAGGCGGCTCTGGACTCTGTGCGTGTCCGCCAGAGAATGCTCCAGCGCTTTTCCAGGATGCTGAGCGAAAACTATGAACATGTCTGCGACTTCAACACCTCTCTGGAGCCAGCGACGACGCAAATGCTATATGACCACCTCGTGGCATCGGGTCACTTCCAGGTGGACACGCGTGGCGTGCTGGAGAGTACTGGTATCTACCTACTAGCAAGTCCAGCTCTTAGGGATAGGCTCTATGACATCCAAACCATGATGGCCATCACGGCCCAGGACCGATACCCTCCCGATACTGGCGATGTGTACATTCTCCTGATCAGGCCAGAGGGGACGTTTATGTGGATCGGCGATACGGTATCCATTCTGCTCAAAGAGCAGACCGTCGATCTGAAGCGCGGCCAAATTCGGCTGTGTGCCACAGGAAGCCATTCCCTCTCTCAGGCGCGCAAGCTATTCCTCGATGCCGCCGACATGCATCTCGACCTCGTGGGAGAGTCACGGTCCAACATTCACAAGGTGAACACGAGGCTGACTGAAATTCGTCGCGTGGCCTACAAACTCTCCGAAACGTTCATGAACAGCGTTGAGATTATCAGAAACCAGACTCAAGGCAAAGACTGCCAAGAGCTCATCCAAACCTGCTTCATATTTGCCACAGAATTCGGCCAGCGCTCGCTCCTCTACATGGACAGCAACCGCCGACAGATGAACAATATCAAGCTGACCAAACTTGCCCTGGACTGGGTCGGTTTCATCTGCGATGACTGCATGGCGTCAGATCGAAGAACTTTTCGATGGGCGGTGACTGCTCTGGAATTTGCCATGCTCATGACCCGCGGACGCCACATCCTGGGCCTTGGCGAGGAAGAGTACGAAAGAGTGCGCGCCAAGGTTGGCGGGTGCATGGCTGTCCTGATCTCGCACTTTGATATAATGGGGGCCAGATCCAACTTGGCTGCTCAGGCAGAGAGGGAGCGAATCGAAAATCTGGTGATTCAGTTCAAGAAGGACAAGAACAAGAACATGGATGACGACGAGGCCACTTGGGGTGTCATACAGCAACGAGTGGCAAAATTGGATCTGGTGGACGAGCTTCGACAGGAAAAGGAGTCTGAACGACGGGCGCTAGGTCGCGTGCTTGAGACCAACAACGAGGCCGATCGTTCGCTGGCATATCTCTCAGCGTCGGCCACAAACGTTACGGTGCGATGGCAGCAGGGCCAGTTTGTTGGCGGAGGCACTTTTGGCAACGTCTACGCCGCCATGAACTTGGACACGGGTCATCTCATGGCAGTCAAGGAGATTCGTCTCCAGGACCCCAAGCTGATCCCAACAATTGCAGAGTCGATTCGCGAGGAGATGCGCGTTCTGGAAGTTTTGGATCACCCCAACGTTGTGTCATATCACGGCATCGAGGTCCATCGAGACCGTGTTTACATCTTTATGGAGTTTTGCTCTGGAGGATCGCTTGCTAGTCTGCTCGAACACGGCCGTATTGAGGAAGAGGAGGTGATTATGGTGTATGCGCTTCAGCTACTGGAGGGTCTTGCGTATCTGCACGAGAGTGGAATCGCTCATAGAGATATCAAACCAGAGAGTAGGTTTCCCTTTTCCATCCAATCAGAACCGAAAGCATGCTAACTGAGGATAGACATCCTTCTTGATCACAATGGTATCATCAAATATGTGGATTTCGGCGCCGCCAAGCTCATCGCCCGACAGGGCCGCACCATGGCAGCCGATCTGCACGCTACAAAGCCAAACAAGTCGATGACTGGAACACCGATGTACATGTCGCCAGAAGTTATCAAAGGCGAGAATCCCGGTAAGGCCGGATCGGTGGATGTCTGGTCGTTGGGATGCGTGATTCTCGAGATGGCAACGGGACGACGGCCATGGGCCAACTTGGACAACGAATGGGCAATCATGTACAACATTGCCCAAGGTAACCCGCCGCAACTTCCCTCGCTAGACCAGCTTAGCCCTTCGGGCATCGACTTTCTTACCAAATGCTTTGCACGAGATCCTAAGCAGAGACCGTCGGCAATTGAGTTGCTGCAGCACGAATGGATTATGACTATCAGAAACCAGGTGGTTGAGCCGGCGACGCCGAGCGATGCTAGCGGATCGTCTCAGTCGCCGTTTATATCAACCACCTCTACCAGGACAAGTATTGGGCCAGATGGCTTTTATTAGCCGCTGTTCTTTTTCCTTTCCCGTTTTTTCTTCTTTTTTTTAGTTTCTTTTTCTGTTTGCTTCGTCTTTGGAATGGAAACTTTGGCTTGGCTTTTGCTTCTCTTTTTTACTTCTACATGGCGGAGGGCAATACACGGCCCCACGGAACAAACCAAGTACACAAGCGGGCATGAATAATATGGAGGACTCGAATGGATCTTTTACGATATTTATATGCTTTTTCTTTTCGGATGTTTTTAATTATTTGGCAGTAATCTTTACAAATACGGGGGGAAAGATTGATATTTCTGCTTTTACGATACCTTATACACCAAGATTGCATCAGGGACGAGAGTCTGGAGTTGGCAAGTCATGTTTGATATATATTTTCACATGCAAAGCGAAGTAGCTGGAAATGAGAGAAGTTTTGGGCAATTTTTGAAAAGAAGGATGGAATGTGAGGAGATTTCAGCAATATTTGAGCTATACTGGTAATGTCTGTAACTGAAAGAGACTTGTTACTTTCTTCGACTTATGTACGCAGATATTACTGCTTGTTGCGAAACATTAATATGAGGATATTCCAGCCCATGAGAGATACACCTAGAATTGAGTAAGGTTGTTTGTATTGCGTTTCGGCTAGTGAAGGCATCTTGTCATGCCTGAGCTGAGGCTGCTGGAAACTGATTTGCTAAAGTGTACTGAGCGGGAATACAGAGTACGTAATATGTAAGTAATACGGTGGAACGAGACTTGTAAAGACGACGACTGCCAGGACAAACGCTCCAACACGCTGAGTTGTCACATAGTGCCATGTATCCGTATCCGTAGATCTTATCTCGTGCCAGTAGAAATCCTCGTTGTGAACTACCTTGAGTAATAGACAAGATAAAAGCCCCCCATGCACGACGCACGTTCGGCGAGCCGCATTCGGAACCGGCGCCTACCGTCGCTGCAGCGCACCTTCCCCCGCCAACAGCCCCGCATCAACGGCGTGTTCCGGTGTGGGTAAGAGCGGATCTGCAGATGTGGAAAGAAGCGACCGCGGGAGAGCAAATATAAAATGTCGGCTTCTCAAGGGCGGATTTCTTTCTCCCTTTTTTCCTTTCTTCCCTCCCCTTGGGTCACTTGCCCCCCTTCTTAGAACGAGTTATACTGCTCCAGAAGGATAATTGATACCCGTAATACTGCTTTATTTTCTGCGTCTATCTTCTCAATCAAGTGCCCGAGTCAGTAATCTCATCCAACCTCATCATCACCATGTCCGCCAGCCCGCCCATCCACTCCGGCTCAGACGCCACCCAGATCGCATCCACCTGCGCGTCGCTCAGCATCACCACCACCGAGTTCGCCGAGCTGCAGAAGCGCGCCACCGCCGCAAAGGCCACGGCCTACTGCCGCTACAGCCGCTTCCGCGTCGGCGCCACGCTGCTGTGCGCGGATGAGGCCGGCGACGTGGTCTATGTGCCGGGTGCCAACGTCGAGAATGCGTCGTATCCCGTGGGCACGTGTGCCGAGCGGGTGGCCTTTGGCACGGCGGTGACGAGCGGCATCAAGAAGTTCCGGGCCATTGCCGTGGCGACGGATATTAGCCCACCGGCTAGCCCTTGCGGCATGTGCAGGCAGTTGTGAGTAGTGTTTCCTGATTTGTTTCTATGGGATGGATGGTGGTCTTGGTGGTTGGCGGTGACATGCAAGGGAGAGCTCGGTGAGGGTGGAAAGACAGGGGGGAGAGCAGGGGGGGAAGCGAGAAAGAGGCTGAATGGTATAAGAGTGGCTGGTATGAGCTGAACTGACCCGATTGGCTGCAGCATCCGCGAGTTTTGCACGCAGGAGACGCCCGTCATCATGTTTGACAAGAACTCGGACTATGTGGTCCTAACGGTGGAACAAGTAAGTCAAAAGTATCCCTTCAGAGCCCCTGAGCTACCGCATGCTGCAACTCAGACAAGCGTCTTTCGCTTTATTGTTAGCTGTAAAACTCACGGACTAATGCATCCCTTGCAGCTTCTCCCAATGTCCTTTGGACCAGACGCTCTGCCGCCTCCAGGAGCCCCTGGATACTAAGATTTGATGTCTTGGCCGCGCTTCAGACTATTGACGCCGTGTGGCTGCGACATCCGTGCGGCTGCAAGGAGTACCGGGGAAGGACGGGAGGAGGACTAGTGGCGATGGGCTTGAACTAGACAGGATGGATTGTGGTTGTTTTTGTCACTCTATTCTTACTTTAATGATGACACCGAGTAATTTGAGATAATGCATGTCTTGAAAGCCAATTTCCACAATGCGGTGACTACATGCAGGGAAAAGGCGAGGAAATTGCTATGTTTTTGATACAGGCCCTTTGTATTCGTTTCAACTAATGGAAATGGAAGAAACGGAACAAGGCGTTATTATCAGAATCCGCAAATTCAGTCACTGTTGGGCTGTATCGGAGCTCGGCTGAGGATTACAGGACAAAGGTACACACATTTGCACAAAGCCAAGTATAATTGAAAAGAAATCAGAATTTGATATCCTCCGTATTTGACACTTCCTATCCGTATTACGCAATCTCCTCATACAACCTCTGCAAAAACATCTCCCATATCCATCCCGTAAACGTTCTGCCCGATTTCCATGTTTCCAAAGAAAAACATGCTGTACTATATGTAAAATATCGTATGTATTATCTATGTATCGTAAGAAAAGTAAAGTAGCTCTGCACAGCACTACACAACCCATCAACACCTATATCACACATTTCCTGCTTCCATCAGCGACAAGGAGCTGCTTAGCAGTCGCCGTCGTCACCGGTACCTCCATTGCCAGGGGGGTTGCCGCCGGGGGGACCAGTGGCTCCAGGACCAGAAGGAAGAGTGAGGCTCGGGCGAGGGAGGGTTGCGAACGTGGTGGGGATGCTGATGGGGAGAGTGAAGGGTGGGATACTGAAGGGTGGTAGGCCCGGGATGCTGATGCTGAAGGGTGGCAAGCCTCCATTGCCAGGGATGCTGATGCTGAAGGGGGGTAGGCCTCCGTTACCACCGCCAGGGAGAGGCGTACTCGTTACAGTCGGGATGCTGATCGCGGTGGTAGGGTTTCCAGCGCCAGGAATGGTTAACGGGCCACCAGGAGGTGCATAATCATCACAGTCATCGCCGTCGCCGCCAGGTGTTGATGTGCCTGTTGGGTCAGCGGGAAGGGAGCTAGTGGCGGTGATGGTGGTGGATCTGGTGTGGTCATTGAAGGCTCCTCCAGGGACTGAGAACGAGGTGGTGGTGCTGGTGGGCACACTACCGGTGGAGGTCTGGGTGTTTGTCTCAGTTCGGGTGGAGGTAAGGGTGATGCTGTCTGTGGGATCACAGTCATCGCCACCGTCAGTTGGCGTGGCGACAGTGATGGTGGCAGTGTTGGAGGTGGACGACGTCAAGAATTGACCGCCTGGTGGTCCAGAAGAAGTGGTTGACGCGGTGCTGCTGGCGGTGCTGCTGACAGTGCTGGAGGAGGTCAAGAACTGCCCGCCTGGCGGCCCAGAGGAGGTGTCAGACTGGAAAGGAACAATGGAGCTTGAAGACGCAGTTGTGGATGAAGCCGTAACGGAAGTAGACGACGTCAAGAACTGACCGCCTGGCGGGCCTGAAGAAGTGGTTGACGCAGTACCAGAAGTGCTAGCCCTGGTAGACTGGGTAGAGATGGACGCGGTACTGCTGACAGTGCTGGAGGAGGTCACGAACTGACCGCCTGGTGGTCCCGAGGTGGAGCTCACAGAGGCACTGGTGGTGCTTTCTGTAGGGTCGCAGTCATCCGTGTCAGGAGGAGCAGTCGTCGAGGAGACTCCAATGGAGGTGGACGACGTCACGAACTGGCCGCCTGGTGGTCCTGAAGAGGTGGTAGACGCAGTGCCAGAGGTGCTAGCGCTGGTAGACTGGGAAGACAGGATTCCAGTAGTGGATGCGGTGCTGCTCACAGTGCTGGAGGAAGTCAGGAACTGACCGCCTGGAGGACCAGAAGAAGTGCTCGACGAAGAGGCGGCGGTACTGCTGGAAGACCCAATGCCAGTGGACGACTGTCCAGGAGGAGTAGAGGAGCCGCTGGGAGGTGCAGTTGATGAAGCAGTGCGCGAAGTGGTAGCAGAGCTAGGAGGGACGCTTCCAGTGGAAGACTTGCTACCACTGCTGACGGTGCTCGAAGATGTCAAGAACTGGCCACCTGGAGGGGTGGATGATGTGGATGACTGGCCACTCGGGGGAGTGGGATACGCGGATGACTGTCCTGCCGGGGGAGTAGAAGATGTCAAGAACTGGCCACCTGGAGGAGTAGAAGAGGTGGACGACTGTCCTCCCGGAGGCACAGAGCCAGTGGATGATTTTCCACCTGGAGAGGTGGACGAACCATTAGGAGGAGCAGTCGACGAGGCAGTGCGCGAGGTAGTAGCAGAGCCAGGCGGAACGCTTCGAGTAGAAGACGAGCTGCCACTGCTCACAGAGCTGGAAGATGTCAAGAACTGACCTCCTGGGGGCCCAGAAGACGTGGATGATTGTCCTCCCGGAGGGGTGGAAGAACGAGAGCCAGTGGATGACTGTCCACCAGGAGGAGTAGAAGAGCGAGAGCCAGTAGATGACTGTCCTCCCGGGGGAGTAGAAGAGCGAGAGCCAGTAGATGACTGTCCTCCCGGGGGAGTAGAAGAGCGAGAGCCAGTAGATGACTGTCCGCCAGGAGGAGTGGAGGAACGAGCGCCGGTTGACGACTGTCCACCAGCAGGAGTAGAAGACCCAGCGGGAGGGTCACCCCTGGTGGACGAGGTAGAAGCAGATAAGGGGAAAAAGCTGCTGCTGCTGCTTCTCGCGGTACTAACAGAAGACGACGTCAAGAACTGACCTCCTGGAGGTCCAGACGTTGAAGATCCAGGCGTAGGGACAGAGTTGCCAGGTCCGCCAGGAGTAGACGATTGACGGGCAGTGGGAGAACTGCTCTGGCCTCCAGGAGGCGGCGAATACGGCGGCGGGACAAATGGTTCAGTTATCGTCACCGTAGTGGTCCCCGTAGTAGAAACAGTAAGCTGAGCCGTGGGAGTCACAAAGATTGTCGTCTCGTGAGTCACCGTCGTGGTAGTGGTGATGCTCAGAGTGGCACACGTGGCCTGCAAGAGCCTCTTGTCAAAAGGACTCTTGGCCTGATTAGTGGCTTCTTTCACCTATTCAAAGCCGTGTTAGTTTCTCGATTCAAATGTTGAGATGTAGAAGCTCAGTAACTTACCTGGTTTGCCTGAGCAGTCGCCACAGACAGCAGCCCAGCGGCCGCAGTAAAAGAGACGAGACGCATAACTATTGAGCCTTGCCGATTAAACACAAGAGATCCTGATTAAAAAAAAAAATGAAAAGTAAAGAATGAGAAGTACAAGCACCCAGCCAGACAAGGACTGGTGAAAAACAGTTATATAAAGAGTGGACTGCCTGTCAAGCGAATTATTACCCAGGCGGTGGTTGGACTGGAGATCAAAAGAGATTCACGAGGATGAACACGATCAGGTCCATCCTTTATACAAATTTCTAGCCCCTGTATGGCAACAATCAATGATTATGGAACAAAAATAAGATGTTTGGGTGAGCCTCTGGAAGCAGGGAGAGCTCATCGGTGCGGGACCGCTGTCAATAGTCCACTCACCGTCTGCCGTGTGACAGCAGTAAAATTAGACAGCTGCAGGTGTAAAGGGAGCAAAGGGAGCCTCTTGTCGCCCTGCATAGCCCCCATGCTCAAAAAGTTAGTGATAATCAGGGAAAAGTTGGCAGTCAAGGGGCCGGATGCATCATATAACAGAGACTTCACATGTCAGGGCAATTTGAGATGTAACGAAACCAATTGATTCATAGTACCATCGTCCTGGATAGCATTTTGTTTATGTCTGTCTGTGTGTCATAGCGTCTGTTCTGCCTCTGGCAGCTGTGCCGTGGGAAATAAGTCTTGTTGTTGTAAGACGTAGAATATGCAAAAGGGTATCCGGACCAGAGACACTCTCATTTTAAACGCCCGCTGCGTCTCTGGTCACACAACGAATAAAAACAAGATTTGGCTGTGATAACGAGAGAGCCATAAAAAGGTGGATGCGAAAGCAAATCTGCACAAGTGTGTGTGCGCCAATTTCCGAAATGACACATGCCCGTGTCCCGTGCGCCTGGAAAGTCGAGTGAAACAAGAAAAAAAGACCTTTCCGAACCCAAACATGAAAAGAAGAGAGAGGAAGAAAGGGATGAAAATTCTCAAGTCTGCGCACGCTCATATGCTGTATCGTTCATAATTCCAAAATCGCCGCCGCCAGGGCTGTCAATCTTAATCCTCCCAAATTGTCTCCAAGTCAATGTCGCCACGCCGTTCAGCACCGCACACACTCCACCGCTTCCGCTTGTCTTTGGAGCCAAATGCCATCGTGCGACCACGAGCCGGGAGATCCAGGCCCCGTCCTTTTGCATCCGATGGGTCTCCGGCATCCGATGCCTCAGCCGCAGCCTTCAGCTGGGCCTGTCGTTCTGCCTCAAGCGCCTCCTCCTCGGCGTCGGGAGAGTCAGGGATGGTTTCCAGACTCGAAATACTGGGGCTGCGAGACCTCAACGATGTTGGCGTGGAGGGGACCGAGGAGAGTGTGCCGTAGCTACTAGAAAAGGGATCATACGCCTTGTACAGAGATGAGGAGCTGGAGGTTGGCGTGCTGGGCAGAGCTGGCAGAGAGCCGGTGCTCGATTGAGAGTAGTTTCGAATTGGCGACGACGTTCGACGTACCCGAGTCAGGGTTCCATTAGTTGAGACACCCAGGACGGGAGAGCCGCTCCGGTCAGCAGGCAGCCGATCGTGGTCGAGAACCGAGGTGCGCACGGGAGATATCATGGGAAACGCCTCATCCACTGGCTTTCGCGGCGTGCGAACTCGGCTGGGAGACTGCGCTGGGCTGGCTGGACGAAGCTGGGGAGAGAAGAGCAGGTGGCCGGAGCCAGAGACGCCAGGCATGGACTGCGTGCGGCCCATAGGAGCGGCGCCAATGCTAGCAGCGGACCGCGAGCGCATGTGCGAGATGCCGGAGAGGGGAGACGTCGTTCGGGGGCGGTAGGGCAGAGCGACCATGGGCGTCCAGGAAAAGGCGTGGTTGGACGTCGGACTTGGGTCGGTGCTGCGTCGCAGGTTCGGCGGTTTCCTGGCGATGTCCAGGTCGAAGGTGGAGAGCGTGTGCGGGCTGTTGACGCGGGCCTTGGGCGGCACGGCGCGAAACTCCTCCATGCGCTCGGTCTCAGGGACGGGCTCCATCATGATGGCCTGTCGAGCGTTGCATGCGGGAAGCCTTCGAGATGGCGGATGGCCGTTGAAGCAGCCCTGCTGCGCGAGCGCTTGGAGGGGGTCTTTGTTGGTTGAAATACGGCACCGACTGATGTGAGCGGACGCTGCATGCGGCACAGTAAGATGCTGTTGGGTTTGTCGATGGATGTGTTTGTTGTCTTATGTTGGGGAGCGGCAGCGAGATATAAAGATGCAACGGTGCGGTGGAGAGAACTGCGGTATCAGGTAGGTGGATATGGAGCAGCCCGGCTGGAGCAGCGCCGGCGGCTAGCTGAGCAACACGGCTGCTGAGCTGACACAGAGAAGCAGGCGCGACGGCGTCGCTTGTCGCTTGTCGACGTTCTGTCAAGAACAGCGCCCAGCGGTCCGAGTTGAGGCTGGAGGTGAGGTTGAGGTTGAGGTTGCAGAAGCAGAGTTCGCAGCGGAGCCACGCCGTGTGCCTTTAAACAGGAACCACCGACATTCCTGTCTCCTGAGACTAGGGTGTAAACACCGGCAGCCGGCCGAAAAAAACGCAGCCCGAGAGAACCGGGGTGATGGCGAGCACAGCGGCGATGGAGCCTCCGAGTGCGGTGAAGAACCAGAGGCGGGAAATATCAGCGAAAGATAGACGCCCCTCAGGCAAAGAAGGGGTCTTGGGGTCTTTTGGCTGGGGGAGGAGATGCACATTCGGCTGCAGGTGTCGACTAATAGCGCGGAGAAGGCGCTGCGTTCGCGCGCTTAGCACGGGGTACATCGCTGCTGCATGTACAAGCGTGTATCTGCGCGGTACTGCGCCGCCGTGCATGACTCGCCTCTACTCGCAGCAATATCCTGTCTTGTCTACTTGTAGGTACTAAAAGGCCTAGAAAGCCTCTGGAAAACGCCACCCTCATGTCAGAAAAATAAACGTGGGAGTTACTGAGTAATAGCCGTTGAACTAGCACTGCACGGAACCTACCTTACTCACGCAGTTAATTGCAAGCTTTTCTACCGATTGACAAATTCATTCATTAGGCGCATAGATAGCAATACAAATAATGACAAAGTACAAATATTATCACTCAGAAAACCAAAGAACTTTTTACATTGCCACTATGGATCGCCGTCGCGGGCTGTCCGGCGCACCTCGCCATGCATGCCATTTACAAGTGTGCTGGATTACTCAGCTGTGGCCATACTCTAGCATGTTTGTTCTTCGAAAGGCGTTAGACAATTAGCATCAAGCCCTTCTAATGATGGAGGCGCGCCTTTCTCCAAAAAAAAAAAATTTATCAGATGCAATGTCAAAAAAATGTAAAAAGGAGAAAAACGTTGAACATTATTTCTCACCGTTGCCGGAAACGGAGATATCTTGCATGCACATTTTGTAGGGAGCAAATGACTCGTCTCGTGCAGCGCTGCTAGCTCTTTTGCGGTATCCCGTGAATCGCCTCAGCACCTACTAAATACAGAATATGTAGCAGATTGGCAGAGTAGACATTATGGAATCTTATCTATATTCCTCTGCCCTTCTGTTTCTTTGGTACATACAACAAATTGCATTTATTAATCATAGCATAAGTGCATTCACATCCCTTTCAGTCAATATCAAGTAGTTGGGTTGGTTGTTAGTATAACCAGAATCGTGATTGAACCATATGGTGGAAACAAGGAATGCGGTCTCGACCACGGATTAATGCGGTGCACGAATCCATAGCTATACACGAGCAAGCTGCGCAAATCATTACCCAGAGCTCATAAACTTTTACAAAAGCCCCATGTGAATTGTTGCAGATCAACAAAGACCAGTCAAGTTCTAGATTTCAATCACATGGTACCCTGTAGGAGCCACAAAAAAGTCCCTGTGACGCGACTCTGCCCCCCACCCATACTAGGCCAGCCTTACTCCAGCCTTTTCAGCGCTCAGCCTCGTCTCCAGAACCTCAACGATGAGCTCCCCCGACGAGCTGGCGAGGGACACGCCTCCGCCCTACAAACGGCGAAGAACCGGCGACACGCCATCGTCAGGCTCCAGCTCTCCCGATGTGCTGGCCGGGAATCCAGACGACTTTCTGCCTCCCAGGCGATTGTCGCAGCGCGGCGGAGGCTTGAGCAAAAGTCCAACCAAAACGCCAAAATATCTCGGCGACTTCTCTCGCTCACAGTCGCTTTCGCGGCCCCTCTCAGAATCTGTTCGCCGATCACGATCAGCTTCCAGTTCCGAGTCTAGAACGCGCTCACAAACACCCGTACATTCGTCGCCATCTCCAACAAGATCTCCTCGCTCTCGACCGCGCTCGCAGTCCCCCACGTCCTCAAATCAATCAAGATCAGACTCCTTTTCTCCAGAACCGCAACAGCCCACTCCCACACCTCCACGAGAACCTTTCAAGCCCAATTACAAAGCTCGACTAGCCCTCCATGGACACACCAAACCAGTCTCGCAAGTGCGCATATCCCCCAATGGCCGCTTCATCGCCTCTGCCTCTGCCGACGCGACGGTCAAGATCTGGGATGCCGCTACGGGAGCTCATATGGACACATTGGTTGGCCACATGGCCGGCGTGAGCTGCGTGGCATGGACGCCAGATAGCAACACGCTGGCAAGTGGCTCGGACGACAAGGCGATTCGGCTCTGGGATCGAGTGACAGGGCGGCCGAAGACAACAGCGCGGAAATCTGCAGGCCAAGAGATGGCGCCGTTGAGAGGACATCACAATTACATCCACTGCTTGGCTTTTTCGCCAAAGGGCAATATCCTGGCCAGTGGATCCTACGATGAAGCCGTTTTTCTTTGGGACGTACGTGCAGGAAGGTTAATGAGAAGTCTTCCCGCCCACAGCGACCCGGTTGCAGGTATCGACTTTTGCTGTGATGGTACTTTGGTTGTGAGCTGCTCCACAGACGGATTGATGTAAGTTTTGCGCACCAAATAACTTCGGAGATGTTTTTTCGACCTGCTAATGCTTGTCTAGCCGTGTATGGGACACCTCGACCGGCCAATGCTTGCGAACTCTTGTCCACGAAGACAACCCCGCCGTGAGCAACGTTTGCTTCTCTCCCAACGGCCGCTTCGTCCTTGCTTTCAACCTCGATAACTGCATCCGCCTATGGGACTATGTTTCTGGAAGTGTCAAAAAGACGTATCAAGGCCATCGCAATGAGAAATTCTCCATCGGCGGCTGTTTTGCCATCCTCAACGGCGAAGCGTTCGTTGCCTCTGCGAGCGAAGATGGAGATGTCATACTCTGGGATGTCAAGAGCAAGGAGGTGCTTCAGAGAGTACAGGGTCACAAGGGGATTTGTTTCTGGGTGGACGTCAACGGCGAGACGATGGTGACCGGAGGACAAGACGGCTCAATCAGAGTTTATCGGCATATAGGGCCCTCTGAGGGAGTGAATGGACATGGGACAAGGAGTCACTCCAAGACCCCGAATCCGGTCATGCTGCAGGGAGAGCTGCCAATTCGACAAGAAGATGTCAAGCTGGAAGAGGCTTTGAGTTGATAGAGGCGCACGGGAGCGATATTGCTATGGAACCCTACCTTGCTGGTTTGATGTCTATTATTTTACATTTAAAGGCGTTATTCATTGCCAAAATGCCGTGACCATTAATGCATTCATTCCAAAAAATATCAAGAGAGAAAGGCTACTGCGCAGATATTCTCTTATGCGTTCTGATGATCTAAGCTTTTAGCTGTATATGTAATACTTTACTTACACTGAAGGGAATCAGATGGTTCCATCTCTTTCTCCGATCAGTCGCAACTCAAGGGGTGGCCTCTCAACCTCAGCCATGTCAAGTCGCCTCTGCCATCTGGATCCTTCACATAAGATCCTTGTTATTGACGTAAGCGGCAACACCAACAAGGATTCGATGTCGTTTATACCAACTCTACCAAACTAATCGATGGGAAAGTGTGACTGTAAATAACAGACTATTCCCCAAATGAACTTGAAATATCGCGAAGCCGATTTACCCTGCGGCGAGGGCTCTTAGCGGTGGCGCCATCATCTATTTAGGTAAACCTCTGCTCGCTCCAAGTGACGCTGCATAAATCTGGACCGACGTGATTGTGATAGGCGGAAGACTTCGGGGTGATCGGGTTGATTTGACCATTGGGGTGAGCCTGTTGACGACTACCGCTGGCGCTACGCAGGTCTTCCGTACATGCGGCTGACTCCTCTTAATTGATATATTACAGAAATCAAGGTACTATAAAATGCTTTTAATAACTGAATGAGACGTCTATATCGCTATATATAGCATTTTCGCATCCCTGTAGCACCTCGTTAAGCATGAATATAGTCTTAAGAATTATATACATTGGCTCCAACGAACCGAAGAGCCGCATGAAAAGACTGATGATGACTGTCAACCTCGAGTCACGCTCCATCACCCGAGATACGACTCTTTATCCCTCTACACATACGCGACACTTACATGCGCATATGTGTCCAGCACATGAACAGCTACTGTTAATATAAGCTCTATTGATGCATGATTCTGTGGCTGCAACTGACTGAACTTTTAGCACAGCTCTGTCGTATATTTCAGCTATCTTAGCTAATACCTATATAACTTACTCCACGGTGTGACTGTCGCGCTGACGGCTGAATAAAGCAAGGTGGGCCTTCTAGATTAAGGCAACAGACTTAATGTGCAGATCAATCCTACGCATAAGTAGAGAAGAAGAAAATCATGGATGAAGGGGAGACTAACGTCTTCTTCAAGAAGTCTGAGGTTTCGATAATAACAACAATATTGTTCGAATAGAGTTGGCGGCCGTCTCGGCCTCCGCCTCCGCCTCTGCCTCTGTACATTCTTTCGTCTCCGCCATTAACATACGATTCCGAGATTAGACGATTCACTTCTACGCGCAGTATAACACGACACTGCTTGACTGAGCATTGTATATATTCAAGAGGGTAAACCCTGCTTCACCGAGATCGGGGTACCCGAGATGCCACGATGACAGCGCGCCGTGTGCTGGCACGGCGACAACGAAGAAAAGCACATCAAATCCTTTTTGTGTAACATGCCTTTGTACGCCACTAATATTAACGTATTCGTCTCTATTGCTCCACCAGTTGCCGCCACCTAAAACAAATATATCTATTACCGCCATTCTCTTTCTGCCACGCTTTGCATTTCATGCATTTCATGCAGTAGTTCAAATCCATTTCCAGCGTATCTCTTAGTGCACCACTGAGGGCGCACCACGCATAACCCCAGAAGAAAAGAGCCTCACTGTGTTCAACATAAAGTAGTATTGCAGCCTGATTTGTCGCTGAGTCTAGAAGGTAGTGGGGTAGAACAGCACGTATTACCTGCTAGAAAGGCATAATAGGTGGTGTACAAGTAAATAATGGTATACATAGATTCCAAGTAGTCTGGCGGTAATCTTATTATTTAAATACAAGTTCTCTTGTCTTCACTCGCAATCGACATTGACAAAGACTCTAAGTTTCGAACATAGAATACTCACAGTTGTTGATAACGCGTCTGATACTTCACATCATGGCCTTGTCTTCGGCGCAGGAATGTAATTGCTACTCTTTCCAAACTGATTCTCTACTTCCCAATGCTGCACCCGCATTACATTTCAAGATATTCACCGTAACATACTTCATGTACTAATCAGACACTTTCTAGCATCTCGAACGCTCCACAGCATAGACTATACAGAAGGAGACAGCGTGGATGTCATTTGCGACAATCTGCAAAACAGCAGTGGATTTCCGAGCCGTTTAGAAATCTTAGGAGACCTTAACTCCTCTCAGTTTGCAACAGAGCTTTCGACTACCCATGAAATACCAGTTTTAGGTGCAGATACTGAGACCGGTACCACATATCTGTTTACATTTCGCCGAATGCCTGGAAATGCAGGCGTGAGTGTCGACTATAGAGTCGCCGAAAATGGTACCAGTCAAACCAATACAGCTGCTGGGGCCAGAGCTACGTCCGCCAACAACGCAATGGGCGGACCAAGGGTTGAGCACAACAATGCCGAAGCAGGTGCCAACCAAACCAACTTGGCTGCTGGGGTTGGGGCTTCAGCCTGTTATAACCGAGCGCGCGACCGCAATACAGTCCAAACCAATAAGGCGTCTATGTGTCAGATTTTATGACTGCTTTATCTTTCAGAAGTGGGCTCTGAGGTGCGGGTCCATACTGATGGAAAGGAATAATTCCTGTTTATGTATGAGGTGCAAGAGTTGATTAGGAAAGGGCTATTCCTCCAATAGCTGGAAAATAAAATAGAAGAGGTTAACGCACCGCAATTACTATTAGGCTGTCTACTAGATAAAACGATTATCGCTTCAATTGTTTATCAGCCCTCCATGTTTCAGCGAATAGAAAAAAAAGTGAATGAAATTGTTTAATCTCCAAGACTCAGATATCCTTTTAGGATGTGCTCTTTTCTATTAGTGTTTGGAAGTTCTTACGGCCAAGAAGGCCCCAAAAGCCGGCAACGTGGCTGGTTAAAGCGGGATAAGTCCGAGTCTCCGTTCCGGTGATTGTTGATAGTATATTTTCCAATCAGCATCAAATACGGTGGCGGATTGACTTCTTTTGCATTGGTCGGACAACTCTTCCGCAACATACATTCCTTCCTACCCTAAGGTGTGCATATAAATTAGTAGCTTGACTGTAAACCAGCAATTGTATGTAGGTATATGAGTTGGCATATAGCGGCTTATGCTAGAGCATACGTGTACTTCACACATAGCAGGTTTCGGCTAACATTATAAAATACGTTAAATGTAGGGGTTTCTAATGGCATTCATGGTGGCAAATGCTTTAACAGGCAGTCCTTACCTAAAATGTAGTACACATACTAGTATTACCTGGTGCCTAAGTTAAGGTACCTGGTAGGTATGTTGAAATGTAACGGCTTAGTACTTCTAGTATACTAGGTAGTAATATTGGTGCCTAACCTTTACCTAGTCGTACCTAGGTACCTACCTACCTGCTTAATTGCATACAGCTAGGATTATACGTCTTTGATTATTCTGGTGGCATACACAAGAGTACTTATCAAGCGGTGGCCAAAAAGCGAGACCGCAAAAGTATTATACACGTATTAAAGATCAATAGGAGCCCTCATGGGCGCACGCGCTGATCTGGACTTTTTGTGTACATACTGTCGGTACTACCTACAGCAGTGATTATCTGTGTGTTTTAAGATCATTACGGTTTCGCTTTTGGTGCTAGTACCTGCCTTGGCACGGGGTTGACAGAGAAATAGGGACCGCAAAATGAATATGTGCGTACTTTACTATAATATGCACACCACTACCACGGAGAGACTGTGGAGCTTATACGTGTATGATCTTAAAGCTAGTGTTCAAAATCTTCTTATTCCCTGCTTTTATGTCCACCACTTGCGAAATAAGTACTAGTACCTACTAGGTAGGTAGTACTATATTTAGTATAATCTGGGTAACAGTGGGTACCTAAGTTACAAGCATCAAGGGTCGACAGACCGCCTCGATATCCATCATCAAGCAACGCCATTGCTATTTACTACTACCTGCCTAATATTAACAGACCAAGGTGGTATTTTACCTTTCAGTATTGATCAGGGCCTTTGTAATATCATATTATGCCCCAATTGACTGATTCGGTCTTTCTAATGTTTCTATAGCCGTCAAATTGGCTACCTGACTTGGGGTAGTCGAAGTCTAATTTCTCCAGAATAGATTTAATTGTCATATAACTACTAAACTACCTTTGCAGCGATGTCCTCGCTATGGAACATCTTGATCGCGTTTGATGATCTATTTCTACAGTATGATTGGGCATAAAATCGGGCCCATATGCATATGTATTTGTTATGGCGTTTGATTTGCGGCGGATTTCGCCCAGCCTTGTAGAAACACGTGTTTCTCCAGTGTTCTCCTCCCTCTGTGTGACATTACATGATGATCCTCACCCGATCACCCAACGCAGAGTTCAGTCTTTCCTTCGCTCTGTCTCATAAATAGTCTGCTCAGTATTTACTGAAACGATCTGCAGCCGTTGAATCGTATCGTTTTTGAACTCTATTTCCCGAGCAAGTGAGTAAGAGACCAAGAGCGTGTCCTATCCTTTCATGTTTATTCCTTCCATTGCTTCACCAACAACGCTGAACATGATTCGTAGTTATGTCTTTCCCACGGCCATCTCATCGCGATGACTTCGAAGTTGCGATTGTCTGTGCCTTGAAGGCTGAGTTCGATGCGATTTCCCTCGTCATTGATGAGTTCTGGGACAACCACGATGATCCATATGGGAAAGCAGTGGGGGATACAAACAGTTATCGAACTGGCCGTATCGGCAAGCATAATGTTGCGCTGTTACAACTTCGCCAAATGGGCAAAGCACATGCAGCTGCAGCTGCAGCAAGCCTTCGATCAAGCTTTAACAAATTGCGGCTAGTGCTCTTAGTTGGAGGTTGCGCCGCAGTCCCTCAAAGAAAGAACGCGAATATTGTGCTTGGCGACGTTATTATCAGTACAGGTATTGTCCAGTACGACTTTGGGAGAAAATTTCCAAACCAGTTCATACGCAAGGACACACCTCAGGATAATCTTATCAAGCCTTGTAAAGAGATTGGAAACCTTTTAAATGCACTTCAAACAGCGACCATAACGAATCATCTCTTGACAAAAACGGCCAGCTTGTTAACAGATCTTCAGAAAAATGCACGTGATAAGGGTTATGGATCCAGATACGAATATCCTGGAGTGAATGAAGACAAGCTGTATAAGGCTGACTATCATCATAAACACCATAACTTAGAGTGCCACACGTGCAGCATGACTCATGAGATGATGTGCGATACAGCACTGTGGACTACCTGTGAGGATCTCGGATGTGGGGAACAAGGCTTAGTGACCGGTCGCCAGCGACTCGAAGAAAAGCTCAAGTTATGTCAGAGTGGCGATATCACGCATCAAAACCCAAACATTTTTTTCGGGTTAGTCGGCTCAGGGGATACAGTGATGAAGTCTGGATGCGACCGAGATAAGCTAGCTGCTGCCGAAGATGTTATAGCTTTTGAGATGGAGGCAGCCGGGCTATGGGAAGACGTGCCGAGCCTTGTGATTAAAGGTGTGTTTGACTACGGAGACTCTCACAAGAATAAGCTATGGCATCATTTTTCTTCTGCAACAGCAGCCTGTGCCGCCAGAGCAATCATCGAGCGTCTGGCTCGGACAGGGGGATCTTCACTTTCGGTTCCTACAGTTGGTAAGCGACTGACTTCATCCCTTCTTTTCTTTTTTCTTCATTTCTTTTCCTCTATTTTTACTTTTCATCAATTGAAGGAGTAGCCCGGCTTATGAACAATCCAGTTCCGTCTGTCCATCGCATTGAGAATAACTATGCGATTTGCTCTCGGCAAGAAAACAAGATAAACAACGCAACGACAGATTCGAGTATCGTTGGCAGCATCTCAGAAAATTGGTCTCAGGGAGGGAGTGCGCAGACAAATATTATAAGTTTCGCCAACTCTAGCGGAGTTCTTGCTCAGTTACAAGTCAACCTAGCGCTATGTTCATGTTTGTTTGCTTGCTTGGTCATGTATTTCTCAACATCTGCTTAGGTACCTACCTACCTAGGTACTAGAGCTACATAGGTACCTAGGTACGTGTATCCTTCAAATACACCCAATCTGGATAAGGGACCTACTTATGGAAAGCACTCGTTTATAACCAACGTTATCTAGGTACATATCTTTTTTTCCTTAATTTTTTCAGGTTTTTAAAGCAAAAGCAAAGAAGTTTGGTTAGGCTGTATCAATCTGTCTTCCAGCACGTGTTGCGGGGTCGTATACATTTTTGCCATCTATCCGTAGGTACCTGTAGCTATAAGCCTAAAAGGCACAAGTATTTGTGCCTTTACCGTAGATTCAAGGGAGGAAGAACCTTACCATTCTGCACTTGATTAACCATCCTTGGGCCCCAGATTCGCCACGCTGATATCGAAGCCTGACATCGTATCCGAGCTCCTCACCGCATCCCATAAAATCACATGCCCAGATCTCTCCGCTGTTGGTGTCCAGAAATAGTAAAATAGCCGCTTTGGCCGGAGGAAGGATTCTCTACCGAATGTGGAATGGTTACATACTTACATGTAGCATTCCCCTTGTGAGTCCCTATGGCACCCTAGGTTAGGTTTGGCTCCTTTTAGATTATGAACATAGTCAAAGAATCAATTGGTCTAACAGATAGAGCCCCAATCCGCAAAGACTAGAACCTTAGCGGCGCCTGAGGATGTTTTCCCTCTCCTAGCATATCGCTATTATCTTCTACCGCAGGCAGTACTACTAGGGCTAATTGCAGACCGTCAAAGGCTGTGCGGCACACGTACATTGGGTGAGTGATGACGTCAATCGGAAAGTAGAAAATCGGACCACCTTTGACCTGCATTTCCCATGTGTGGAATCAGTACCATTACTTGCAGCTGCTCGGCGCTAATTGCTAATGCTAATTGGAGGAGCATGCTGGTGATTGCGGCTCCTCTGCACAGCATCATACTCTATGCCTCTTGGCAGCAAAACCTGATGCGAGGCGTATTTGGTAGTTTACCGAACACCTGCAGCATGAATAATCCGCATGTACCGCCCAGGAATCTTGTTTTATCGTCTGTCACACTTGATAGTAGAAGCAACTCGGCATGTGAGCTATTTCTGCCGGCTACCTGCACAATGATGAAGTTGAGTGGCGAGTGTCTTGGAGCCTCTTAAACGAAGCGGCCGGTGGCCTTGATGCGCTTCCATTTTAGTACCACCAAGAACACAGCTTCGCGCAGTACTAGTATTCTACGAGCCTGGTACGTGCATGCTGAGCGCTTCCAAACCGTTCTTTCGGCGCGAAAACAGATGTGAGGCTGATTCGTAACCTGCAATGGAAAGTCACGAGCCTTACCTTAGGGCATTGCTTCGGATCTTGGCGGCAGATGAAGGCTGAGTTCAAGCATCCTGTGTTAAGGCCTAATGAGCGGTCTTTCTTACTGGTACCACGATAGTAATCAGCTGGCGCGTTCCGCATTCCTTTTCGCCACTTGCATAATTTTTGATAAAGCGTTGTCTTGATGCTGGGAAGTTTCTAGCTCTTATGATTCTGTATAGAGTATTTAAACTCTGGTATCGCCCAAGGTCGCCCCCAGGTTCTTTACCCCAGGCCCTTCCCCCAGGTTGTTCACCAAGGTCGTTCGCCCGAGGTCTTTTGCCCACGGGTTTCATCCAAGGTCTTCCACTCAAGGTTTTACACCCAAGGCCGGCTACTCATGGTACTTGGCCATCCAGGCTTAGAAACAGCACAACATTCTGGTAAACCGGTTGCCGCTGATCAAAATGTCAGTCCATGGAAATAGTGCTAGCGGTGGAGCATATCAACAAAACTTCGCCGTGAAGTATTGGTCCCTCTTCCGGTCATCCACCATTACCGTTGTCAAAAACTACTACAAAGTTGTGGTTAATCTGATATTACCATCCTCTAGCTTGCGGTTAGATGAGCCACTGGACAAGAAAAACGAATCCATGCCAACCCAGGATTCCTACGGTGGTGCGGGAGACGACAAGAAACGAGTGCCGGTCGATGCTATCATGTACCTCTCTCTCTTCCTTGTCAAAACTTGGGTCAAGTCCTCGATTACTGCTTCCGCTTTCTTACTGTTGGTGTGATATTGGACGACACTATTTGAGATGAATTGGTACGAAAAGACTGGCTATGCAGTTTTCTGATATTCGAACCTAAGGTTGGCGGAGCAGATAGAAGGCCATTGGGATGTCTTGACTCATTTCCCTGTCATCTGACAACTATCTCCGCTTTCAGTAAGTCTCTACATTGCTATATCGTCAGATCTTTCCACCGATTCTAACCCCTTGCACGTTCTTATGTCTTCTTGAGATGCCTCTGTGTTTGCTTGACCCTATCTGCTCATTGTTCATCTTCTTACAGTGTCTTCTTTGCTCTACACTTTTCCATTTTTTTATCTGAAGTTCTGAACTTTCTTAATTTCCTCTCTTCTCCCCTCGCTGATCACTTTTTTCCACATTCGTCTGAAATAAACATAGACTGACATGCTTTTGATTCATAGCTTTCTTTTATTGGCTTATTTTCTCGATTATTTTGGTTCTTTCTCTTTTTTCTTTCCCGTTCTCTTTTCTTTTTCCCTTCATTTTCCTTTACTTTCCTTTCTCTTTCTCTTTTATCTCTCCTACTATGAGTAAGTACTTACACACCTCCTTGCTAAGTTGTTTGGTTCCCTAGCATAGGTTCTATTTCTCTGAATGTCACTAATATGCTTGAATAGCTGTATAGAAAGAAGAACATTTATCAGCACAACCCAAAGAAGCACAAAATCCCACCCCGCCACCGCCATCGTCGTGAGGACCGGCCAAGACACGTACCAGCAGTCTATCTCTCCGCGGCTTCAAGCACATGATGCGCTTGTTGGGTAGTTGGCCTTGGGCTCATAAATGTGATCAACTGGAGTCATCAGCTCCTAGGCGATGAATATATCTAATATCTCTCAATAACTACGCCAATTTTTGGGTCCTGAGCTCTTTGTCTAGTTAAGCCAACCCCTAGTAAGGAGGAGAGTACAGCATGAGTACGTAAAAATGGTAACTTGTTCATGAATATCATTAACATTCTAGAACAGATGCATATGAAGAAGACGTCCTGATTCGCACTCAAAATACTCGTGATACTACGCCGCCGCTACCTTCTCCACCATCACCCCCTATCATAAGACATAATATGATTATTAGAGCCTACACAGAGACATGAAAAGTCAGGCATAGCCTCATATTTGTGATTGGAAAGTCATATATTGGCCGAGGCGCGACTGTTTCCCTCTGTATCTGGGTCTCGCCTCCGTATCTACTGAGTAGACGGAACATCATTCTGCAAGAAACAAAGTCATAAAGGCGATAATCCCAAGAATCTTTTGAGTCATCGAGAGCAGCTTTTGACGGTAGTGACGACAAATAGTAATATTGCTTACTACTCTGCAGCCTGTGTGGCTAGTACACGTTATACGAGACATTATCCAGTAATCTTGCCTGATCAATCTTCGATCTGTGTAACCGGTATACGTTACTTAGACACTCTTGTAGTCCTATCGCCATGATCTTTTGTTAATTATTGATGGCATGTCAGAGGACTTAACTACCTATGTAAATGACCATCACTGACTAAGAGAACCCCTTTTGTACTTTCCTGAAAACACAGGGCTAGCATCTCTCTTACTCTTCTACTATTACAGACCCATACAACCATCATCATGCATCTCTTCGAGCTGCTCCCCTCTGTTATTGCTCTTGCTACTCCTGCCTTTGCGAAAGGCGGTTTTGGAGACTTTGTATTTTAACTAACATTCCCTCCTCTAAATTTCCAGGTTTGCTAGACAACACAAGCTGTGCTCTACACCGAGCGAAGCATGCAAGGCGATAATCTTGGTATTCGCGCTAGCCATATTGATCGCTGCGTCACTCTGGACGATATTGTGTTAGTTACTCTCCTTCTTAATATCTCATAAATCTGACAATAAAGAAAGATACCGCAACGTTGGCTCGAAAGAGGCGTTCAGAATCCCAGCCAGCTTTGGGTTCTCTGCATTGGTCGCCCGATGTACTCTATATTCGTGAGTCTTTGCCTCGTATCAAGATATATTTCTAAGCTAACGCAATATTCTCGAGCACCGATGGATGTGGTGATTCGCTTGATATTGGCACCCTGGCCACGACTGATGCTCTCGACAGCACTGATGTTGCAGCGATATCCTATACCTTGAATGTCGACGATGGGAAATAGTCAAAATAACGTTACTGGGATGAAAACTTGAATCCTTGTTTCTGAGAACAAGGTTGTTCCGTATTGTTTAAGCTTTGTTACCGTGCGTTTTCGAGGCACTGTTGGGTAGAAATGCATTCTTTGCCAATTTGTTGTCAAGCGTTTCTGAGACTTATATTTGTATAACGAACCTCTTGTCGGATCATCTGGGTGGCGGAGTTATCATTGATCATCGAATGCGTTTCTTCGACAAGAGAAGGCCGAGAAAATTTTGCTTTCCGGTTGATTGAAAGCAAAGCGGCAAAAGGTCTCACTATTGCGCTTCCTTTTCATTGTCGCGATTTTTCTTTTTCCTACGTGATGACTCTTTCTAGATTAAAGCATGTGAAGTCACGGAAACTTTAGGGGGAGATTTGCCGTTATGTAGCTGCTTGAGAATAGCTTTATGGAGTCTTTGGTTGCGGCTTCTGGTGATTCTGGAAAGATAGGTAGCAGCAGAGGTGACGGACTACATATAACCTCGTCAGCACATCTAAGGCGCCCTCCGCTGTTCGAAGTGATCCATTGGTCCCACGTCATCCCGTATTCTTCTATCTCGTCCTAAACATTAGATAGTTGGTTGTACGCCGTGGGACCAGCTATAAACTGACGAATCTCGTTAATTGCTGTTCTAAGAGATATACCAATCGACTCGTAGACCTGGGTTCATTTCGGCTGGATGATTCCTGCATATAGCCCCAGCGGAGTTCGAATTAATCAAGCTCTATGTTCATGTTTGGTTACTTGGTTACTTGGTTGCTTCATATATCGTCCAACCTCTGCTGCCCGAGCTACTTACGTGCGTGTATCTTCTAAATGTAATTATTTTCGGTATTAAAAGCACTACATGTAGTTTAGAGCTAGTGTTGGCTACATTTCTTTTTGAAGAAGAAGTAAAAATTTTTTTTGGTTAGGCTGTATCAATCTGTCATTCAGTTCATGTATGTAGCGGGGTTGTACAAGCTGGTGTCATTCAGTATGACCTGTTAAGCCAAAAAGGTATGTGTGTCCTTGGCATGGATCTAAGGGAGGGAGAGCCTTACCATTTCGCACTTGGTCTCAAGATTTCGAATCCTGAAAACATGGGAACAGTAGAAATCTGCCCAATGATGCTCACAAAAGACGCGGGCCATGAGCCACGTCACATCACACCAAAGAGAAGCGAGTTGCTGCAGAGCAACGTGGTCCAGTTGCATTATTGAACAACAAGGCTTTAGTGGATCTACCCACGCGGCCGAAAACATTGCACAACGGCTGCCAGTGGCTGGCTTAGCACAGCACATCTAAATCCGCGGCATGCCTACATATTAAATTAAACCAATCGATGTATTCGAAATCGGCAGTTATTTCATCTATATAGTGCAGCAATCGAAACTCTTCTAAAACTCCCCAAACTTTCCCACCAAAATAGCTACCAACTTCACTCAAGATTAACATCGTTATATTGATATATCATCGTGTCATATCTCGTTTGCTTCATATCCTGTCGCTTGATGCAGATATTATTCGGAGATGCGACATGGCTTCTAGCATTACTGGCAACAAGGCGTCAAGCGGTGCGACGCAGAGCAATACTTGGATCAAATTGTCGCTGCTCGAACATAACATCAACACAACACCAAATGCCGCCGCCCCAATGATCGCTCAAGATATCAAAAACAATAACGAAGACGATAAAGAAAGGAAACTTCTTGACGACCTTTCATCAGTATCAGGTGACTACGCGAGATATAAGAATATCAACCCAGAAAGAGTCCCTGGAACTTGCGAGTGGTTCTTGGGGGATGACCGGTTCTGCGAATGGCGAGATAGCCAAACTGGAGCGCTGTTATAGGCCTCAGCAGGTCCTGGATGTGGGAAATCAGTCCTATCCAGATGCTTGATAGATGAAGGCCATTTAACTCCAGATTCCATGATTACCATCGAGTCGTCAGTTATCAAGGCTTCCCAGAGACTAGTGGCCGTCTGCTACTTCTTCTTCAAAGAGGGGGGTGAGGGGCGGATGGACGGCGCTCACGCGTTAAGTGCAATATTACACCAGCTATTTCAGCACCCTTTGACTTCCAATCTAATCAGTCATGCGCTTCCGAGCCACAAGATCCACGCAAAAGCTCTCACACAAAAGATGGAAGTACTATGGCAAATATTAATCGATTGTGCAGAATTTTCGTCAGCAGATATTATTTGCGTGCTCGATGCCCTGGATGAGTGCAGAGAAGACAGTGCACAGCAATTACTGAGCACGATCAAGAAATCATATTCCCAGCATGATCAGTTGCTAAGGCCCTGTAAATTGAAGTTTTTGATCACCAGCCGCCCGTATGAAGATATCAAGGGCTTATTCGACACACTTGAATCAGTCGCAACTTATATGCATTTCGACGGTGATGAGAATGGAAAATCGAAACAAATCGGTGAAGAAATAAACCTTGTGATAGATGCCAGGGTCAGAAATATCGTAGGACCCTTTTCAGACGAGGACCGAGACAAGATTTCGACACGCCTCAAGCATATGGAGAACCGGACATATCTCTGGCTACACCTGACGCTCAATATCATTGAGAAGAAGAGGAGCGCATATAGCAGAAGTGCAGATATAGAGCAGCTTCTAGACGAGCTACCATCTCAAGTAGCTGATGCATATGAGAAAATTCTTTCCAGAAGCCAAGACGAAAGGAAGGTCGAGGCTCTGCTGCAGATTGTTCTAGCTGCGACACGGCCACTGACGTTAGTTGAGGTCAACGATGCTCTGGTACTTGCTCTAGAGGAAAGAGAGTTCTCCGAATATGCAACTCTACGAGAAAACTTATGGCCACAAAATACTTTTGAAACGGTAGTGCAGAATTTATGCGGCCTCTTCATCAGAATCCACGACTCAAAGCTGTCGTTTATCCACCAAACAGCAAGAGAATTTCTAATCTCTCGAAAGCAGACAGGCGCATGGAAGGGTAGGCTGAACCTGCCAAAATCACACGGCATATTATTTAGAGTGTGTCTCAATTATCTACAGATGCTCTATTGCGATTGCGAACGTTCCTGATGGAATGAGTACCCCCTTCTAGAGTACGCTGCTTGCAATTGGTTTTCACATTTTCGTTTGCAAGATGCAACCTCTACCAAAAACCTTCGAAAGTCTGCAAGTGAAATTTGTCACTTATCTTCACAGGCTCGATTTTGGCTCGATCAATACGTTCATCTTGGGGATCTGGCCGATTTACATCTTGCAGCCAAGTTAGGCCTGGCTGCAGTTGTGCAAGACTTTATAGTACATGAAGACGCCGACGTGAACGAGATAAGAAAGGACAATTATAAGGAAGACATTACGCCGCTCCATCTAGCTCTTAGGGAGGGTCATATAGAAGTGGTGGGAGTCCTCTTAGATCCTGCGCATGGAGCAAAGGTTGATGAGAATGACATTCGCGCTGCGGTGAGTCATGGCTCAAATGCATAATCAATGATGATGCTGCTTCTTAACAAGCGCGGCAGGAAAATCAAGATTACATGGCGGATTCTGGAAGAGGCAGCAGCGAACAGGCAGTGTGGGGCAGCAGTTTTGGCCTTGTTGCTCAAGAGGCGTGGCAACGAAATCAAAATTACGGAATCTGTAGTTAAAAAGGCAGCTAGAGAGTGGTCAACTGAGGTTATGTCTCTGCTCTTAGACGAACGTGGCAACGAGTTCAAGATCACGGAAGAGGTTCTAAAATATGCGGTGGCATACAACGAGAGGGAAATGCTTGCTCTGCTTTTGAAGCGGCGGCGCCACGAGGTCAAGGTCACAGAAGCAGTGCTCATTGCAGCAATGGGGTCAAGATATCCTGAAGTTTTAGATCTACTTTTAGATAATTCCATTGAAATCGAGATTACAGAGAACATGGCTCAAGCTGCAGCGAAAGATCATTACGACCCACGGATACTTCAATTGCTTTTTGAAAGGCGTGGGCATGAAATTACCGCCACAGAGGGCATTTTCAAGGCTGCAGCAGGTAATTCTCATGGGCCGGAAGTGATATCTCTACTGCTTGATAGATATGGGCATAATTTTCGCATTACAGAAGATATCTTCAAGGCTGCAGTGGCGAGCACTAATGTTAATATGCTGGAAACAGTATCCCTACTGCTTGACAAGCGCGGACATGAGTTTATCATAACAGAAGATATTGTCAAGACTGTAGCAGCTAACGATTGGTGTTCGAAGGAAGCTTTATCGTTGCTGCTTGACAAACGCGGAGACGAGTTTGCTATTACGGAAGATATTGTCCAGGCTGTAGTAGCAAATGACGGTAATGTGTTTTCTAGGGATAGTGATGTGCTGGAAATGGTAAACCTTCTGTTTGACCGACGAGGGCATGAACTTATCATTACAGATAATATATTCAAGGAAGCGATACGGAATAGGAGAAAAGGGGTGAAAATAGTAACTGTGCTGCTTGACAGGCGCGGCGATGAGATTGGAATCACAAGGGATATTATTAAAGAGGCGCGAATAAGTGGGAAGCAGATGTTGGCACTGCTTCAACAGAGAATAGGTAGTGTGTGGCCAATCCCAGTGATCATTCTTGACACACAACGCTAATTGAACATAGGCAGAACCGAAATGGGGGGAACGGACGCATTAAAGGAAGAAGACTAGGGCTTCATCGGGTAGGCAACTGGATCCGATGGAAATCATAAAAGCGTTGGGTCAGTAAAGCGCATGTATAGAGTCCAGCTGTTGTGACAAATCATGGAGTTTATTCATAGATAATTCTGCCGGAGGAGCGTTGCTAGGAGATGGGTTGATCGATCCATCCAGGATGTAAGCATTTGGCCGGTTGGGCGATGAGGGCCGTAGTAGAATGGGGGATATCGAGTGCTTTCCTCCCAAGCTAAAGGTTGATTCTGGCTCTGCAGAGCTCTCCAACTTTGTCAGCTGAACATTGAATTTTGTGTTAATTTAGTCCCCGGGGGACGTGTGATGGAAGACGCGGTTCACCGTTGTCACTGAATACACAGGTATATGATGATCATAATTACCTCTCAGTAGTCTATCCGTCCGTCCTTACTCGCAAAGTTGGTTCGTCAAGTCACATATGGAATTCTTTACTTGAAGATTGGAGTTGACTAGCATGCCTGCGTCTCGTATGTGATATCGGGCTTCCTTAATCATAAAGAATGCAATCATCTTCATCTTTTTATGAACATCGCGGCACCGCCCATCCTGGTCATTTGGTTACCTTTGACATGCTTGTTTCAGTACATTTCAACGCGTATGCTTCGAAGTATTGTCTGGATTTATCTTCATCGAGACTGACGAGTATAAACACTTTCTGGACTGGCAGCTCGCAGTGCCTCCGTTCGCCTCTGTCTGACATGACCAAGGGGCTGATGTCATCGTCCTCATGATACCATTTTTGCAGTTTCTGCAGATTGTGTGTCATGGTTGGATCTATCTCCTTACACGTTGACTAGTGTCTCGATGTTGTTGATAGGACTTGGGTTTCGACCTTTCCTCGCGGCACTTTGATCAGCCTGTCCTCAATTTTGATTGGGAATGCTCGTCGTTGATCTTGAGGACGGTTGGTGTCGATAGGTCGACTGAGATTCAGCAAGTTGTACTTCATGATATTATTTTCACTGCTTCTACCTTTTGCTCGGAGACGCTTCAATTGATACAAAACGGCAAGTTAAACCCCAAGCGCTACAGCTACTTAAAATTGGGGTGAAAGAATGAGCAGCTTACGTATCACTGCGCGTTCTCTTAAGCTGCATGATAAAATAAAGTACTAGTTAGTAAGCAACCACTTACCTTGTAAACTGTCGCAAAGAAGGATACTCCGTTCAGAAAGTGGTACGTACAAGTACTATGATATAGCTTGTTCGCGCACCGCCTTTTCCCACAACCACTCCATGATCTTTTCTCCCTGTACTCTCCATCTCGACAGGGACCAAGACTTTCTTTTATATCGACTGGATCTTGGTATATAAGGAGTCTTCTATTCTTAATCTGCTGGGTTTAAGGAAGCTACATCTACATGTACTGCAGGCGCGTTCTCATTGCTTAAAAGACTAGGAGATTTCAGTATACCGCAAGCTTTGAGCTCCTGCAGAATATTTTCCGTATAGTTTGCTATTAACTCAGAGCTTACCGTGCTAATAATAGGCATTTGACTATCCGTGAATGCGTAGAGTTCTATTCTCACACAATCGGGTACAGTCATCTTCACCCTTGTTCAGCCCAAAGATCAAAGCCGCCATATTCGCTTAAATTAGTACACAAGGCAACATGCGGCGACAAAATCCTTTTGGAAGCGGCAACGAATAGTGTAATGGCAAAGCCACACTGAATCTTCCATGGCACCCTCTAACCGCTTTTCCGACCGTTCAGGATTTGGTGGATAAGATGCATGGAGTCATTGGCTGAGAGGCAGTAGAGGCAGTAGAAAACATTACATGGCTGCTTTTTGCCTTTTAATATACAACTTCATTTAAACACTTTATTAGAACCTATTCATCGTTATTGTGTCTGAAACTTGCGACGTTCCAAGAAACAATCAGTTCACGTTGAGCCACTTTTTCCTCTTATTGTTTAAACTTGGCGCCTAATGAAATAAACTTGAAAATAACAATGTAAACCGTAAATAAAGACTCCACTCAAAAAGCAAGTATAAAGAGACGGGGCGCGCTTTTCTTCCTGTTTTTTCCATGATGTAGTTTTTTCTCAAGATCTCTACATAATCTCATAATTTCCACCATTTTACCGTCTTGATTACTGCAGTCATGGAACACCCAGCACCGCAACCATGCGTTGGCTGCACGTCTAAATTGGCGCAATCCTTCCAGTGGAACACTCGCATAAGCGGTCGAAAGCGAGCAGCAAATAGCAATGCAGGCTAAGATTCCGCTATTGCCTCTTAGCCCTCTCCCGCCTCGATAGTTCGGGGATTTCCTATTTTAGAATGGAATTGTGATTGATTGATGCAACGGCTGACAGGTTGTAACCTGAGAGTGGAGATGGGCTGAGCTTTTTCGACGCTTCTAACTGGGCTTGGATGTCGAGACGGGCCAAAGCCCCTTAAAAAGTTGACCGGAAGAACAATTAGGAGCGGTTTGGTGCGCGAAGACTACCCAATACGAGCTTCACCGACCCGTGCCTGAGGAGGAGTAAATGAAGGAGTGCAGGAAAAGCTCAAGCTGTCTGCAGTAGGTAGGTACCTATTACTGGTTTTGGTTGTACGGCAACATTTGTTTGCTATAGAGGTACTGTAGTGGTAGCACCGTTCAGCCGCTCATGGTGCCTGTTTGCCAAGATTTTCTAGTCGCGGTCCGTCTTTGTGCATCAGTGGGCTGAGACAGAATCGTCGAGCTGAGCGGTAGCTGGAGATGGCTGAGGCCGAAAGTCGCATGTGTGGCTGAGGCTTTGCATCATATTGTCCCGGTCCATGCGCGATATTTTAGGCGCAACGCACGCACAGAGGGGTCGGTTCTAGAAGCGGTCGGCATGCACGAGTTTGCTTTTTTTCTTTTCTGATGCACTCTCCTCCCTCTATTACCCCCTCTTTTCCTTCTCTTCTTTTCTCCTTCTTCAAACTTTTCCCCCATTTACTCTCTTAAAAAAACGTAGCGCATAACAGCGTACACAGATAGGCACTTGAAAGTTCGCGTGCAAATTGCCTACTATGGAGTCATACGTGGGCTCTTCAGCGGCCCAGCTTCAACGTTCCTGTGGACGGCAGACAGCTTAAAGTGGTAGCGCCGTGATCAGCCCTGTCATTTTACACCAATCAGAAACCGCGGCTCCCAAGTTTAATTTCCCATTCCCCTGACGGCGGCGCGAAGGTCCTGCAGGAACAGAAAGCCTTCTAGACTAGCGGACAAACATCCCTGCTGGCCGAGACGTTACACGCTCGCACAGACTGCTACTTGCACCCAAGTGCAGGGGCTGCGACAGGCACATGTACCTTTTAGCAGTGCTGGTGGTGCTGGTGCTGGTGCTGGTGCTGCTTGTTGTTGTTATGAGTTAGGTATGAACTCAACTGTGCTGAAATACCGCTACGTACGGAATAATTGCAAAATACAGAGCACCGAAACACAAAGAATAGAAACATGTGTACGTCATGCAGTTGACTCACTGCGACGGCTTCCGTATCTCGCGAATTGAACCCTTGAGATGCCGCATCCTGGCTCATTTGCCTCCAATCTAAGGTCGGCCAGTCCACACACGCGCAAGTACATCTCGCTAGTGAGTACGAGGGCCTCCAGGCGCTTACCGGCCCAGACATGTGCCAGCTGCCAGGTACTGCAACTAGCCCTCTTGTTTGCAGGGGTCTGTCTCTAGGCAGAGAGGCCCCAGCTCCTCATGAAACCCACGCCCAGCTGTTCGCCCATATATCTCAGTCTGCGCTCCCCATCTCGTCAGATGGCCTCTTCTTCTTCTTTTCCTCCTCACCCAACGCTCCTTACACAGCCTTTGCAGCCCAATCCATTTGTCTTTACGACAAACAGTCACTCTTTACCTATTTGCTGTTTCTTTTCTTCATTCTCTTCTTTTCCAAACAAGTAAAAACAAAACTTCACTTCAACCGTCAAGATGCGATTCACTCTGTCTGTTCCCGCCTTCCTGGCTCTGGCCTCCACCGCCTTTGCCCAGACTCCCGACTTTGACCCCGTCAACAGCCCCAGCAACAACCAGGTCATCACCGCTGGCCAGCCCTTCACCATCCAGTGGGAGGCTCCCGCCAAGTACGCCGCCGGCACCATCTCCATCGAGCTGATCGGCGGCGCCACCCAGGGCACCCAGGTTCCTCTCAGCACCATCGCCAGTAAGTTGACTTGCACAAGAAAAAGGAATGACTTAGCGACTAACTTGGACACCAGCCGGCATTGCCAACAGCGCTGGCTCCTTCGTCTGGAACGTCCCCGCCGACCTGGGCGCTGATGCCTTCTACGGCTTCATCGTCAAGTACGAGAGCAACCCCAGCGTCTTCCAGTACTCCAACCCCTTCCACGTCAAGGCTGGCTCTGCTCCTCCTGCCAAGGACACCACCACCGTCACCACCTCCACCGGTGTCAAGACCGTCTCTCTGGCCACCCAGTCCACCTCGGCTCCCTACTCTCCTCCCGTTGTGACCTCGGCTCCTTACTCTCCTCCCGCCGTCACCGACGTTACCGTCGTTCTCAACGCCACCACCACGGTTCCTTGCAACGGTACCGTTGCTCCTCCTACTCTGACCGCTCCCACCACTCTCCAGAGCGCCACCCGCCTGCCTGTTCCTCCTAGCTCCCCTGTCTGGGTTCCTCCCGGCCAGGCTGTTACCACCACCTGGGCTATCGCTCCCTCTGGCACTGCTGCTCCCTCCAACCCTCCTGGCGTTCCTCTGCCTCCCCCCACCAACGCTGGTGCCCGTGTTGGCGGCAGCTCCTTCGCCCTGGTTGCTTCTCTGGTCGTGGCCTACTTCGCTCTGTAAGCGGTTGATGATGCTAGGATGTGGACATCATCGGGGGTTTACGGCGGGCCGTGGTACGACGCCTAATTTCGTCTGGAAGAGCCGACGGCTCTAATCTATTTTACTGTTGATTTGCACATAATTTTTTTTTTACTTTACTTGGAAAAGGCGAGGAAGATTGGTTTCGGTTTTTGAATCTCTCTATATAGAAAGCGCAGGGCACGACATCTGTTTTTTTCTGGGAACCATGTTGTTTTCGATGTAGGATATCTAGCGCCTGCGCGTCAATAGATTGGTTCTATCATTAATTGATAATGATTTTATGACCTCTACTTCGTATATGGTTTCAACTAAGTTTACTACACAATTTATCATTCAATACTGCCCTGCAATTTTAAGCCGCAAGTGAAATCGCATGTCATATGTCCTAGGTTGCATCTCACCAGTAAGCTGGTATAGAAAGTACGTGTCATATCTGTCTGATGCCTACAAGGGCCACCAGTCCTTGAATGCCAATCGCGAATTTCCCAAGATGGGTATAAGCGACGATCTACCTCTATCTTCCCCAGTGACGAGACATGGATAACACTGGGGTGTGTTTTTGGCGACGAACTCCCTCAGAAGGCAATTGATCGGCGGTGCGTGGTCCAAGACAAGACAATGACGACGAAGCGGATCGACGGGCACTACTAATCTGCACGGACGCGGGCGCGCACTGCAAGGGACAGCAGCTTATTTGGTTGCTTGGGTTATTGACCGAGATCTGAGATGTCCATGTCTTGGTGTTGTCTTGTCTAATCCGAAAAGTAATCAAAACCCAGTCTTACCTCCGAAGAGCCTCCTGTCAGACCGAAACAAGGTCCAGGAGTAGTAGTGAGTTTCCCTTTTCCCGCATTGACGGAAGAAAAATTGAACATTGACCCTGTGCGGCAGTTGTTTTTTTCCTTTTTCATTGTACTGACCTGCCCTGATGGGCATAACGCTGAAACGAAACGCCGTCGCGCTTTTGCGCCACGCGCATTATTGTTAAAATGAATGAGTGAAAAGGGGGGGAGCGCTAATAGAGTAGCATTGTGCTGTGCTTCTTATTTTCCCACCTTTTTTTTTGAGGCGTGGCGCGCTGCGGTTAGATTGGCTGACGAGAAGTGTGCCTCATTTCCACGATGGCTAAGTATGTACATGTATGTAGCTGGCTAGGTAGAGTTTGCTTTCACACGAGCGCTCTATTATTAATCCTCGTGAAGACAGAGGTGACTGCAGTGATTGGTCTGCTCAGCGTACCGACAGTTATAGATTTGATTACTGAGTAGCTTGACCAACAGTGAATACTACATCATCGCGTGACCTTGGTGAGATTTGCGTGCTCAATGTGAGCAGTATTCTGCTGATGATCCTTCTTGTTCATTAGCTCGGCGCCAAACAAGCACGTGTGTTATAGCTGAAATGTGCTAAGAAGCCGATTTGGGAGATGACTGAGCATCCGAGAGAGTAATCTGCCTATCCAACAGCCTCGCGATGGTTTGCCGCATGCCACTTTAGTATGTCTTCACCGAGAGGATAGCAGCCAGCAACCCGTCTCCATGCATGAACCTACCTCATGCGCATTTGACAATTTGATACTACCAACTTACTGGACAATCATTGGGTAAGCCGGGTTAAGTAAAGTAGAAGCTAAAGTGTCGTCGCATTGATACAGCTTGCCACTGCTCTCAACATTTCATCTACAGACCGCTGGTGGTGATAATGCCCAGCTTGAATAAGATGATGTCATGAGTTTGAGAGAGACAGAAGCCATTGTAATTTGACAATAAAAGCCCATGTGTTACACGCACATGGGTTTGTCGCATGGATTTGGTTTGCTATTGGAATGCTTCGAGGTGTTGGGTGATTGTGTTTCCATGGTGTGCATTCCTGTGCTTGGAGTAGTCTTTGAGATTCTGTCGCTGCATTGTCTTGGCATGAATACTTCCCTATTTTTAGAGAAACCACATGTGGCGTGATGGAAGTAGTACCTGGTAGGTAAATCTGCAACCCTTTACACGTATCTATCTTCACCAGCGTGCATGTGACATCGCTGCAAAGCTAGGTAGGGAAACACTGATAAGGGAATAGATACAGAGATCGTGCTTGATGTTCTCAATTAGCCTTGTGAGTATCTACTCTCCTCTTGAGAGACCCAGAATCTGCTATGTCAATCCAACCTTGTGCGTTTCACTCATAGAGATCTCATACAGATCCAATCTTTATGAGATCTATGTATCCGTTCCAGAAATGGCGCCTCTGCAAATGCTCATTCGCCAGAGCTTCGCTCCCGCTCCAGCTCTTAAAGGCCCTGAAGCGCTAGACCCGAACTAGTAAAGAGGTTTGGAGGGGCACCCGCCGCTGCCGCTCCGGTACGGAGCTCAAACGGCTTCAATTTTTTTTTTCTCTCTCTTTCATGTACGAGAGACAGAATGACGGCTAGATGTCAATCCCTCTCTTCCGAGTGTGCCATAACCTAGGCGTTGCTTCTCGCTCGTCTAGAACTCAACTCTTATACCGCCCAGTGCACACATTGCTTGTAGGGCTGTCAATTCCGATCTTACGGAGCCAGTTGCGCTGATGTCATAAAGGGTCGAACCTTGGTGGGGTCAAGATTCAAGAGTCATCTTTATCGCGATCAGAGGTGAGAAACCTGGTGGTGATACGCTGCAGTTAAGCTCTGTGCTAATGTCAGTCTCCCATTTCCAGCAGCTATTCCACAATGGCATCCGAAGTTGCGCCCAAGACCTGCAAGGTCATCACCGCCGAGACCATCGCCAAGAAGCTGCTGCTCGAGGTCAAGGACACCCTCTCCAAGGTCCAGGAGGCCGGTACCAGTGCCCCGACCCTGGTGGCATTCCTTGCAACCGACGACCCTGCCGCCGTCCAATATGCCGAGTGGTCCAAAAAGACCTGCGAGGAAAAGTGAGAATGGCAGTGCCGCATCTCGTAATATGCTTTCTAACAGCCTGCGTCTAGTGGCTTCAACTTTGAGCTCCGCAGAGTCGACAAGGATGTCATTGAAGAAGACATCATGAAGGCCAACGAGGAGGATGCGGTCGACGGCATCCTCGTATACTATCCCATCTTCCCCAAGAACCCTTCCCAGGATAAATACGTCCAGGAGACCGTCGACCTTACCAAGGATGTTGAGGGAATGCGCCACACCTACCTGCACAACATGTACCACAACATTCGCTTCCTGGACCCTCCTGAGAACAAGAAGAAGTCCATCCTACCATGCACACCGCTGGCCGTGGTCAAGATTCTCGAGCACCTCCAGATCTACAACCCCATCCTCGCTTATGGCAACCGGCTGTTTGGCAAGACCATTACCGTCATCAACCGCTCCGAGGTCAACGGTCGCCCTCTTGCAGCTCTGTTGGCCAACGATGGTGCCACAGTCTACTCTGTGGATATCACCGGCGTGCAACTGTTCACTCGTGGTCAGGGAATCAAGAAGATTCGCCACCAGGTGGAAGACAAGGAGGGCTGGGGCCTGGAGCAGTGCCTGCCTCTGAGCGATGTTATCATTGGAGGTGTGCCCGTTGAATCATTCAAGATTCCCACGGAGCTTATCAGAGAGGGTGCTGTGTGCATCAACTTTGCTTCCTTCAAGAACTTTGACGGAGCCGCCGTTAAGGAGAAGGCCTCCATCTATGTGCCATCAGTTGGAAAGGTCACAATTGCCATTCTGCTGAGAAACCTTGTCGTAAGTGCAATGTCTCACATGTCCTTTGAGAATGGAAATGTCATAGAAAAGAGCTAATTATTTCATAGCGTTTGGTTGCGAACCGTCCTCCCAAGGAAGATAAGAGCACCATCCAGGCCCGAACCGAAGCTTTTGCTGATGAGATCTGATTGCGGATGCAAAGCGAATAAAGCAAAAGCAGTTTCCTTTCTTCTTCTTCTTTTTTATTCAACAACAAAACAATAGCATATCAAAGTGTCAGGAAATAAAATGATTAAAACGACAAAGGGCGAGGATGGGAAAACATATTAAAAGGCGGGGAAATGAATATCATAGAATATCGTTCAACACTCTGTAGAAACAGATTTAAGTTACATCCCAATGAGAGTAAAATAGGGAATCCAAAAACTATCAGCATATGACTGATCATAACGCAAACTTTTATTAATCTCACAACTGTAAATACTTCGACAGTCTTGCATTGAAACACAAGCGCCCTCTTGTCTGATTAGGTGCCGGGCCACTTTGGTACTCTGAGCATGATTAGACGTCGACACACCCTTATGTCTCGATGCTTTCTCACTGAAGATAGGACATTATACCAATTAACAGGCATATAACGCAAATAGTTTTTTGTTCCTTTTTCTTTTCTTTGTTTCTTCTTTCCTTTCTTCCCTGGAATGAATCATCCTGATACCGCATACCCTCGCAAATCTCGAACTTCTTCTTGCCCGTTTGGTCAAGATAACCAGCGGTAGCTGGTTTATTCCAGCATCATACCTAGGTACTAAAATAACAACATTCTACTACTAATCGTGTTTTACGAGGTAGTACCCAATAGAGACAGGTTCGCCGCTTTTACATACCGATGGTCTCGACATTTGTTTTCCAATAGCGCTCCACAACACGTTTCAGGGCAGATGGACGAGGGGCGAAGCCCGTTTTGAGGAACTCGTCACAACTTGACGAAGTCATTCTTTGCTCTTTCTGCTGCCTCTGCTGCCTCTGCTGCCCCTTTTGCCCCTGCTGCTTTACAAGACATCTCATCCTTTTATCACATCATTGTTCTTATCTCTGTACGATGGATCTCTTCTCTTAATTAAATTTTGTAATTCATTGTCTTTGGTTCTTAGTCAGTGGTGACAATTCTGAACAGGCGGAGAGTATTTGGTGTTTAGCACTCTTTATGTTGGAGACGATGATAACGCAGGTCGAGGCCTCCAAAATCGAGCGGAAAGGCGAACACCAATACTCGGGAACGAACAATTACAGGTTAGGTGTTCATAGTTTGTCTCCGTAAAGCAATACACATAGCTCGGCCAGACGATGCCTCAGGCAATTGGAAAACTTGGAACCTTCTATACGACAAAATATATCTAGTTGGTTTACAATCTTTACTCTCACTTCAATAATTCCCTATTCCGTACTTCACTGTTTACGAGGAGAGGAAATGACATGATTTAATGGACCTGCACACATTGATTTTAACACTCTTAGTATGGAGATTAGTCAACATTTCTCTCCATGCATGTATGGGCCTATATTTCAACTCATCCACATGGCGGAGATGTCTTGCAGCATATTTGGTGGGTGTAGACCCAGCCAGCGGGGCCGAGGACCGACGCGGCTACGCATAGCCAAAATAGGTAGGAAATGAAACTCTGCAAAGAGGACAGAATGGCTGCTGCAAGTGAGCCGCAGATCTCCTATTGCTGACTTGCAGCGGCTCAGCCACTATCCATTGCTATTTTAGCAAGACAGTGCATTACGCGGCTTGGATAAATCGCGTATCGAGACCGGAGGCCAACAGGTTTAGCATTCACCAGGCTGAAGCAGAGCCCAGTGATTTGCCGGGTGTGGAATTACGAGCGTCGGGTAAAATGAGCATTATGCGGTCCTCCACATGACTAATTTCAATTACTGCTCTGCTTTTCTCCTTCTAGGCCTATTATTCCTGCGCAAGAATGGCAACAAAAGAAGCACAATACGAGGCATTGAATGGCGTCGTGCTTGTATGCAGCGAATAGGTAGGACCAACAGCAGATGGTTGTCACACTCTTCTTCATCGGCGGGACTGCAGTAGTGGAGCTGTGTTGCGCCGGTAAATACTATGGAGCACATGCTATTTCGCGTATGCGGGTATGGAGATGAGAGCCACCAGTCCAGAGTACGAGAAGTTGTATGTCGTGATATGAGGATACATTGAACGGCCACCTACTTGCTATCCCACCTCAGGTAGGCCGTGAACGGTGAAAACTCCATCACGCGGCACGCACACGCGCAGCCAATTTGCCGACATGTGCTTGCACCACTGGAGATGTCTTGGTGCCACCACTACAGAGGCCACAGAGCCTTGTAGCACCAACAGATCGTTGCATTCTGTTAGGTCGAGGCCAATGCAGTGTCGAGGTCGAGGACTCGGCCAGCCCGGGACCAAAAAAAGACTTGAAAAATGCCGCTTTTCACAAGCAGACACACAGACGCACATGCATCTCATCTCTGACACACCAGGCAGAAACAAGAAACAAGAAACAAGAAACAAGATCCTACTAAGCAAACAAAACGCATTGATTGATTTGCCAGACTCCGCACGCATGAGCAATCAACTCTAGCCCTCTTTCAGATCCGCGCCCTGAATCGCCCCGGCGCGCCACAGCGCCACCCCTCCAATTCAGCTAGATGCGTGGCCCTTTTGGGTGTGGACATTCGATGTTTCGCGGCCCGGGCCACCAGGCTTGCATCCTGTAATAGGCCTATTAGGTACCTGAAATCTTGTTTTTGGGGGGGAAGCGGGCGATTTTCTTCTTCCTCTCGTGACAACCTCTTTTTTCTTCTTCACCACTTCTAGCTTTTCTTCTTTATTTTCTTCTGGATCCTCTTTTTTTTTCTAATTGCCCGAGGCGATCCAGAGACGAAGCTCCGCTCGCTTCAGAGGCTGGACTAGCAGCAAGTGTAGATTCAGCCAAAGGTGGCCGTCGGCCGCTTTTAACGTCGCTCCTTTCTTGTCTCGCGGCGCGCCCCGGTCCACTCTCGCATCGCCGAGTTTTTGAACATCTCTCCCTTTTTCGTTTATTTCTACTTGGCGAGGCTGCCAGGGGCTCAGCCACGCGCGAAGCCGGAATCTCGATTACACTCGTTTTTTTCTCGTTTCCTTTCTTCTTTTTCCTCGTTGCTCGCCGCTTCGGATGCTTCTTTGTTAGACGCTTGAGCAGCAGATCATTCGTGGCCAGGCGCGGACGAACACGGAGACGATAAAGCGACAAGGCACAGCAAGGAGTACAGCGCAGCAAGGCGCAACAGCACAACAACGACTCGCTTCCATTGAGCTTGGCTGCAGCCGGCCGATCAGCCATGACGCTGCAATCCATTGTCACGAATCGCTATGACGGCCGACAAGACGCCCGCGGCATGGCCGTTCCGTATCCTCAACCCGCATCTCCGACCCTGACCAACCCGGACATGATCCTGCCCGACTACGATGAGCCCAACACGTATCACACCCAGGCGATGACGGGCCCGTCGCTGTGGAATAGCGGACACCACATCGAAGACGGATTCCAGTTCACGCAAGACTTCTACGCCAATCCCAACCCTCTGACAACGCCCATCATCTACGGCAATGGAACCATGCTTTCAGACATTGGCGAGGTCACCGAGGTGGAGAGCGTCGTTGGGCCGATTCCCTCGCGCAAGGCATCCCAGGGCTCGAATCACAGCTCCGGCGATGAAGGCCCTTTTCGAGCATCGCTGGCTGCGGGAAAGCGATTTATCCAGCAGCGACACCAGCAGCAACACCAGCAGCAACACCAGCGCCAGCAGCAAAGCGATCGCGAGCGCAGAATGTCCACCGACTCAACCAGCACAATCGGCCCAAATGACGGCGGCGCCTTTATCGATTTCGACGACTCCGCGAGCGTGGGCGAAGACAGCATCTTCCAGGGCGACGACGAGGAAAGCATGGCGTCCGAGTACGTGGAAGGAACAGCCGCCTCACACCACTTGCGCGCCTACGACCCGACGCCCGTGAGGAGACTGAGTGATGATGGGAATGCTCTTAGCAAGCGAGCGGAGATGATTCTCGCCAATGCTAAGGCGAGACTAACTGTAAGCTTGCGCGAAAGAGAACAAACGGCCTTTGGGAACCAGACTAACAAGCTTCTTTTCAGCATATGGAGGACAACCTTACCCGAGCCAGAACTTTTAGCTATTCATCTGTATCTGACGGTTCAACACCATCGCCTACTATGGGAAGGGCTGCTTCAGCGCTCCGCAGGCCGGATGTAACATCAGCTGCGACGAATCTAGCGAAAGCAGTAAACGAGAATGGTGCAATATCTGGGTCTTATGGAACATCAAAGGTGCCGGGCTATACACAGCGTTCCGCTAGCGCTCTTGGTTCTGCTGGTGGTTATCGGCGGCCTTTGCCTCAATCCAGAAGTATGGACGGCCTGGGGACCAGCGCTTCAGCTCAAGGCGCTCATGGGCATTTCAGCTACTATCAATCAGACGCTACTCTAGACGCTCTGACTGGGAATGGAGGGCAGCGAAATGGATCACGAACAACCACCTCAGCGAGCCCCACGCCGGGAGCCTTTTCTGAGCTCGGGTTGACTCGATCTGCCTCTGCATCGCAGATGCGCGACCTGCAGGACCAGCTGAAAGGCCTAAAGGGAAAGATTTCTACGCTGAAAGAGCAAGCACGTGCGGACAGCATGAAGCGACGCAGTCTTCAAAGCCTTCGTATGCCTAGTCCGTTTACCAACGCTACCTGGGACCCGAACTCTGCGGATGCGCGTGGCTTCTACAGCAGCGGGGAAGATACACCAACGACAGCAGAGCATGTTGACGGAAACTTGAGCAATAGCGATAACGACCATGCACGAAAACAGCCCGAGTACATAGCCGAGCCTATCGAGGAAGTGGAGGAGGAAGAAGAGGAGCAAGAGCGATTTCAAGAGCAGCACAAGGAGCACATTGAGGAGCAAATCGAGAAGCAGTACGAGGAGCAACACCAAGAAGAGTATCAGGAACCATATCAGGAGTTGTATCAGGAGCAAGAGGAGCAAGAGGAGGACAGTGGGGAGGGAGAGGGAGGTGAGCAGGGAGTTAGAGTGGTAAGCGAATACCCTCAAACCCCAGAGCCAGATGAGCTTTTCTCGGAAGTCGAAACCCCCAAGATTCGGGCAATGGCCAGCACATTGAAACTGGACCAACAACAGGCAATCAGTGGCCACCGGAGCGCGTCACCAGCAGAGAGTGTCGCTACCGAGTACACGGAGGTGGAGTCGAGCCCCGAGGCTGCTCACGACGGCTATGCGAGCGAAGGCGAGGAGTCGCTGTATCACGAGTCTTTCCAGCAGCCCATCTCTCACGAAGACCGCGAAGATGCCTTTGATTACGAGCACTTCTTTTTGCACTCTGCCATGAGCACCATGGCGGCCCAGCGACTGCGCTCAGAAAGTGTGAGCTCTGCAGAGTCGGCAGAGTCGGCACAGTCGACAGACTCGGTGGAAACAACTCGCCCAGCAATGCCGCACAGGCGGAGCAGCAGTGCGGATACGACAGCATCTGTGGACACGTTTGCAACGGCAGCTGAGGGACTGGACAGTCGTAGTGCAACGGCCCAGGGTGGGTTCAGAGTCTACACGGCGGCCGACTTGTTTGAAGATGCTCGGCGAAGACACGCCCATTCGTTTAGACACTCTTCGGTGAGCAGCAGCGACGAGACTGCTTCTACGCTTGGGACACATCAAAGGAGCAGCACGATGACGACGCCTCGGCCAACAAGCAACAGCTCCGTCAACTCTATGCACCGACCGTCGCATTCGTCTTTTGAGTCTATCGGAACGAACCGGAGCTTCCCACTAATCAGCAAGGCCAAGCTCAACGGTGGTATCCTGACGCCTGGCGGCTCTCCTGACCAAGGGCTGAAGAATAAGATTAGAGACTCGCTCTTGACCGAGACGTCTAGCATTTACAGCCAAACCAGCAGCAATGACCGAGGCGCACAATCGCCTGCACTGCAAGTCCTGTCCAAGGATGTCCAGGTGACTGTTGAGAAACTGGTCGCAAGCATCGGCAAGTGCGTTTTGGCACTGGGCGAGCCCGATGGAGCCAATCCAGGAGGCCATGAATTGTATAAACGCAGGATCGAGATGGCTCTTCGCGTTCTTAACGGAGAAGCTGATATCCCTTGAACAGGGAGTCAGATCTATTTTTTTTTCCTTTGTTCTTTTTCTTTTTCTTTTATTAACGATTGCGAAATATTCGACTTGCGTCTCTGAAGCGTATATTTGAGACACGCACCTTTTGGAGGTGGGATAAGGGGGAGTGGACAAACTATGATTTTAATGCTTTTCCGCGATTGCTTATAGCGCGGACAGCTTATGCCTTCGATACCCTTTTCTTCTACGTGTTCCTTTTACTTCTTTTATAATTCTCTTCTTTTGCTTTACATTTTTTTAGTTCTATTAATCTGCAAGATTGCTATGCAGCGTGTGCGCTGGTTATTTTTTTCTTTCATTCTCTCTTGGGTTGGGGGCTGGACTCTGCGTATTGGGATGAATGGGAACGACGACATGGTAGCGGAGGGAAAGGAATTTTGTCTTTGTAAACGACTGGCTTAGAATGTAAAAAGAAAGAAAACACCGTGAATACAACTATCGTTATTTATTATTCCTCTTTTGGTCGTTAAAGAAGCTGCATACATGCCTGCAATTAGTGATCCATTGGTTCATATGATTTGGTCACGACCCTTAAAAGTGCTTGAAGGCTAGCGCCGACGCTGGAGCATCACATGCCAGCACTGCGACCAAGAGCAGAAAAAAGGCTAAAAACCTCCAGCTCTTTTAGCACGGGAAGCGGGCTAAATTCACGCCACCGCGGCGGGCGGGGGTCCTTTGCAAGAGTAAAAAGTCCCTGAAAAAAACAAGGAACAAGGAACAAGGAGCAAAGACGCCGAAAGACGCCAAAGGCCAGTCATCCATTTTTTTCCCAAAAAGCCAAAACACAAAGAGAACGTGGCCGAGCATCTTCCGATTCGAAGCAACTCAAACCTGTGACGAACCAACGAGACGGGAGAGACGTGAACACACGGACGGGACTGGACAGAATCAGAGCCAGGACAAGCCAAACAGGGGCCTTTCTTTTTTTCTTGCTACCTGCTATCTTATCACGGATCCTTGTTCAGTGATTATTTATTTATTTATTTTTTTGTTCGCACTATTAGCTTTTGAACGAACGCGACTTGCCTGCCTTTGTGCGCTTTTCACTTGTCTTTTTTCTTTGCTGGCGGGATTTTGATAAAAACTGCTGCTTGAGCTCGTCGCATTTCGTCATTTCTTCTTCTTCTTTCATCGCCGACAGAATCAACGCCTTTTGACGAACACGTTACTGTCCATCGGTCGCTCGCAGCTCTCTACCCGCAGATCTACACCACCAAGCTTTCTAAGCATCGTCATACAAAAACCTACCACCAAACAACATCATCATCATCACCACAAACCGCCCGCCATGGACGGAACCCTCGCCACGCAGCTCCTCGCCTCCCTCCTCCCCGCCGACATCGTCGCCCTCATCGACACGCACATCCTCTCGCCGGAATCGCCCGTCCAGGCCGTCAAGCGCACCGCCCTCGCCCAGGCCCGCCGCAGCGCCGACCTCGTCCTGCCGCTCCTCCAACCTCTCTTCGACCGCGCGCTGGCCCTCCTCGCCGAGCACCAGGGCGCGCTGGACATGCTCGTGCCCCTGGCGGTGCTGCTGGCGACGCTCATCATCCTCAACTGGGTGCGCCGCATCATCATGTGGTGGACGCGCCTGGCGTTCCGCGCCGTCTTCTGGGCGGCCTTTGCGGCGCTGGCGGCGTGGGTGGTGAATCGGGGCGTGCTGGTCAGCGCGAGGGACGCGGCGGTGCTGGGGGCCAAGATTGTGGGCTACATTGCCGTGCTGAAGGACGTGTGGATGGCGGAGTATAAGCGGTATGAAGGACAGGAGGCGAGTGGGCGGTGGGACGACTATGCGGCGAGGAAGAGCAGTAGCAGCAGGGCGTTTAATGCGCAGGCGAGGAGGTAATGGAGGAATATGTCAACAAAACCAGTCAAAAGGACAAACAAACGAAGAAAAAAAATAACAAAGTCACGAGGAATTATGATATATGGGACATTACGATGCTATCAGGGCTGGGCTGCATGTCATAAGTGACGGGGAACAGAGTTTGGGCAGATCACGGGCGTATAAAGGGTGTTTTTTTTTTTGTTTAACTTTGCATAATTGGGGAAATTATTTGTTATTGTTAATTGTTTGTTATCTTCTTGATATCTTTTTTTTTTTTTTTTTCAAATCGTTTTAGCTAAATGCGAATACCACAAAACGCCGTCGCTATGCAAAATATGCTCCCAACCAAACTGTATCAAAGCAGTTTCTTTTCCTCTTTTATAACCTTTTTCCCATTGCTTTTAATCAGCTTCATCGTACTCCTGCTCGTCGTCGGGCTCTTTGGGGTCCTGAGCCTCGTGGTACTGAATGCAGTCGTCAATGTGGCTGAGGATGCCTCCCACGCTATCTTCGTCCGTGACATCTAGCTTGAGGTAGTTGATCATGCTGAAGCTCTCAATGAGGCCGGCCACAGCTTTGTTGAGGCGGCGGAAACTGGCGCCCTTCATGACCTGGGTCTTTTCGTCAGGTGGTGCAGATTCATCGTCCTCCTCGTCGGGGCCTTCGGTAATTCTTCTGCTGCGCTCTAGAGGGTCGTCCTCCAGCAGCGCGACGTCAGGCGTCAGGAATCGCTTCAAATCCTTCTTCTTCACCTGGTCTTTGATGAGGTCCATCTTGGACAAGACGTTGATGTGGGGTACCTCAAGCATGAGCATGGCGCTCATAGCACTGAGGGTACCAGCAAAGAATTTGGCCCTGTCCACCACAAAAGTAGCCTCGAGGAGATACACCGCCGCAAGTCGAATGTCCAGAGAGCCTGAATTTGTGAGGAACTTGACCAGCGTCGGCAGAATGGGGATGTGCGTGTACAGCTCGATCTGGCCGGGCATGTCGATGATGATGAGGTATTCTTCCGTAAGAGAGTCCAGCGCCTCGGTCAGCCAGTCGAGGTTTTCCATGAGGAACTCGAAGCAGTAGATGAGGCCGCCGTTGGGGCCCAGGCCCACCTCTTCCATGGCATCCTTGAGGGAGATGAGCTCCTTGATGTCGAGGTCGGGCGTGTGCTCAAACGACTCGGCGGCGGGATCGAGGTTGATGTAAAAGGCTGAGCGGCGGTTGAGGTTGAGGTGGGTGATGAGGGCGGCGGAAAAGGTGGACTGGAGGAAAGGAAGTCAGTTGGATGCTCTCATGCCAGAACAGTTGTGCGCGCTGTCGCATAGAGCATAACGAGCGAGAGCCAGATCCAAGATGATTCATTCATCGGAAACATATCGGAAGGAATTCCGATATCCAGCACCAGGGAAGCATCGGCGCAAACACAGCATCAGCAGCACCCATGCCCGTCCGACCTCTTGCTCTCGACTTGCTCACGCACGCCGTAAGCCTGCATTACACGAAACGCACCTTTCCTGCGCCTGCAGGGCCCATGATCATGGCGCCAAACTTGCTCATGATTGCAGCTGCTGATTTACCCCAATATGTGATTTCCTGTTGTTTCCAGTCTTTGTAATAGCAACGCTTGATGCATCTACTGCCTGGCTAAAGCTCGGTATCCGCAGAGGGAAAAAAAAAATTAATGACGGAGCTTTTCCCAAGCTGCTGCCCCTCTATTGCTATCGACAAGCAGCTATCTCTTTAGTGGGACCCCGGGAACTCGCTGGGGGCCAGACATGGAGGCACGTTGCGCGCCAGCGCTTTTCGGCGACAAAATGAGATTGCGAAAGGCGGGGTTACGGGAGATATCGAGTGCGTGTGCGTGTACCCTTGTGTGAGGTCTTTATCATTGAATCTGACAAGGAGCAATGTGTTGAATATGACAAGGAGCAGCACTTGCAGGCCTGCAATTTGACACACTGTGGTAATACATTAGTTGGCAATTCCAACGAGATAAAAAGCATGTGGGATGGCGCAATTTCTGTCGCAAGTGCTAGTCAGTCCTAGCGCGGTACCGGCCTTTTGTATTAGCTCGGCAAGCCATCAGAGGTTCCTCTTTAACTAAGCAGCACCAACTCAGGTACGCCGCCGCACGCGCGTGGACTAGACGGCCTTTTTTTTTTTTTTTTTTTCCCTTTCCATTCTGGTTGGGGGAAGGGTTTGCGAGACTGGCACACCATCTCCGCGCGCAATTAGCACCCGGATGGGACCGAGACATTGTCTCTCAAGAGGTCTCATCTGCGAAGAGGCCGATTTATGATTATCTGAGTCACACATAATAGCTAGTAGTAATTGACATCTTTGGCTGATTTATATGTACCTGCTGGAAATCGCGACAACTCCCACGCCATTTGCACAATCCCTTGCCAATCTCAGATCCTGCAGTATTCGTGTTCGCTCCTGTATGACTCTGCTGAAAGCGGTGGGGCCATCGGTCACTTTCTCTCCATCCTTCTAAGACTGTGTGCATTTGGCCGTTCTTGGACCGCCGCCCCTCCATAAAAATCAATCCATCCGCCGCCAATTTTTTTCCTCTTGCCCTCCCCTTTTCTCTCTATTCATTCTTCCTTTCAGCGATTGTCTGTCCTCGTTTCTCTCTCTCCCCATTCATTGTATCATCATTCTCTTTTCCTCCCCTCCATCCACACAACCGCCACAATGTCCGCTACCAACGGCGTCCCCAAGTCAGGAACTTTCCTGTTCACCGTAAGCGCGCCCCAATCCCAACCGGCGCATCCTCAGCTGCTAATTCGCTCTCACAGTCCGAGTCTGTTGGCGAGGGTCACCCCGACAAGATTGCCGATCAGGTCTCTGATGCCATCCTCGATGCCTGCTTGTCTGAGGACCCCCTCTCCAAGGTTGCTTGCGAGACCGCCACCAAGACCGGTATGATCATGGTCTTTGGTGAAATCACCACCGGCGCCAAGCTTGACTACCAGAAGATTGTCCGAAACACCATCAAGGACATCGGCTACGATGACTCCGACAAGGGTTTCGACTACAAGACGCTCAACCTGCTCGTTGCCATTGAGCAGCAGTCCCCCGACATTGCCCAGGGTCTGAAGCTCGACCAGGCCCTCGAGAGCCTCGGCGCCGGTGACCAGGGTATCATGTTCGGCTATGCCACCGACGAGACCCCCGAGCTCTTCCCCCTCACCCTCCAGCTCGCCCACAAGCTCAACGCTGCCATGTCTGCTGCCCGCCGTGACGGCTCCCTGCCCTGGCTGCGCCCCGACACCAAGACCCAGGTCACCGTCGAGTACAAGCACGACAACGGTGCCGTTGTCCCCATCCGCGTCGACACCGTCGTCGTCTCTGCCCAGCACTCTGCCGACATCACCACCGAGCAGCTCCGCAAGGAGATCCTCGAGAAGATCATCAAGACCACCATCCCTGCCAAGTACCTTGATGACAAGACCATCTACCACATCCAGCCCTCTGGCCTCTTCATCATCGGTGGCCCCCAGGGTGACGCCGGTCTGACCGGTCGCAAGATCATTGTCGACACCTACGGTGGCTGGGGTGCCCACGGTGGTGGTGCCTTCTCCGGCAAGGACTTCTCCAAGGTCGACCGATCTGCCGCCTACGTCGGCCGATGGATCGCCAAGTCCCTGGTCGCTGCTGGCCTCGCCCGCCGTGCCCTTGTCCAGCTCTCATACGCCATTGGTGTTGCCGAGCCCCTCTCCATCTACGTCGACACCTACGGCACCTCTGACAAGTCTTCTGACGAGCTTGTCAAGATCATCCGTGACAACTTCGACCTCCGACCTGGTGTCATTGTCCGCGAGCTGGACCTGACCCGCCCCATCTACCTCCAGACTGCCAAGAACGGTCACTTCGGTACCAACCAGTCTTTCACCTGGGAGCAGCCCAAGCAGCTCAAGTTCTAAGTCAACTAGCTGTTATCTACAACTGCATACAGAGTATTCAACAATCTCTGCTACATGATCTACAAAGCGATGTGTGCTTCACATGTCGATTATTTCATCAGACACATTTAGGCGGCGTACGGTTCTCAACGAAACCTGGAGGCTTTCCCATGGCATTTTACGGGAAGGCGAGGTGGTTTCTGGCGTAAATTCTTTTTTCTTTGTTCTTTTTATTATTATACATATACCAGGGTCTTTGGGGGACACAAATGGGGCGTCTTTCAACAAAGACAAAAGTTATGGGTTATTTGCATAGACAGCAACAGGGTCACGTCTGCAAAACGGGAAAACAAAATGCACACTTATGAGCTACGCTAATGATGGGTATAAACAAAGATCTGCGTACCGGCGTTTTCGGGAACCAAGAAGAAGTTCAACATCTTTCTTCCCGAGTCTCTTGACCGAGCTGCTGAACATGCAAGTCAGTTGTCGGGGTTGGAAACAGGAGAAGCTGGAAGTTATCGGAAGGATATCATGACTTTTTATTTAGACATGAGACTTGACAATAGAGAAGCCCGATGAAGGCAAACATTTGCCTTGACAAACTTTGTGCCATGCTTTTGAAAGCTTTGTGAGTGTATTTGAAAACTTTGTGAATGTGTTCATTGTCCTTTTATATCCACGCCTATGGATAGCGACGCAATGGGGTGATTGCGTTTTCAAGAGCCTGAAAAGAAGAACAATATGTTAGTTGGTATCGTTCTGTACAGTGAAAACTGGAATAAGTGTCCGATTTTATTAATCTAGAATCTCTCCCCCCACGGACACCAAGATGTAGGGCCTGCCGCTTATACAGTGCGTATAGCATCATAGCTATTGTATTATTTAACAGCATGATGATCTTCTAACTTATCCAATACAATAATAAATTCCTTAGACCACAACACTGCAATACTCTCAAGCTCAAGTTAGACACAATTAAGTTACCCCTCGTCTTATACAGTCCGGAAAAAGTTAGCATAAACTTTCAGGCACTGATATGAAACATGTCACGTTTGCTTTGCTGGGCCTGAAAATCTGCTATATATCATAAAGCACCCCTTTGACCTCTGATATAAATATATTAGAAAACATAAAAGAAACCAGAGTATATTATCTTACGCACCCCTTAAGGCCTTACCCTTGTCCGAGCTTTAATAGTCCAACCTCTCAAGCCTGGTAGAACTGACCTCGTTTAACATGTCCATATATAAGCTTTGTCATATGCTGCCTTCCACCGATGACTATATGCTGGTTCGCAATAGTAGAAATAGAACCGATTTCATGCGTAACTAGTCTGGTCTATACAGTTGGTCGATACTCTAAAGGCAGCCAAACCACAGGCTTATCATCTTTTATGATCCATGGTTTATCAGAACTTATGCCATAGTCATGAAGGTCCGTACCTTATGATAATCTTTCACGTGGCATCTCTATAAAAGACGCATTAAGCCTAGAATTCTGAAATCGGTAACAAGACTCGAATTATCTGTTGCATCAGAGTTTAGGCATTGACTAGTATATACAGTCAGCAGACAGGCGCCTGGGTTTGCGACCATACTCTGACTGTGTTATCGTGTGAGGCTGAGGCGAGCCGCTGGCCATCGCGCGAGAAGAAGCTGAGATTACTCCGTCATTATGGCACCTATAGAGTTTGCAGGCAGGCACTTCCGCAAGTTCTCAGCTAAACTGCCTGCGCCAGTGGAGCTGCGGTCTGGGACGCTGCTGGATGGCTCTTGTATAGTCTCGGCTATTGGAAGCATGACTTCGTCCCTTAGCATGCACTGTATGCTGTAAGCAGGTCCATCCCTCTTTTGCTAAATCGATCAACAAAATAAGAGAGAGAGAGAAAAAATAGACTGTCAGTTTTTGGCCGCGCCAATGGTTATGATAAGCCTGATAACGAGTCGTAGCTGGGTCTCCCCGTTAGAGTCGTGGAGATCTTGGCGCTCAGATTGTAAAAGGACGTCCATGTCTATGGTACAATTGCTCCACAATCCCTATGGTGGGCCATGGGTCGCTGAGTTTAGGTACCCCTCATTGGGCAAGCAAAAGTGGGATTGTTCAGAGGGGTTACTGTATGACTCCGTTCAATTACCCAAATCGGATTCGTGAACTTGATCATGGCTATTGATACAGCCTTGGTGCGGTTCTGTACAGTCTTTAAGTGAACGGAAAACAGACGCCCCCCAAAAAAGTCAACAGAGCATCCTGTCTACGATGATCCCCAAATTTCGGTCAATCACCATCATCTCGTCACCCTACCATGTTGGCATCCCCCAAGTGGCTGTCGGGGCTGGTCCGGCCCATCTGAAGCTCCGCGGACTCGTCAGTACAATTCGAAAGCGTGGAATTGAAGTCGGCGAAGTAGAAATACCACCAGTGCACGACCAGTTCGAAGGCGACATAGCACGAAGTTTTGAGGTGTTCCGAAGAACAGCCATCTCTATTCGGCGGGCACACGAACAGGCATCCTTCCCCATCGTTATCGCGGGTAACTGCAGTTCAAGCGTGGGTGTACTTGCTGGTATTTCTGCCACGTTGGGAGATTCCGACAAAACGCTGGCTTGCGCTTGGTTTGATGCTCATGACGATTTCAATACCCCTGATACTATTACCAGTGGATACTTTGATTCCATGCCAATCGCGATGATGGGTAATCTTTGCTTCAAGTCGATGCTTGCAACGATTCCCGGGTATTCCCCACTTGACTTGAAGCGGCTGATTCACGTTGGCATGCGTGACGTTAATGAAATTGAGCGGCAGCATGTGGAGGAAGCTGGCATATCAGTAATTTGGGGAAATCCACGGGTTAAAGTCGACTTTAACAAGCATCTAGCGGCAATGATAGCTGACAAAAAACTCGAGTCTCAGCCATCACTAGTCCATCTTGACTTGGACAGCTTTGATACTTCCATTGGGAAGGCAAACAGATTCGCGGCCCCGGGAGGTTTGCAAGAGGCTGATATGCGTGAGTGTCTTTTAACGCTGGCAGAGAAAACAGTGCCTATGTCGGCGACGATTGCTTCGTTTGACCCGAGCTTTGAAGGTGCTGATGCTATTGCGGATGCAATAATTCGTTGCGTATCAGTCTTTGTAGACTCTTTGGTTGCTAAGTGGAAGATATTGGATACGCAAGGGTAGATCTTTTATAGAATGCGGCTGGGTTGTGAAAGAAGGCAATGGAAACTATTGCCACATCCAAGTTCAACATGTATAAATATGTTCTTCGGTTATGCGCTAAACGTGAGGTGGTTATTTAAGCCCCAACTCTCATCACAGACTGAAGAAGTTTCCCTTTCAAGCACAACTTAGACAAACTGCACGGAAAGGATAAGCTTGGGGTTCACCATGCCAATGGCTTGACGGAATCATCGTTAGTTCATGTCAGTGCCTGGGAGTACAAGCACATCTAGAGCCAAAGTGGAATTCAGCTTAGATGGATAATTGTCAAACGAGTTATTCTAGTAATGCTTGTTACAATATATAATCTGCACTGTACTAGCCACAAGCCCTACATCCTGGCCCGTGTTGAAAGAGATGCTAAACAAGTCGGATACTGTACGTACTTATTTCGGTTTTCTCTGTAATTGAGAATATATCATCAATTCATGTATAACTACTCACACCCCATGATGCCATTTCCACAGTCCACCGCTACGCCCCGCAGTGCTATTGCTGTGGAGGTTTATGGACATATGAATGAGCGTGGAGGTGGATTGTGCGTTGATGCTAGACCTCTTTTGAGGTGAATTTGCGCAGAACTGCTTCTATTATACATAAACTGAAGGCTGAATAGGGGAGAATTGCAGCTGGAGAGCTGGCAAGCCACGTAAGCCGTGTGTGGATATATCTCTGTCTAACAAGAGCCGTATAACCAGATGCAGTTTGCCTGGCTTCAAGAACAGGTATCTTGGGCATGAATACATGAATGTAAAGGAGCCTCCGTGCACGATCTGATAAAACATTTGCGCACACGCCAATGAGATTTCGTAGAGGAGTCGCGTGATAGGTTCAACTGAGACAGACAGCTTACTAACTAACAGATGAAAAGGGGGGTGTAAAGCTCACCGACTTCATATTGGGTTGTCAATTAACCTGAAGAGTGCGGTGGAATAGAACAGACCCCCAAGGGACGGAGGCTGAAAGCACAGATGCTTTGTCGCTGTTTGTTGTTATTGTTAGGTATGACGTTGAGTCTGTGCGAGGAAAGGGCGTGCGTCTATCATTTACACATGGTCTTTATTATTTACTTCCATGCTTTGAGTTGATGATTGACTTGATGGATTGTATTATTTGGACATCAGCAGTGGATTTGAAGCTTGGTGTACGGCGTAGTTATACTCCATTTAGAGAATACGTTGAAGATTTTCTTTGAGGATGATGACCGTTTATAGAATATACGTCAAAAACTCTCATTGAGTTATGGCTGTCAAAACATTTCGGACTTTATCAGCCAAAGATAGCTTTCTCTTTCTATAGATGGTTACATCAAAAGGTTGGACGTGTAATGAGCATGATGGCTTTCAGAATGATGCCCAAAGGTTTGTACGATGAAGAGAACATGAATCTTTCCATATTTTAATAGCAATACATCTTAAATAATACTGTAAAGTATCCTCGATCAGCCAGAATGCTCTCCTCTTGTGATATGAGTTTCAATATTCTCCAACATTGCAACAGCCATGGATCCCCTAAAACATCTCGAGTCGGACACTACCAATTTCTTCACCTCGGTGGGCATCACTCGCCAGGCCTGCGACTACTGGCTCCGCCGCTTCTATGCAGGCAGCTTCACGCCCCTCCCCGAGCAAAGCAACAGCCTACTCGGTCTGCGTCGGACAAGACCAGGATCGCATTTTGCAGTTTCGGCTCAAGTCCTCTCCTCTGGATGCGGATTCCATCAACTTGGCACAGCGAATCTATGGATCCCGCGTCCCGGCTGTTGTAGTCGAGGCCCAGCTGGGTGATGACGACGGTGAGACACCGCCAGTGCTGGTTTATTCGATAGATTGCGTGCGCGGGACTGATTTCTCGTCGTTTTTGTTGTATCGTGATGAAGCTATGCTCACGTCGATGGAGAGGAACGCTGCTTGTCGTAGAAACCTGACGAGAGATTTTGCACAGTAAATGTCTTCTTCTTCTTCTTTTGTCTTTCTATAAAGTTATTCTTGAATGGTTCTTGACTAAATCATCACAGTTTCTTCGCTGCAGCATGGAACTCCCCTAGACAACTCAGTGAAGAAGACCACGCCTTGGACAAACAGATGCATATTGACAATTTACAGAGCCTATTATGCTTACCAGCAGAGTTCCATCCCATTATCCAAGCATGTGTCAAACAGATATATGCCATCATGCGCCTCCCCATGGTGGTATACCATACAAACCTTGCCAAAGAAGATTTCACCGTAGATCGCGAATACCAGCTCGTCGGCATCTTGAGCTGGTCGAGACTAGCCATTGGCCCCTTTGGGCTCAACCTCCACAGCCTCGAAGAAATCTACGGCCACTTTAGTTTGCAGTATGGACGATCCAACTTTTCTGACCACAAGGACTTATAGTGCTTATTCTGGGATTCGCTTTCGAGGGCGGTGGGCGGCTTGACCCCAAGAGAGACTCGTTCCATCAAAGTGACAATGATTGTCGGGTTTTTGCAGCGTTGGGGACTTGCGTGGAAGCTTGCTACGTATCCCGGGCCGGAGCTTGCTTCGACTGTTGACGAGATTTCCCATACTAACCTGGCGGTGATGAGGTCCTACCTCATTGACCCGACGACTAGATTTGAAGGTGTAAAAGAGCTATTGGTGTGATTGTTAAAGGGAAAACTGATCTGTTTGCGATTGTTAATGTGTTTCGTAGCATGTTCATGGGAGTCAAAGGAGAGTTTGCAATCAATTAAGTAGCTATTAGAGTTTGTTTTCGTTTTTTTATCTGAATGTTAACATGCCAATGTAAGAGAGAAGACTCTCTACTTGGTGGTGGCTTGAGTATGATCTGACACATGCGCTTCATCTATAAACAGCAAACCGTCCATAACTTCTATCTGGAGATCTCTGAATCGCCAAGTTGATATAGTTTACTGTGTCCAACCTAAAATTTGCGTAGACCATTATGGAACTCTGTGTGAATGCTACACTAGGCTTTTATACAAAGTAAGGCAAGCTATACCGAATATCACAGGCAAACGGTTTGGCAAGAAAGGGGGATAGCTGACTTAACTCTATTTATACTCAAGTAACATAGTTGTCTCCCGATGTTAGGCAACTAGTAATGTAGATTATGCCATGTTGAACCCTTTAGAGAGAAACCGACAGCATCTACCCGTTACGGAAACGGCAAAAGAGATCCAGATTCCCGGGACCGCTTGGCGATGAACCCGTCGGCGTCTTTAGAAAAAGGCGCAGTTTGACGAGACCCAGAGCAGTGGTAACTCTAGACGCATACGCGAGAACAAGACAAGGGGGGTGAGAAACTTGACGTAGAACGAAGAATGGGCGTTGACTTGTCTTGTTCAAAAGCTAGCCTGTCTCTCTCGTCGGCAACGAAACCCGGGTGTAGGTTAGCGGCGGACGTAGAGGCCGTGGTGGCTTTGAAGTTTTTTTTTTTTTTTTTTCGCTGTTGGTTGTTGTTGGTTTTAGTAGATCTTTATGCGAGATGAATGAAGCTATCCTGACTTGGCCGAAATAACAATAGCAACGCTAACCCCCAAGCCGTGGGGGGTGGTTTGCCGTTTGTCGCAACTGTAGCCGCTACCCGGTTTCCCGCTCAGCCGAGATTTGACGGCTGGGATCAATTCGCCGATGTTTGTTCCTTATTCTCTTTGGAAATTTGTGTTCTGTGGATTTCGTCTGTCTTCGGGTGAACGGTTGCCGCCATTGTTGGGTGTTGCTTTTGCTTACATGAGGCTGTAAGTCGTACAACTCCCACGTATAAGCAGTAGCTCACCGACTACAATGGTGCATATCAGCTGGAAAAGACACCTGCAAGATTGCTTCGCTTTGACCCGTGGCCCGCATGCCATCCCGAAAACTTGCATGTAATTGATCTCAGCTCTGGAGTCTCTTTTCTCAGCCGTGAAATATCCTACCCCATTCATTGCTCGTTCAGCCTTTGAGCAATAACTGTTTACTCAATCATCACCAATCAACTAGTCAGAATAGCCGAATCACCTCGCATACGTCAACACTAGCCTCTGTCCAAGAACGGCATCTAGCACGATTCATAATGGTGGCATATTCGAAGTTCCCATAGCTGTGGTAGAGACGGCGTCCTTCTGTCGATCAACCGAAAAGCGAAACCATTCCTTTCTGTCGGCCCCGATGGCGTCTAGAGTATGGACTACAAACTACGCGAGAGAAGAAGAACATTTGGGGGCTATTCACACTCCCCCCACCTCAGTTGTATGATTTGATTTCTTCTCTCCTTTGCTTCCCTATTCCCAGTCAAGCCACTGCATTGGCGGCAGAGCTAGTGGTCGACGGTGTGTATCCCATACCGTGGCTGCGGTGCTGGGAGGGGCGTCAAGCACCAAGAAGCTAGTTGTAGTTCAAAGCTTCAACCAACAGAAGCTGGCTAAAACATATTGATTGATTGATACATAGGCCCGCGAGTGATTGATTGATTGATTCATGTTAGATGAGCTAGTTTTGGCTAGTTGGTTGGGCGGCTAATTATGTCATCGGATGATGAGCTGATGAGCTGACTTTAGGCATGGAGTTCTTGTTAGCTGTTGTTTGATGGAATAAGTCACAGCCAAACAACACAAAACACTCATCACGCTGAGGCTGACGCCTGTTTCATCTTGTGTATCCAACGACACCAACACCACTGCCTCTATGCTTCTCCCCTGACTACCTAAATAAGAAAGAAAACAAATGATGAGATGGAAAATAATGGAAAAAAAGTCAAAGTCTATCACATTGACAATACTAATATCTCTCCTTCGGAGTCCGGAGATCGACAAATAGCGCTGATCCGGATCCCGCTGCCCTCGGAACTTCGCTCATATAACGCACGTGCTCTGCCACATCACCGTTTCACCCTTTCTATTGATATTGACACCCTTCAAGATCCATATATTCACACAATGATCGTAAATAAAAGCTTTCTGACGGACCCTCCTTCCCGAGCGCGGCGATCCGTAAACGAGGAGCGCAGAGCGGCTGCTGGTTCGTGCGGGCAAGAGGCTCGTGGAAATAATACTAATGAGAATAGAGCGGGGAGGGAACACCGGAGCTGTATGTTCAATTTCGGATCCGAGCAACGGCTATGTAATGCATGTACGCACAGACTTGGTGGTGGCATAATTGTCTAGATCTCAGTTATAGGAAAAGGGAGGGCCGCGATATTGAAGCCACATATGATGCCGTCATATAGAGTGAACAAGACGTGCTAGGATTAGGAAAGACGATGTAGAGTGATGGTATTTTGATAGGTTTAGATGCGTTTTTGGTTAGTATCTCTCGAAATTCATCATTCTGTTGCCGAGCTTGTCATCTCACTATCACAAACATTTGTCTGCTTTGATTTCAAAAATAGAAAGAAGATCAGCACATAAGACCCCTTATATCAATGCACATCAATGAGGATGTATCCATTGGCTACTAACCCAAATTCTAGGGCTATCGGCGATTTATCGGTGTGTTTCACCCCAACTGCTATTCACAACAATACATAGTGATTCATCCAACATCAATGGGGAAAATAGAAAAGCGGTCTTAATCGAAGGGGCCAGGTACAATACCTGGCCTATCCTGCAAACTACACATTGTGATCCATCAAACACGGCTTTCGAATAGAAAAAAGAGACAGCATGGCCATGATAACTGCCTATCGCATGAAATCCACCTCGCCCATTCAGCAGGTCGTCACAAGGAAGAAACAGCAGTGGAGAATAGCATGGCGGGGCCAATCTCCTCTATGGATCCTACAGGAGCAACTTTACATTCATATTGAGAGCAATTTTGATCAATTGCGAAATTCATGTCACATTCACGATCCAACTCCGGCACTCGCTGCATTTGATTGTCCTGGAGCAGCAAACGACCGCTTCACTCGCGAGGCATCTCCGCCGTCTTGTTCTGTGCCACTCAGCTTTACTTTCCGTGGAGAAGATACTCTAACCAGCTATAACAGAGACTATTTCGAATCGGCGATCCCATGCTTCTCCAAATGTGGGGGGGAAGGAGTACAAACATGGTCAGTAGAGTACTCTGTAGCGCATGGTGCTGTGTAGCGTATCGGTATAAACTCGTAGGCGCAGGATAAATCCGATGATGATGAAAGCATGACAAGGAGGATTCAAATCCCATATAAATAGCCCATACACGTAATGTAAGCTTGTGTAGAATCCTCCAGCGCCAGTAATCCTAGAGTTTGCCAGGGGTTGTTGGAATTGAAGTGCGCTGGTACGCATGATACAGCCGGTGGAAATCTACTTGTAGTCGCTTCTGGAAATTTGATATGTAAACATTGAGAAATTGTGCGGATAGCATTGTGAAATATTGGCAAGGCGACGTATCACCATTGGAAAAGAAGGTTCTCTCGACCTCTACATTCATACGGATGCAGTAATTACTTTGGTCAACAGAGTGGAATGTGCGCTAATTTTAAGCCTCGGCGAGCTTCAACCTGGGCCGACGCAAACCCGCAATCTATGATGAGCAAGGATTAAGCATTAAGAGCTGGCAGGTCGCCGATTGGCATGTTTTTGCGTCCAGCTGAAGACCATTCGGGCGTCACATCAACCTTAAGGCTGCAGAGAAAGAGAGAAACACAGATGAAGCACGGCGAGGGACAGACCGGCAGTTTATCAATAGCCACCAAAGAGGCAAAGGAGGCGAAACCTACAGGGAGGCAGCGCCCGCTCCATCGGCAGGCCGGCAGCTTCCAGAAATCTGGGAAACAGCAGAGAAAAGAAGAAAAAGCCGATAAGCTGAGAGTGGCCGAGATAGTCGTTTGAATTGCTCAAGATATTGCCGTTTGAGCTTAGCGGACGGGATAGCGCAGTGTGGGCGGGACAGTCTAGGAGGCCTTGGAAGCCATTGATGGGAAATGACAGGCCGTCGCGTCTAGCGCTTCTGATGGTTCCAGGAGATTTCCTGTCTTGATCGCAATGGCATCATCCTTGACGACGGTTCTCCATCAAATCGAAATTCTCGATGCGGAAACAGCAAGGAACAGAAGCTTGGCAGTGCCGATACTGAAGCGGCTACAAGATTCAGAGGAAAAAGACAGAGGAGGGGGGTGTGAGATGCATGTCTGTCTGTAGGATCTATTGCTTATTTGGTTTATAGCAGAGAGGCTAGAATAGAGACCTTTGAAAGGGATCAATTCCATGTAATGCAAGAAGAGGAAATTGATACGACAGGCGGATGGACCAGAACTGCAGACCAGGCTGAGCAAGAAGACACGCAAAAGTATCTGGAAATAAGATCATTTGCTTTGTTGTTACAAGACAGAGTACTCGGCGATGTACTCACATCTTGGCTGTAATCCAGTTGTCCTGATTAGTATTTCGCGGGTACCGCCAGTACAGTCGTGAGCGGCAGCGCATCGCATTCTATACTTCGTAAAGACATTCCTAATCTGCACTCCGTTCTGGGCGATAGCTTCCTGCTGCTGCAAACTCTGTGATTCGCTCCTGCTACGACGAGAAACACGTCACCACCGCCGGTTCCTAGTTCCTTCATTTCCCTGGGTAGCTCCTGCTCAGCCCTTCCCGTTCCTCCCTTTTCTTTCCATTCAGCCGCACAAAGAGCAAGAGTAACAGGGAAAATAATACAAAATACTGCACGTGTAAAAAAAGGGAAAGCAAGAGATCGCCCACTTCGGCGAGAGGCCCCGCTTAGGCCGGACCCCGGACCGCGGGCGCTAAACCGCTTTGGTTGGTCAATACAGAACAACAATAGCAACAGACAATACCAAGCCAAGCGCCGACTAAGACGACGATGCACCCCTCCCTTAGTTGTTCGGCTCTTTTCATGGCGTTCCTGTTCTGTGCTATCCTGATACCGGCAGCATCTTTCGTGCGCGGCAAACTTTTCTCATCAACTCTACAGGGACGGTATTTGCGTCGCGGAAGGGAGCAGCCACAATACGCAGACAATAGGCTCCTGGACGGCGAACTGCAGCACAAGGCGGCTCTGCTGGGGGGTCAGTTGGCCGATGCCCACGCTGATGCGATGCGGGCACCCGGAGGATGCTCCGTACTCGAATCATATTCGCTGCCGGCAATGTTTTTGGTACGAGCAGTTGCCTATTGTGATGAGCACACACACACGATCAAATTGCAGCATGGTAATGATACAGTATTGCTTGTACGGAGGACACACACCCGATAACTTGCGCATCCGCTAGCTCAACGCTGGCATTCCAGCCATGGGAGCACGGCATCTGACCCCTCACAGAGGTCCCAGAGGCTGAAAAATCCTTGTGATCCTGCTGCAAGGGAGGAGGTCGTACATGCAGAGCTGGCTCTTCAACTGAAACGTCGCAGTAGGATCCCGTTGACTATGTCTGGAGGAGCTTGATCATACGATCTGGCCAATGACAATGGCCCACGCTCTGCGCTCACGATGCTGCTGTTGTCTCGGGTCTGTAAACTGCCAACCGTTTCGGGCACTATCCGCTGACAATACATACGTGAAGGCACAACAGTAGCAAGGCCAACCTGACTCGTATACAAGGAAATAAAAGTACACCTAAAACTGCAGATCTGGTAGGTAGATCTGCTGTCTTTCGCAGGACAATCCTAACTCTCTACAGCAGAAAGAGAGCTAGCAGTAGCTCAGCCAGCCCACTCAATAGACAGATTTAAAAGCCGTACAAGTAGGTAAGCAAATAGGTAGACTGTAGGTGAAGTATCTAGCCAGATTGGTTATACCACGTACGAGGCACCCACGGGAGGCATGATGTGGCATCAATAGCTGCCATGTCCAGCCTGTGCCTACTGCAAGCTCCGCAGATCACACCCCCCTCTCAAACATGGCTTTCGGACAAGCTCAAAGGGGGAGGGCGTGTGAATGGAATGGCTTTCCGCGTGTCCCATGAGTCTGGGTGCGCTATGCGGCATCTGCGTGTTGGGACTGGTAGCAGGGCGTGAGGCTAAAGGACTACCCGTTTTTAGGTCCTAACGCATTCTAGGTAATTGTCTACTCTTACATTCTGTTACTTTTGATGGGCTCTTCCTTTCTTTTTCTTTGTTCATTTCATTAAAGTCAAGTTGGCGTATGGCATGCAATGTGCCGTCTGTCAATCTAGCAAACCCCAGCAGGGCCGAGAACAGCCATGGAGGGGGGGAAAGACTGCAGCAGTAGTGCGCCTCAAAGTCTCTAGCTGATCGTGGGGCCACAAGTAATCAAAAAAGGAAAAAAAAAGAGGCAGCAGCCGCAAGGGTACGTTTATACTAGTTGAGTCAAAAGAGAGCGAGGGACATGCGTGGAGACGTGAATCAAGGCGTTGCTTTATTAGCCAAATGGAGCCCGCGCTTGTGGATCGAAAACCCAAAGGGGGGTGCCTTTTTGACTCGCACGGTTCTTTCGGCAGGGGAGGACTCGATCCAGAAAATCAACGGCCTTCAATTCAGGTGAATGCTTGCTGACGGGGCTTGGCCTGGCTTGGGCCCAAGTCGGCAAAGGGAACTCAGGTCAACGGGAAATTCCATCTCTGGGTCTTTTTCCATGTCATGACGGGAATCAAAATGTATGTGGGGGGCTGGATTAGGAAGAGAGGCTAATAAGAGAGACAGCCGAGACGAAGAGGCCAGGGTTGTTTTTAACAAAAGGTATATATCAGTCTTCTCGGTCCGCATCAGCAAGGGGGCTGTTGCATGCTTCGCTATCATTGCCGTAATTGTTTTGGAAGCTTCATCGTCACTGACGACATTTTGTCCTGTGCAAAGGTATCTGGCATAATTTCATTAATATTTGTACCACCCTACCCTTCCTTTTGGTTGTTGGCTTTTTCTTCTTCATTTTATTCGCTACGCCACGCCCGCACTCTAGCCGTCCATTTACACCCTCTCACACGCCATCGGCCGACCCTCCATCTCGGATACATACAGAGAGAGGGCTGGATCTTCTTCAACCGAGCACTGTGGGCGATTTGAGCAGGATTTTCCAAATTGACCGAGACGCTCTTTTTCATCCATCCACGGCAACATATAGACTGCTGTCTCGATTTGACGAGGCTTATCGGACCGTCTTTGAGGCTTGGGTGTACTTGGATTCACAGCTCGATTTAAAGTATATCAGCGATTCACTCCCACTTTTCTTGTCATCCAATTCTATCGAGGACTAGTCCATCCAAATTATAAGAGTTACTTCTACCCTCTACACAACTCCTTCAAATCTTTTACAACATACACTATACTCCGTCATGACTACCTCATCCCCATCAACAGCCTTGGGCTCTTCCATGAGGAGCCACATCGACATGATCCCCAAGGACGACACTCCCACTCTCATCTCGCCTCCTCCCGCATACACTCCTCCTCAGACAGCGCCGGCATTGGCCCTGCTACGACGACAGATGCGAGAATCCTTCATCATGGGCCGCTCATCCATCGCTGACAGCGTACTGGACGTCATGTCTCCCGAAGAAGACGACGTGGACGACGAAGAGGGCTTCTCTGCGATTAGTCTTCGGATTAACACATCGGTCCACATCTCTAGCAACAACAACCTCGTCTGCCTCAACGACACGCCAGCCAGCCACGCCAACGCTATAGCCAAGGCTGTTGTCCAGGCTATCCAGGAGAACAGCTCCGGTCAATGCGGGATTCCCATGATTGACGAAGACGGCAGGCCTCGACCTGTCAAGATTGAGGTCGACGCTGGCATCACGGTGGAGGGCTCGGGGAACATTGTGGGCAACGAGGAGGTAGTAAACCAGGTCCTTCGCATGCGTAGCACGAGACGCAAGAGGTCAGCAGACGATGATGAGAGCGACGATGCATTCGCCCAACCAACAAAGCGACGCAGAGAAACCAATAGCAGCAGCAGTAACAGCAGTAACAGCAGCAGCAACAACAATTCTCCCTGAATACTACCTGGACACATCTCCTCATCAAGCGTCATACATTTCTCATCATTGAGCATTACTTCCTTTATTTCTTTTACGACAACTAAAAAGCATCATTGCACTCTTGAGCTCTCTATTTTTGCTGCGTTTACTTGCGTCTGGCTCTTGGCGTTTCAGGCATCACCGGAATCTCATATACCCAAAGGCAGAACGCCTTGCATATTTTATTCTATATTCTATTTCTATTTACATACTGTTATGACATGAATGTTGGTTCAATGGCAAGAAAGGGGCGGACGATATTGTCAGCGGCTATGGCGGGAGGCGAGAACAGACCTCGACTTCGGAATGGAGCGAGACAGATCTGTTACATGACTAGATGTAGCTGAATACATGTATACAATAATCAACATTCCTATCGCTGTCACTGTGTGCACTGTTTACTATTACTTTTACGAGTTATAAAGCACGTCCATTATATGTGCATGAATTGCCTCCTATCTCTCATACTGTCTCATAGCACAATGCAGGGCAACGTCAACGAAGTTGGTTCGCACCTACATACGCATCACATGCATGGAACAAAGAGAGTTGAAAGCCAGACCCGGTGACCAAGGACCATAAACGCACATTATCGCCGCGGTTGGCTCTCCGACAAAGGCACAGCTGAAAAGCCAGACCCGGTGATCACGACCAAGAAAAGCCCATAAAAGCACATCATCGCTGCGGTTGGTCCTCCCAAAAAAAAAAAAACGTGAAAACCTCGCATAACATTCTACAACGGGGGGTGATATATCGTCTTGGACGGTCACCGCCACCGCCTGATTCGATTCAGCTGCGGTTGGATGTCACCCCTTGAGACTCCGCATACCATTCGCATTCCCCTTCTTTCAGCTGCCCAGGATCAGGCCTCTTACTGCCCCGAAACGAGTGAGGCGCGTAATACGGAGTAATCAAGATTAATAACCATAACTTCAATATTCCTTTTTGTCAAAGAAGCTGGATTTCTCGCACGAGCAAGCCAACGGGTTCGGTCCTCGTTTCTTTGACCTAGAAGAGTGTAGTCTAAGCTCCCCTCCTTGCCCGTTTAAACGACAATTGCTGTCATGTCATGTTGTTGGCTCTAGCACTTCGCATGAGAAGAGCCAGTAGGAGGCATATCCCGCCACATCCCTTTAATCTCTTTTTCCTCTCTTGGATAAGCTCTGCGTTCTAAATTTCGGGAGTTGCCATGTCCGCTTGGATCATGCCGCTGAGCCACGCTTTTTAAACGCCGACGCTACTTTGTTAACTTCCAGATGGTGTTGTTTTCTCATGACTAGTAGTTTGTTAGATGGGCTTTCATTCCCGTGTCTTGGCGATTGTTCTTCAATACAGCTATTATATATCATATAATGCATCAATTTTGCAAAAACGTCGTGTCTTGTCTTTCAATATCATATCTCATTGGTTCTTTTCTATGTTGTAGGTTATCATGACGTCTGTGAGCTGCCCCACCAGCTTACGGCCTTGGCTCCCTGCAACCACCTCCCTCGTCCCTCACTGAGATCCATGCATGATTATGTTTTCAACCCTTCTCTCATTCCAATCGCAAACCAAAATCAGCCCTGTCCATCTCTCCTCATCTCACTCTATTTTTGTAATCATCTCACTCACTTCACCCCCTCCCCTGTCCCCAACTGCAATCTGACTCATCTCAACTCGCGATGGCCGACCTTACCATCCGCAACCTCACAATCACCCCCCTCGAGCTCGTCTCCATCCAGCGCCTCCAGGGCGAAAAGATCCGCACCGGCAACCTCGTCTCCAACGTCACCGGCCGCTTCACCAGCTTCATCAACGCCACCGACTTCTCCGCCCACAAGCTGCTGCCCCGCGCCGACCATGAGCCGCACGACAACCGCGACGTCTCCATCCATCTGGACCCCTTCCGGACCGTCCAGACCGATGTCCGCGCTGCCGATGTCGCCGGCCGCGAGATTCTCCGGCTGACCTTCCGGGCCGGTCACCGGCGCTACGAGACGGATGTGCCGAGCCCGTCACGCAAGTCTGCCGTTATGAAGCGCATTGCTAGTGATGACGGCGATGATGACAACGAAGAAGAGCTTGACCTCACCGTCGTGTACATCCCCAACGGCGCCTTTCTCTCCATCTTCTCCTCCGCAAAGCTCCATGCCTGGATGAAGCAGCTGGACGATGCCTGGCCGCTGCCCTTCCTCTCCATCCCCGGCACGCACAACTCCCCTACCTGCCACACTGCCCTCCCCTCCGTGCGCTGCCAATCCGTCGGCGTCACAGAGCAGCTCCAAAACGGCGTTCGCTTCCTCGACATCCGCGTCTCCGTCAACCCGGACAACGATACCCTCACGCTTGTCCACTCCGTCTTCCCCGTTAGCCTCGCCAGTACAAAGTACTTTGGGGACATGCTGGACGACATCTACCGCTTCCTCGAGGCCAATCCCAGCGAGGCCATCTTCATGAGCCTCAAGCGCGAGGGCGCCGGCCGCGGCACCGACCAGCACCTCAGTCGCTACTTAAAGTCCAGTTACGTCGACAAGCGGCCGGAACGCTGGTGGACAGAGCCTGTGATCCCGACGCTCGGTGCTGCTAGGGGCCGCATCATTGTTGTGCGCAGGTTCGCATTAGATGACGAGGTGGCAAAGACGTCCTGGGATGGCAGAGGGTATGGCATAGACGGACAGAACTGGCCGGATAACTGCGAAGACGGCACCTGTGACGGAGGCCAGATTCGCGTGCAGGACTTTTACGAAGTCACTGAGAGCCAGAACATCGAGAAGAAGATCGACTACAGCAGAGGCCAGCTGGAGCGCGCCGCCGAGCGAGAGTTTCACGTCCCTAGCCTAGCGGAACATGATGAAAACGCAGATGCTGCTGCTGCTGCTAAGCTCCCCATTTTCATCAACTTCCTAAGCGGCAGCAACTTCTTCAACGCCACGTGCTGGCCAGAGAGAATTGCCGCAAAGGTGAACCCTGCCATTACCGAATATCTTTGCATCCGCCACGGCGAGGATGGCAAGGGGCCTAAGCAGCTCAAGGTTGGTGCGGCGAGCACTGGCATTGTTGTTACGGACTGGGTGGGAGCAAATGGCGATTGGGATTTAATTAGATGTATTGTTGGGTGGAATGCCAAGCTGCAGGTGTCTTGAGGACTATATGAAGATGATGAATGATGGATTAAAGGGTTATATACCAGATGGAGGTGGATTACACGGCGTTTATTTACAAGGGAAACATAACACATGGAGAAGGGAATTAACCGGCACTAGTTGGATAAAGTGAATGCAATAATAGATTAATATTATCAAGAATACGTAGTACAACTACTACAGAAAGACAACTCGCTTGAGGATCTATGGCTAGCTCATGCTGTGAAACGTAGCATCATAATTCATAATGGTATCTAAAGCAGCCAAGTTAGCCACGGCTCTCTCATTTCTCATCAAAAAGCGATGTGGAATAAGAACCAGATCAGTTCTCCAAGGTGAAACTTTTTTCGTCACGTGGAACTCGGACAATGTAGATAATATGGAATAGTCATCATGTTGGTGGTGTGCAGAGAGAAAAGTAGGAATAACGTACCGTCTCGTCAGCTGGTGTTGATACAACGCGTTTATCTGACCAACTACTTTGTCATATGTCAGCCCCTGTATCAACAGACACATCAAGCATACAAAGACAGAAACATGATTCATCTATCCACTGGTCAGTTACATGCTACATCAGCCCAATGCGTCGACACGACTTACCATCAGAGGGTGTAAGTTTGTTCATATCCGCCAACAACGCCCGAAGGCATTGCGGAAGTCAGACAGTGTGAATACAAAAAAATAACATTTCATCACAGAAATACAGCAAGTGGATAAAAAGCTTTGTATAATATGTACCTATTGTTGTACGAGTTAGCTGACAGACTCATCTCCAGCTTGAAACAAAGAGCCGATGCCATTGAACCACGATCAGGTGACGAAATCTCATCCTGAGTTCTCACCCCCTTCCACCACAAGGATTTGTACGTCCTCGCTTTCTAGGATGAAAGGGAGCAAGGCTCGATATGTCCGCCCGTTCGTTCAATTTTTCATCATGTGGACAGGTAGGCTGGAGGAAGAGAGTAAAAGTACCTGTTGAAAGTCTGAGTTAGCAAGACTAGCTTTGATAACGAGAGCCAACAACAAAAGATTTGTGAAAATTCTGATCAGACAAGGCTGAAACTTATAAAACACGTTATCCACATCGTATATTAAGAATGAGGAATCCCTGAGGTGTCAAATGTTCATCACACAGAAATACAGCTGCATTGAAAAAAAAAAACCACTAACCTTTTGTTTTGTAAATAGAAACGGTTGTGGGTGGATCAAACGGGGTATTAGCCCTGCTTCTAAACCTCTGGGTTGCGTTAGCAGAGCTCGCCAATAGACAAAAGCCTGAGAAAGAGGTGATCCAAAGCTCGATCAGGTAATTGTAAAAAATTACAAAGTCACCATGGTTTGGTATGAATTGGATTGTTCATGAAAATAAAGGCATCATGTAAGGCACAAAGAAAGGGAGTATAGAATAGCTTACCTTGAAAGAGGCCAACCACCAGAGCTCGTGCTTGGGTGCGCACTTGCAGCTCCGAAGCAGAGCTCTGGAGGTTGTGTTTGCTGAGAAAAAAAAAGAAAAAGAAGTTGTCCAGAAAATTTCTCGAGCCGAAGAAAAGTAGGAGCTTAACCAGCCCGCGCTAGGCCAAATATGAGTTAGTGGAGGGTAGCCCCCACAGTGGCGCAGCAGATCTCATTTGTGGCGAGTGCCGCCAGCAGCCAGCCTGCCAGCGCATCAGCGCCCCACGATTGCGTGGCAAATGCTTGTGACGGACTTGTATAAGTCCGTCACCTCCCTCTTCCTAGGAGATGTTTCAACTTCTTTCAACCAACTTTTGGTGAAAGTGCAATTGACAAAAACTCAACATGGCGTCCGCGGGGACGATATGGGCTCCAGTGGCCCTGCGTCTCCTCCGAGCCGCCGTGTCTCGGACCACAGCGGTGGTTCGAGAGAAGCTGGCCAGCGCGGCGAAGCCCCTACAGAATCAGGCACTTCAACCAGTCCCGGTAGCCGCCAGAAGCGGTAGATCCATCCACCCAACATCAGTCCTTAAACAAGGAAAACTCGGCGCCAGATACTTTTCCGGCACCTCAGCCAAAGGTGCAAGCAAGGCTGCCCGACGATACCTCAGCTCTGAGAGTGCTCCTCGATATGATCGATCCAAGCTCCCGAGCTCCAATACCTCCCGCCGAGTCGCTCAATTCTCCGGCCGTGCCCCATTTGCGAGCACTCTGCGGCCCAACCTGACCGGTGGTGCCATGCCACGAACGGCTGGTGGCTATAGTCTCGGTGGAAGTGCTCGCTATTTCTCACATACCCCCACAGCTCCTGCTCAGGTTGTGCAGAATGTTTCGCAGGCGATGCGAGCCTTCTTCCTTTCCGGACAGAGAATCCGATATGATGGAGCAGGACCGCGAGGCGAAGCTCAATACCGAGCCGTCTCTATGGTTGAGGAGGAGGCTATGCGTAAGCTGGCTGCCATCCCCAAGTTTGCTCCCGGCGCCTATGTCGACTTTCAGCTGAGCCCAACCATCACTGCCATGAGCCCTCTTGCTGCCGCCGTTGTCCAGGCATCTGCCACCTCCGGCTTCCAGGCTGAGGCTGCTATCCCAAGCCTCAACACCGAGGGATTCCTTGACGTCCTATCCGCGGATTTTGGCCGAGCCCTGAAAGACTTGACAGCCATTTATGCCGATCTCGGGCGGCTTGCAGCTTTGGGCGATTTGCCAATATGTATGGAGGCGGGCAACTTGCTGCGAGTTCGATTCCCAGGGGTTGACGTTGAAACAGTCGAAAGACTCTGCGATGACATTGGTATCCAGAGAGGCATTGTCGGTCAAGAAACTGGGTTTGAAAGCTCTTATGACGTCAAAACTGCGCTCAGGTTTCCTTTTGCACCCGACATTGAGAAAGCGTTGACATCTCCTGGAGGATCAGAGCGATCCTTGGAAGGATACGAACTGGATGATATATCCTCTTTGGGCGATGAGTCTTTTGTTCAAGAAGCGTTTGTGTATGAGCGCTCAGAAAGCCCCTGGTCTTCGGAAACAGACGGATATGAAAGTATGTCGCCCACGAATAAGTCGGTTCAGCAATCTGAAGAGTATGAGGGCCTAGAAGGCATCTATAAATTTCTCGAAGAATGCGACAAGGCCAAGGGCAGACTGGGTTGATGCGAGTGCAATTCTCCGCATATTGCAACAAACGATTGCAAAAAAGCACATGAGGTTATGATATTGGAACATCCACGCTCTTTTAGTCATCTTCTTTGTATTATTACTACTTTTTAGTCATTTGATTAGCATACTTACTCCAAAGAATGGAATTCCTTTTGTGTTTCTTACCTGCTTATGATGCTCAAATGCAATCGTGACTGTTGTAGATCTGATATTGCAGCAGAAGCTGACATCCTCTCATCGAGTTAAGCTGAGCTGGCTATCTTGCTTTTCGAGCCACCTGTACTGGGACCAGAGGGATATGGTGGACCTTTTAAGAGGTTGGTATTGGTCGAAATGTCCTGCAGGAAAAAACCAAAGGAGAACATGTAAGCGCAGCAGAGATCGCAGCTGATGACTGAGGCCGGTTCCATGATTCTATTGGAGGCAGGATGTGACTGGGCAAATCTGATATCTTTGGTTGCAGCACAATTGGGGCCTGCATTATTCCGCATAGGTGTACGGATACTGTTGTGGCTTATCTTATCTCTTATCGATAAGACTATCGGCTGATTTAATTGGCAAAGAGGCACATGCTCAGCTCCACGCAAACCACGCATGCATACATCTCCATCTCATGAACAGGATTAGTGGTGCTACTTGTCTCGTGTTCCAGCTTCTAGATCAATTAAAGTTTCCGTAGAGATCTCGAGCCTCGTCAGATCATCCCCAACGTTTAGCGCAGTTTGGAAATCAATTCGCGGGGTTGCTCGGCTGCCGATGATGCCTCCCGGCTGCAGCTTTTCCCCACAAGCGTAACCTCGGCTTGGAGCCTCTGCGTGGCCGAGCTCATCCTCCGAGGGCGCGAATCATCCATGCTGTTACTAAGACATTCGTCGATATAAATCTTACGAGCTTCTGCAGTTTTTCTCCCCTGCATTTGCATCTGCGTAGCTTCAGTTTCTTCTTGTAAAAAAAAAACGTATCCTCATCACACATCACAATGTCTGGACCCGGTGTTGGCTTCGAGTACCCTGCTCAGTCAGTTTCTTGGCTGAAGCGCGACCTCCTGCTCTTCGCCAACTCCATTGGAGCCACCGCCGATGAGCTTCACTTCCTTTACGTGAGTAGTTGCAGATCTGGAAAGCTTGCGATTTGCTGTATCCAAGGGAGCAATTGAGAATTGACAGTCCATCAATAGGAACTTCACCCTAACTTTGCCGCCTTTCCTACCTACCCCGTCATCCTACGTAAGTGTCGCTGTCGGCGAGTTATTCTTGCATCGCCGAACGCCATGGATTGCGCAATCAGCTGACAAAATGAAACGCAAACAGCTTTCAAGGGCGATACACAGGAAGTGATTGACTTCTACGCCGCCAACAAGAAGACCAAGATCCCCAACGTGCCCGAGTTCGACTCCCGCCGCGTCGTCGACGGCCAGCGAAAGATTGAATTCCTCAAGCCCCTGCCCGTCAGCTCCGCAGGCCACAAGTTCGAGATCCGCCAAAAGGTCCTCGGCGTCTACGACAAGGGCCGGCCCGGCTCCGTCGTCGACACCCAGCTGGACCTCGTCGACGCAAACACCAACGAAGTCTACACCCGCCTCTTTGGCAGCGCCTTCTATGTCGCACAGGGCAACTGGGGCGGTCCCAAGGGCCCTGCCTCGGAGAACTTCCCTCCTCCCAGGGACAAGAACCCCGACTGGGTTCTGGAGCACCCCATCACCAAGGAGGCGGCGCACCTGTACCGTCTAAACGGTGATTACAACCCTCTGCACGCGACCCCCGAGCCCGGCGTCAAGATGGGATTCCCCGGCGCCATCATGCACGGCCTGTACTCGTGGAACTCTGCTGCCCATGATATCCTCAAGGCCGTTGGCGGCAGCGATCCTGCCAACATCAAGGAGTTCCAGGCCCGATTCGCCAGCCCCGTCCTGCCTGGTGACAAGCTTGTGATCAAGGTATGGAGAACAGGCGAGAAGAAGGACGACTTTGAGGAGATTCGATTTGTGGTTGCCGTTGAGGGAGGAAAGGTGTGTCTGAGCAATGGTCGTGCTCTCATCAAGGTTGTGGGAGATGTCAAGGGAAAGCTGTAAATGTATAATAATGTGCTATTTTGATGACTGATTTTAGGGGGCCCCGCGATGGGTCTCTAACAGCGATGGTGTATTGACAATGCTTGCATGTAGCCTACGGGAATGAAAACTCAAAATTGAATCAATTTGTTAATTGGCCAATCAATAAGAAATAAAAATGTGATTAATAGAAACTGATCAAAAATATTTAAATGATCGCTGCCTCAAATTGCAGATGCAGGAGGTCGATAAATCGCTGCCTGCGTCAGGGTAAATTCTGCTGCCTGACACAGCGACGGTCTCTCTACTGCGTACAGTACTTTTTCTTCACCTATATATCCCACCACGCCTCCAGTCTCAAAGCTCACAGATCGGCCGGACATGCCTCTGCCTCAATCTTTATGACCGCTATTCTCTTTCAAATAATCTATTCATACACTCAAAATGAGCCACCACATCGGCCAGCGAATATCCTACGATGGCGCGCCGTGCACCGTCCGCTACGTCGGTGAAGTTGCTGGCACGGCGGGCAGCTGGTTAGGCGTCGAGTGGGATGATGCCGCGCGAGGCAAACACGACGGCTCTCACAAGGGCACCCGATACTTCACATGTAGCTCACCACTCATACTATGTGATCTGATGGTTTCATTAGCTGACTCGATACCAAATACAGGCCTGTCAAAGTCGCCCACTGCGGCGTCATTCGTTCGGCCAACCCGTCCGGCTGATGCCCCCCTGAGCTTCCTCGCCGCCCTCAATGAGAGGTACGTCGTGGATGCGCCGGGCGCGGTGCAGGGCAAGTCAAAGGTCGAGTTCATCGTTGGTGGCAAAGTCGCCCAGGAGATGGGTTTTGATAAGATCTGGCGGAGACAGTCGCGCCTCAAGGAGCTGAAGATGGTGGTGCTCGACGGCCAGAAGGTTGCCATGGCGAGAAGTGACGACGACTTGAATGATGAGGGGCTTGCTGCAAGCATTGCTGAGACGTCACCCAAGGTTGCGGAACTGGATTTGAGTAGGAATCTGTTTGAGCGCCTTGGGCCCGTGGTCGAGATATGCAGAGACTTGAAGGAACTGCAGAAGCTGTGCATCAAGTAAGTTGATCTCATTACTGCATGGATGACCTTCAATTATGCTGACTTGGGCTCCTCTCTTCCTCTTTTCTCTGCAATAGCGGAAATAGGTTTCTCGATATTCTCACAGATGATGCCCTCAAAGGCGCAGAGTCTGTCTTTGGCGGTGTGACGGAGCTGCAGCTAGGAGAGACGTTGATGAGCTGGGAAGAATTATGTCTAGTGGCCAGCAAATGTCCTTCTTTGGCGACTCTCCTCGTAGGCTCGAACCAATTATCGAGTCTCCCCCTTCTGAGCCATGCTAGCCTGCCATCAACACTAACAGCTGTCAATCTGGAATACAACGATTTCACAAGCTTGTCAGATATCGCCAGCCTGACAAGTTTGAAATCTCTTCGCCATCTACAGCTCAAGGGAAACAACATATCAGCGATAACCTCTTCCCCTGACGCTACCGATGTCCTGTTTCCTCCTTCCGTGCAGCACGTCGATCTATCATATAACAAGGTAGATAGCTGGGAGTTTATTGACAAGCTCCCGGCTGTCTTCCCTGGTATGACGGGCCTTCGTATCAGCCACAACCCCATCTACTACTCCAAAGATGCCGACTCTAACGCACAGTCTTCTGACGAGTCATTCATGTTCACCGTCGCTCGCATTGCACAGCTCAAGATTCTCAATTTTACACAAATCATTGCCACAGATCGCACCAACGCCGAGACGTTCTACCTATCACGTATTGCAAAACAGCTTGCCACCGTCCCCGAAGCTGCAGAAGATTCAATCAAGGCCTTGCATCCACGGTATAAAGAACTGTGTGAAGCGCATGGTGAGCCCGATGTGATTCGTCGCGAGGAGATCAACCCAAACTTCCTCGAGGCCCGTCTCATTACGACCGAATTCCACTACGAAGGAGTTTCAGATGAGGGAAAGAAGACGAGGATCACCAGGATCCCCAAATCTTTTGATATTTACGCCGTCAAAGGCATTGTGGGGAAGTTATACGGCCTGGCACCGCTCAAGCTGCGGCTGATCTGGGAGACGGGTGAATGGGATCCCGTGGCCGGATTTGACGAAAAGGACGATGACGATGATGGCAGCGACGGTGAAGATGAGATTATGGTAGAAGCGGAGATGAAGGCGGAGATGGAGGCGGAGATGGATGCGGACAAACCGGCAGCAAGCGGTGAAGATGATCAGACAGGACGATGGGTGAAGAGAGAGGTTGAGCTCACGGATGGTCCGAAGCAGCTGGGATATTGTGTTGACGGGTCAAGAGTAAAAATCAGAGTAGAAGCATAGCGACGGAGCTATACAGTGGATATAATTCTATGGAGAATGGGCAGCAAATTAGAAATCGTTTTCATCCGTCTTACAAGTGCCGGTCCAAAGGCTATTGGCACAATGTCATTGGAGCAAAATTTCCATGGGCGGACAAATCCTTCAGCTTCGTGACGGCAATCATCATCTTCTTTGGCGTACCAGAGTCGGATCGGAGCAATAATAAACAGCACACAAAGCGTAAGGCGCAAGAGAGCTGCTTGGAGCGACATTCCCCGAGCAGGCCCCAAGGCAAGATATATGCTTATTTGCAGGTGTCCACCCATCGATCTCCCCGCACGGAAGGGGAACTCCGTTTGTTACCTTGATTGCGGACTTGCAGGTCTCGGCAAAGAGAGCCGGAGAGCATATTGTGAGAAGAGGAGAGGGCATCTAGGCGAAGACTGCAATGACAATGTTACATTGATCTATGGTAGAAGGCACAACTACCCATATTAGGACGAATGGATCAAAAGGCATGTATATATATATATATATGAGCATACAACCTAAATAGCAATTGAGTTTTGTAGACACTCCATCTCATCGTACAACAAGCAATCCAAGATGCTCTTCACAACCACCATCGCAAGCTGCCTTCTCGCAGCCTCCGTCTCAGCCACAAGCCTCCAATGGCACTGGCTCAACAACCCCGGCGTCCAGCCCGTCTCCCCCATTGGCCACTCCATCACCATCCAAGTGCCCCCCGACACCGACGTCTGGCGCCCAGCCACGCACAAGAACAACTTCACAGCGCCCTACCTCTACACCACCATCGCCACCGCGCGCTTCTCCAGCGTCCAAGTCACCGTCACCGCACCCTGGAAGACGCTCTACGACCAGGGCGGCATCGTGCTTGCCTTTCCCAACCGCGAAAACCCCAACGCCACGCGCTTCATCAAAGCCGGCATCGAGTTCAACGACGGGGCTCCCGCGCTGGGCGTCGTGGCAACGGATATTCTGTCCGACTGGAGTCTGAGCCCCATCACGGAGAAGCAGACGACGACGAACGCGGAGGCTACTATCTTGGTGGAGAGGCAGGATACGGATGCGTGGGTGTATGTGCTTGAGAATGGGGGACAGACGAGGCGGGCGCTGAGACAGGTGACTTGGGCGTTTAACGAGGATGATGATCAGGGACTGGCGAAGGAGGTTGAGGTTGGCATTTACGGCGCGAAGCCGACGGAGGAGTCGGGCGCGGGACATGCGCGGGATAAGATTGCTGTGACATTTTCGGAGTTTGCTCTCAATCTTGTGTAATGGAGAGTTCCAGTGCTGCTAGGTAGTCACGTATAGTTCAACAAGCAATTGACTTACAGACTCCATATCCGAAAGGCGAGACGAGGGTTAATCCCGCCGGAATAGCGACAGCGTTTGTGAAACTCCATATTAATCAAAAATCAAGTCGATTGGCCAAATGTTGGAAAATGGGCATTCACCAGTCAATCGGCAATGGAGATAACTCAGCTCAAAGACCCAAACACGGCTCTCGGAATCGCGAGATCGCCTGCCCTGGCCTAAACCCTTCGGATCGGATCGCCAATCTGCAAATTCGGGTTTCCCTTGTACTGGAGATAAACAACCCCGTAGCGGCTTTCTGTCAAGAATTTAGAGTAGAGTTTAGTGCTGATCGGATTTCTGGAGCGCCACGCTGCTGGAAATGCTGGCTCGGAATAAATGCATCTTTGGGAGACATAAAGCCGATTGCCTAAACGGGAAACGCCTCTACGCACCATCTTAACGCCATTGATTTCCGAATCGCGAAAAGAAACAGTGGTGCGATTGAATAGATAAATAGAGAGCTGAAGATCTTCAAAATCATGAGAAAATTTTGTGCATCAACATAGTAATTCAAGCCATCTTCAAAATCATGAGAAAATTTTGTGCATCAACATAGTAATTCAAGCAATAGCTTCAAAAGAATTCTTTACCATTCAAACCACTTTTTTCAAGTACAGCATTCACTTTACACACCAACTCAAAAATGGCCACAGTTATCAATAAGAGTGTCGGCCCCATTGGCTACGGCCTCATGGGTAAGTCTAATACTTTCAACGCCTACAATCTACGCAACAACAACTTTACTGACACTTCTTCTCTGATAGGCTTCACCTGGCGCCCTGAGCCTCCGCCATTGGACCAAGCCATTGCAGCTCTGAAAACCGCCCTCAACAACGGCATGACGCTCTGGAACGGCGCAGAGTTCTACGGCCCGCCCGAATACAACTCCATGACTCTGCTCAAGGCCTACTTCACAAAATACCCCGAGGACGCCGACAAAGTCACCCTCATCATCAAGGGCGGCGTGGACCTCAAGACACTCAAGCCCGACGGAAGCCCTGAAAACGTTCGACGATCTCTCGACAACATCATCAGCCAGCTCGGCGGTACCAAGAAGCTCGACCTCTTCAGCTGCTCGCGGAGAGACCCCAGCACGCCCCTGGAGGTGACTTTTGGTGTTATTCAGAAGGAGTACATCGACACAGGCAAGCTAGGCGCCATTGCGCTTTCGGAATGCAGCGCCGATACGATCAACGAGGCGGCAAAGATTGCAAAGATTGGTACCGTGGAGGTGGAGCTGAGCATCTTCACGCCAGATATCCTTAAGAACGGCGTTGCTGCCGCGTGTGCCCAGCACGGCATCCCCATCACCGCATATTCTCCCATCGGACGAGGAGTAAGTCCAAGGCCCCATCAACGCATGCATTCACTAGCTAATACCCAGATGATAGATCCTCACCGGTCGATTCAAGGAAGTCTCAGACCTCCAGCAATTCGGCTACATAGCCACCTTCCCGCGCTTCCAAAAGGCCGCCTTCGAGCACAACCTCAAGCTCGTCAACCAGGTCGAGACCCTCGCCAAGGAAAAGGGCTGCACCCCAGCCCAGCTCGCCGTCGGCTGGGTTCACAGCCAGAGCAACCGCCCGGGCCTGCCTACCATCATCCCCATCCCCGGCGCAACAACCGCGGCACGAGTGGAGGAGAATTCGAGGGTGGTCAAGTTGACGGAGGAGGACATGAAGAAGATCAACGACATCATCGAGTCATTCGATGTTGCCGGTGAGCGGTACCCTGATGGCGCGCCGAGGAACACCTAGAGTAGTGTCCCTGTTGGCAAGTCTTCTAAGCCATGCATTTGTTAGCAGTAGCACAGTTTATTTGTATACATATGAAGATTAATGTATTATGAATTTGAAAAAATCAGGGGTGAAATTGTCCACAGTCGACCAACTCAGTTTAAGAAACCAAGATGGCCTTGAGCATTGCAGAATTCATCGAAATGAATACATCATGATAAGTGTTACGAAAGATAGGTGTTGAATTGTCATTAAATTAAACTTACCAGACAGACATCATAGCTCCCTTATTGCGCTTATTACGCGCACATGGCATTCATCCAAATGCCGCGTGGCAAAAAGAAGAGCATCTGGGTGAGAAAAGAAAAGGCATCACGTCGTGCTAAAATATCTTCCTCGACGGAGACCCACGGCGCTAAGAAAGTGGGTTTGTTCCTGAATCCGTCCATCACTTCTCCGAGTCTTACATAACCACATCAAAGCATGCAGAAATACACGTCAAACCGGCAATTTATTGTCTCCAACGCCTCTTCTGTCTCGCACATTTCTAGGGGTATACATTATCATCTCACCTTCATCAATCATTACACAGACCAAGGATCGTAAGGAAAAAAAGATTAATGTGCCATGCACGCCCGTAAACCAAAGAAAAACAAAGATGCTAGACAATCATCGCGCCATTCATGCCCACGGCCTCCACCCTGTTGACCAGCTTCTTGACATTTGCCCATTCCTCATTCTTGAGTCCTTCTTTGCCGCCCAGACCGCTAGCCACCTCAAAGACTGTCAGAGAGCCGTCAATGCCACCGGTTGCAATGCGTTTGCCGTCATTGGGTTCCCAGGCCACCTTGTTCAAGCTCTTGGACAGCATCGTCCTGCCGTCTTGCCGGCTGCTCGGCGTTATTCTCGACACCGGCTCTTCCGTATCAATTGCGATGTCCCAGAACTCCAACCAGCCAGCTCCATCTACCAGGGCAAAGACGCTGGGTTTCACGGGTGACCATTTGGCATCGTAGACAACGTCCTCGCGAACAAAATCAAGCAGTGGCGATACGGCACCACCAATAGTCGAAGTGGCCGCAGGAGCACGAACCTTCCAAAGCTTCACACTCCAATCAAGAGACGACGAGATGGCCAAATCGCCGAGATCCACAGGGCCTCGGGCGGGATGGAAGTCAACAGACATGACAGGCGCCATGTGTCCCTTGTAGCTAATCTTCTTGTCAACACCGGCCTTGGCGCCGGCACGGTCGTATCTGTGGCAAGGGAAAATAGTTCCCTCTTCGCTTCCTACGAGGAAGAATGTCGGGTCAGTTTGAGGGAACGAAAGGCATGTAGGGCTGACATCCTCAACAGCCACTTTAGCCTGGCTGGGATTCTTCAGCTCGAGCAGCTCTTGCGGCTGTGCAAATACATCCATGCTCCAGCCGCAAACGACCCCATCTGTAGAGCAGGAAATAATGTTGTTGGCGTTTTGTGTGCCCACAATATCAACAGAGTAGATCGGGTGTGCGTGACCGTAGCCAGTCAACGGGGTCTTCTGGACCGGCGCAGACTTTGCTCGAGTATCCCACAACAGAACCTGGCCACTGTACGAACCACCAACGATGAGGTTTGGGTGATATGGCGAGAATTTTGCTGTGAGAATGTCCGACTGTGCGGTAAAGACGTATTCTGGTCGGTTATGCATATGAATATTCCACACCTGGACAAGCCCATCCGGCTCGTGAGGTGCTGTCGGGTTTTTGGTGTAGGAAGCGAGCACCAGCTCGTTGAACTTGGGAGAGAAATCAATCCCGCTAATCATTCGCTTTTTAGACCAACGATCATCGTAGAATTGTGTCACCTCCTTGACTCTATGCCCTCCTTTACCTCCCGTATTACCACTCTCTTCATCCTTGTCCTCGAGGTCTTGGCCATGCAGGGCATAGTCTGTAAGAATATCATATGTCTCTTGATCTAGGGCTCTCTCAATCACTTTGGTCGACTGCTCCAGAAAATCCGCAAATTCGTCTGAGTGAGTAACAGCCTCGAGTTCTTCGGCAGTAAGCTCTCTGATTGGATAGTTGGTTGTTGAAAAGGGTTGTGTCCCTGCAGCACCCTCGCCCAAAAGCTCTTTGGCCGCTCGCAGCTCTTCTTCCACTTCCAGTCTAATCTTTTCACGCAGCTCCTCCTCTCGGTCCCGTTCTTTCCTGCTCAGCCTCTTGTTGGGCGTTGAAGTCGGTCCCATGAAATCGTCTGTATCGGAGGCTATCGACTCGTCTCTTGTCCTATCAGGGAGTGTCCATTCATCTGTGGTCTGTACACCTTTGCTGTATGAATAGACCTCTTTCACAGGAGAGGGCGGACATTCATATACGGTTGTCAAGGGAACAGTAGTCAGGTTCAGCGCCACAGGTGTAGGGCCTGGGGTAGTCTGCCCGCCTTGCCCAGCCATGGAAGTCGTCCATTCCGAGGTCACATTGCTGATTTCGCCGCCACTAAGAACACTATTCGGCCTGCTCCCACGAGGCGCTGGTGAGCCAGGGGGTCCTGTCCCAATTGAGCTGGGCCTACTACTGCCAACTAAGCTGTCAATGAGGGACTCGATCTCGCGGCGACTGTCTGCTCGTCCTGGCGTCGGTGATACTAGCTGCTATGCAACAGGCGATTAACGGATAAGAAGCAGGCTTTAGGCCAGGGAAGAACAAACCTCGTTAGGAGAGCTCATACCAGTGCGGGTGTATACCGCCTGGGTTTGGTTCTGAGAGGCCCGAAGCTCCCTCTGGCGCTTAAGCTCTGCGAGCTTCGCCTTCTTGGCAAGAATCTCATCTCGTCGTTGCTGCATCGCGATTGTCCCACAGTCCCATTGCGGGACGCACCAGATATAAGGGGCGAGGCGAGATGCGAAAGGAGAAGAGGGAGGTCAAGCCACGGCGCCACGGGGGGGTATGACAACAGGCCCAGGCCACGATCTAGGAGGGCGGGGTTCGAAAAGAAAAGGGCTTGCAGAAGGAAAAGAGCGAGCGAAGCGATTAAAAGTATTTAAACAAAGATATTGCGAGCCATCCACCCACTCTCGTTTTGTCTATCGATACTCCGTACACCGTAATATTAATGGCACTGGGACTAAATCGTAGTGCCTGTATCGCCAATGTGCCGTTCAGAGCTTATCGCGTTGCAGCTGGATTGCGGCCAGCACGTGACATTCGCAGGCCCAGAGGCTAGAGCCACGCCTGTAGCAGCGGCATTCCGGGGCTGGAAAAACTGCGACTTTTCCCGAGGACATTTTTCAAATCTTTGTCTCAGCCGACGCAACAATTCCCTCGAGCCACCGTCGACCTGGGTTCAGCGACGGCCATTGTCGAGCCCCCCAAATTCGCCCTCACTCCTCGAATCCTGCTCCCAGCAGCCGCGCGACGTGCGAACATCACCATGTCGTCAACAGGAGTCAACGTACGTTTGTCTGGCCTAAACCTCGCAGAGCCCAACCGCACGCCGCCGTCCCGCATCGGCCTCGATCTTTGCGACAGCCGCGTGCAATTGGGCCCGCTCGCTGGGCGACACAGTTCTGATTGATTCTCTTCCAGGTCCTCCGGTGGTCCGCCCTCGCCTTTGGCGTGTTCTACGGCTTCTCCCACCAGCGCACGATCACCACAACCCAGCGAGCTCAGCACGCGCAGCACGAGTATGAGCAGAAGCAGAAGCTGATAGATCAGGCCAAGGCGGAATATGCAAAGAAGAAGAACCCTTCTGTAGCATCAGCAGACGATGGTACGCACAACCGCGCAGTCACATGGCATATGCTCTGTCTTGCTCCTTTCAAGTCCAGCGGGGCTGCTCTGCAGCTTTTCGAGGAGAACTTGAGGAGTGGAAGCGCATGCTAGAAAATTGACCAACAAGAAGCTAACTCGATGGAAATAGTTGTTACAGATGTCAACAGCCCGAATTTTGACCTCGAGAAGTTCCTAGAAAAGGTCTCCAAGGACAGCCCTTGACGTAACTGAGGAAAAACGTGGGCCGGTGAGGGGTGAGGAGCGGGAAAATGGTCGTCGGAGAAGGGGAAAAAAATATGCTGGCGGACGAACAAAATATGACCGTCACGGAGACCCAAAAGCCTCACGAGGCATAATCAGGACACCGCAGACTGCACAGGCAGTGTATACTTGAAACTACACATGGCGCCGCTGCATAGAGGTTTCGTTGGGTCGTTTGTTTTGGTGAACTGTACTTGTAAAAATATGCGCATTTAGACGTTTCAAAATTAAAAAGAAGAGTTACCACACGTGCCAGCTACGCTTTGAGAAGGTCTTTTGACGTTTGAGTGACCATCACAATTGCGCCTTGCAGAGCAAGATGTAGTCTCCAAGCAGCTTCGAGAGGTGGAACGATATACCTACGCACCAGCGGAGTTTTTCACTCTAGCTCATTTCATCCTTTTTTTTTAAGCTTCACAAAGAAGGAAATCAGGAACGTTCACGACAGTGAATACTACAACTGCTCCAAGGCGATTTCTCGATGCAGACTAGATTACAGCGCAATTCTACAGCTTCCGCCATGATTCAATCCCGTTCCCACTTTTACAATTGGCGCAGCGCAGCGTTTTGGCGATGTTTCGTGGGATGGGCAATTTGATGATTCGGGAAAACACCGGCGCGCGCCGGCCCCACAATCTCTTGACATACGTAGCACCTTAAGCTCAAGCTGTCCTCACCACGTCTCAGCGTGGCTTCTCAAGGTAAGGTACGAAGCATCGCCATCAACCTTCAGGAGAGCCACAATGGCGGTCGAAACCTCCAAAGGGCCCGCCTTGGGCTACACCACCGAAAGCACCCGGGCGCTGTTCCGGGTCGTCATTCTCTGCTTCATTGCGGCCGCGGCCATTGCGAGTCGTCTGTTCTCTGTTATACGTAAGTCGCTGCTGTTCTTATAGCTGTCATTCTGCGATGCGGAGGCCATTGCTGCGCTCAATCGCAATTGTGGTGGCGTTTTATTCCGAAAGCTAACGATTCGCCTTTAGGATTTGAAAGTATCATTCACGAATGTCAGTGAATCCTCTCTCTGTCTCTCTGCATTGGAGCGCATCGACTTGCCTTGCCCAATAACACGAAGCTAACCAACCCATCTAGTCGATCCTTGGTTCAACTTCCGAGCAACCAAGTACCTTGTCGCAAATGGCTTCCACAAGTTTTGGGACTGGTTTGACGACCGAACATGGCATCCTCTCGGTCGAGTCACCGGAGGCACCCTGTATCCCGGCCTGATGGTCACCAGCGGTGCCATCTACCACGCTCTCAAGACGTTGACAGTCCCCGTCGACATTCGCAACATCTGCGTTCTCCTTGCGCCGGCCTGCTCAGGTCTGACGGCCTTTGCTACATATCTCTTGACCAACGAAATGACTACTTCGCCATCTGCAGGTCTTTTGGCGGCTATTTTCATGGGAATTGCGCCTGGTTACATCTCCAGATCCGTTGCTGGCAGCTACGATAACGAGGCCATTGCCATCTTCCTTCTCGTCTTTACCTTTTACCTGTGGATCAAGGCTCTCAAGCTGGGTTCCATGCTTTGGGGAGCCCTGTGTGCCTTGTTCTACGGCTACATGGTGGCATCTTGGGGTGGATACGCTTTCATCACCTGCCTCCTCCCTGTGCACGCCCTGACTTTGATCTGCATGGGCCGATACAGCTCCCGTCTCTATGTCAGCTACACCACCTGGTATGCATTGGGAACATTGGCCAGCATGCAGATTCCTTTTGTCGGCTTCCTCCCCATCAAGACCAGCGAGCATATGCCCGCCTTGGGTAAGAATCATCCTTACTCTTGATAGAACCGGGATCTCGTGTCTCTAACATCGCTTGTATAGGTATCTTTGGCTTCATCCAGCTTATTGGTTTCATCGAGTATGTGCGATCTGCCATTTCTGGACGCCAGTTCCAGACCTTCCTTGTCACAATCCTCGTGGCAACGTTTGGCCTAGGTCTGCTTGGTCTTGTTGGTCTTACTTCTCTGGGCTACATTGCCCCCTGGAGCGGACGATTCTACTCTTTGTGGGATACCGGTTATGCTAAGATCCACATTCCCATCATTGCCTCTGTCTCTGAGCATCAGCCCACTGCTTGGCCATCCTATTTCTTTGACTTGAACTTCCTTGTCTGGCTCTTCCCCGCTGGTGTCTATCTGTGTTTCCAGGAGCTCAGGGATGAACACGTCTTCGTCGTTGTGTATGCCCTGTTCGGCAGCTACTTCTCTGGTGTCATGGTCCGTCTGATGCTCACTCTCACGCCTGTCGTCTGTGTTGCTGCCGCCATGTCAGCCTCTCAGATCCTCGACACATACCTCAGCTGGAAGTCGGCTGTTCCCGCTGAGGAGCAGGAAGCACCAAAGAAGGTAAAGGGTGGTCTCCGTGGCGTTGAGAAGCCTAATGTCGGCATCTATAGCCCTCTCACCAAGGTGCTGGTGTCGGGATCTATCCTCGTCTACCTCTTGATGTTTGTCTCACACTGTACCTGGGTTACGTCAAACGCCTACTCTTCACCGTCTGTTGTCCTTGCCAGCCGTATGCCTGATGGAAGTCAACATATCATTGACGATTACCGAGAGGCTTACCAATGGCTGCGCCAAAACACCAAGGAGGACGCCAAGATTATGTCCTGGTGGGATTACGGCTACCAGATTGGTGGCATGGCTGACCGACCTACACTCGTCGACAACAACACCTGGAACAACACCCACATTGCTACCGTTGGCAAGGCCATGAGCTCAAGGGAGGAAGTCAGCTACGAAATCATGCGACAACACGAAGTTGACTATGTTCTTGTCGTATTCGGTGGTCTCTTGGGCTACTCTGGCGATGATATCAACAAGTTCTTGTGGATGGTCCGTATTGCTGAAGGTATCTGGCCTGACGAGGTCAAGGAGCGAGACTTTTTCACTTCCCAGGGCGAATACCGCGTTGATGAGGGTGCCACTGATACCATGAAGAACAGCTTGATGTAAGTGATAAGCGAGCCATTGCAGCGAGTAATTAGTGCTAACAACAAAACCAGGTACAAGATGTCGTATTACAACTACGGCTCCCTGTTTCCTCCGGGACAGGCCGCTGATAGAGTCCGACAAGTCCGAGTCCCCGACCAGGGACCTGTTATCAATACGATTGAGGAGGCTTATACCAGCGAGAACTGGATCATTCGTATCTACAAAGTCAAGGACCTTGACAACATTGGTCGTGATCACGTCAGTGCTGCTGCCTTTGAGCGCGGCCAGAAGAAGAAGAAGCCCACCAAGAAGAGGGGCGCCAGAGTGCTTCGCCTGGATTAGAAGTTGGATGTATTTTTTTCACGGATAGGTATCTGAGGGAGGCCGATAGAAGCCAGATAAAAAAAGACATGGCTCGAGTGCTCCTATATATCTAGACAAAAGTTAGTCTAGAATGTATATCAATTTCATGTTTTGAGGGAAAATTTACCAAACTTTTCAGAGAAAACATTGATCACTTCTTCCAGTAAATGTTGTGATTTAATTATCTTACGGCATTAAATGTCATCAATTGGCTAATTAATTGCACAAGTTATTCCTTTCATTCTTTGGCTACACCTTTTCATTTCGTCTCTATCATGCTGCCAACCGTGCGTATATCGATTGACAGCATTGGCAGCTGCAAGAGCGTAACCGGATGGACTTTCCAGCTGGCGTGCCCCATGACCATAACGCAAGAATGGCACGAGACGCGCCTTCATCCCAAGTCGTGTCATGCTTTCTTCAGTTCAGCCTCACTTTTTGTTATTTTGGACTCAATTTCACTTTTTCCTGACTCTGACTCCCCTTGTCTTCCCTCTCTCCCCCCTCTCTTTCCTCCCCTCTTTCTTTTCTTTCTTCTTCTAAATCTAATTCCATTCTCAATCTCTCTTATTTCTTTTTCTTTTCTTTTTTTGAGTCTCCATTGCTGCCTTCTCTTCCACCTTCATCCTCACCTTCATCCATCGCTTTCTGTCTATTGAATTTCTATCTCACATCTACACCGTTGCCATCTCACTCGCCGATTCATCTACCATGGGTGGCAGCAAGAAAAATCGACGCAAGAACCCAACCGACGACGGCGGAGTTGATCTCCTCAGCCTTGCTTTCAATCTGCCCACACGCCGCGACATCGAGCGTGCAGATAGAGAAGCGGCCCAAGCCCAATCGCACTCGCAGAGTATCAGAATTCAATACGACCCAGGCGATGAATCGAGTGACAATGAGTCGCTGTCGACACTCGATCTAAATGCCAGCAAACCAACCGCGGAAGAAGTCGATGAGACCCCAAAGGCTCAAAAATCATCCAAGCCTCGCCCTGAGCGCCAATTGAAGCCAAAGGGGCACATCTTCCAGCGCTCTTCTCCCAGACACAAGCCAAAGAGAGTTGATGCTGAGCCGTCACCTACTTGCCGAGCCTCGAAGCGAGACTCCTCCAAGGCTCGTGAAAGATCCTCTTCGAGCCCAGCCACTCTCCGAGCTTCGTCTCCTGCCTCTTCCATCCCATCTTCAGCTACTTTCCCGCGGTCCACCTCCAACTATTCCCAACCGCAGTTCTACCAACCCGTGTTTGCTTTTCCTGCGGGCTCTGTGTATCCCCCGACACAATATTATCCAGCTTTGACAAAGGCCGATTCTGCCTCTGATGCTGTTCAGCATGTGCCTTTTCCTCTGTACACACTGGCCCCTACAAACATGCCCAAATCGCATCAACCTAGCTCAATTTCTCAGGAGGTCCAACGCATTCAGAGCAAGCTCGATAAAGTGGTGGTAGAGCTCTCTAAACACCCAGAAGATGCCACCTTGAGAAGCGAGCTATCAGCTTTGCAAACAGAGCTGAATACTCGACTGAACACGCTGCTCGGCATGACCCCTCCGAAGGAAGCCAACATGTCCGAAAACTCTGAGCTTCGCGATTCGAAGACAAAGCCCAAAAAGTCTACGACTCAGTCTCACTCTATAACTGCTCAGAGAGAGATGAGCCCCAAGAGAAAAATGCGCCATCATCTTTGCACAGGCTGCGGCAAAGTTCGCTCTTCCAACTATCACACCAAGCACCCAATTGTTCCGGGAGGCAGGCCGTCTATGAATTACTGTGAAGACTGCTTCGAAGAAAACGTTGAGGATGGGGCTTTGGACCATCATTTCTGCTATGGGTGCGGAAATGTCAGATCCAAAGAGTTTCAGAGAAACCACCCAATCTCGAATGGCGAAAGGCCTTTTCCCAATTACTGCTCGGTCTGCGTGGAGGAAATCCGATCTGCCGAGGCCATCGCAGACGTCTCTATGGTTGATTTTGTGAGTGATTTTGTTTCAATGAAATTTGAAGACGTGGAATCAGGATTGACATAACCATTCCAGGCGCCGAGTCGTTCCCACAAGAGCAGCTCATATACTGGTTCTGCCCGCAATCGCACTCGGAATGGTGTGCCCGCAAAATCATCGAACTCAGGGCCTGGTCCAGAAAACCATCAGAATCAATTGGATACTTTGCTTTTCTCGGCTCATACAAATGGTAGCAACGATGTTAGCTCTCTCGAAGCAAAGAAAGCTCCGCAACCGCTGAAGCTTTCGACAAACGGCCCTCAGCTCAGCCCCTCGAACTCCTCGCCTGATTCGCCCTACTATCCAGTTCGCAACACTGGATCATCTCAGAGACGGGCAGAGCGGAGTCCTCTAAGTAGCCCAGGAAGTCAATATGGCAGCTCTCCAAATACTTCGACGACGCCAAGATACCAGGCTCCTTATGTCGAAGATATATTCTCACCTATTCACCAAACAAGCAAGCTGCCAATAGATAACCGTAATTCCTCCAAATTCTCTTCTTACGGCCACAGAGGGAACATCTTTCATCCAGCGGCTCCTGAAGATGAGCAGGAATCAGTCATTCGCTCCGACAAAGCCCCCCACTCTGAAATATCCGAAGAAGCATCCGATAATTCTACGGAGAGTCACACTTCCACTGATGATTCAGCCCAATCCACTGGAAGCAAGAGTGTGAAATTCAGATCAAAGGTCGACATTCGTCTTTCAGACTCTCGCGCTTCAAGTAATGCCTCTTCGCATGCCAAGGTTCTTGAGGAAGATATCAAGCCCAACGAGGAGACCATACCCAGCCGCGTGGGTATATTTGGAACTTCGCCAAAGAAGTCACAAACTGGCTATTATGCAAGAACGCAAGAGCCTTACAACTCTGCCTCCTCTTTTGCAGGAGGGGATGGGGATGGCGAAGCTATCCCTGAGAGAGGTTACAGAGGAGCTTTCTCTAAAGACAGCCCTGCAACTTCATGGCTGCCCCCTATGTCTATGTCTAGTGCCAGCGGAGACCATTGGTACTCAAGTCCTTTTGCATATCAATCTACCACGGCACCCAGCATAGATAGCTACACAGGATTCAACCCAGACAGAAAGTCAACCTTCAACTATGGCTCTAGCGGTGGGGTTAGAACTGAACCCGGCCGGCCGCCTCTTCGTGCCACTCGCAGTGCATTTAATTCAGCAAATGCCGGCACAGCGGCCGCTTATCCAGGCGATGGAGGAGACTGGGAGTCACAAAGGCCTCCTCCTTCCCCAACTGCTAGCTCGCAAGCTCAAGGATCCCCAGAGTCGCCAAGCAACCATTGGAAGAGCTATACGTCGCCCTATGCCGGAGGACCAAGCACCCAGTCTTCCTTCAGAAAAGGTTCATCCTGGAATAATTTCCCTTCTAGATTTGACTCTGATTGTTACGCAATGCAAGATGACTCTTCATTCAGCCAAAGCGTGTTTAGCGACTACTCTCAACCTAGTAGTAATCCTTACTATCAGCCTCGCAAACGACCATTTCCGGATCTGAATGATTACTGCTCTTTTGGCACTTGGGCACCGCGCGTTCCGGGCAAATGGGCAAAAGACTACCAGAGCACAGCCCAGCCTCCTCAGCAAACGCCGTACTGGATGTCTGAGCCCATCATTGAGGAACCAGATTCTCCCGAGAGCTCGCCGGGCAAGCGAACCAATATGATCGGTAAGTTGACACGCATGGATGATGCTATCTTGCTCCAACGCTAATTATATTCAAAGAATTTGACGAAATTGATATTTCTCCTGCATCTGCCAGTAACGTCACTAGTGTACTCTTTCCTGACCTAGGAAGCTTTGTGGACCACGAACATCAATCAGATGATGACTCTGACAAGGAGAATGCGATCAGTAAAAGCAGCCGCGACACCTCATCTTTCGACTAGACTTCCGACATAATTGCGAAGTCGTTATATGTAAACAAAGCAAAATCTTGCTTTTAACGACTATTTCCTTTGTTTTTTCCACTAATAATTGGCAATTGTTACCAAGGACGGATCACGCTTTATTTGTATAACCTTTTTGATGCGATTTGGGAACAATGTTTATGACAGGCCGAAGAAATGGATTTATGGCCTTTTTGCGTTGGTTTTCATGAGATTTTCGTTTGTATTTGTACGACCGGAAGATTTTATATCTTGCTGTTACTTTCTCATTTTCCTTTTGTTTTCCCCTTTTCCTTCCTATACGTCTCTGTTCTTTTGTTTCCTTTCAGATTTGTACCATTGCTTTTTTTGCGGCGAAGAGAGTTGATAAATCCATTATGTGAAGGAAAGACGGTTGGAGGGGATGATAGACAAGTGGCAGGTCGATGGACTGCCATCTAGTTAACTCACAATTAGCTATTTAAGAAATCGTGGTCAGTCAGCGTCGGTGGGCAAAGAACTAAGAATATTTCTGATTTTTAGTTGAGAGATTGCATTTGCTAATAAATGATTCTAATTATACTGAGACTAACAACACCTATGTATTAGATGACATCTGTGTGTGTATATCGTATATGTACCCGATCATGGCAACAAATTGCAGCCTGAGCTGCCCAATATTTCCCTCTCCAGCATAATTCCATTCCATACCATTCCAGTTCCCTCTTTTCCTACCCAGCCATCCGGTCATCCAACACATACAGCCCTGAACACATGTATAGAAAAAAGAGCCCGATATTCGCTCCTCTGCAAAAGCACATATAAAACTTCCAAATGAGACGGAAAATAAAAGAAAAGGAAAAATAAAATGCTCGCTCACATTGTGCTTTACATGAACTTTTGATGCATAACAACAATGAGGTGCAAGAAGAGAAGGAACAGAATAAAAAAACGCCAAACTTGATGGATATAACAAAATCATATTCCTTCACCGAACCAACCTCACAGCATCCTTCTCCGGGCTCGCCCTCATCAACGCAGATTGCAGTCGAGTCGAAAACATAGACGGAGCCAGACTTATCGCGGGAGAGCCTCTCCTCGAAGAAGAAGCATTACTAGCAGTAGACAGGCCCGGTTTCGGCGCCAAGAGCTCAATAGCCTCTAACCTCTTCCGCTCAAAGAAGAGGCTCCTCTCACGCTCAAAATCGGTCCGTAGGCGGCGCTCTTTGTCCTCCGTTTCGACGTCATTGATCCTCTGGCGCTTCTCGGCACGTTTGCTGGAGGTGTCCTGGATGCGCTTTTCCGTCCGCAGACAGGCGGCGTCTAGCTCCTTCGCCAGCTTGGGGGGCGCGAGCTCGAGATGTTTGTCTTTACGCTCGCTGCATGAGCCGCCCCAGAGACATTTGACCTTGAGTTTGGTTTGTTCGTTGGAATCGCCCCATACGAGCAGCTCGTCTTCGTCGTAGAGTTTGGTCCAGTTTTTGGAAGGGCCAAAGGGCTTCTTCGGGTCGGAAGAGTCGAGCATTTGTCCGTTTATACGGATTCCGACAGAGGCTTTGGTCGAGATCCAGAGATGGTATGACTTCTCATCTCCTGCTAAATCCTGTGTCCATGGAAGGGGCGTCTTGGCGGGATCGCTAGACGGATCGTAGCCTTGCTTCCACAGCATGATCTTAAAGGCATATTTTGGCACTCTTGAATTGAATCTGTCTTCGTAGACGGCAGTGTTCTCGAGGCCACGGCCAAATGAAACAAATGTATCGGCCATGAGACAGGTAATATCTCTGACGCAAGACGTGTCGTCAGATGCTATCAGAGCGAGTGCCCCAGACTCTCCATCAAGCTGTACCGGGACTACCCTACCGCTGTCTGGAATATCTGTTTCATCGGTAGCCGCGCCGTCGGCAGTTGGACCCGTCGCCGGAAAGTCCATATTGACGTCCTCTTCAGGAGGACCAGGAGCCTGTATACTCGGCGTGTTTTGCCTTTCTGATGCGGCAACAGGGGGGAAGTATTTCATTGCCAGACTCCACAGGGGCGTTTTGCCCGGGAGGAATTTCTCTTTCCGCTGGTTGGCTGCCAGGACAAACGCACCATACTGCAGCTGTGTCATCTCGGGGTAATTAAGGTGCCACGTCCTGCGATCCTGTGCCCAAAAGATCTTTTTGCTCACCGGTTCATCAATCTGGCGGCCGGAGTTAGATCTCTGAATCGGTGGCATACGGGATAGTAACTCATACTCTTCGGTTGTTGGGTCGGCAACATCGTCCATAAATCCCTCTGATTTTAATCTTTTGAGAGCCGGCTTGTCGGTAGGCGTGCTATCAGTGTCAAAATCTGCGCTTGCTGCGAGAGGCGAGGGTGATTTCCGTTTGCTGGTGTTAAAGTCGGAGGAAGCAATTGAATAACTGGATGCGTTTGGGTCCTCAATCCCGATCACAGAGACACCAAGGCTTTGTGAAGCAACGTTTTCCACCAAGCTCTGCAGTTGGTCGGCAGACTGTGCGTGATCAATGGATACGCTTCTCTCCGGTCTGAAAATGCTGCCGTATTTGACAAGGGTTGCACCGGAATCTCCAGAATCGTAAGCCTCGTCATCTTGGGCTTCGAAATTGCTATTGTTGCTACCATTGCCGTTCATTTGCGGGGCTGGTAGATTCAGTTGGCTCTCTGGAACGGCACCAGAACTGCCTACAGCCGAGACACCGACTTCTCCAAATAACCGGAGAGGTCGCATTGTGCCTTGCCCAAAGGTATAATTCCAGTCAATGTTTTCTTTCTCATTTTGCTCTTGCTGCTCGCTTTCGTCTTCTCTTTCCGATTCTTCTCCTGCGGAATCACTCACCCGATCATCCTCGTCTTCAATTGTGTATGCGTTTGGTTGGTGCTGAGTCCCGTGATACTGAGGTGATTCCAAGACATCTTCTTCGTCGGTAATTTCGTCAAACGACTGTGAGGCCTCAATAGTCCTGCTATGAATCCACGGGTGCTCGTCCAACTCTTCCACCGTCGCACGGTTTTCTGGTCTTCTCTGAAGCATGGCGCAGATGAAGTCGATGCCGCTATTGGAAATACCACGATCGTCTAGTGGTCTTATATCGAGCAACATTGTCATGATCTGATGTAGCAGCTCGGAATAGCTAGTGCCGCTCTTAACGGGATAAGGAGGTTGGCCAGTCATGGAATAGAAGATGACACCGCCTAATGACCAGATATCCACGGCGTGATTATATCTTTGGCCCGGTACACGACGAGCCTTCTTGCCTCTGCTCCTTATGCCTTTATCGTCATACTCTGCATACTCGTTGTACACTTCTGGGGCACAGTATAGCAGGGTGCCACAAAACGTTCTGAGGAATGTCTGCTCCGTATCCACCATTTTGGAGAGACCAAAATCTGTGAGTTTGACTTCCAGCGGGCTAAGCGAGTTGATCAAGATGTTGTCCGGTTTGACATCCCTGTGAGTGATGTTGATGTTATGTAAGTAGGCCAGTGCGCTCAACAACTGCTGGGAAATGATCCTAGCCTCTGCTTCTGGAAACGGTCCTTCGTCTGCGACATGCTTTCCGATGTCACCCCCAGGCACAAGCTCCATGATGATGATGAGAAAACGATCCTCCCAGTCGAAGTTTTCCATATAACGCACGATATTGGGCTTTAGCGCGCGCACACCAGTTAGCCCAACTCTCAAGTCGTACATGGTAGGTTAGGGTGAGTAGCAAACCGCAACTTACATGTTTCACTCTCTGCATAATCTTCATCTCATTTTCGACTTTCTGGTCCAGCACTCCATTCTTGATAAAGCGACGCTTCTCAATCTCTTTGGCGGCATATGGCATTCCATCGTATTTGGACGTCACCTTGTAGACGACGGCAAATGCTCCCTTGCCAATCATGCCAATGCGGTTATACTTGCCGGACCCGTTCCACTCTCGCCGCACGTTATCTTTGCGCTTTGACGGAGTGCGCTGCTCGCTCGGTATGCGTTCCGGGCGTCGCGGGGTTATCAACTGGCCAGCGTTCTTGAATAAATCAACATGGCCTCCAGGACCGGCAGTGATCGTTTCGACGGGCCCCGGCAATAAGTTGTGTCGAAGGAAATAGTCGTCCACCTTGCGCTGGTACGTATCCAGATATTCGTCGGCACGGCGCGGGATTCGAACTCGGAAAGTAAGGTCTTGCATCTCGTTGTGCAGGTAGATTCGGATAACAGATCCTGAGCTCAACATCCATTTCAGAATGGGCTTCTTGGTAGGGTCTTTGTGGGTATTCTTGAGGAGGCGATCGTCGACAAAGGTTCCATTGGTAGACTGGTCCTCGATCATGACGGTGCCGTGCTCGTTGACAAAGATGCGAAAATGGATGTTGCTGATCCTCTTCAACGGATCATTGGCAAACACTACGTCGCATCGGCCCGGGTTCCTCCCAAAGACAAAGCCGGCCGCAGGGTTGTGGACCAGGCTCGAGAGCCGTAGGATAATGGCGTGGTTGCCATGGTTTGCGGGGTTGGATTCGAATTGGCTCGGCCGGTCCTCGTGCTCATAGTCGAGTTCGACGTCGTCGGCTTCGTCCCTGCCAATGAGATACGGCGACCCGGTCTTGAGCAGCTGCTGGACCTCGATTCGCGCAGTGTCCGAGTGCGGGTACAGCACGCAGATGATGTCTGAGATGTCTTCGTCCGAAAAGCCCGAGTTCTGCTTCCCTAGTCGGCGCGGGTCGAGGATATTTTGCGTCGCTGTGAGAGGCAAGTGTGTCAGCATCAAACCGCATCGTCGCGTCGCATCGTATCAACCTCGAGAGACAAAGAATTGGATGCACGGCCGGGTCCTACCTTGCGTTGGCTCTTGCGTATCGCCTTCGCCGTCCATTGGGAGCGACCCGATGAAGCTACAGCTAGAAATCGGTCCAGGTTGCCTGCCTCAGGTGTAAAAAAACAATGCGCTTGCTATGCTAGTCGAATAAGCAGACTGTGATGAGAACAAGATCGAAACCCAGAGCTGCCTTTGGACCAACAAGGGAGCGTGCTCTTTATCAGGGAACTTGGCGGGAGCCTAGGCGGACGTGACTGTCACAAGCGCCCTCTTTTTCAATTAATAAGGGAGCTAGCTACTACACCAGCCGCACCGCACCGTAGTGGCCGCTCTCTTGTTGCGCCACAGCGCCAGATCTTGCTAGAGGTGAGGCTGTAACGGTGTGGAGAAATTGATGAAAGAAAATGTAAAAAGAGGAATACTAGCAGGGTAGTCTATGGCTGCGCGGAGAATTAAAGAAGGAAAAGAAAAAGGTTGAAAGGTGAGGAGAACACAGCAGGCAGCTAAGCAAGACCGCAGTATGGCAGGCCTCTAGCTGGCGGGATGGGCGATTAGCGATAGCGGGGTCGGCAGTGCCTACGTCTGGAGTAAATTGGCCCGAAAAGAGGCAATGAGAACGGAAATAATGCTTCTCCAACAGCATACAACTTGTAGTTTTGAAATAAAAAGGTAGCAGTAACTATGAAGCAGCAGCAGTAGTAGTAATAGTAGCGAAAAAGAAAAAGAGTTCAGAAAAAAAAACATCAGATGAAACAAACAAACGCCTGAATAGATCATCAAGCCCGTAACAACGTCATTACCAGGCCCCATGGCTTCCACATCACGTCCCATGCTTTTCACGCCACAACTATGGAGAAACGAATAAGACAGTTTATCTAACCTACAGAGCAACAAATCCCCTTACATGAGTTGAAATTAAAATTAGAGAGAAAAAAACACGCCAAAAAAAAATCACAGAGCATAAAGACAAGAGAAACAAGAAACAAGAAACGACGTGTACCGTGCTCGTGTTGCGTGGACGTGCCTGGTGCGCGTGGGCGTGGGCGTGGACTTACACCAAAAAACGCCCTCCATCAGTCACGCGAATAAATGTCCACCGCGCGTTCTCTTCACCAAAACCACACGTTTCTTCCACCATAAGAAAACGAAAATAAATGGAAAAAAAAAACGCCTCCAGTCAAACCATTGCGCCTCTCGCATCGCCACACACCCCCCCCCCCCCTTGTACCGCGTGTTCGCGATAAGTTCCCCCGACAGCCAAGTCACCAGATCTCTCTTCCACGCCTCACTTTTTTTTTTTCCCGCGATACCGACGCCGGGTTTCTGGGGCCTTGCATAAAATGGGTAGCTCCCGATCTTGCAGCTTGCGTGCCCGTGTCCCGCACGCGCTTCCAAGAGACCAATGAAAACTTTCCATGCAACCACAGATGCCATGCCCTCTCTGTAACATACCAACTGTAGGTTGTTAGAACCTAGACGTTCTCTGCTTAGTGCCGTGCTTGCGTCTCTTCGATGGTGGTGAGGGGTTTCCCAAAACAGGTATTCAGCGAATAATGGCTGTTTGTGCGGCTGCACCTACATGCTTTACATATGCAAGTCTTCAAATTGATGAAACGCAGGTTGTAACCCCTCTGTTAAATCCATATCATCGCCAGAGCTCATCGCGGCAGTTGCGACTACATCAGCGAGGACTGTTTCCAGGTGCAAAGCACATGTAAAGCATCACGGCTTCGCCAGTAAACGTCATAGTAATCACGCGCCCTGCTCATTCACCAAATTTTAGTCTCACCACAGTTAACTGCTGAATGCTCTACAACAGAAGTCACGAGGCGAGTAAAAGGAAGCAGTGTCTTCGTTACTTGGTAGTATTTCCATCTGTATACTGAGTCTACCTGGTATCAAGAATAGTGATCAATGCATTGTTTTTAATCGTCATGTCCGCTTGACACGAATACTGGAAAACTTCCTCCTGCTACAAAAGAAAAAAAAAAAACAAAACGCCAATCGCATGAGAAGAAAGGATGTCATAAGAGCAATTCTCATACTGCTTCTAAAAAATATACTGTGCAATATGTGATGCTTCCAGCCCAACGCCTACCAATGCATACTGCATCCAAAGCTGCATATACATTACCACCACTTCATAGGGTATCTATCGAAAGATAGAGAGATATCCGAGAAAATTCCGCATAGGGAAAGACGGAAGAGGAGAGAAAGAGGCAAGGAAACATGCAAGGAGGGTATGTCGTAACCAAGAAAAGAAAATGCTGGTATTGTACTGTAAGGAGAAGCAGCACCGGCTTAGTATTGCTGCATATTGGATACCGATTGCTGGTATCCACCATGCTGGCTTGGTGCCATCATGGAGCCCAGGGAGTTGGCCGAGAGGGTTCTCCCATGTCCGTACGGTGCCGAAGCAATAGAGGCTCGATGCTGGACGTATTGCTGGGGAGTGAGGCCAGGGGATCGCTGAGAGCTGGGCGAAACCGCAGCAGGCTGCCATGGCATGGTCGCCGAGTCCTGTCTCCTGTGGCTGGGGTGCTCTGTGGGTGTCCTCGGCGGCGGTGCTTGCGCTGTAGGGGGCGCAGGCTTGCGAAGCACGGGAGGGGCACCGTAGTTTACTGTTGGTCCAAAGTTGACGCTTGCCATGTCGAAGCCGGGGGAATAATGGGCATCCGGATCAGCACCGCCGACCGTCTTCAAAACACCCGCGCGGGGTCGGTCCACAAAAGGTTGCTGAAGCTCGTTGGTCAACTCGTTGCTAAACTCGAGATGCATCGGTGGCTGAGGGGGGAGGAAGCCGTCATATTGAGCTCGAGATTGGGTAGTATAATGATCAATAATGTCGTTGGGAGTGATACTCTGGTGTTTATTGTCATAAGAGCCGGGTCTCATGGGCAGGGGTTTCCGCTGAGGGTGTCCTTGTCGATGTCCGGGAGAGCCACCATTTGGAGAGTAGGCAGCATAGCGATCATTGGGGTAGGATGTCGCATGAGGCGGCGGGAGCGGACGCTGGCCATGATAAGCGTCGCCTGTAGACGGCCTCTGGTCATACTCGTCATGCGAGTAAGGGACTCTCGCGCCGTACGGAGATGGCTGTCGCTGGTTGGATCGGTTGGATCGGTTGGAGTAGCCGGTGGGCGGGCGGTCGCCATCTTGGTAACTATGATGACTGTGATGGCTGTGGTGACTCGGCGGAGGGTTCAAGGAATGAGCTGATCGGTTCTCGTTGGCGTAAAAGGTGTTACCATCGCCGCCGTGAACCGGGACTGGTGGTGGCGGCGCGGTGTGGTAGGAATCTTCGTCGTCGTCATCCGGGATATCGGGAACTCCTGGCAAAGCAATTCCACCGGCCTTGGCCATTTGTGCCAGAGTGCCTTGGGACAGGCGGTTGTTGGCTCGTCGAAGGTCGGGTGAGTGATATGGCGCGTTGCTTGGGCGATCCGAGGGAAGTCGGTTCATGAGCGGAGGTCGAACGACAGGTTCCGGCGTGCGGATGGCTCCGTTGCTGCTCTCGATGGGCTCGACATAGCCATTCGGCGTGACCACCCGCTCCTCATCCGAGCTTGAGCTTCCCACTCGCCCAGCCATTTCCAAGGGGGACTGGTCATTTGGCGAAGAGCTGGAGTCCGTCGAGATTGGGCTAGCCGAGTCCGAGGAGTTGCGCAAGTCATCGTCGGCGAAACCTACTGCTCTGGGCTTGTTGTTGTAGCTCAGTCTGGCGCTAGCTCTGTGTGAAGAGGAAGAGGGAGAGTAAGCTCGGCTTCCGTCTTCGATTGAGTTCATTCGCGCGCCAGTGGCATCCTTGAGACGCTTTCGCCACTCCCTCTCATCCCAGGTCGAACTCTTTTCATCGAGCAAGAGCGTCTCAACGTCCTGCAGCTCCAAGTAGCCGTACTTCTTGTGCTTGGGCATAGCAAACATGAGCGACCTAGCATCCAGCACGCTAGCAACAATTCTGCCCGGGCGGCCGTACAGGCCAAAAGTATCCCAGGTTGGGAACAAAAAGCGGAGCATCATCTCGAAGCCGCTGACAGCAGGGCGTGTCTCGGGCATGATGAAGACGAATCCTTCCGACGATGACGGTGGCGTGGAATAAATTGAAATGTTGCCTTCAATCTTGATGAGAGTGGAAGCGTCGATCAGCGACTTGGCTTGGGGGTAGATTGCATAGGCAGAGTAGGCTTCACTGATGGAGGCGACGGGTTTGGTCTTCTTTTGCTTTTTGCCTTCGATTTTGACATCGTAGAACTTGATATCTCCTCTGACGACGCGAGCATGAGATCGGTCATAGGGAGCCTTCTTTTTCATCTCCTTTTGAAGCTTGTTGTATTCCTTTTCGTCAGGTGGTGTGACAACACACCAGCAGCGTCTCCATGGCACGCCAGCGCCGAATCGGACTCTGACCCAGGCCCCTATCGTAACTTTGGATCTCTCCATCATGACGTTGATGTTGTTGAGATATTTGGCCTTGCCGGCAATCAAGGCGCCAGTATAGGCTTCTTGGAGGGCGGCATGCTCATACATGGCCAATCGAACAGCTGATGTCCATTGGACAAGTGACTCATGAGAAGTGAAATGCAGCAAGTACCGATTCTTGCCGGCTGTGGAAAGGCTGAGAATGTTTTGCAGCGGCTGCTCATCGCTAGACCGAGTCGGCAGCGAGTCGATCTGCAAAAGCGAGAAAAAAGGGAATGTCAGTGTCTCGCAGTCATAGCAAGCAGAGCACGTGGGGGTTGTCTTACCACTTTGAGTGAGGCATCTGTGAGATTGATGAATTTGGGAAGAACCTCGCCATCTTCACCGGCGGCATCCAATTCTGCGGCATCCCACAAGGAGAGCACAGTGCCGACGAGCTGCGCAAAGGACTCGGTCCAAGTTCTGTCGGGATTCGGCTTGCCCTCTGTATAAACCATATCAAGTTAGCCATCCGGTTTTATATCCACAGTGTAGATGGACGCGCTAGCTGATGGGAATGAAAGCTCAAATCAAGAAATTAATAGATTGAAACATACGTGTATTCTGGTCATCCAGCTTCAAAAAGTAGCCCTCGTGGTACAGCTTGTTGGAGTGGCTGTTGAGCAGCGAGAAGATGGGCTGCAGCTCCGGAATCGTGTCCTGGTTGACCTCCATGACCATGGGCTGGTAGGTCTGTATCATGGACATGGGTCGTGCGCTATTCCGCGACGGACTGTTTCGGCTGCGGCGGGGAGGCTCGACGTTGTTGATATCGACGCTGTTGATGTCGACGCTGTTTACTGGGCTGCCATAGTCCGACTGCGACGGCGGCGTGGGAGGGCTGCGCAGCGTGATGTGCGCGAGCGAGTGACGCTTCTTGACCTTGGTTTTTAAATCCTTGGACAAGGGAGACTCGCCGTCCGAGGGAGGCGTTGACGAAGGAGAAGTCGGTGTCTTGCGCCCAGCAGAAAATGAGGACATGAACGAGACAACTATCGGCCACTGGTCAGCACGAGGAAAGGAAAGAGGCTAGCATGAACAGGCAGGCCATTGGGACATGCTTATTGCGGTAAGCATTGAGTGCATCCAAGCCCAGCAGATCCATCCCGTCTGGTCTCTAATTGTGAGCAGCGCCGAACAGAGCCACCTTGGCGGCGCGTACAGGTGACAGGTGGCGGGTGGCAGCAGGTCGCACACGCCGCAGTACCACTGTACGCTCTGCTGCACAACAGACCGACGGGGCGCCAAAGACAGCCAAGAGCGCTGCGCAACAGCCAAGCACTTGGTGCGTGGAGGCCAATGATGCCACCGACCCTTCTGGCGCAACGCAATGCTGGGGTTCTAGCGAGGGAAATGGAGCCCCTAGAAGGAGGGCCAGGCTAGAGGCTAGGGGTCCTTGGGGGCTGGTAGGGGTGTGGGAGGGGCATAGGGACGAATGCGTAAATGACGGGCGAGACAGGAATGGATGGGGCACGAACCTCGATTGCGACCCATGATGGCGATGCGGCCGATCCGTGGACCAAGACACGCAAGACGTCGATGAGCGGGTTAAGCAGAACGCTGACGAGAGCGCGGCGATGTCATGTACAGAATCTGTACTCTGCGATGGTGGCGGATGATGGCGAGCAGCCCTATCTCGTCTTTTTCGATATTTGTCCCTTTCCCCTAGTCGTATCGTATTCGGAGCCGATTCCTCCGGCCAAGAATGCAATAGTCGATAATGGTATATGCACAGCACAAAAAGGGGTATGGCTGCTATTGGCGGGGCCCAGCGACTCGAGCGAAAAGATTAAGACAGCTGAGCTTATTCGCAGTGGTGTCGCGGGCTAGATAAAGTAGGCGTCTGTCAAAAGAGTGGCGATCAACGACGCACTCTGAGGCCTTTTTTGCTTTTTCTTTTTCCCCTTGTTCAAACGATTTGGCGTGGAAGATGCTCTGGGCCTCGTAGCGAATGTTTGTTCCAGGACCTTTGTTAGTATCCGGGAAGACCTCGTGAGACAAGCACGCGACAGGATTGCCTCGTATCGTATTAATTTAGTCGAACTGCGGTTTAGCGCTTGGCGGTTTGATGCTTTGTTGCGCTGCTTTGGGGCTCTCTTCCCAATCAATTTTGCCGTCTTACTCTTTGGGAAGGAGAAAGCGAAAGGGATAAAAAAAACGAGAGACAAGCCAGCAGGACAGACTAGGGAAAAGAAAACGAGCGTCTAGTAACTATTTATCATTAACGGCCTCTTTCATGCAAAACGACTGTGGGAAAGCCGTTTCTATGGGGGTGGGCTCCCGGCCAGCGGATATGCCGGAGCGTTCAAGCACATTGGCATGACAGCAGCATGACTAGGAACACCCGGGCTGGAGCACACAGCGAGAAAAAAAAAAAAGCCAAGCACAAAAGGGCTCCGCTTCGATTCAGGAGCGCCTCATAACGTTTTTGTCTTTGTTTTTCTCGTGGTCTTCTCCAGCTTGTCCGGGGCGGGAGTCGTGCAGCCACGCGTATAAGCTCGCGCCGTTTCTGGCGGGCTTATACCGACAAGCCACGGGCCACGGCACGGCGAATGGAGCAACTGGGAGCCCAATTGGAATCTTACTCACCAGGTACCGGTACTCTTTGCGTCTCACTGGCTCAGGAGAGTGAGGAGACAGAAAATGAAATGAAATGCTCGAGCTGTTAAAGCCGTGGCGTATTTGCTTCGTTTTTCAGTTTGTTGGAGGCGCAGTCATACGATGCTGCGAGCCACTCGAGTCTTCGTCAGCGCTTCGGTCTATATCCAATGGGCGACAGTGCTCGTATCAGATGTACTGTTGGCGCTGTTCTGCCAAGGGCCGGAATGAGTGCAGCCAAGAGCCAAGAAAAGTCCAAGAGAAATAAAGCAACTCTGCGCTGCTTCTTGCCCAGCGGCCAACCCACTTTTGAAGCTTTTCCTGCTGGTCGTCGTCCTGTCCAATTCCTTGACGTCCTTCCACGTAGTTGCCAAGACGGTTCTAGATTCTCTGTGACGGCGCGGGAGCATGCATGCTCGACGTCACCGGGTGAGTGGCAGCTGAGGCGGCGCGCACTAAGCAGGCGATCTCGAAGCCCACAAACGTTAAAACCGGGAGCTGAAAATGGAGAGACAAGATCGTCACCACGACGTCGCAAGATCCAGAATCGCAGAAGCAGCCACACCAGAGCCCGAGGGGGAGGGAGGCTGGAGACCTATTTAAGCAACGACGGAAATAGCCTGCCCAGGTCCTTTTGCCCTTTTGACCTGATCCTCTATTACGGATACGGAGGCCAAGCTATTAGACGTAGGTAGTTGCCGCGTACTGTAGAATGGGCAGCGCAGCGAGCCCCATATTGAGACAACTATATACGCACGCAAATACGGGGGGGGTATACGGGGCCGAGACCAACTGGCGGCGCCTACAGCCAAGTAGACCACGGTGTTGGCCAGGAGGCACGCAATACCTGAGTAGTACCAGACCACTTACAAGCCCCTCGAGACCCAGGCAGTGCCAGCCAAGCGCTGTTTATTTGCGTAACGAGATGGCGCCTCTCTCGAGTGCACAACCAGAGACGGCTTTTGCGTGCAATTCTGCGCCCGCAGTGGATAACACGCAGTCTCTCCGTAAATTTGAAAGCCACTATCATCAGGTAGCTCCGGATGCCCCGTATATGTGGCAGTGGGGCTTCAGGTTTCCCAAGGGCCCCCTATCGAGCGAGCCGGATACATGTATTTAACCTCTATCCAACGAGCCTGGAAGCACGAGCCTTTCTGTATTGATGCTACTTCGAGCCCACTCATGCCAATAGCGTCGTCGACTCTTGGAATGGCAGTCCGGAACTATACTGGCTGCTTTGCGCTGTCCGCTTACATCGTCAAGGCCGCCTTGGAAGTTGTAAGTAGCCCAGGTACCTCCACTACCAAGAGCATGCCCTGCTGTGAATCAATGGTATCATTGAACGCTGCAAGACCCATGTCTCTGCCCAGGTTTTGGAGGCCCTCCTCTCAAATCAAATCCACCAGCAAGGGCCATGACGCCTGCCTGCCTTGCCTTGCCGCCAGAAATAATTCCACGGCCCTGTTGTTTCGGGCCCTTCTAGCCGCCGTGCATTACTGGCTCTCAAAAGCCCGCCAGACGCAAGCAGAGGTTAAATAGTCGCAGCGTTTTAAACCATTCCCACCGCCTTGCAGCAGCTTTGTCCTGCCACTTCTGGCCAAGTATACCTAGCGCCCACGCGATGATGCAGGAACTTGCGCACCTTTTTTAGCATTTGATTCCTTCTCCTTCTTTTGATACCACCTCGATCCAAGGTTTCTGTAAAAGCCCCTGCATTTCTCGGTTAACCCATAGGTCAGTAGGTACCACGAGCTTCATTTCTGTCTCCCGGCCTGCCGAGCCAACTTCGGAAATGCTGCTAGGTAATTTATACTTTAAAGCCTATAATAATGCCACGGCGCCGGGTTTGGAATAGCGGACGGAGGCTACCGTGGCAGCTCTACCCATTGGGGAAGACTCCAAACTCATTACACCGAGCGCTACTCGTGCTTGCACGCTGCAACGTTGTACAAAGTACATGCATCGCCATCGCGAAGCGAAATCGGGAAACGCCCGGGATTCAGACGGCGGGTAGCACAAACCAGCCATTGAAACTCGAGTCCTCTGCCAATAAGACCCGCCGAGTGTCTCTAGGTTCGAAGCCTCACCGCGAAAAAGCTTGACATCAAATGTCTTGGACAACGCCAGCATGACTCTTGCACACAGCAAAAGAGTAGAAACAGAGTCACGTCAGCGCTTGTCCTTAGTTGCTTTCGGGAGCGGCACTGTTGCCAAAAACTCATGGGCCTCTGCCGCTGAGGTACAACAGCCAAAGAAAGTCCAAAATGGCCAGACAATGATTCCAGTGTGAATGAGGAAACATTCTGCCATTGAATGAATGGCTTGTGCTGACGACCCAGAAAGGGCAGCAGTGGCACGTATTAGCCCCAAGCTGCCAACGCACTCTGACGTCATCTGAACCCCTTGAACAGAAAAGAACATGAAACTATCGATTCTTTTTTGGATTCTATGATATGGCGCCTGCGATCATGATCGTGAAGTGGCTCAAAAATTCGCTGCCATCGAGGAGCTATTGCAATTGCACCATTGTCTACGCGTCACAGCAAGACCAAGCCACTTCTTTACCCCAGGCTAAGGCGATGCCGGGACCCATGCAATCTTGCTTCTTTTTTTCCCTGCATCCAATCAATCAATCAATCAGCTTCTCTTCAGCGCAGTGTCCATCTTCAGGCCCGAGCCGATCGCCGCCATGGCCGCGCTGAAACATACGTCAATGAGTTTCAACGACGGGCGATGGAAAAAAAGGCCATCGTGCGCTATTCTTAGAGATGCGCCCGGATTGGGTACTGCTCCGTCAGTGCGCTGCCCCGTAGCTCCCGTACCACTTGTGTGATGGGTACACGTAGCCAATTGCTTCCATGTTTTCTTGCCCTTCGTTGGCGATCCCCAGATCAGACACTCCCACTCTCTCCACTCGCTACGGAGTCCAATAAGGTCAGATAGAGGCCGACAGTCGGTGTGCTGATCAGGTCTCATCGACAGATTGACTGACGTGGTATCTACTTCGTATTCCCTGCTTGGATCCTGTATTGCTGCGGAACATTCGGGTTGTCGGGTTTTCTGGCGGCGCTCATGTGCCCTTTTGTTTCATTTCCGTTGAAATTAGAACCGTCGAGGCTATCCTCCGCGGTAATTTGACTCTCTGCTTTGATATGGCAGCTGCCATTCTAAATTCCGACATGACTTACATGGGTCTTGATATCGCGCATGGCCGCCTAGGCTATGGTATTACAAATGCATACATCGTTAAGCGACATTGGACAGCCAACAGTCGAAATACCTAGATGGAGCCCTTGGTAATGATATACGTCTTCTGCTGTTAGTAGTAGCTTTCCTCGCGCTCTTACGGACAAGACCAATTAATTCTCCTGTAACCCGTTTGGATGTAAAAAAATGTAGGGTAGGATGCATCATGCAGCTCACATACATGTATATCACGTGCGATAGAGCGCCATTGTCTCAAGCTCCGATCTAGCTGCTGATTTCCAGAACATCTCCTGATAGCATTCGGGAACCGCTAAAAGGCTGTCGCAGCAACCCCAGCGGGTCAGCATTGCTGTACATGGTTGGAATGCGCACGTTAACATCTCCTACGCTGGCGGCTTTCCTGACCTCTTCATTGCGTCCAAAGCAGCTCCCGGCTGTGCTGTGGGGCCGCGGGGGGAGATGCTTCGTCTCTGCGGCATCGCAATCGCAATCGCCATCACGCTATGCGAAATCGCCGTTTCGCTTTGAGACGGGCATTGGGCTGTTTGCAAAGCGATCCCCTCGGCCGTTTCCTCCTCCTTTCTTGTCTCCTCCGTCTGTTTCCTTCTCAGATCCTCTAAGTACCCATCACCAGAGTCGGGACCGCCGAACTCACGCAACTATCAATGGAGAGCTCATCAGAGGACTCACAAATGGTGATGATGCCGTGTATGCTAGCGACTATTTCATATGTACAAACGATGGCGTAGGCGCGTGGGCAACACGCCCAAGAGGTCATGCCGGGTAACCTTTCCTGTGATGTGGTGATCTATACTGTAAGAACGCGGCCCTGACGGTTATCACAGATTGTGGTCGCGGCTAGTATTGCACTTCTGGGCGGCGGCCATTGAAGAAGAGTCGACCAATAGCCTATTCCAACAAGTGGCCTATCAGCCCGACCCCGTTGCGTCTCTCCAGACGGCATACGAGCAAACACAGGAAGCGACTGGCGCTCATAACTGGCTGGGGACCACGACAGTGTGTGGCGCACAGCTGCATTACAGGACGGCGATGGATGCGGGGCGCGAAGTTGCCATGCCAGTTCTATACGCGACAAACCTCGGCGATGGTCAAGTCTTGGTGCTCCGACCCCGAGACAAGGAGATTGTCTATAAAACCACAGAGCAGTGGCACTGGTTCGACTGTCCACGCCAGCTCGGTACTAATAGTCCCGATACGCCAAAGCAGAACGCAGTGGTTGACACAATAGATTTGGAAGAGGGCGACGTGGTCCTAGCAATGAGCGATGGTGTTATTGACAACCTCTGGGAGCATGAAATTGCTGCCAATGTATTTCAAAGCATCAAAGAGTGGGAGGATGGGAAAGCCGCTGATACCCACGGCGATCGCATAGGCGGTCGCAATGGCGGCATGGCTCTTGTAGCTCAAAACCTAATGGCAGCTGCCAAAGTGATAGCATTGGACCCGTATGCCGAGAGCCCATTCATGGAACGTGCCATAGAAGAAGGCCTGGCTAGTGAAGGAGGTTGGTACATATTTATTCCTCCGACCCTTGACACATACTGACTTGTTGGCGAATAGGCAAACTGGATGACATCAGCGTCGTCGCAGCATTATGTGTTAGAGACAGGGAACAGTAGAATTGCAAAGCTGGGTTTTGCTTGATGTTAAGACACCGCAGACATGTTTTTTGCGTTGATTTTATTCAGACTATCGAATTTAATAGCAACATGGTATCTATGGGGTACGTATATGATGAGGCAGAGCAATTAGTCTTTCGTAGAAATCTGGCTGAATAGTATAAATAGTACATGACCGTGGCAATATGAATTGATCTTATACTGTTGAATAGCACAGCTCCCATCTTACACGGCGTTAAGGTGTTTGAAGCTTGAGAAGGAGCTGGACAGATGCTGGCGCAAAGAGCGGGGCGAGAGGAAGCTGCACACTCCCCACTCTTATCGCACATGCCCCACTTCGGATAAGAAAGTTATTTGCAGGGACCTCTGAAATTTATTTGCATGGACTTCGTCCTTGCTGCGCCGATAGATTCGTCTTGGTCCTCACTTTTCGCACTCTTGTAAATCCATTCGGAGTTGGCGGCAGAGCATAATTCAAAATGAGAGGAAAACGGTCAAAACAATATCGCAAGCTCATGGAGCAATTCTCCATGACCTTCGGCTTTCGCGAACCGTATCAGATTCTAGGTTTGTCTCTGCGAATGTCTCGTGACGGCTACTGATCAGCATATTAACGGATTTTTTGGATTTTAGTGGACGCGGAAATGATCAAGGATGCGAATAGATTCACAATGGATCTGGCGCCTGCGCTGGAAAGGACAGTCCACGGAAAAGTGAAGCCATGTGAGTAACGACGCCTCCAAGGAATCTGAGATGAATGCTTATAACGCGACCAGTAATTACTCAATGCGAAATCCGAAAATTATACGCAGACAAAGACCAGCCTGGCGGCAATGCGGCGATTGAGCTGGCGAAGACATTCGAACGAAGGCGCTGCGGTCACCACCCCGACCAGTACCCCAAACCTCTCGAAACGATAGAGTGCATGCAGTCCGTCGTCGATCCCAAGTCAACAGGCGAGAATAAACATCGCTACGTGGTCGCAAGCCAAAGCTTGGATGTTCGAAGGATGCTTCGAGGAATCAGAGGCGTCCCGCTGATATACATTAAGCGGAGCGTCATGATCTTGGAGCCCATGGCAGACGAGAGTGTACAGATCCGAGAGCGAGAGGAGAAACGAAAATTCAGAGCAGAGCTCAAGAAACCGCTGGGCAAGAGGAAACGCGAAGACAAGGATGAAAAAAATGAGGGCGAGGCCGATGGTGATGGAAGCGACAGCGACGAAAACAAGGCAGCACCGGCATCCGGATCAGAAAAGAAACCTAAAAAGAACAGAGGAGTCAAGGGAGTGAACCCATTGGCTATGAAAAAGAAGAAGGCCCAGCCCTTACCGAAGAAGGCGGCTGAGAAGAAGCCAGATGCCGAATCAGATGCACCAGCCAAGCGGAAGCGAAGAAGAAAGGCCAAGCCAGAGGATGGCGCAACAAATAATGCGTCAGAGCCGAGCGCAGCGGCTCTTAGCAATGGTGGGGAGGAAAGCTGAAGGGCTTATTAACAGGAAGACCGAAACGGATTGGAGTCATTATCAATGGTAATTTGAGGTGGATAATGGAGCATTGGATGGCGCTCCTGTGATTGAATGCTACGGAGTTATAATATTGTGATATCAAGCACTTGCCAAAAATAGATAGAGCGAATGTCAATATGGGTACGATTACCAGGCTACGAGCTGCAGTCAAGAGTCTGTCTGCTGACGATTGCAGGATACATGTGCCTCAAGTGTATGGAATGCAGATTGAATGCCATTCATGGTGAGTTGTCTCAAAGCAGCAGAATATCTATGACTCGCACGTGCTGTTTCATTTGACAGCGATTAATAAAATTAGAAAGAAGAGTAGAATAATGCGTATCGTAAATAGCTGGTTTGGTCTGCCTAATTGAGCAAATATCAATATTTATAGAATTGGCGGCTTCTATTGGAAAGCTGCCGCTAAACTACGTCGACGTATCACATGTTTAGACAGCTACTGCGGATACCTAGGTAAAGTAGTAAGCATAGCAGGATAAGAACGGTAAGAAGAAAAAGAGGGAATAAAGTACGGCGAAAAGAGAGAAGAATAAAAAAAAGTAAAAGGGACGTTTCAAGCGACGAATTAGGAAAGCTGGTGCTCCGCCCCACGCCGGGACTGACACTGACACTCTCTTATATCCCGTCCCTGGCTTTGAACACGGGGGCAGTGCGCAATACCTTGTGGCTTATGTAGAAGGATCGCGATATGATGACTGTGACAGAGGCTTTATAATCCCTGGCCATTATGCGGCTTTACTTACAAGCAAGAGGCTCGTCTCCTCTGTAACTGTGAATACGAATGCGAGTGCGCTGCCACTCTGGAAATTGCATGTCAAGCACACGATGCGGAGAGAGCCGGGACTGGACTAGGCCGACTCCTCTGATACCTAGACTACAGAATTACAGCCCAACAACGAGGCCTCTTCCTCCACTGCTCTGCTTATTTCCTCACGAGAGTTGACCGAGGCCGTGTTACAGCCCGGCCATTCATTGGGCTGCTCGTGGTGTCAGCCGAACGCCGGATTTCGCAGCCTGAAAGCGGCAGCGCCTCCCGCTAGCTGGGCCACTAATTTTAATTTAACGACGTAACCGCACTTTGCAACACCGCCCTCTACGGTTGTGCGCGCATCCATCTCCAACTTCGCATCAAGAATACTAAAAAGAAAAATAAGGAAGACGGCGTTTGCTTCACAGAGCCTGCCTCTCTCCACCACCATCACGTCCCATCCATGCCCCTCGCGTGTGCCGCCCCGGTGGATGTGGACGTGATACTCAGCAACCCCTCCTCGCATCCCTTGTGACAGGACAATGGCCAGCGTAAGCCAGGATGCAGAGCCCGCGGCCGCCGGCCATGCGACTCCAGCGCCACCAACGAGCACAGCAGCGGCTGAAACCACGGCGGCGGTTGCTGTACTAGAAGTCGACGACTTTGGCCTGCCGATCAAGAAGTACATAACGCCGGTGGCAGAGCCCGCAGACTCGGATGCCCAGGATGCGACAGACGATGCGAATACGGGCAGCGAGACCCGGAATGGGACACACGAAGCTCAAGCAAACGACGAAGAGGCAAAGGAAGCTGCTGATAATAAGAGCGGACACACGTCAGGCGGCGATACTGTAGATGCCGAACCCAAAGATGCCGAAGAAGCGAGAGCTGCGGCCACTTCGCCCATACAACGGGAGACCACGACAGAGACAGTCCATAAGGAACCCTCGAGTCCATCGATAGATGCTTGGAAATCGGACCCTGTTTCACCATCTCCAGCAAAGGATGCTCCAGCAGCTGCAGTACCTTCTACACCAAAGACCCCCAACAACACCACCGGATGGGGCGACAAGTATGCCCAGGCAAAATCGCCCGAGGGATCAAACCAGACACACAGACGAGACATAAGCTTCTCGAGTCCCGCTAATGGAAAGGGTATCTCGGAATACTCTCATCAGCACGTTTTGATGCAACCAGAAGAACATGGTGACAAGCCGAAAGAGGACGATGATGGCGGCTGGCAGGAGATGCCATCCTATGCCAGGTATGACATGTATGACGACGACGACCGGTTAATTGCTCGAGAGCATGATGCAGATGAGGACGAAACTTATGGCTATGCGGGGCTCGGAGGCGCTGGCAAGGGATATACACGCGTTATCATGGATGAAGATGCCGAGTCGGCAACGAGCATGGACGAACACACACAGTACTTATTCAAGGACCCTAAGGGCACGAGCATGGGCGAAGATGACGAGGCTAGAGACGCCGTGTCCCAGATGCAGGCTACAAAAGACCTTCTCACCGAAGGCCAGAGGATTGCATACGTTGGTGTTGTTCGCCTGGAAATTGTAAACCTAGTGAAAGAAGCCGAGCTGGAAATCACAAGAGGTGCCAAAAGGCAGGTCGTCATGGGCGCCGAAGCAGTCAAGATGTGGGGTCAAAAGATGATGATTCGGCTCTACGCTCACATGGACATTAGTGATGCGGAGCAAATCATGATTGAGCAGCTTGCCGCCCACGGCGTCATGGCTCAAGACCTCACACCTGCTCTGCTCGCCAACTCTCGAGTTTCAAACCCCATGGCTGAAGAGAAGAGCGTCGGGTCACCCGGGACACCGAAGTCTGGCCGCTACCCGCCGTCATACACAGAGGAAGATGAGAAGCCTGCTGAGATGCCGCCACCGTATGAAACGCATATTGGTGAGGAATTGCCAGAGGTTAAGACGCCGTCACAGATGCCGACAACAGAGAAAATCGACATTGACCTGCGATGGACCATTCTCTGTGATTTATTCTTGATACTCATTGCAGACTCAATATATGATGCGCGGTCAAGAACCTTGCTTGAGCGGGTCGCCAAGAGCTTGGACATCTCATGGATCGACATTTGCAAGTTTGAAAAGAGAGTGACGGATGCGCTGGAGATACAGCAGGCAGCTGAAAAGGAAAACTGGAACGAAGAAGAGCACATGGAGCACCGGAGAAAGATGGCCCTGAAGAAGAGATATATCATGATGGGCCTGGCCACCGTGGGAGGCGGTCTTGTTATTGGTCTCTCGGCCGGTCTACTTGCCCCTGTCATTGGAGCTGGCTTGGCAGCCGGCTTTACAACTATCGGAGTCACAGGTACAAGTAGTTTTCTGGCTGGAGCAGGAGGAGCAGCCATCATCACGTCTAGCGCAGCGGCCTCAGGAGGGATCATTGGTGGCAGGGCAGCCGGTCGCCGAACCGGCGCTGTCAAGACCTTTGAGTATCGGCCGCTACACAACAACAAACGTGTCAATCTTATTGTCACGGTGTCGGGCTGGCTGACGGGAAAAGTCGATGACGTCCGCTTACCGTTCAGTACGGTTGATCCTATAATGGGTGATATGTATTCGGTATTGTGGGAACCAGAAATGCTTCGTAGTATGGGCGATACTATTAACATTCTGGCTACTGAGGTGAGCAATTGGATCATAATTTTTCTTACAGTTTGAAACTAATGATGGAACCCATTTAGGCACTTACTCAAGGTCTGCAGCAAGTCCTGGGCAGCACAATTCTTGTCAGTTTGATGGCAGCTATCCAGCTTCCTGTGGTTTTGACTAAACTCTCCTACCTCATTGACAACCCCTGGGCAGTATCCCTGGACCGTGCAACAGCCGCAGGTCTTATTCTGGCCGATTCGCTGATAGAACGAAGCTTGGGCACACGACCCATTACTCTTGTCGGATATTCACTTGGTGCTCGCGTCATCTTCTCCTGTTTGAGAGAGCTTGCGAGAAAGGGCGCATATGGACTTGTCCAAAATGTGTACATCTTTGGATCACCAATCGTGGTGAGCAAGGATGAATTCCTCAAGGCACGATCAGTGGTTTCAGGCCGCTTTGTAAGCGGGTATAACCGCAGTGACTGGATTCTCGGCTACCTCTTCCGGTTGACAAATGGAGGCATCAGGAAAGTCGCCGGACTGGGTCCCCTGACCGACTGCCCGTGGATTGAAAGCATTGACGTGACAGACCTCGTGGCCGGCCACATGGAGTATCGTAAGGCCATGCCATCTCTTCTCATCAGATGCGGGTGGCTCGTTAGCAGCGAGGAGTTTTCGGAAATTGAAGACCCAGATCCCGATGATCATCAAGGACGACAACGAGAGCTCATCAATGAGATTGAAGAAGCGCGCAGAGAGCTAGAGAAGGAGGGCAAAGCAGAGAAGAGGGGAAGCAAGTTTGGAATATTCGGCCGGCGCAAGAAGGGAGAACGGCAGGAATGGGAGATTTACGAAGATTCAGGCAAGGGCCCAGCCAAGGATGAAAAGAAGACTGAAGGCAGCGATGGCAGCAATTACGGCGTGCTGTTTGACATTGACGCCATCCGAGCGGAGCTGGCCAAGGAGGCCGAGAATGATGGCGGGGAGGAGATTCAAGTGAAGGAAATCAAGTCGACGCTTCCACCGATGAAACTCGACTACTCGCCAGTGACTTCTCCAAGTACGCCGGTGCGAGGAGCGACCCTGGGGCCACGGGACTCATGGCAGACGTCAAAGAGCGCCGAAGTATTACCAATACGTTCCTCGAACGGTGGTTACAGCCCGCGTGAGCCGCCGGCAACGACGACGACGCTAGGAACGCCCGCAGCACAATCGCCAGCATTACGATCGCCGTATCACTATGAGCCGAACCCGCACGAAGAGGAGGAGATCTCCATGACGTTTGACACATCTTTCCACGAGCCTGTTGCCCGGCGCCACTCTGCGTTTGATGAAGGGCCAAGTAGGCCGGAAATTAAGACGACGAATACGCTACCAACTGCACCAAATGTTCCAAATCCATGGAATGATTTGGATGATGATGAGTTTGGCAAGGAGCAAGAGATTTCCATGACGTTTGCGTAATTGCAGAACCATCTGAGACCTGATATTCTCTTCACTTTTTCTTCTTGCTATATATCTTTGCGCGTCATAAATGGGGTTGGGTAATCTCTTGTCTTTTTTTCGTTTTGCCACCTGCGTTTTATTCCGGTTGTCATCTCTCCACTCCCTCTTGTTGCTGCAAAGATATATTGGGGGTTCGTGGAGGGATTTTTAGGTGAATCTGGATGGAGAATGCTATTGATGACGTATGGCTTTCTATTTTATTTTATTGTTGAAACTTATGGGATTTGATTTCATGAATGGGGAGAGGTGTCTTGATGTTGAATCTACTTGGCGCTGGGGCTGTACGGAGACAAGATAGATGTGCGTGGCTAGAAGGAGATATAAAAAGAAGGAGAACAGAAGAGAAGATGGATTTATTAATAGAGGAAAAACGCATTCAGACTATTGCCAATATTAGCTGTTGTAGATGTTTTATATGATTACGTACCTTGAGTAATGGGTCGGAGGTTGTTTGTCATGCCATTGAGGACTACAGTACTACTGCTAGGTACATACTAAGTGTTGGCAGGCATTAGTCCAACGCTCTATATGCGACTCTATTGTCCAGCAGTGCACCGGCTATTGAGCTGGATGGTCTGCGTTGCATGAATTAAAACAGGCTATTCCCAAGCCACCATGCAATAGCAAGTGGGTGTCGAGGCAAAAAGTGTCGTTCGATAGGCTGGAGGATGAGGAGGTGGCCAAGCACAAGTTCTGGATTGGATGCTGGGCTAGTACTGTAAGTTGGTATCAGCTCCTTTTATCACGCGGGCCAAGCCTGGTTCTACGCCAATTAGAGGCAGTGGACGCGAGGAGCTGAAGATACTATTACTTCAATGTCAAATGTCTATTGCTCTATACAAGTTATACAAGCTCTGGCATACCCTCCCCCAGCTAAACCATCACCAACACAGATACCAGGTAACCTAGCACTACTCGTACAAAACCCCTTCACAAGGCAGACCACAAGCCATTTAACCCAATCCATTTCCCATCACAACTTCCCCACCTCTACAAAAGTCAATCCCCCATGTCGGTCAGCCGCGGTGGAGCCTCTTCAGCCTCACCCGGCACCTTCGATAGGCTGTCCCTGGCTGCTTGGCGTTCTTAGCCCGGATCCATTATTTCGAGAGGGAATCTATTCCTAGCTCCAACATGGAGTGATGGATGGCCTCTGATGTCGTATCCTTTCGTTTCGGTGAAGAAGTGGTGCTTCTCTCTTTTTCTCCTCTCGAGCTGCTTATACCACAGATTCTCTCTTCTCTTTCTCTTTGAACTGTTGTAGGTATTCGTGCTCATGTCCCCTTAATCATCCCGGAAAGATAAATGCTGCCGATTCCCATTTTTTTTTTCCCGCCGATCAAACTCCATATCTCATAGACACTAATTTGTAAACATTGGCAGCAAAACGCCCTAGTTCCACCAACCTGTCAGCTTTTCTTTTTTTCTTTCCGCCAGCCCGTCAGCAACTCCGACGCTTTTGAGCCGATCCCCCGTTTTTCCCAACAGTGAAAACCCGCCTTTTCCTTGCTTCTGTCTTCGTTGCTTTTGTGTGTATCTTTGTACAGTATCTATATATACATGCCCGCTAACCGTTGACGCATGTACCTCGCTAGTTAGATTTGTATGAGGCGGTACTTGTATACCACTCCATTGCGGTGTAGTGCTTTGCCCGCAGGACTAAAACCACCATCCATCCATCGTCCAGATTGATGCCATTTTTAGAAAGCCTTACATTCTACCTGGATAGGCCCACTTAAAGACAACTCACTCCAGTCGTGTCTCGTTGCCCATCACCATCTTGCTCTGATCCTCTCTAGCGTCCTCTCCTTTTTATCTCTTTTATCCCTTCCGTTCTTTTCTTTCCATCTCGAACGCCAAAAATAAGAGGGGTCCTGAAGGATGAGATGCGACGTTCGGGCCCGAGTCTGGCCTGGCGCCGCTGCAACCCAACCAAGGACAATAAAAAAGTAGCCGCAGTAGAAAGCAGTGCTAGCAGTAGGTAGTTTTGCCCAGTAGTAGTAATATTAGACGAGGTTCATACCTAGTAAATACCTAGTATAGTAGTTCAACGCAATGAATGGGTGAGCTCCATCTTCAGTCCAAAAGCATCTGAAGCGAGAGACGACCGAAAGGAAAAAGAGAGCAGCTACCTATTGCCGGCAGGATCAACAGCTGCTAGCATCGTTCGCTGGCCTGGTTCCTCTAAAAGACCCCTCCCCGGTCTTACAATCTCACATCGCGTGCAGCTCTGCGCCTCTTTCGAGTCGTCGTCGGTTTTTGTCTGACGAGCCCACTAACAGCAGCTAAACACCCGACTCCAACGCCGACTTACACCGTTCGCCCATTGAACCCCTGTAGGATTGTCTCTGCCCTGCGCCATCGCTCCTCTCTCCCTCTCTCTCGCCCTTCTCTCGTCCTTCTTCTCACTTATTTCTTCTCACTTCTATTCTGCTCTCTTGTTTTTTCCCCTTCCCTTTTGCTCTTTTCCTGCTCCTTTCCCGAACGCCGTTGCAGCTAATCCGGCTGTTGTCGCTGGTGCTGGGGCCTTGCCTAATCTAGGGAAGCCTTACCACACCACCACAACTCCCAACGGATACCTGAGAGTATATATATATATATATATATATGCAACTGTTATAGAAAAAAGAGCAAGGCCTCAAACCGTCCACAGGGAATGGCGAGCCCCGTCTCCAGAGGCGCTGCCACCAGCATCCCGCCCAACAACGTGCCCAACGCCGCCTCTCCAACAAACAGCCTCAGCGGCGGTTCTCTCAACGGCCATGACAACGGCAATGGCGGTGCCCAAAAGGACAGCAGCAGCAGCATGGACATTCTGCCCCACGAGATGCCGACATCGTCGTTCGATATCCTCCCAAACCCTTCGTCCACCCCTACGCCCAGCAATCCCGGCATCCTGCCGCCCACTTCGACGACAGTCATCAGCTTCAACAACACGGCCAGCTTTGGCCCAAACCTAACCGACCGTGTCTTTTACACCGAGTACAGGGCGAAGACCTTTGCTTGGAAGTACGACTCCTCACACACGAATCTGGTCAACATCTCCTGGTATGGCACGAATATCACCGGCAAGCCTTTCAACGTGTCTCAGGCGACTGTCATTGCCTCTGCTGAATTCAATGGGTCTACGTCTCCGGAGTTTATGAAGCGTATGTTCTGGATTTCTCACTTTTCTCACACATGTCTATACACCTATAATGATGAGCCCTTCTCTTTTTGATTTACAGAAAGAAAGATGAAAAATACCCTCGTCTGAAGGGTACCGGCTAACAATGAAATTAAATCTTCCAGTCAGCGACTTCAACGCAGTCCTCAACCTCACAGCCCCCAAAGTAATCCCCTGGTACGAAAAAGAAATGGTCGTCAAAATCTCATGGACAACCCAAGACGAAGAACAAGGCTTCTCCCAATCCGGCGTCTTCACCGTCGCTCGCAGCGACGACCGCTCCTTCAGCGCAGCCGACTTCACTCGTAACGTCACAAAGGCCGAGCAGGACAGGCAGGGCTTCGAATCAATCACCTCCCAGGGCAGCCAGAGCACTCCAAGACCTTCCGGTAGCAGCAGCAAATCTTCTGGCGGCGGCGGTCTCAGCACAGGCGCCATCGTCGGCATCGCCGTGGCCTGTTCCGTCGTCGGCATCACCCTCCTCGCCGGTCTGGTCTGGTTCCTCCTGCGTCGCCGAAGACGCCGCTCCATGGGCGAGGGCTACAAGGCCACGCGCCAGACCACAAACTCCTTCACTGCCGTCAAGGAGGCCCGCCCTTCTGTCGCCGAGTCGCCCATCATCGTATCACCCTTTTCCGACGACGGCGAGGCCCGCGGCTTTTCACACTCCAATATTGCCATTGCCCTGCCGCAGCGGGGCTCGACGCCGAGAGCGGTCCCGGCGATCAATGATGAGGGCAGCAGGGATCGTCCAGAGTCTGCTGCGTCGGGCAACAGGTCGCGCGGCGGCATCGCTCATCTCGTCGAGGACGGCATGACGGAGGCGGATATCCTGCGCCTGGAAGAGGAAGAGCGGCATTTGGATGCGGAGATTGAGCGCGCTGCCCGGAGAGGCTCTTCTTAAAAGTCACCATTAAAGCAGAAAGAGGGAGAATCAGAGGAAAATCACCGCAGTCTCCCCGGCAGAGGCTTTTTTATTTTTAAAAAAAGCCCCTGATCTCGCGAATGAGAAAAGTGATCTGGTGAATCTGGGGAGGCTGCCGTGATTTTCCTCTCTATCTCCTCCTTTCTCCTTTAATGGTCCCATGCTACCGCTCTTCATCCGTGAAGTTTTGTAATCTTTTTTTTTTCCAATGACGGTTTGAGCGCAATGGACGTCACGGCTTATTATATATACGAGCCCAGTCTTTTGATGGCATTTTTTTTGTCGAAGTTTCTTTTGACTCGGTCAAACATGACTGTGGAAATGACGGCGATATCCTGAAAGATAATGACCATGGTTTTTCGCGCGGGCATCTCCCTTCCATCATATTGTTTCACTTTTTTTGCCTTTTCTCTTTAATCTCGATTTGTATATAGACATATACCCTCTGCGCATATTTAGCAGGTTCTTTTGATACCACGAGGGCGCCACTCGCTGTAAAAATACTTTAATAGAGAAACAAGGAAAACAAATGCTAACCTCGAACTCTTCATTGCTTCGTGTTTCCTTATCTTGTATGTGAAAAATGTAGATGGAAGAAAAGGCCGAATTCGATCGAAGAACTCCTTCCAGCCATGCTCTAGGGACCCAAAACGTAGACTTGCTAATATCTCACTCCGCCTTTTCCTCATTGTAAACATCGGCGTGGCTTTTTGACTCAAAATCCGAACATTCTCAAACCAGCACCATGCCGCCATATCGAAGTCGTTATGACAAAACGACAACACACGATTTTTGTAAACTCTCTCCAATCAAAACAAGAATACCGCTCCACACACATAAATCATCTCCTTTGAATTTACGACCTGAACATGCGGCTGACAAAGTTGCTCGCAAGGCTTGTTGCCAAGTTGGTCGATCCGAAGGCGCCACCAGCGAAATTGCTCGCCTGGCTGAATTTGTCACATCGGGAAAAGGCCAGAGTGTTGATAATGGTGAGAGCCAGCGCGATAGCTATATGCCACACATAAGTATACTGAGGAAGAAAAGACAAAACAATAGTCGTAGTTCGACTCACCAACAAGAGGCAGCCACAAAAACTGCAGCCGTATAATCGCCAGAATGGCCATCAATATCCACCACAGCGGCTGAATATACAGCGCCAGCCAGAAAAACCGGCTGTCCGTCGAGTTGATCTGCCTCGTCCCAGCCTCCAGGCTCTCAAACACCCACTGGGAATCGCCCGTCGAGGGGTCGACCTCGTTCCACCACCGCAGCCCGACGAGTCGACGGCCAGCAATGTTTTTGAGGTAGTAAAAGTCGCAGGCTAAGAGGAGAATCGTAATAATGAAAATCATGATCCTGTATGCGCAAACGTCAGCAAGAGGTTATCCGACATTACGTGGAAGGGAGAGCCAGAGAACAAAGGCTGCTACGCACATGCTCTGGATGACCCATAGCCCCAAGAAATATATGAGCACGCTCGCTGCAAAAACCGCCCATTAGCACATGCGACACAATTTGCGACAAGGCGCTACCAACATATCCTGAAGCCCAGAAACGTGAGCAGCGTAATGGGATGGGAACTGAGCCGCCAGCTCAGCGCTCCCTGCTGGGGTTGCGCGGCCGCCTCCATGGTCTATATTGTCAGCGTCTGGTGCGGGTCGATATTGCGGACGAGGGCGTGGGTCAATTCGTGTTAAGCCGTTGTTGTGAGGCAGTTTCGGGATTGTTCGTCATCAAAAGAGCATGAGGTATGCACCATGCAGCTGGGAGCTTCGCGATCAAGCTACCGTAGCTGGTCGACGGTGTCACGGATGGAGGTACGATGTTCCGGCCAAGGTGGGGTCGCTGCATGTACTCGGCTACTCTACTCGGCTGCACGTATACAAGCAGGCATTATAATGTGAGCCGCCACGACGGCTATCCTCATGTTTGTATAAATTGTGATTTGATTCAAGCTGCTATCGCATCTCAATTCGAAAATTGTTTCTTTCGGCTCTCACGCCATAAACATCTGGAGTTCCCCAATCTCAAACTACTGAATTCACTTTTCCATGGTATATTGAAGCCCACACGTATATCAATCACCATCTCTATACGCCTAGCCATCCCTGCAATTCATCATGGCAGCTCGAGCATCTTCCATACTGCGCCGCTCCTTGTTATATGGTTGTCCCCAAATGATCCTTATTCGAGGATGCCTGCTAATATGATTTGTATAGTGCCTGCATCTTCCCAAAAGATGCTCACCAAGTCCCTGGGCTTGACAACAGATAATGTCACGTATGATTTGGAAGATTCTGTAACTCCCTCTCAAAAGGGCAATGCTCGGAATCAGTTGAAACAACATTTATCTGGCCTCACATCGCGCCCCTCCACCATTTCGGAGCTTGCCGTTCGAATAAATGCCGTTTCTACGCCCTTTGCCCTCGATGACCTCACGACGCTGGCATCGGCGGATCGCGTTGATGCTGTTGTTGTGCCCAAAGTTAACTCAGCTGCCGACTTGACGTTTGTCACTGACGTATTGCGGCATGTCGCACCAGCGCGTCATGAAGAGGGCGCAAAAAATCCAATCAAGATCATAGCGCTTATTGAATCTGCACGAGCAGTCATGGACCTCTCAACAATATGCAAAGCCTCCCCTTTTCTTAGTGGCTTGATATTCGCAGCTGAGGACTTTGCACTTGATCTTTCCATAACAAGAACACCTTCACTGGCAGAGTTTCTCTATGCACGATCAGCCATCGTCACCGCGGCTCGATCATACGAGCTGCCAAGTGCTATAGATCTGGTGTGTACCTCTTATCGAGGTAATGACGGCCTGCGGACACTGGAAGAGGAATGTAGAGGTGGAAAAGCCATGGGATTTAATGGGAAACAATGCATACACCCCGGACAGCTAGAAACTGTCCAACGACTGTTTGCTCCTGATATCAAGGATGTAGAGTGGGCTGTTCGCATCACTATTGCCGACGAAAAGGCAGCAGCCGCTGGGCGTGGTGCGTGGACGCTGGATGGGAAAATGATTGATGCTCCAGTGGTGGGCAAGGCCCATGCAATAACTGCAAAAGCGGAACAATGTGGAGTTGATATTCAAGACCTGAGAGCTAAGTGGAGAGATCAAGAGCCAGAGTAGCAACATCCAATATTAGCAGCGCTTGTAAACTCGTCCTACTTTGCTAACAAGGTCCTTTCCATTCTGAGAAAGCTTAATTCCATTGATATCAGCGCCAAAATCCATACCAGGGGAGTCATCTCTAGCATCTAAAGTTTGCTGTGACAGTCGCCATGCCGATCAAGAAAGATTCGAATTCCTTCGCGCTAGGACATGCAAAGAGCGAAATCCCAAGATTCGTAGGTAGCTCATAAATATGCAACAACAAGGCTGTTAGAATGAATAAACGAATAAAGCCCTCAGAAATTCTCAACGCCACATCATGTGATTTGGCTGCCAGACAAATGCAGGCTCCGACTCATTTGGGTTTTCTTCGGGATATGGACGCCTTGAATAGTGCCTCGGGAATGGATCCACTGAGTCGTGGGGCCCATCTTGTTGAGGGGAACGATTATGGTGCCCAATTTCACGCAGAGGCTTGCTCGGCCGTATTCTAGTATCGAAAATATCTGCTTCGGCTGGAAGCAGCACTTTGTCATTGTGGCCCGCAGATGGCTCATCAGCTCCTAGAATTTCGCGTTCCATTCTGGCAATGTACTCTTTGAGAGTCTCACCCGGTATATTGTCAACTATTTGCGATATCCTTTGAGAAACGGTATTTGCTGCTAGGAAAGCCTCTTGTTGTGGTTGGAGGGTTGTGGAATTCGCGGGCCAGTCGATACTGTAGGCATCTCTATGTTGCATACCAATGACTTTAGAGGCATCTAAGCGGTCAAAAGGTGATAAGTCATTGACAAATGGTGGAAACATCGCGTTTGGCGGATGAGGGCCACTGGTACTGTAAAAGCACGATGTCGGAGGCATTCTATCGTGAGGGTAAGTCAAGTCTTCGATTCCCTTTGCGTTGACACCGACCTCCTCAGCCACTCCTTCGCGTACTTCAGGGTTTGGTATTTCAAAGATGGTATTGGGCATGTGAATATCTGCTCTAGAGTTGAATGATTCTGCTCTCCTTCGTCGGAGCGGCTGATCGCCACTAGTCATATCAAGTGACACATTCTCTCTGGCCCGTTGGTGCATCCAGGGGCTCACCATAACGCCTTTATCTTGGTACTTAGGAAAACCAGTCGTATCCCGACCATTGGGCGTGTGATCTTCACGGCTTCTGACAGCAGTAAAATCTTGTTCTATGGTACGCCTCCCCTGAGTTTTCTGAATAAGACTGCGGCTCGAATTAACAGCCGTCGGATGGCTGCGAATTGATAAGCTTCGTGGGGTATGGCTTCGTGGTGTATGGCTATCACGCTGTAGCGGTCGCTCGTTATTGTCTCTATCACTGCGCCGCATACAGGTAACGCTGGAGACAACCGTGCTGGTAGGGCGGCTAGCAGATTCCGGAGGTGGATAGTCTGCTATCAGTCGTTTTAACGCGTCAGTGAAACTCTTAGTTTCGTCCGGGCGAGGATCTCTTTTTTTCCTTTGTTTTGATTCTAAAGTCGGCGGATGTTCCTTTTCGCGTTTTTCGACATATTCGTGGTTCAGGGGTATATCGTTGAACGCCAAGTCGCCCACTACTGAGATGTTAGAAGCAAAGTCTGCCTGAAATTCATAGCATATACGCACGTGAGGCCGAGCTACGCCCGTTGACGAATAAGCCTGGAGTGAACTTCTGTTCCAGCTTTCGAACGTTAGTTCCTCTCTTGGTAACTAATATCAAGAGATGAATTGGAAAACTTACCGTGATTTTCTCTCCTGGGTTCGCAATGGCCGAAGAGCTAAAATTTGCCATAACCTCTCGGCTAGACCGCACCCTTCCCTTCTTTGACACACGAGTCGAAGATTTCTCTCTATTTTTCTTCCTCACTCGCTCTTCCTTGGACTTCATGGTGTCGTAGCGATCTCGTCGAGTTTTCCGTCGGGGTTGCTTCTCGAAAACATGTTTCTTAGTCAACAGATTCTCTGATGTCGTTGATGCTGGTTGTAGGGTATGGCTATGTCGCTCTCCATCGTGCAAGTTCTGGCCATGATCGCTGTCTGGGGCTGGCTGCCGATCTTGATGATAGTATGTCGGATCAGACAGAGGTAATTGTTCTGGACTGTTCTGGATAAATAGATCTGATGATTCGTATAGCCTAGTGTCAGAGTTGGGCTGAATTCGAACAGTCGTGAGCCCATTAGGATGCCACGAGAGATTACTGGAATCAAGGGGACTTTTTGGCTGTAGAATATCTCGAGGAGGATTGTTCTGCATGTGATTTAACCAGGAAGGGATAAAGTCGGCCCGCGAGGAGAGACATTCGTCACTGCCAACAGGCGCTGGAACAGCTGGAATACAGCTCTGGCCTTGGTGGTAGGTCGTACTCATGTTTGTAGAACCACGATGCTTATGACGCGTCATGCTGATGCCAGGTGGCAGCCGACTGGGAACGATTTGATGGCTAGAAAGAATCAAAGCAAGCCACGAGCACGGTGACCGAAAAGAATTTAGCACGGAGAATCAACTGGGCTTGCTATCAAAACCATGGAAGCATTTACGAGTTTGGCTATTGCTGGAAAATATATGTGCCTCCTTTCCTATATACGGCAAGAGCTGTGCTTGCCACGAACCAGCCAGAGGAAGCTGGATACTCGTGTAGGAGGCAGGAAGCAGCTATTCACAGCTGCACATATCAGCCGAGCAGCTGCCATCATTCCCCACCAGCAAACCTTTTTTCCCATCCTTTGGTAGGGAGCATAGTGGCCGTGGCTACCATTGGGCTTGACGCCGCGAGGCATATTCGGGTGTCGCTGAGAACTGGCTGGGAGGTGCATGTATTCATCGACTGCTTGCTGTGCTTGCAATACGTACCTGCTGTACTCTAGGATTGCAGTGGCGCTGCCTAAAGCAGCAAGGTTGTGCCATGCACCGATTTGCTGTCCCATAGGCTCTGGGCATAGAAAAGAGGACCCTCTAAATTAATTAACGTGCGTGCGGCTTGCCCCAAAGCAGCCGAGTGGATAGGTACCCTCCCCCGCTCTGAGAGCTACCAGGCCCATGATTGGCAGCGACTAGCCAGAAGCCAAGATGCTGTACAAGTATAGCAGACGGGACGGCCTTGCCAGATATCATCGTCCGTGGAGATTGCAGGTATGGTGATGCTAGTGAAGCGCAGGAGCAGGGTAGCTGCTGGAGATGGGCTAGTATCTTATGCGAAGAATACCAGCCTCGGAAGCTGACGCCGGCTTTGCTGCTTACAGGCAGTGGTGGCTCGGATCAAGCAACAAAAGAAGCAAGGACGACGTCCCATTCTCCTACTGTACAGTACAAGTAAGTATACGCAAACAACCTTATGCTGCCGTGCTAGTACCAGGTAGGCGGATCTTTGACACAGCCGTTATGAGGTGTGGTAGGACTAATACCACACTAGGGCTGGAGGGCAGCGGTTAATTGCTGGACACAGGCAATGCCTATGCCAGGATAGGTAGTGCCGATATATATGGAGTTATGGTTGCGAATGAGTCTGTGGACACATTGAATGCTCCCTGGGCGATCCTCAGCTAGTAGTAGTAGCAGCTCTCTTACGCGCACTGAGATCTCAAGGCCTGATTACGATTACCAACCGAAACACGAAGCCATATGACCCGCCTTGGAGGCTAGATGGTTGATGGGGTCGAATCCGACTTTCGGGTCGGTGGACTTTTGGGAGTGGAGCCGAGGAAAAGCGCGCGCAAGATCCTGGATTGCCAAAGCTCGGATACCATTCTGCGTCCTTGTACCAAATCGTACTGTATTATTTATGGCCACTATTGCTATAGTAGGTAGCGGCACCAGCATCTGGATCGTACCCAGGTCTGGCGGACAAATCGTTTGTCCAATGCAAGGGAATGCCTGCAAGGCGGCTTACCAATGGCATCAAGCCGTATACGAAGTACGACAAGCAATTGGGCAATAATGCGTGGCGCCTATCAAGAACCCAATGCCGGTCAGGCACCGGGAGTGGACTGGGAAGGCTGTGCTTTGCTCTAGCCAGCTGAAGAGCAAATCAAAGGGACTCTAGCACTCACAAGCCAGAGATCTGGGCAGGCTGCTCGCCCACTTCTGGCCATCCCATTGGGTGCGGCCGGCAGGATTAGATCAGGGGTTCACAACGACAGACTAATTGACGTGGATCCCTCTCGCACCTAGCGGCTAGCTTACGGTCAGGCTGGCTTTGGGGGCTGTTCCTGAACCTTTTCCTGACCAGGGGCCCAGCACGGCTCAAAAACAAGTTATCGGCATCGCAGTGGAACTAGCAGGGTGCTTCACCTCTGGTGAGCTGGACTGCTGTTGGTTGTACCCGCATGTGAGAGGATAGGAAATCTATGACAGTGCCATTGAAATGCAGCTGTCCTGGTGGTTTGCGGGAAGCCAACAAGTACCGACTTATCCAAGAGCCAAGAAGCAAAAATGGGTTGCTCTGTATGATGCCCCTTTGATAAACACCCACCCAACAGACCTTGGGCCTGTAACAGAGACACAGTACTGGGTCATTGTAGTCATCTTGTCTTCGGTACAGGAGCGAGAACTCAGAATACCGCATAGACGGGGGAGATGAAAAGAGTAAGCTGCGGATGCAAGGTCAATCAGTCTTCATCTACTGTAGCTTTGTTTTGCTGCAGGGACGACACCCTTCCCTCAATCTGATATGCTCGCAGAAGTACAACATCTTCACCACAGTAGCTCGACCCCGGCACCGCTTGTTCCTAATCCAAGCCCCGGTCACGCCATATCTTCTTCATACTGTAGCGTGTTATGGATACTCGGTCGGTACAGCAAATGGGATTTGCGCGGAGAATTATCAAAGTACGGAGGGCTCGGTCACTTGAGATCGCATTCCCAATTGCCCGTATGTGATAGAACCAGCACAGGTCCTCCAACGTGCCCGAGACAAACGACGAGGGATGCCACACCAACGGCTGTTCAGCAGCAGGTAGCCGGCCTGGGCCTGCATTGACCTCCCTGGTGGAAATGTAGCATGCACTTTCCTCTCCTTGCGAGGTGCATTGCAGGTATTCATACATAGCAGCGGCAGTAATCATTGGCAAGGCCCTGGAGCCATCACCAACCGATGAGCAGACGCATGAATCCAAGATGATGCAAAGCACTTTCGACCCCAATTGCCCTTGACAGGCAGAACTTGTCGTTCGTCCGGGGCTCCTTCTGGCTCTCATTGAACCGGCTACGTCATTATTAGCCTGACTCTGTTTCCCGCTACGAGGCGGTCACCTGCAGTTATGCGGCGTACGTGGTGGCACTCAAAGTAGCTGCCAAGTAGCAGCAGTTGCAGGAGAAGGGGCGTCTGATAACGCCAGCTGCCAGCATTTGGCGAGCGAGTTGTAGGTACAATGTACTTGGAGCTCGTACCGCAAGGCCCAGCACAGACTCGGGCAGCTGGCAGCAAAGAGCCACGGCTCTCTTTCTCAGTTCCCTTTTTCTCTTCTCCCTTTCACAAACCTCATCACCGCTCCCTTTGCCGTTGCGACCGCGGCTTCACTCTCAAGGCTTCTGCGCGCTCCATCGTCCGCCCGCCTGCTCGAGGCCCGCCGTGATACCCGATAAGCATCCGCACCAGCAAGGCTCCTTCAGAACACACTATCCGACGCGCCGCGGCCATCTTGCCAGTATAGTCCAGCTTCCAGACTGGACCTGGGGCATTTTAATTAGCGCATAGCTTAGGACAGCGGCGTCGATCGCTGAAAGGGCGAGATCAGCAAGCCACAACCACGTTGTGTGGCCCTCTTGTTAGGCCTGGACAAGCCGTTTGAGCACGACGAATCAGCAACAGTGTGCTAGGTAAGGTCGCGCAGTAGTCTGCATTTTTTCTGTCCCTCGCTGCAGCTTCGCATGGTACGCCATTGGCGTGTCTGGCCTCCTTGGTCTATCTCAGTCACCGTCACCGTCACTTCTCCCGCTCGCTCTCTTGCTGTCTCTCCCATACCTTTATCCGTCTTGCCCTCTCTCTCTGCACTCGTAGCTTGAGCTTGGCACTGCCATCATATCCGGAGGACTGGCTTTTGGCGATTCTCCCATCACTTTTGACATCCTAGCACGCATCAACTGCTCCTGGAAACTGGCTATAGCCTTTCCGCCTCTCCAAGCAAGCCTTCTCTTCTTCTCGTACGTTGCTGCCAGCCCATGTCGACCAGACCCCCTTGACGTTGAAGCATGCCACCCTATGCCTGCCTTTAGCCAGGCTAGTGGGGTGTCCTGGAGAGCCACAAACCGCATATTGCTCACACAGTGATACCCCATAGTATCCAAGGCCAGATGACACTATGGGAGGTTTGCTTGGATATTTGACAGCGCCGCCACCAAGTGGTGGCTTTTGCGCGCCATATGCAGCTTAGAGGACTTGACACTGCCCTGCCCAAGCCGTTGATTCTCCCCAGGCAATCTGCTATCACCTGTTGAGACTAGTTCTTGCAATCTTTCCCCCCTCCCCTACCGAGCCAACTATACATCCCGATTCTGCACCCCGCCTGACAATATTCGGTCAGGGTATCGCAACTCCAGACAAGGAACTGTCGCATCCACCAGCATCAGAAAAAACAAGACCTCGTGCATCTCAAAATGTCGAAGCTTTTCATTGGGTGAGTTCTCCCATCCGCGATGTTGTTCCAGTCGCCCGCACGTCGTGGAGACGTTTTGGACATGCTCCTGACTGACAGTTAAAGCGGCCTGGCATGGCACACCGAAGAGGCCACTCTTCGCCAAAAGTTTGAGGAGTTTGGCGCTGTTGAGGAAGCGGTAAGCTTGTCCTTTGCTCATCGAATAACGCCCCGGGGCACAACCCAGCTCGTTTGATTGATTGATTTGGTTCGCCTGGCTTGGTTTTGATTCATGAATGCCAATGGCGTGGATTATTTCAACCGACGACAACCCCCTATCTGTGGCAACTCGTGCGTGGTGCGTCTTTCTAATCTGGTTTTGTCAAGGTTGTTGTGAAGGACCGAGATACCGGCCGCAGCCGTGGCTTTGGCTTCGTGCGATACGTGCAAGAAGCTGATGCCCAAGCTGCTATTGACGCTATGAACAATGTCGAGTATGAATTTTGGCTTCTTCTCTCTGCTTCGTCTCACAAATCCTTTGTGGATTGGATTTGCTTTCTGGTAGAAGAGTTCTGATCTTTTTGTTAGGTTTGACGGGCGAACCATTCGTGTTGATAAGGCATCCGATAATGGCCCTCGAGGCGGAGGAGGATTTGGCAATCGTGGCAACGGCCAATCTTACGGAGGCCGAGGTGGCTACGGAGCACCGGCATACGGAGGAGCACCTGGCTATGGCGCTCCAAACATGTATCAACAGGCTCCGTATGGTCGTGGGTACCAACAGCAGCAGCCTCAATATGGCATGCCTCCGCAAGGTATTTCAAAGCCAGATTGTTGCTATTGTCGGCGCGTGCTCGCTCATGCTTGGAAAAGTGCTAACCCCTGCTTCTAGGATACGGTGTCCCAGCCCAGTATCCCAACTACCAGAATGGTCCTCAGCAGCCGCCGCAGCCTCCTCAGCAAGGAGGCGGAGCCTACTAAGCAAATCCAATAAAGCCGCCGCCGCATTCTCATCCAGAGTCCTCCCGTTTCCCCACAGAGAGAGGTCTAGAGCCCTTCCAGAGCTGTAACATCGAAGCATAAAGACCAAGGCGTGTTCTTTTGGTTTCGCGAGCGGCATATTCCAGAAGTCCGAAGATGGAACATCTATGAGCGTTCAAGATATACCCCGGATTTGTGTTTCTTTCGATACTTGGATGAGCTGTTCGGCTTTTCATTAAGATTGCTCGACGAGAAGTTATTTGGAGAGGGAGGATTTCTTTTTTCATCTTTTTTTCACTGCCGATATTTTACTTGTCCCATCTTGTGCTTTTGGAATCCGAAAAGAAAGGGGAGTGGTTCTTGCACCATCGTTTGTGGGAGGGACTGGCCGGGATCACGGACTAAGACAAGGGAGAGATTTCTGGTAGAGATATCTGGGGGGTTATTGGAAGCATATATGTGGGCCACCTTTCTATAGAGAGGTCAATTATAAGATTGGCGACGTTAATGACGGGCTATGATTGATATCTAAGTCGGCCAGTGTGACGGATGGGGCGGCATTTCTATCATTAGGGGTGAGAGGAAAAAAAGCATATGCGTTCAGTGCGACTCGAAGTTTTCGTCCTTGTGTTTTGTGTGCCTTGCTTATGCAACAACTTTTTCGATCTCCTCCGCTTCTTGTGTGCTGGCCTCTTGTTTGAAATTGGAAACGGGGTCCAGATCTTGGGGAGCCTTTATGGATCCATTGGCAGCGAGTTCAAGGGCCCTCACACGGCGTGCAAGATCACTAACGTGGACATCTTCACTCTCCGGACAGAGCTCAGCCAGAGCTGTGTCGAGCCCGAAGAGATAGTCCTTGTTCAGCCCGCTAGGACCACGGCTGCGCAAGATGTGCTCGGCAAGCTTTTGGGGATCTTGAGGGCCGACAAATTGCTCGTTATCAGGCGTGCCAATGTAGACGAGCGTCCGGATAGGAGAAGAGCCGTCGGCAGGATGGAAAGGCGTATAGTGGATGGAGTAGCCGTTGATCTCTCGAATGTCAAGATACTCCTTCACTTCTGCGACGTGGTCGGCGTCGATTCGGTAGGCCACACCCCATACCTTATCGGGAGCAGAGTCGTGGTGATCGGTGAGTTGTTCCCAATGAGACCGTTCAATGAGAGTAACTACTCGCCCGGGAGCTTCTGGAGTTCCTCGATGGTCTTCGCTAAGGCAGCAGCAGTTGGGTTAGCATTGGAACATTTCCTTTAGGACTCGACCACTCTTTTCAGGAAGTCCACAGGTGCGCCATACCTGGCCTGTCTCTGAGTTAGCTATCCGCAGTATTGGAAAAATGAGAGATGAGCGAGCGATAGCGCGAGACTGTCACTAGACGGTTCAAAGATACATACCTGCCAGAAACGCCTAACATAGCCAGTTATCCAACCCGGCACTCTTCTATCTACCCGGTGTCAGTATTTTTAGGAGACTTTTTAGAGTAACGTCTCATATATATGGGTAGAAAGATATATATATACCGAACCAGGGAGGGGGCTTCCATATGAGGCTCCTACAGGTTGGGCACCCATCAGCTATCAGATACATGAAACAGGCAGAGGAGCAGGGCATCAGCTGAGGAGTAAGCCAAGCAGCGCAGTGCCACGTCTCAGAAAGATTCTTACCCATATCCACAAATCCAGAATTCCGACGAATTGTCGGATGCAGTCATTGTAACGGGTCACGCGAGATATTCTATCTTACCCGTTGCTCCGGGCCGACTAAATAGATGCAACTATCGAAGGAATTTGAGCGATAAAGTTACAAAATAAGGACAACAAATAACAGTCTACTACAAGTCTGGTCAATGGGAAGTTTGGCGGCAAGACTTGAAGAGAGGGAATAGCCTCATAGAGAAGCGTTCTCGTTGGAAAACACAATGAGTCCAAGTTCAGTGAAGTAAGAAAATGAGATGCTATATCGACAGTGGACATGATTACAAAGCAAGCCTATCGAGTCATGACAAAATGACATATTAAGAGCTCAGCAAGACACCATTTGCAGCAACCTCGCTCGGTTTTATTTGAGCGAATGGAGATCTACGAATGGATTCAGCCGCCAGCTCAGGTAGGTGGGCAAGGCTACATATGTTCACAATGCAAGTTGAACCTCGTGACCTGGACGACGCGAAGAGCGAACAGAGAGAGAACTACCTACTGTGGAGTCTGTTTGTCATTGGATTATGCGCAGAGCCTCAGTAACTCCCCGTGGGCGGCTGTGCAAGTTTCCAATGGATGGATCAACAGTGTTCCATGCTGTTTTGATCTTGTTCACCCATACATGGATTTCAGCTTCCAGCGCCTTTCTTGACCGCTTGGCGGAGAACCAGCAACTCAGATCAGACCAGAGAAGTTTAGGCTTTGGCTGACAGCTTGGGCGTCTTTGAGCCAGGATGGGCATAACTGTCGATCGACATGAGAATACGGACAGCCAAGATTCTATTTTAGTCTCGTCTCCTGTGCTCACGGAATGACGAGCCCTGAATGGACGGCTGGAAGGATTGAATTGAGGCGCGGCACTCCAGGGCACCCCGCCCCAGAAGCTGGCGCAAGGCACAGGGATCGTCTTGCTTGCAGACAACCTAAAGTGAGGACCGTGTCTGTGTGACGGATTTGCAGCTGAGCTGAGGTCCGGTTAACGCGTATTACTCCCGACTACGGCACGGAGTATCGCATCGCCGGCAGTGCTCGACCAGGTTTACGTTTCCGACTACGCATCTTCTGACTACGCATCTGGGGCTGCTGGATGCATCATCCTCACGCCAAGGCACAATACGGCGATACGCTTTTTCCTCGCCCTTTTCCAGCTGCAATCTTAAAGACCACGTCGGCGCGTCGCTTGGAATTGACACAGCTCGGCTCCTGTTTCCCAACGCTTGCAGGCTTGTAGCCCCTATTCTGCGTCTTAATCTTGGCTTATATAGACCGTCATTTCAAGCCTTTCTGCCCCGCGCAGGGCATCTGCAGCTACACCTTTGCCTGCCTCTCTTCTCCCCCACCTTGGGCTGTTACTCGATTCAAGAAGCTTCTACGAACAACGAGCGCGCATCGTCCGCCGCATAGAAATCCCTCGCTGCGCTCCGTATACTTCATTCACCGTTTCTCTTCATTTTTCGCATAACAAAAATGGCCTATCAGCGCCCTTACGACGAAGACGCTCTGCCCAGGTATGCCCCGTCGCGCCCCATGATGCGAAACACCAGCCCACTAACTCAGCCGCCAACAACAGATTTGCCGAGCCTGAGCCCGTGAGTTTTGCTTGAACCGACCGTCTCGAGATGAAATGGCGACAGTAGTTAACCAGCTATTGTGTGCGTCCTTACAGAAACCAGGTTCGGTGCCACCACAGCATGGCGGACCGCCTCCACAGGCGAGATACGATCGACCGCCGCAACAGCAGCAATACCACCAGCCGCAGTACCAGCAGCAGCATCCTCCGCACCAGCAGCCTTCTCCCAGACACGACCAGCATTACGACCACCCCCCGCGGCAGAATACAGGCGGACATGGCCCAGGACAGCCGAGATACGACCAGCCACCGCAGCAGCGACACGACAATAGATCACCGATTCATCACCCAGGGGCGTATGGCCTAGGATCACCGCCTCCTGTTGCCGCTGCCCAGCGCCCAGCAGCTCAACATCACCCTGCTGCGGCCTCCAGGCCACCGCCATCTCCCGCCAACGATGGGAGCGGAGCTGACCCGACGCTGCTGCCCCTGTTCAGGGCTGTTGACAAAGATGGTGAGGAGGCACACAATCCTACAAGATGTCGATGTGGCTTTGTAGCAAGGAGCTGAACGATTGACTAACACTGTATCTCTCCAAATAAAGGAACTGGACACTTATCCGAAAAGGAACTCTCAGCAGCCCTGGTCAACGGCGACTGGACCGCATTCGACATCCAAACCGTCCGCATGATGATCCGCATGTTCGACTCAGACCGCAGCGGCACCATCGGCTTCAACGAGTTCTGCGGCCTCTGGTCCTTCCTCGCCTCGTGGCGCACTCTCTTCGACCGCTTCGACGTTGATCGCAGCGGCAGCATCTCCCTGCCAGAGTTCACCGACGCCCTCATCGCCTTCCGCTACCGCCTCAGCCCGCAGTTTGTCGAACTGCTGTTCCGCACGTACGACAAGCGCAACGAGGGTGTCATGAGCTTTGACCTGTTTGTTCAGGCGTGTATCTCGCTGAAGCGCATGACGGATGTGTTTAAGAGGTATGATGATGATCGGGATGGATATATTACGTTGAGCTTTGAGGATTTCCTGAGTGAGATTTTGAAGCAGATGAAATAAAGGAGAATGAACCCCGTTGATCTTATAGGGGGGTCAATTCTGTGGAAAGCATGGGAAATTAGAAAAAGAGAGAGACTTTCAAAGAGGGCAAGAAAGGACTGGATTTGCTTTTTATTACATCTTATACCTCATATATTGGCGGATAGGTCTGCGGAAGTAGACAATGTCCAATGTCGACGTGGCTTGACAGATGGATGCGCGATACCCTGGGAGATGTGAGGGCATCTCATTTGTGTGGGCGAGACGATTTCGGTTTAAGCTATTATAATCATCATTGACTTGACTATTACTGAGCAATAAAGTGACTCTACACCTTGAACCGTGATATTGATGTTATTTCACTAGATTCAAAACACGTATTACTGACATTCTCCTCATTACTATCCCCTAGTTGATCTCTCAGGGCCGTCAGCTGATGGGCAGCGCAGTACATGACGACATCTGGATGGCGACACTCGCGGAGAAACGGGAGCAAAGCCCCAATCTGATTGGATATCGGATTATTGGGAAAAGGCCATGTTGGTTGGTTTATACACCGAGAGAGCCTCGTTTCCAAAAGCGGGGTTGTCTCCTGTGGCTCATGAAGTTGATGACTGCTCTGTGCTATATATCGAAAAGCTTTATTCTATCTAGAACGTAGCATCAGCATTTCCGCCTGTACCCGGGACACATTTATAGAAAGGCCAAAAACAAAGAAGAAAAGAAAGATGTCAACATATCCTAAAGCCAATGTCTTGTGGTGGGACAATACCTCAATGTACATCTGCTGCCCCTATTGCAGCGACATCCATCGTCATGGCTTTGTTGGATATCAGGAACAAAATCGCGTATCGCACTGCGGGCCGCGGGAATCATACATGAGTTGCTCCCCCCTCAGCGCTCATGACCAGGTTGAACAATACTGGGAACCGCACTGTGTATTACAGGAATACAAGATTTGCTTCCCCCTCAATGGTCAATACGAGATTGACAAGAGCAGGGGACTCTTTGTCCTTGCAGGAGCCGATCCGTCTGAATATTTCGCGCGCTTCGATCCCGTTGAGAAGGTGGATGTGAGTGGTAAACGCAAATGGTACGAAGCAGAAGAAGAAGCTGAACCGGATGAATATCACGACGACTGGATTCTGCAGCTTTCGCACGCTCTTGATCCGGAACGGCCTGTTAACAGGCTTCAAGCTGCGGAATCAAACATGATCAAGGGTAGAATTAAGAAATTGCGGGCCTACCTTGAGACTTCGACTGAAAAAGACATATTTCTTCATGGCGTGAAGGCTTCACAGTGGCGCTCACATGATATAGATGAATGGGATGCCTACCAAGACCTCATCTGTAGCGGCAAAGCTAAGGACGTGGAGCCGCCTGAGGAGAAGATTATCAATATCTCGACATTTGGTGAAACGGCTCTGCACCTGGCTGCCTGCAAGATGTACCCAGATATTGTCAAGCTGCTACTTGACTATGGTGCTGATCCGAACGCAAGATCGGTAGATGGACGAACTCCATTGATGGAAGCAGCCCTTTGGGGGCGCCTGGATAACGTTAAAACCCTTGTCGATCACGGAGCAGACAAGTCTATACAATGCGTGCGAAGGGGGGCGAAGCTTCGAGCCATTGATTTTGCAAAGTACACCAAGGACAATCGTAAAGAGCGATATGAGCGATCCGGTGAGAAGCACCAGGTCTATAAGGAAGCCACCTACGAAAGAGACGAAGAACGAGAGGCCATTGTCCGAGAGCTGAGCGACGAAGCCGCAGATGATAGCCATTGTGCCCAGGCTTCCGGACTACGTCTTCAGGGCTTTACTTGCACGTCTGTGATGGACGGAGGGGCCATCATCTCTATGCTCGCCAACTTTGATGTTCCTAGCAGATACAAGACGATAGGAATCCTCTTCCGAGGTGACTTTAATGGCACGTCGGCGTTTCCACCTGTGGCTGCCATGAGTGGATTTTCACATGAGCAGAGCTCGGATCTCAATGTCCAAATAGCAGGCAGAAAATGGACGGATGAGGTGTTTTACTTGTGCCAGATCACTGGACATGGACTGCCTCGGCATGAGTATGATCGGGGTAAACCTGGGCGGTTTTACGCTTGCCATGCAGAGAAGCAGTTGATTGCATATCTAGTGAGTAGACATGTGTTTCTTCCGTGTGGTGCTGACGGTGAGGACTTTGGAATGTCGAGGCTGAGTCTGGATGACGAAGATCTTCAGATCAAGGTTAGGGAGCTTGCGGATATTGAACCCCCACAGAGACTGAGAAACGCAGTCATCTTGGTGTCTCGTAGGATGTGCAGTGACTGCTGTGCTTTTGTTGATGTTGTTAATAAAGCGTTGGGGCTAAACATAGAGGTGCGAGGCGCGAACTTGTGCACTTGAAGGTGAGTATGAAGGTCTGTATGAATCATTAGGAAAAAGTATATGCTTTCTTGTATAGGTTTTGGCTGCTGTTCTTCATGTGTCTTTGGAGTCCATTTGATTTCTATCTACTATCATTTGTTGTCTGAAGCCGGTCAAAGATGTGTGCTGCTAAAGTGTTTTCGCTGCTCGAGCAGTTCTATACGAGTTACTAATGTAGCCAAGGTTATGCTCTTCTTCTCTGAACCTAGTAGCAAGAAGAGGTGTCACTAGCGCTTCGTATATAGCAAGTATAGAACTAAGATAGAATCATTCATTTAAGGTGCTTATACGGATATACTGAATCGCTTCATTACGCCTCTGCTTCGGCTCGGGCTCGAGGATCTGGTAAAAACGGGGAGCAGGCTTTCATCTTGACTCGTGTCAACCGATTTTCGAGGGTTGTTGGACTTCTAGAAACCTGGTCAAGATTCCAAGCTCGACATGTCACGACTGCAAAGCTTGACGCCTCTTTTTGCGAGCCACTCTGGTTCCCTTGTCACGACGAGACCAGTCGTTTCGGTATCTTTCCGAGTATAGAGCGAAAAACTCGCACCCCCGGCAGCTGATTCAGATACATCACGGCAGTGTAGGCAGCCATCTAGAAGCATTGATGTTATAGATTGAGTCAAAATAGATGACGATAGAGCATAAGAAAAAAGTCTGCTATTGTGCCAGCCATTGTGCTGCTATTGTTGAAACAGCCAGACAACGGCTTTTCTGGTCCTGGGGCTAACGAGGGCGTCAAAGCTTTCCATCCCAAAAAGCTATGCCCACGCCCAGATAAACAGGTGGGCGCATCAAGCTCCATAATTCTTTTCCACAATCTCAACTAGTCTACGAAGAGCAACAATGGGGGGGAAACGGAAACAGAACCTGTCGAACGCTTCTACTTTTTTTTTTCTTCCTTTTTTTTCCTTTGGCACGATAAAGAAAGACCCCTGTCGCCGAGATCCATTCTGCACGTCAGTTTTCGGCCGGAGGACCCCCCCAGCGGCAACAGGGAAGACGCAGAAAAAATGATGTCAGTCGTCCGAGTTACTAGCTAGTCAGTGGCGCTTAAAAGCTTTTCATTGCTCTTCTTCATGCGAAAACGGCAGCCGGAAAAAAAAAAGAGGTTTGTCGTCTCTGTGTCGTATTATTAAACCGCCACCGCCTTTGGGCGAAACTAACACGCACTTACTCGCAGCTCGTTTGCTGGCAGCTTAGTAGCAGCTGTTAGCCTCGTTTTACGGCTACAGCTTGCTATTCAGACGCTGCCGGCCAGCCCGACGAGGTAGTCACCTCGATAATTAGACTGCAGCAACACACTCGTTGGTACTGTACTGCAGCAGTTGCGCAGCAGCCAGCTTCTTCAGGTCTGTAATAGCTACTGTACCTGTACAGAGGCAGAGGCTGGCTGACGCCCCTCTCCGGACCCGCCGGCGTCCAGAAGCGGCATCAGCTTCTCCAGGTCTTGGACGAGCTGCTTCCATGTCGTATGCAGAGCGCAGAGCGCAGAGTACATACAGTACACATACTGTAGCAGCTATACAGTAGAAGCAGCAGAACGACTCAAGCTTGTACTTATCTGGTACTGCAGGCCTGGAGGTACATTCTAGCCGCGAGCGTCCCCTGCTCCCAAAGCCAAGCTTGCTTATCACTCTCTTGCCTAAGTGGGAAAGATTTGCTTGGCCAGGCAGCTTGCAAAGGGTCTATAGGGTCTATAACTTTTTATCCTGGCGAAGAGCAGAGCCGGGGATCGTCATTCATTCGCTCAACAACTCATGCACTCGTCCATTCAGCCAACTTGGAACATTTTCGCAGTAACTTCAGTCATTTTTGATCTTCTTACTTTTCCCTCTCGGGAGCTCCGCTGCCATCTAGCCGCCACCCACGCCGCCTCTATAAAAAGCCCCGTATTGCATTGACTGCATCCCGTTAGGCTGCATCTGTGCTAGCAGGTATCAGACACCACAGCTCCCAGAAAGCTCCCCTTGTTTCGCACCCTCTGCCCCGCCTGCCGGTCAGCTGAAACCCCGTCCAGTGAGCAAAGCTACGGTTTCAATCGTTGCGCTGCATTTCGTTGCATTTTCGTTTTTGTACAGGTAGCGCGAATGGGCTGCCCCGCCCAAAGGGTCCCGAGTCAGTGCGTGCTCTGCCTACTGTAGGAAAGATGCTCCAGCTTCCATTGATCCATGGTTTGCCACGAGGGCGGGTTGATGTTGTGCTTTTCCCCTTCCATGGCGCTTGGGAAAGACGCCGGCGCCGGGACTTGGGACTTGTTGAGCCGTCTTCAGAACTTGATGACGAGTACAAAGTACAGTTGAAGCTCGAGTATCACTGGCAGTCATTGACAGGATACCTAACCAGAACAGAGAGACGATGAAAGCGAAAAGCCTGGTGATAATCAATGATATACTGTCTGCTCAGTGATATCGAGTCCTGCATGGAGCATCGAATTGACCCATGCGCAGCAGCAGCTCCTCCAGTGCCCTGCGAGCTCGCCCATTGGCCGCTTCCCCCATCACAAGGGACCTTCTGGCGCTGCCGCATGTGCATATGCCAGGGAGCTTTAGCAGCGTTAGTCCCCCGTAGGATGCCCCAAGTACCCGCTACCTGCCGCTACATGCCTGGCCCGGTGCCTTGATTGATTCAAGCTCTGCTGCCCACACACATTCCTTCTCGCTTCACACGCCTCTGACTCTCTGCGTCTCTCTCAGAAGCTGCTCCGGCTGGCAAGGCAGGGCGTCCCCCAGTAAAAAAACGACAGCCCCTCCAGCGCTCCCTCCAGTGACACTCTGCAGACCTAATCATTTCATCCGGCCGGAGGGTACCTCGCCGTGCTAGGCGGGGTGGGTGGCACGCCGGGTACCTCTTGTCCAGGACGCCTACAGTACACTGTACGTTCCAGTCCCCTCCCCAGCTGCAAACCTTGGCCGAGCTCGTAGCCTGTCTCATCTTCCCATCTCTTCTACTCATCTCATCCCACCTCCATCTCTGCTTCGCCACTATCTAGACCAGACCAGACCTTATACCGTGTACCAGTAGCACTCAACCCGCAGTCGTATTTAAGCTGCATCGTTGCATCTCATCTTTCTCTCAGACCTGCCATACACCCTCTTCCGTGTCCAGTGCCTCGGCTACCCGCCGCCCACGTTTTGTCGCTTTCGGAAAGCCCACTTTGGCCTGCATATGGGTACATTGTCGACGACTTTGCTTCGAGAACAGCTTCAAGCTCGCAGCTAACCTTTTGGCTGAACTTTTGGCTGCGGCGCAGTAGCTACCTGGCTGAGTTCTAGACAACCGTCGGCGGATACCTGAACTGAGCTTAACGAGCTCGAACCGGGAGGACAAAGAAGTGCTCTTTTTATCTCTCTCTTCTTTTGCTCTCAACTCTCAGCTCTCATCATCATTCTTCTTCCTTCCTACGCTCTTGTCCTTTGCTCTAGTCTCAATAGACGCGGGCATCCGACATAGGCGGCGAATCGAGCCTCAGTACTTCCTGCTCGCAGTCGCCGCCGTCGAATGAGTCGACTCGACTAGCTGATCGCTCTCATCGACCCAATTGAACAAGCTGCCAAGCTTCATTGCCAGGATTTCGTCCGCTGCTTCTACCCGAGGTCCAAAATGCCTCCCAGATCTACCTTGACCTCGTCCTTTTCCATCACAGACTCTCAGAATGAGGTCGTCTGCCCGCTCCGAAACCAGGACGGCTCAAGCTGTCGCAAACGATGCATCGGCGTGAGTACTGCTTGATTGTCTTGCTCCGTGTCCTGTCCTTCTCAGCCTGCTTTTGCTTCAGCCCTCGTATTCCAGTTTTGCCTTGCTTCAGCCACTGCCGGCCTCACCCGATTCCTCTCAATGCTGTCATGACAATCTGTTATAAAACATGCCTCTAATGCCGTGCTTCGCCTTGTAGGAAAAGAGATACCGCTCCATGCAGGAGCATATTCGCCGTGCGCATCCTGAGCATTACATCTCCAAGCTTCCCGCTACTGAGGAAAGCTTCCTGCTCATGATCAACACCCCGGCGCAAGACCGCCGCCAGGATGGAACGCCAACCACAGCTGCTTCCAGTTGGTTTCACTGACCTTGGTTTTCTTGTATGTGTTGCTAATGAGGTGCTCAAGGTTTCCACGATCGCCATTCATTCTATAGGGACGAATCGAGCAATCCCGGGACGCCGCGGCACGATGACCAGCCACTGCCCGGCACCAGCTCCATTCTCGGAACCGCCAGTGCAGCAGCCGCCCTGGCTGATTTAAAGAGGGAATCCGACATGGAGGTAAGTGACCAATGTCGCAGAATGCATGCATCACATGTGCCCCGCGGCCGCCTTCTATCGATAGAAGGATGTCTTATCGGATGTAACTATCGATAATGGCATGCCCCACGATGTTTTGAAAGAGGGCCGCTAACATGGAGCTTCTCATTGACGTCAGGGATACTATTCCGACCTGGATGCTCGGCGCAGGCCTAGAAAGTCCATTGAGCTGCCGCCCATCAACTTCAACAACATCACGAGCGATCCGTTTTCCAACAGGCCTCGCGAGATTCTGCCTTCTCTTCTAAACGTCTCACCACCCGGGCGATCCTCCACTTTACCTCCACTCCAGCGCCCATTGGGACCTAGCCGGCCTCGCAAGCAGTCAATATCCAAGAAGAATCGCGAATCCCAACACAAGAAGAAGCCCTCGCGCGGCACTGCGGCAGATTGGCTACGGCGCATCCAAAACGAAAGCATCGGGCCCGGCGGCCGCGATCGAAAGGCTCTCTCTGCCGAGCCTTCCGCCGACTATGGCAAACGCTGGGAGGATCTGATTGATGCGGCGGACCAGGCCGCATCTGCAGCGGGCGACGTCAACGAGGACCGCACTCCGGTAAGCCGCGCTGACGAGGAGAAATGGGCTCATCTATGTTCCACAGCAGTATCTCTAACTCTGTCAAAGATGCCTCAATCCCCCGTCTCAATCCACCGGGCATCTCTGCCTCCCTTCAGCCACCCCCAGTTCCACTCCGCCGCCAGCAACAATTACCAAGCTTCTCCCTTGCAGCAAGCCCTGACACCGCCCTCGTACAATCAGGATGTGATTGAGCCTTTCCCGTCCGTTGAGAGCGGCGAGAGCGGAGAAAACTTCCACATTGGGTCTCGCGGGTTGCCCGACTCTTCTCCGACCTACAACTCGCAAAACATCCAAATCTACTGTGCTGCCTGTCATGGCATTTCTCTGCTCAAGAATTCGTATGCCTGTACGGAATGCATCTGCGGACTGTGCTCGAGCTGCGTCGAGGTTCTCATGTCTGAGCATGGAGCCCGGAGAAAGTGCCCTCGCTGTGCCACAATTGGCGGCCGCTACAAGCCCTTCCAATTGGACATTAGATGAATGGCTGTCGACGATACACTGAGCGGTATCTTTTTTGTTTTTCCTTCCCTTACAACTTTTGTCTATGTGTGAAAAAAAATGCCATGTTCCGTACTTTTATATATTCGGCGCCAATATAAACCAGCTGCTGGGAGGCGCATTAGGAAGCATGATACAGGTCTTTTATTCTTCTTTCGACTGTGGAGCGAGCTCCTCCGTCGCCCCTTTACCATTTTCTTTGGAAGGTCAAACAATTCCTCTATCGGTCTTTTCCGGAGTTCTCTTTTCAATGGGCTCTTTCTGGTTTTCCACCATTGCTGGTTATAGGTTCCATTCACTTTGTTGTTCATGGGTACACTCAGGGTTCTAAATTGTTTCTCGGTGTTTGAATTGGGTTTTGTTTCGGTCCACTCGATTTTTGCTAGTTGGATTCGACGGGAGGTGTTCTCTTGAGTAACTTGGCTGGGACAGTTGCACGCTTTTTGCTTTTTCTGAATGTGCTTTACACGAACTTTCTCTTGTTGGACATGGGAGGGCTCGGGTTAATGATTTAAACGATGGAATCGGTCATTTTGGATGAGAAATGGGGTTGCTTTTGTTTTACAAGACAGTCAATAAATGATTATGCTTACATGCTATCTGAGATTGATCGCGATTATCTTTTGTTTCCAAATTGATTATTTATTTATATACGCTTAACTTTTGTATCGTCCTGTTTGTTCTTTTATTGTCGTCGATATGAAGTCCCATTGCCCTTTTAACTCGTAATTTACCAATAATGCTAATTAATTTATTTCCACTGTTGTCGCAAAAAAAGCAGATAGAGCCATGTTCCATATCATTTGCCCTTTTTATCCTTCTCCTGCTGCAAAAGTATGTTTCTCACAGCAGCTCTCTGGTTCCGACTACCACCAAGCTTGGGCCCCTTGAGCACATCCGCCGACTGCTGCTGCTGCTTCTGCTGCTGCGTCGGCGCGGGGCGCTTCCTCTTGCGGCGTAGGGCCATTTCGTCGTAGTATTGCTGCCGGAACTGTTCGGCGAGGCGGTCGTCGGCAGAGGGGTCTGCGCCGGGGACGTATGAGGAGGAGGATGCGGCGGCTGCTGTTGATGTGGAATGTGTTTTGGGGACTTCGTAGACGTCGACTGTTGAGCATGAATGATTAGTTATGGGTCTGTTTGGTTCTTTATGCGATAAGGAAAAGGGGGGAATGTGTGCTTACGTCGGTTCTCGGAGAGGAATTGCTCGACCATGGCGTCGCGCGCAATGTCTTCGCTGTTGCGGCGGTTGCGCCCTCGGCGCTGAGGAGCGGGTTTGGCAGTGTCTGTGTCGACGCGACGTCGCTTGCTGTCGTTGTTCATCTGGTGATTGCCGAGGTTCGTGGTGTCGACTTCGACGAGCTTGCCGTGGCGGGTGGGTTGGTCGCGGTACTTGTCCGCTGGGTTCCCATTGTCGTTTTGGAATTGCGCGGAAGCATGAGGGGGGAGCTGTGAGTTTGATGATGATGCGCCGCCTTGGGGGACGTTGGCGGCGTTGCGACTAGCTAAACGGGACTCTATGTATGCATTCCTGAATGATTAGTCCGGCGCTCCGAAAGGGAATAGCAGGATGAATTAAATTGGCATTGATTTCTCGGAAGGGAGAGAAAATAGAGATAGCCTGGGAGACGTACATGTGTGAGTCGTCCAAAATGGTAAGGAGGCCCGTCTGGTGCATAAAGCGGTTCGTGATGCCGCCCACGATGCGATCGTGCGCCGCTACAGCTTCTTTATCCTGATCTCTCAGCACCAGAGCGTTTTCCGAGTCGTCTTCTTCGCCGGGCGCTGATCGGCCTTCTGATCGGAATCCCACGCCTCCTCGACGAGATGCTGCGCGGCGAGCGTTGCGAAGGCGCAGAGCTGCCGCGACGGCTGATTCTTCCGTTGTGTGGTTGTTGTCGTCATCATCTTCTTCTCTCTCGGAATCTCCTTGTGTAGGGTTCTGTGCCTCTGCGCCTGTATCGTCTGCATCTCGCCCAGTATCGACGTTCAAGTTCGACGACGGCACTACTGGCGTGGGCGAAATCGCCGTCGCTACACCGTCGTTTCCATGTTCTGCTTCTTCTGCTGCTGGCGCTTTTTGTCGGTAGGCCTTTCTCTTTTTGCCGGCGCGGAAGCGGATTGGTTCTATGGTCGGGCTGGTCTGGGTTTGTTCTGTCTGTATATCGTCCATGATCCTTTGGTGTTTGTTTAGTTGTAGATGAGAGAATGCTTTGGCAGAGCAATGGGGCTAAGGCGGATGTGTGACTTCATACTTTGTGTTTTTGAGATCCGGAGATTAGCCGAGGCTGGTGACGACTTGGAACGTCAAGTTGAAGATGAAGTCAGTACTGCCATTTATCATATAAACCAGGGTCATTCTTTAAGATGGTAAAAAGAGTAAGGCTATTCTTATATATCACATAGAAAGCCAATTGCTTATGCAGATTACAGATATACTTCGAAGTGCAAGGATTCGTCCAAGGTAATGTTCAACCAGACTCCTCCACTTCGCTCCGCTAACATCGCCGTCTTCAGGCGTGGGCTTCCGGTATACGAGATTCAACCTCCAGCACATCATCTCTCGATATTAACCAATTACAGCTACTTTACAAGAAAGAAAGCCCATCAGTATGGCGTAACCGGGTGGTGCCGCAACACCGCAGACGATACGGTAGGACGCTGTCCCTTGTCAAAGACTCATCCATAGCTCATGCTCCTACGCAGGTCGAGGGTGAAGCTCAGGGAGATGACGACGTCATGCAAAAGTTCTTCAAGGACATTGGCCAAGGCCCGAGCCATTCCAAGGTCGAAAAGGTTGTCACAGAAGACCGTGATGTGGTGGAAGGAGATGATACCTTTGAGGTCCGGCGATAAAATAGAGTACTCTGTAGCTAACCCATGCCTTGAAACCCGCGCCATGCCTGACAATTATACATACATATATATACAGAAGAACAACCAAATGAAGCAACTATTTCCAATGTCTAGAATCCTCTCCCTCGCCTCTTTATTACGGGCTTCCTTACTGCGCCTTGAGTGATAATCTTCTTCTCGTCTGTATTGTCTGCTTTTTTCTTATGCGACCGTTCTGTCGCTGCCTGTTTGCGCTCTTCATCAAGACGTTTGTCCTCTGCCATCTTCGCTTCAATTTCCATCTTGCGGTTGAATTCCGTCTCAGTGATTCGCTTGTCTCGTATGGAGTAGCCCTTCTCTTTGATGGAGTAAAAGACGCCGCCGAGGTCTGCCAACCAATGAGGGTCAACAGCTGTAACGGTCGAGACGTATACCTTGGATGTGAGGATGAGCTCGTGGTATACAATGTAATCTGGCGGATGACCAGCATACAAGGCACTTGTAGGGTGCAGCTGGACTCCGAGATTCGTCCGCAAGTTGGTGTACTCGCCAGATCCCTTATATTTGGCGGCTTGGTGGTAGTATCCGGAGCAGATACACTTGCGAATGATGTCCCAGTCCATGCCACAGCTAATCAAGTTCATCTTTTGCATCTTCACAATGTCTAGGAGCTGTTCCCGGATTTCTTTGGCTCGCCGCAGAGATTTAGAGTGAAGAAAATGCTTGATGCACCATCCATCTGAGAATCCATTGGCTTTCCATGCTGAGTAAACCTGGAGATAGGTAAGATGATCAGACTCATGGACCCAGAATTTCTCTCGTTGTGTGTCGGCCTCGTCTTGCCGCTCTTTGGGCCTGTAAAAGACGTTTGGGACCGACAGCATGGACACGATTGTTATCATTTCCTCGCTGCAGCCATACTCTTCCGCTGTAATCAGTAGCTTAGCCAAGGAAGGGTCCATGGGAAAGGCGCTCATCTTGCGTCCCAGCTCTGTCAGCTCCCCCAAGTTGTCCAGAGCTCCTAGAGCCCATAGGTCGAACATGGATGTGGAAATGGTATCCTGTGGAGGTGGATCCATAAAGTCAAAGTCCAACAAATCTTTGACTCCAAGCGACTTCAGCATTAGCACGGTATTGGCCAAGTTGGTCCGCTGAATTTCAGGAATAGTCTGAATGTACAACTCCTCCTTGAATGCCTTTTCCGTATAGAGTCGGAATGCTTTTCCCGGCCCCGTTCGACCAGCACGACCTGAACGCTGCCCTGCGTTGGCCTGGGAAATCGGTGTGATTTGAAGCGTGTCCATACCCATCTTGGGATTGTACACCTTCATCTTCGAGTAACCCGCGTCAACCACATACTTGATACCATCTACAGTCAAACTCGTCTCGGCAATATTGGTGGCAACGATGCATTTGCGAACTCCAGGGGCTGCCCTGTCGAAAATCTTGGCCTGTAGGTCTGCTGGCATTTGACTGTAAATCGGTAGTATGCTCAGCTTTGGAGGGTCATTAAGAGCATCTAAGCGCTTCTGTACCAGCTCGCAAGTGATTTCAATGTCTTCCTGACCTGTCATGAAAACGAGAATATCACCGGCGTCCATTGATACGTGAATGGCCAACACCTGCTGAACGGCCTGATCCACATAGTCCTCGACTGGAGACCGATGAAACATGACATCGACAGGAAAAGTTCGTCCTGGGATCGTAAACTCAGGAGCACCACCAAAGAAGTCGGAAAATTTCTTTGCGTTCATTGTTGCAGACGTGACAATGAGCTTTAGATCACGCCGCCTTTGCAATATCTTCTTGAACAGCCCCATCAAGATGTCCGTATTCAGCGCTCGCTCGTGCGCTTCGTCCATGATGATGCAAGAATACCTGTCCAAGTCGGGTTCGTTGAGCGACTCACGAAGCAAAATACCGTCTGTCAAGTACTTGATGGTGGTGTCATTGCTGGTACAGTCCTCGAATCGAATTGCGTATCCAACGGTGCTTCCCAATTTGACTTCCATCTCTTCAGCCACACGCTTCGCAACACTCATGGCGGCGACACGACGTGGTTGCGTGCATCCAATCATACCAGTCTTCCCGTAGCCATCTTCATACAAGAACTGGGTAAGCTGCGTTGTTTTTCCCGATCCCGTCTCGCCGATCACGATAATGACCTGATTTTCTCGTATCACTCGGAGAAGCTCTTCGCGGACAGCGAACGCGGGCAGAAATTCTCGTTGTTCGCGCAACGTCTTGCTCTTGCTGAAATCGCTGGCTCCTTCGGCGTTCTTGATGTGTTCGCTGAATTTGTTCCCCTTGCGTTCAGTCTTTTCCATATCCTCCTCGGCAGCTATTGGCAGCGCGCTATCTCCATCTTCTTCTTTTGCTCCCATGATATTTCCGAGCGCTGTCCCGGTAATGCTTGTTGCTTCATGCGCCTGTTTCTGCCGCTCTCTTTGCTGGCGAGATTCTTTGACTACCTTGCTCCCCTTTCGGCTGAAAACAGCCATGTCGCTTTGGTAGTCCCTAACGGCTGGAACAGGCTCAAGCTGTTTGGTAAAAATCGTCTTTCCGTCCAAGAATGGCGGTCGTAAATCGTGAACAAGCAGGTGAATTCGTGTCGTTTCCTCGTCGTCAAAGTCGGCGGCTAGATCTCTTCGCTGTGCCACGCCAGAAACAAGCATCCGGTTCGTCTCCCAGGCATCATTTTCTCTCCTCCTCTGTTCCTGTCGGGCGTCATATCGGCTGGTCATCTTCTCGGCCTTGGCCGACTCCTGTTGTTGACTCTCCCATGCCGAAGTGTCGTAAGACGCGAAAGGATTGTAAGTCTCATCGCCGAATGTATGAGCTCCGAATTCATCTCCGCCATACCAATCGCGATCCAGCGCTAAGGAATCTGCATCCGTCGGCTGCGGCTGGTTGGATTCTCGAGGAGGCGTCGGCGCATATCGAGACTGGCCGCGCGGTGTGGAGCTTCGAGATCCATCTTGGTACCTCCCTTTGGATCTGGCAAATTCGAGTTTCCTCCTTTTGGGATTGAACCCGTCGTATTCTGCTTCCGATACCATGGTTTGACTCTGCCGATTCCTACAAGTGAGAGAGAAGATGCGGCTTCGAGGCGGTGATGCGCCAAGTAGCTACGCGACTTGCGAACTGATGGCAGATCAATAAGGCGAGGTTTCCCCGAGTGTACTGGGAGCTGCTAAAGAAGCTTATCGATAAACCCCACCATGGAAATTTTTGGCCAAAAAGTTTGGAAAAGGTTGGCGCAGAGAATAAAGTTGAAGTTACACTGAAAAGACTTCAAGATACCCCAGACATTTGCACAATGTCTTCCATGATAACTGCTGCCCAGTGGGTACCGCGAGGCTTCGCGGCCCAATTCCCCCAGGTTTACAAGCTTGACGAGTCCGAATTCGACAGAATAGCTGCATTGGCCAAGCTGCAGCTTGACGATGCCGAGGAAGATTTGAAGGAAGCGCAAGAGGAAGGCGAAGATGCAGAGGAGGGAGATGAGAACAATGACGAGGACATGGGTGGAGAGGAAGATAAAGAGAACAAGGCCAAATCTACAGTCAAGTATGTATCATTGGGCATTCGTGAAATAGTACGTTCTTTGCGGCTAACAAGTTAATTCAGGATCGACGATGATGATCTGAAAGAGTACGACCTAGAACACTACGACGACGACGAAGACGACGACAATGCGCCCGCTGCCAACGGAAGCATGGGCATGTTTGGAAATGTCAAGTCACTGGCATACTATGAGTCGAACAAGGAAGATCCTTACATCACACTACAAGACGACGACGAGGACGAGGAGAGGCAAGATCTCCAGGTCTTGGCAACTGACAACCTGATCCTGTCTGCCAAGGTTGAAGACGAATTGGCGCATCTGGAGGTCTACGTCTACGAAGATGAGAGCGACAACCTCTACGTCCACCACGACATTATGCTGCCAGCAATCCCTCTCTGCGTAGAGTGGCTAGACATTCCCGTCAGCAACTCAGGAAACGCAGCCAAGGATGCAAAGGGCAACTTTGTCGCCGTCGGCACCATGGACCCGGACATTGAGATTTGGGACCTTGACACTGTCGATTGCATGTACCCCAATGCCATCCTCGGCCAGGGCGCAAACCCCGAGTCTGGAGAGAAGAAGAAGAAAAAGAAGAAGAAGGCCAAGGCGAATGACGAGTACCACGTGGATGCCGTCCTGTCTCTCGCCGCCAACCGCCAGCACCGAAATCTGCTGGCTTCCGCCTCCGCAGACAAGACCATCAAACTCTGGGATCTCAACACAACCAAGTGTGCCAAGTCATATTCGTACCACACCGACAAAGTGTGCTCTCTTGCCTGGCACACTGCCGAGCCTACCGTGCTGCTCAGTGGAAGTTACGATCGAACCGTGGTGGCCGCCGATATGCGAGCCCCTGACGCAAAGGTCCCTCGATGGGGCGTCGAGAGCGATGTCGAGAACATCCGATGGGACCCGCACGACCAGAACTACTTTTACGTCTCAACAGAGAACGGTGTCATTCACTATCACGATATCCGCAATGCCCCGTCAACTCCGGAAGCAACCAAGGCGGTCTGGACCCTGCAGGCACACGACGAATCTGTATCGTCGTTTGACATCAACAGCGTCATTCCCGGATTCATGGCCACCGGATCGACTGACAAGACGGTTAAGCTGTGGAACATTCAGGCTTCTGGTCCTTCACTCGTCGTCTCTCGTAACCTTGATGTGGGCAAAGTGTTTGCTACCTCGTTTGCTCCCGATCCCGAGGTCGCTTTCCGGCTAGCAGTGGCGGGCAGCTCCGGCAGCATGCATGTTTGGGACACCAGCACCAACCCCGGCGTCCGAAGTGCTTTTGGACAGCGCGTCCCTGCTTTGAAGGAGGGCGTTAGTGAGGATCGACTAGTGGGCGTCAATGAAGATGAGAGCAGTTCGAGCGAGGATGAGGGAGAAGGAGAGAATAATGAGGAGGGAGGCGACTCCATGGATGAGGATTAAAACAAGACGCTTAATGCAGCCCCCGGGAGGTTTGTGAGATTCTATATATCTGGAACATGGCGTTGTTTTTAGCAGTGTAACCATTGATGACGTCTCGGAACAATCAATGCAGTTTGCTATATGATGCGAATAGAGGGATTTTATAGGCATTTGAAATTTGAATAGACTTGTCAGAGCTAGGAAAAAAAACTCTAGTATATGCACAATATGTGGTAGCCCATCTGCGTATAGTAACAGTCTATTAACTCACGCCATCTGATACAGCTGTAAGATCAAGATGGGATATCGCTACTCCCTTGTACTCTATCTCAAAGCCTAACGGCATTTCAAACATCATGGGGGTCTAAGCCTGGCGGCTGAAACAACTAGAACACAATGCTTCTAAATCCCCCTGTGAAGCAATTGCCTTGGGTAAAGGCCCTGGTTACGACACCGGCACTTGTGCCGAGCCATGACACGCGCATACTACGGTGTTTGCTACACTACCTTCTTCGACATCTATTTCTGTATCCGCATCAGCAGCAGGAAACCCATACTGTATGGAGCGTTGAGGGGGGAGGCCATTGAGTTTGTGCCTGGACCAGTGGCGTCGGCTAGTTGGCTGCTGTTTCCGTGGCTGATCGACCGTTGGCGTTGGCGCTGGCGGTGTGATGAGGACTAAGAGGATGGATCATTTTGAAGAAATTTTTCTTTTTTTCTTTTTTCTTTCCGTCATATCCCCTTTCTTGCTCCTCTGCGGGCGGAGCAATTGTGCCTGAGATGGCGTCTGCGTTATGGATAAAGTGTAGAAAAGTACCGAGTACATGCACATGTGTAACATCAGCCGGCAGAAAGACTGCAAGCCTTTGCTGCACTTTCATCCCGTCCTCAGTACGTTAGTAGGCAGGTAGTGTCGGATAAAATGGGGGGAGCCCAAGAGCAAAAGATCAGCGCCCAACGCCCTGTGAACATGCGCGTTTCTTTTTCTTCTCGCTTGCTCTCTCTATTGAACGCTGCATAAGCATGTTTCGCGATCTCTGTCCCTGGCAGGGGTTCTGCTTTTTAGGTAGAGAGGAGCCCATGTCTGCGCTGCTAAAAAAAGGGCCCTGTTGAAACATGGGCGGCACAAGGTATAAGGGGACCGGTAGCCAATCAGGCGGCGCGGGCTCTCCAGTTTTTGGCAGCGGTTTGGATGATCGGCCGGTCTTGTCACGGGGGAATGCGATTGGCTTGCTGCAAGCCATTGTGAGCTTGAGCAGCAGACGCAGGTACTGCTGGCACTGCATGTACAGGATACATGCATGCAGGTCTATAGAGCTATGCAGTAGAGAGACAACAGAGCAAATACAAACAAACAATGCGAGATTTTTGAAATTCTTATTACCGTTTCTCCTGGAGCTCCTGAGTCGTGGAAATGGCGAGAGAAGAAGCTAATCGGAGAAATTTGTTGGGTGGCCACGGCCAGTGCCGCACAGTAGAGGCGTAGAGGGCTTAATCCAAGGTACTTTATACAAGCCAGGATTCGCAGCTGCAGCTCGGGGCTATTTTACAGTGGCTGCAGAGCAAAGGTGGCGCTGACCTGACAATGCTGGGTTGTTGCTTTGCATGCACATGAAAACTGCGCTGGTTAACCCGTCGTCTGATGCCACGTTGAGCTGCTTGGGTGAGGCGAGAAACAGGTGCTAGCAGCAACGTGGAGCTTGAACCAGCAATTGTTCTCTTCATACAATACCCCGCACGCAATTCAGATACGCATTGGCCAAGCAGCCGTCAAAAGAGCACAGAGCAGCAGGTGTCAAGAATCAAGAATGGCCTGGCCTTCGGCCAACAGCACAGCAGAGAAGAGAGAAAGACTTGGAGACGGGCAGGATTAGAGGAGAAACGCCAAAAATTAGCAGCTCGCTAGGCAGCTAGACGGCCCCCCGGCCCCAGTGGTTGGCCTCCCTCACTATTGGCTGCAATGGCGCCTCACAGCACCATCCTTCATTCTGCACCCGCCCGAAGCGGCTTGGCTCCGGAGCCTAGCCCAGGGGCCTGAAGCCTCCATCTGCCCCAAACAGCCTGATGGGCGCGCACTTGGCCCCGAGCTGGCAGCGGCGTGGCCAATGAAGCCGGCGCCTGGGCGATGGGGGCATGAACATGGGAACATGGAAAACATGGGCGCCGGAGCTCGATTTGGGCGCCAGGGATCATGCGGGAAATGCCACGCCGCTTGGCTCTCGATGGCGATTTCGCTGCTCCATCCAATACCTGGGCTAACTCGGCCTTTTTTTCTTGTTTCTTCTCCTTCTTCTCTTCCAATCCCGCGTGCGCGACTGCTCTCCCGCTTCGCCTCTTCAACCTCTGCTCTTTGCTTCTTTGCTGCAGAAAGGGCTGCGTTGCGTGAAGGCTGTCTTTCGGACACTTGGCCGCGGCTATTCGCTTCTCTCTTGTATATATCCATATATACCTTTTTTTCTTCCTACGAGCACGCATTCCGGCATTATACCTTGCCGTAGACGCCTCTGTGCTGTTCCGTTTCACTCTCCTTTCTCTCGAAGAACCAAGGCATTTATATCTGCCGTTACTACTAGCTCTGCGACACATTTAGCTTCGGCACTCTTAAGCAACTCGGCCTTTTGGTTCCTTCAACTGAACGTTGATCGTTTGGTTACTGCAAGCTTCTTCCAACTAGCTTGTTTCTTCTCTCATTCCCTCTCTCTCTCTCATTTTTCTCTCTTCGTTTCGCTGGTGTAACCCGAGACAAACTTCGCTTGCGTCCAAGACACAGCAACGAAACAGGACTGGACTCCGCCTTTCTCTGAACACACGTGTGACGACAGAAAACTGTCACAAACCCGTCGCGAGAGTCAACCGACAGCTCGCAGCCACAAACTTTGCGCTCCGAGTACCTACATGCTCTCTTGCAGCCAACGCACATAACAACATACCAAACAATCTCAATCTCCAACAGTCACCTGGCGTGAACCCAAGTTGCTCTCTTTCTTTCTGCCTCTCTCTATCTCTCTCTTTTCTTATTTCTTATTTCACTTTTTTTCTGCCCCTCCGGCATCCCATCTTCCACCAGGCGCGGATCAGCTGTCGTCAACTCCCAAAAGTCACCTTCCGACTTGAGCTTGGATTCACATCGACGCCGCAGCTCCACCACCGGCACAGCACCCGCACAAGTCCCCTGTGCAACGTTTCTAGCCGTTTGCATACATCATCGGCCCAGCTCTCTGAAATAGTGAGCGCTGGTCACACGGCGTCATATCTAGTAGTCAACTGCCATATCGGGCTGTGGCTTCTCATCGTCGCTCACCTCATTCCTTGCTATTCAAGCGGCTGCCTCATTCGCTTGCGGTGGCCACAAGTCATACAGCGTGATTCCATCTTGCTCTTGGTCTTGTTCTTATTTGAATTTACTTGTCCCCTTCCAACGTCAGCAAACAGTTCTTCAACCCTCGCCACAATGTCGCTATCACGAGCTTTCACGACGCGCAAGCTCAAGTTGGGCTCTGACGCCGACGGCAAAAATCCTCAGCGCTCGCACACTCTTCGCCATAAGATCTCGGCTCCTGTCCAGCTCGTTCATACAACCAACATGCTCTCGTACAATGCGCCTGACCTGCCTCGAGTCCCTGGCCGCAACAACTCCAGCGACTTGCCTCGAGTGCCTACACGCATCAACTCTTCGAAATCTCTAACCGATTCCGACAGCGTCGAGACCACCGAGTCGACCCCGCCAACCAGCCCGGATGTTGCTCAAGGAGAGCGCTCGCCTTCTCCCAAGCCGAATCATCTTTCGGGATACTTCAAGCCCGCAACTGCGAGACCCGCGGCTGCAGCACCAGCCGAGCCTGAGCCAACTCCGGCTCCAATGATTCCCCAGCGCTCTCCCACTCACACCAAGAAGAACTCGGTCGATGCCGTCGCCAGGTCACGATCCATTACGCGCATTTCTAGAGACTCCGAGCTGTCGGCTGCGTCCAGGAGTCTTCAGGGCCTCTCCTCCCGCTCTCCGTCTGTGTCAACAAACTCTTCTGCGCCCTCTTCAGCACACTCTTCAATGCACTCCTCGGTGCATAATTCGTCCATCTCGAGTCGCCTCGCGAAACAGCCTCTGGCTCCTGCTTTTCCTCTGGCCCCCGCGCCCACTACCGTTTCTGCGGCTCCTACGGCTCCCGCAGCCTCGTCTGCGCAACTTTCTAATGCAACGAGGCGCCACATAGCTAAGGATTCGAATCCTTTTGGAGCAGAGCTGGCCCAAGTGACGGAGCTAGCGGAGGAATTCAGCTCCAGGAGCCAGCGGGAGCAAATGGAGGAGGATGTGGCATACATGCGCTCCAACAACCTCGTCAGGCTGCGCACCGACGACTATCTGAGCATGGTTCAAAGCCTGTCGTCCATCTTCTTCTCAGAGCCCAGTCACCCGGCTCCCAAGGCTGCAGCACCGCTCTGGATTTAAATCGCATACAATTTACGAAAGACGAACAACAAAAAAAAAAAAAAACGAGCTGCCATGTCACTGTACATACCGAATTTGTTTGGACATATACTCTGTACTGCTATGGGCAAAAGCGCTTCAGCTGTGACGACTACAATTACTACTTCTTCCTTCTTCTTCACCATTTTGCTTCTTTACTTTCTTACTTTTGTTGACATGGATGGAACGATGTGGGGTCTAGAACATTAACATTGCTAGGTACTTGGATTGGCTGTTTGCTTTACCTGAAACAGGAGACGAGGTGGCGTTAAATAACGGATGGGAAATGCCTCTTAATTGAGGCTACCTTTATATAATTTCTTTTTTTCTCTATCATTATGGATGTGAATACTATACCAGTCACAAGCCACTGCACATATTATGCCCTGATGAAATTTCATTGCTTTACTGTGTACTTATTCTCCCGCTCACCCTACCTCTATTCTCCCCAGTGATCGAATTGATGTACTCACAACATTTTGTATTCGAGCTTATGTATGCGAGCTTACTTGGAAAAATGACCGATATCATCAAGTATGACAATTGAATAACACGACTGCCGCATTTGGCAGGAAAATGCATCCTGTCAGCTCGCCCCAACGATCGTCGTCTCTCTGCGCACATTCAGCTGTAAGATCCCAAATCCCACACAGAGCGGATGGGCGGCCGGTAAGCGGGAGATGAACAATCCCTGCCAAATGTTTCAACTGCGCCCCACGAGCTGATTGTTTCAAGGCCGGGGGTGCTTACATAGTTGTCCGCTTACCGTGAGTGGTGCGATTGCGTACTACTATGCACTTGTACTACTACGATGAAATTAAATGGAATCGGGTTCTCGGGACGATTCCATCAAAAAGAGATTGGATTTGGGGAAATGGGCTTGGAGGCGGGCAGGGTTGTGAAATTGCTATAAAATGGAAGACATGAGTGAACATGCAAGTTTTGGTGGAGCTCGGGCCACATGTTTGGCAGGATGAGCTGTTCTCTCCGTGTACAGATGATTATATAGTAAAGCTGGATACTGTTTAATTGGATTTTCGATTGAACATACAGAACTGATATGCTGCGTATTTCGAAATGTTCGCTTATTGGCAAATGCGGTCGATATTCTCCATGAGATGAATAGGTCTTATAGACGCTGCTTCTTCCCTGTCCGCTGTCACTGCGTATGTAATCAGGTGGGGCAATTGGCGGCACCCACTTGAGAAATGTTTGAGCGATACATTCAACGGTAGCTTGGTACCCAAGGTGTTCAAGCGGAATTGAATTTGTATTTATGTTGAGGAATTGAACAAGATCAAGCTGTAATATACTCTCGTGACTGAGAGACTATAGAGACTATTCTTGTCTAATGTTTTGAATAGCCGGTAAGATCACTTTGGATCTTTTCGTTTTTTCCCTTGCCACTTGACGTGGGGTAACTCTTTTCGATTTACTGGCGTGTGAGCTGAACTATTACCAGGCCTCGTTTTGAACACTCTGAGTTCTCATATAAAAGCTAAAAGTAAAAAGAAGAAGAAAATACATCGTCATGGCGGGCTCAGATGACGCGCCCGACTCCCTCATTAGCAAGGAGGATGGGCTCAACTACTGGGAGGGCGTCAACGCTGACATTGACGGCATGCTTGGAGGCATTCCATCCGTCAAGGGCTTCTCTGGCATCTTGAGGAGCGATCTCCAGGGTTCACGGACGTTTCTGGCCAGGCTGGGCATTGGAGCGAAGCAGGGACGGCAGAAGCTGGCCACTGTTTTGGAGGGCGGAGCAGGGTTAGTAGCATCCATCTTCGACTGGGGTGTTTGCGAGGGCTTGGCACATTTTGGTTGATTAACGAGTGCTGATCTTTTGATTGACTGACTCTTTCTTGCCTTGTAGGATCGGAAGGGTTACTGAAGGGTTGCTGATCCCATTGGCTGATGAGGTTGATGTTATTGAACCCGTGGCCAAGTTCACCGCGGGCCTGCAAGGCAAAGAGGGCGTTCGACATGTTTACAACCACGGCTTGCAAGACTGGGAGCCTGTTGATGGGCTCACGTACGATCTTATCTGGACGCAGTGGTGCGTGGGCCATTTGACGGACTCGCAGCTGGTGGAGTATCTGAAGAGATGCCAGGTTGCGCTGAATCCGGGGGCCATGATTGTGTTGAAGGAGAATTTGAGCACGTCGGGCCGCGATGTGTTTGATGAGCTGGATAGCAGTGTGACGAGGTGGGTTGGACTATTGAATATCATCTGATGTTTGCTTTTCGAGCTAACTGAGTAAAAACAGGGAGGATAGCAAGTTTAGACAAATTTTTGAGGAAGCAGGGCTGCAGCTCGTCAAGTCGGAGCTGCAGAGGGGATTCCCTGAGACGCCGCAGATGACGCTCCTCCCGGTGAAGATGTACGCCTTGAAGCCAAAAGCTGTGTAAGTTGAAGGGTTTTCTTCTTCTTCATTGGAGTGACTGGGAGTTTTATGGGATGGGGAATGTTGAAGGGCCGGGGAAAAGTTTTGATGCATTCTGAGTGGGAAAGGTAGAGAGGTAAAGCTTTGAGAGCTAGTCGAGCTTGAGTTTGCTGAGTTTTGTAGATACCCTTACAAATCAAGTGCTGTGTCGTAAAGTTTTAATTCGTGATGGAACTCTTTGAGGCAGAATTGACGCTTGAGTCTGTTGTGATGATACATTTGGATTTAACAGCTGCTGGTTATATTTGAGAGAAGCTGCACCATGCTACATCATGAGCTTTGGACAATATTTCTTCATTGTTAATAAGTCAATTAATTGGAACATCAACCATTTCTGGCCAGTTTCATCCATTGAGATCTTCAACATAAGAATTGATAATCTTATGAAGCTGATATGGAAGAACAAAAGCTCGTACCAAGCATTTAGCGCCATCGCTCCACCGCCAAGCTCTCACATCTCACATCTCATCCTCATCTCTCTGCCTTCATCTCCATATTATACATCAAAGTAAACAACACAAACCCACCTAAAATACCAATGGCCTCTCCCCCCTTTGGCCAGGCCGCCCTCATTACCGCCCTTAAAGGCCAAACCCTCCGCATCCCCAGCCTCCAAGCCCTCTTCACCTCATGGCCCTCCCCACGCCTCAACGCCCACTACCCAGAGCTCGTCGCCTTCGCCAGCGCCACCATCCTCGAAATCGCCGCGGCCGCGCCTCACCTGCGCATTGAGCGTCGGCTTCGCGACGACATTGCCCTCCTGACGTGCCTGCTGTTCCCAACGGCGCCGCGGAGACGCATCGAGGCGCTGGTGCTGTACATGGTGTGGCTCGTCTGCTGGGACGACACGGTGGACACGAATGAGGGCGACTTGGCTGCTGATTTCGCCCGCGCGGAGGAGTGGCGCAACAGGACGCTGGAAGTGATAAAAGTAGCTCTTCAGCTCCCTGAGGAAGCCCAGCAGCGTGGAGAGGTGGATGCTATCAATGCGGTGCTCGTCAGCTTTGGCCAGCGCTACTATGGCACACATGAGAGGGCTCCTGTCGAGCAGCGCCAGAGGTTGTATGACGAAATCAGCATCTTCGTTCGTGCGTGCGCCACGGAGCAGAGGCTACGTCTTGACGGCGCCATTCCCAGCTTTGACGAGTACATGGTCCTCCGAGAGGGCACTGTGGCAGGCGGCACGCTCTGCGCGTTGGTTCCCTACGCCATGCCCCAGTTTGTGCCGCCGGAGCTGCTCGACATGCCGCAGTTTGCAGTTTTCCGGAAGCAGGCCAATGTGCTGTTCGGCCTGCTCAACGACTTGATCTCCTTGAAAAAGGAACTCGCTGGGGACTGCGTCATCAATGCCGTCTGTACGCTGCTGCGGCCGGAGACGCCCCTGGATGAAGTCATGGCGCAGATTTACCAGAAGCTGCAGGACGCGGTGCGGCTTTTCGACAAGGCGGCCAGGGAGCTGTTGGGTCAATTCACGGACAATGACCTTTACTACGACCTCTCAGAAGAGTTGATTGATGGGCATAGAAGTGTAGTCACCGGCACGCTCGAATTCATGTGAGTAACTTCAAGTTGTTTCCCAAAATGAACCCCCATAAACCGTGGGGGTTTCTTCATATTTATATGAACCAACAGCCGTATATAAAGCAATAGTAAGCTAACCATTTATCTGGGGGCAGGCTCAAATCCCCTCGCTATAACATCTCGCAGCTCTTGCGCGAAGATGGCTCTCTAGAAATAGTCCTCTGATATCATGACTCCCACATACTTCCAATCACCCTTGTTTGACTCCCGTGAGTTTCCCAACTCCAGTGTTGACCTAGCCTTTCCATTTATCTGCCGGATTGTATGATCAAATGCTCTCTTATCTTCCTTTGACCTTCTCATTTCCCTCTATTCTCCAGAATATGTTTGTATGCGGATATCACGCCCATTGCGATTAAAAAAGATATAAAAGTAGCCAATGCGTATGAATGAATGAAAAGTGACTCCGCCTCTTGTTAATTTTAGTAGATATCTCTCCCAATTGTCGTTATAAAATCAAGGCTTCAACTCTCCAAACTGCATCGCTTGCCGGCCGCCCAATGGCTCAACAGACGTCACCAGATCCGTGATAGTGACAATCTCGTATCCCTGGCGCTTCAACTCCGGCAGCACGATTCGCAGCATGGGAGCCGTCCATCCCCTCCTATCGTGGCATATAATAATCGCTCCAGGATGCGCCATACTTAGAATATGCCTGGCATTGACATTCGGATAGGGAATCTGCGGGTCGTGCGGGTATATGCTCCCCAGTACGATCCTAAACCCTCTATTGCCGAGCAAATCTCTCATCCGTCGATTAAACAAGCCCGAACCCGGGCGGAAGTAGTTATTCGGCAGAATCTTGCCCTCGGCCTCGTACGCCTCCGTCAGCATGGCCTTGACCTCCTTGACCTGGCTCTCCAGCTCATCGTTGCTCAGCCTCCTCGACGGCTCGTCGCGCATCGCATGGTTGCCCAGCTCATGCCCCTGCGCAACCATCTTGCGCAGCGTGGCCTCCCTGCCCTCGACCTGCGTCCCAATGACGAAGAAGGTGGCGTGCGCGTCATTCTCCCGCAGCACCTGCATGATCTCGTCGGTGTGCGCCGAGGGGGCGTCGTCGAGCGATAAGGCAATGACTTTCCGGGTCGCGGGCACGGGCACCTCGAAGAGCACGTCGGGGAACTTGTTGCGCAGGTAGCCGATGAGGAAGCGCGGCGGCTTGTAGACGCAGTAGACGGAGTAGAGCGGCAGGGCGAGCAGCAGCACGAGCAGCACGAGGAGGCCCTGCATGGTGAGGCGGTTTCGTCGGACCCGGCGCCGGACGGTGGTCGGCAGGCGGAAGAGGTTGAGGCGTGGCATTTCTTGTTCTGTTTTGGGAGGTTTCTTTCGAGGTTAGCAGCGGCGGCGGCTTGGGACGGTGGTGCCGCCTGCTGCTGGCATGTCCTCTCTTCGTTTCGTTTCTCTCTTTTCTTCGTTTTCTCTCTCTCTTTGATTTTCGGTTATTGTTCGTTGAAAAGGTATCAATGGCAATGAATTGGTGGGGGAGGGAAAACGAGTGTTGAAAAGTGTTGCTTTTTGGTCGAGACCGCCACTAAAGCGGGAGAAGACATGAGGCTTGCAGTTTTGTTAGCCAGGGGCTGGGTGGGAGTAGCACGAGCGCTATCTGATTAGCGACGGGGGGTGGTGGCGTCCCCAAATGGGGGGGGGGGATTGGACCCCTAAAACTGTCTGGACATTAATCAATCTCCATACAAATCTCAGAATGCATTCTGCAAATGTTCGATGCAATTGCACAGGCCACGCATCAATCAAGGTTTTTAATGTCTGATTTCCCGATATTCAATCCATCCTGTTTATATTTACACCAACATGATTGTTTTCCAGACTTTATTCAAGCCGTCGTGATAGAGTGCACTCTTGTCTTACAAAGGGATGCAAAGACCCCTTAATCCAACTCATTCTCATAACCCATTAACAGGATATTACAATCTCTCATATGCACAAGCCCATTTTACAATCCCTCCTTCACCAAAGCCTCAAACCCATGCTGCAAATCCGCCTTCAAATCCTCCACACTCTCCACACCAACACTCAGCCTCAACAAACTCTGATCAACAGTCGCATCCGTCATCGCCCGCCACTCAATCAAGCTCTCCACGCCGCCCAAGCTCGTCGCGTGCTGGAACAGTCCCAACTTGCCGGGGAACCTCCTCGCCATCTCCTTGTTCTTCAGCGTAATGGCAAACACCGGTCCGTAACCATTGGGCATCTGCTGTCGCAGCCAACTGCCCTCCTGCGAGGCCTCAGGCTGCAGACTCGCGTGCTGGATGCGCGCAACCGTTTTCCCGGCCGCGGTGTTCGAGTCCTTGGCCTGTTCTGAAAGCCATGCGACGAGCGCCGCGGCCGTAGTGCTCTGGCGGTTGACGCGCAGCTCCAAGGTTCGCAAGGAGCGCATACCGAGCCAGCCCTCGAGACTGCCGATGACGGAGCCGATGACGAGGCGGTCGGCGAGCAGGTCGCTGACCCAGGTCTTGTGCTTGGGGTTGACTGCAAGGACGCCGCAGAGCAAATCGGAGTGGCCGCCAATGTACTTTGTGCCACTGTGCATCACGATATCTGCTCCCCAGGCAAACGGGTCCAACAGCGGCGGCGGCGCAAAGGTGGCGTCTACGGTAAGATATGCGCCCACAGAGTGCGCTCTATCGGCATAGTACTTGAGATCGCGCGCCTCGCCCGTGGGATTCAACGGTGTCTCGACATGAATGACGTCTCCGGGCCCCAGCTCCGAAAGGTCGCAGTCCAGCGGCAGCTTCTTCAAGCCGGTCAGTCGTCCAAAGATCTTCAAGACGCCATGGCAGCCATGGTAGCCGTCTCCAATGGCCACCTTCTTGGGGTTGAGATGGGTCATCAGGGCATGGAACGAAGCCATGCCCGATCCATACACAATGGCCTGTTGGCCAATGATGGATGTGAGGAGGGCCTCGAAGCGAGCCATGTTGGGGCTCGAATGGCGCGAGTAGATGTGGAAGTCGAGCGGCTGAGTGGTCTGCGTTCTCTTGTGTCAGTCACCCAATTTAAGCTTCTTCCACACATTCTCACACACCGCCAGTTCATCCAGCACTTACATCGACCTCCGCGATGGGCCTGAGCCTCTCCGGGTCATTGGGATACCGAAAGGTTGTGCTTGTGTGCAGACCCGGCGCAATGGCCGGATGGCCGTCGATGCGGGCATCGGCATGCACCGCTCGGGATGCGAGCGACAGCGCCGCAATGTCTGGCACATATGCGTCCGAGGAGTTTCCCATTGTGTCTGCTGAGTGACTTGTGTATGAGTGATGGTTTGCGTCTACCGATACCTGGTATACTGCGCTCATCCCCATTCAATGTCCATGTTTGAGTTCTTGCCGCGCCCTCTTATATATGTCGTGCTAATTCATGTCGCAATGCTGCCCCGCTCATCGGCCGTCCTCTGCCGTTGTCGCTGCTACTCAACGGGCCTCACATACCCACTATTACCCATCCCGAGTTACATCACCTCAGGCTATCGTAAAAAACTCAAAGCTGATTAGATAGCCACGAGCCAGCCCAGAATCAGAGAATCATGTAATCATGTTCCAGATCCGTAAAACTTGTCAATACAAGGCGCAATTACCTAGGTATCAAGATAAGAGGGGTTTCGCTCCACTATGTGTCAATGCGGGGAGCGACACACGCCTTATTGTCGATTTTCATCTCTCTTTTTGGTGCTTCTGGATACTTTTGAGCATGCCGCAATTCGTTCCCGCAGTTCGTTCTACAAGTATGCCGCAGGTTGCCGTTCTATCAAGAGAGAATTGCTTCGGACTACCCTTCCGGGATCGGTGGCATAGTTGAGTGGCATAGTTGAGTAGAAAAGAACGGATAGCTTGATTTAAGCGTAGGTAGATTAGGTAATGAATACTTGTCAAACTCCTAGATGTGCATCAGCATAGGTATTTCCCGGAGATAGGTACAAAGGAAAAAGAAATGAAGGCACAGTCGCAACTTTACATCTGCGGATGTCATAACTCTTCTAATCATTGTTATTCTCTCGTCAAACAATGTGCTCGGGCTTATCGAGAACAAACTCAGTCGTCATATCACGCAACAGTCATTAACATGATGACGATAGAAAATGGGCAAAACATAAATAAGTGCTGTATTAGCGATCCAATATGTAATCGCCGACATAAGTTATTATTAATCATTAAGTCGTCTTGTTTTCTTCCATCCATGTTTCCTTGCCGTCATAATGTTTCATTCCTGCCAGTCCTGAACCTTGTGTTTTGCTGGCAAAGCCAATCGATGCAAATGCACCTGGCAAAGTATATGGCAGCAATGAATGTGTTCACTGCCAACAGCCCATCCCGAACGCCATTATCGTAAAGTTAAAGGAAAAAGAAAAAATATATCCATAGTCCAGAAAATCGTTAGTGCTTAATAAAGTTCCACGCATAGTAAATTAATTCGAGTTGTCGAGTTGTTTGCAGCTGCTCTCTTCTGCGGCAGGCGCCTCAGTCTTTCGTTGACACAGGCGTGTGTTCCATGGGGCTTAGCTCAGATCCTTGACCGCTCTGAGCCCTCTTTCGACCGGGAATGAGGAACCTAGAGACGCCTGATGGTGCTGGAGATGGATCTTTCTCTTCGGACTCTGTCAACCTGGAAAAGAATCCGCGCTTGCGAGGCTGCTGCTTCTGGTCCTCGAGACCGACATCCTCAAAACCTTCATCGGCGGTGGGCAGTTGCACCGAGTTGCGGTTGATAGCCGATCTGGGCATTCGAGAGAATCGAGCCGAATCGAGACTTTGGCGGGTAGGAATATCGTATGCGCTGACGGGAGATCGTGCCGAGATATCCTATAAGTGAGAGTCACAGGTTAGTCTCAGTGAAGGCGAGGCGCATTCTGTGCGGGGTGGATGCAGCCGGTAAATGTGAAGTTAGACGGGGAAAAGCAAATCGTTATAGCACATACAAATGATCGTCGGTACGAGTCAAAGGACTCTCGCGAAATAGAAAAGTGCTCAATCTCGCCTGAGCTGTCTGATGACTCGCGCGACGAGAGGTGTCTGCGCGGCCACTGGCTCTTCTCCTCCGACGGCGAGGGCTGTTCGCATAAAACAGAATTAGCAGTCTGCGCAGATGGATGCAGCCGAGTGCCAGTGAGGGTTGCACAAAAACCTACAGGGAGATATACGCCGCTATCATTGACGACTAATAGGTGCAAATCGCATGTCAGTTACAGTCCACCGAGTCGTGTGACGCTGCCGCCGCACGGCCTAGAGCGGAAGGTCGCAAGCGAAAGCGACAGCGGTCATCCGATCACTTACCGCTCATCTTATACTCGCCGGTATCCTGACTTCTGGCGCTGCGGATGCTCAAAACCGACGACGCCTTGGAGCCCACGATGTCGACTCGCTCGAATCCGGGGTAATTGTGCTCTCTGTCGGCGTAGACACCGTCGTCGGCCGGGACGACAGCGCCGGGGCGGCGGGTGAAAGGGTTTCGGATCGGCATGGTGGTGAGATATGGGCCGATATCAACTTGACTTAAGAGACGACTTGTAGAGGCGGCAAGATACAATAATAGTACGCGGTCCGATAAGTGATGCGAAGAATGCGAAAAACCGTCGGGAAGAATGTTTATTTTGTAAAATAAGTAGCCGACTGAGCGATATGATGCAATTGGTGAGGGGGAACAGCAGCGGTTCTTGTATAAGTAGCGACAAGGTCCGATTAAGCTATTTGAGGAAAGCAAAAACTACACGTCAAAGGGAACCAAGGAAGGGGCACAGGGGCTTTAAGAAGAGCGACGATGGTCAGATGTCAGACGAGTCGCGAACGGATCAGCGGCAGAACGTTTTGAGGGGGTGGAATCCCAAGGGCCTGGCGCATTGAAAACGGGTCATTTCCAGATGGATACATCGAAAAGGATTTAATGGAGCGCCGCACTGACTGCAAAGTACCCTGATGGAGATGGAACGAGGCGAAAAAGCGGCAGCTTGTTAACTCGATGCTAGCAGCGCTGTTAGTGTTGGCAGCAGCATCGGCGGCGGCCAGTCTCGTGGCGCTTGAGCTGGAATTCCAGCGCCAGAATCGGCATCAAGGTGATTTTCCCCAGAAGTCAGCCCAGCAAAAGACATCAGATCTGCGCAATTGATCCTTTCGGCGGTGCCTTGCCGGGCGGATTTGGACGTTGTTGTACCGCGCCCGATGCACACTGTGCGCAGTGCCTGGATTTTTAGTGCGCCTTTATTGGCTTTGATCCTCATGATCATCAGAGCTTGGCCATTTGGCTGTGTTGCGCCGATTGCATTGCACTGCCTCACAGCTCAGCTCTCAAAGTTAGGCTCGCAATTCCATTTCCTCACCCATTTTCCCCTCTTGAGCTTCTTGATTCCATGTCTCACACACGTTTTCACATCAGATCGAGCTCTTTTCCAGTCTTAAAACTGCCATCGGGTCTAACAACCAGCCTAAGATGGCTCCGGCTGCTACTGCGCGCGCTCTCTAGCAGACTCCAGAAATCGAACTTGGTGGAGCCACCAACAGGCACGCCGCCCGGACTCGCTGAAAAGCCCGGTAACTAATCCCCCGAGTAGTGCCCTCGGGTTGCCTGACTGAGATTTATCCGCCAAACTGCTGCTGGCTCTGCTATGACGATGCATAACGCTTTTAGCCAACAACTAAAGACGCTTGAGTGGAGTGCCGACAGTAAGTATCCAGAACCAAGGTTACTGTGCGTATCTACTTGTTGTATGCGGTGCGGGATTCGGATTCGGGCTCCCCATACCATCACCTAGAAAGGTCTCGTTTCTTGGACCAGTTTCTTTTCGTTCGGGCAGGTTTTGTCAAAGAGGATACAATGAGGATGGCATCATTACCTCATCCTGCAGCACTAAAGGCCGAGTTTGCCATGGTAGCTGGCACTCGAATTTGCCTATTGACAGAGGATCGCCATGCCAAGGCCTCTTAGAGGTCTTCTAGAGGCCTTTTCCCACCAACAAAGGCCATGTGCGAACTTGCTCTTCGTCCAGATGGAGCTTCGTCACTTGTCACCACTCCCAGATTACAGGCACTGCGCATGGTCGACTGTCCCCGCCTCCCGCTTTGCCGTGGATGCTCTGTTGAAAATCCGGGGCCGCGCCGTGCAGACAGGGGCTATGCTGGAGATAAATTTGCCTTGATTGACGTAGCGCATACTGCACTTGGAACTTCAAGTCCCTGCGGCCATGCTCCGTGCAGCGAAGCGATTGCGGATCATCACCATCCACGGCCCGTGGCAACCATTGCGCACCGAAGCGAGTACATGAGTGCACAATCAACAGATATAATAGCCTGATCAAGAGGAATAGCCGCCTGACGCTGCCCGCGTCTTTTTCTGGCCCATCCACCATCATACGTTGCCTGCATTGGCCCAAGTAAAACGCCACCAGATGGCCTATTTGGGACGCACGCAGGGCAGTTGTTGGACAGCATCTGCGGTTCAACCATTCAGCAGCAACTGGGTAGAACACAGAGTTCTAGATGCGGTCAAGGGCGCTGTGAATCCTGCCGCCACGCAGCAGAGCTTCTGTGCCTAAAAACCTCAGTCAACTACTGCCTCGTTCTGATACAACCCAGCGTTGGTCTGTAAGAACTGCTTATAGCCCGGCACTTACAATCAAGGGCGCACGGCAGAGGAATCTCCTCTGCTTTAGTCTAGTAGCTGCCGACTTCATGTTCCTGTAAAAAAAAAAGTCTCCGAGCTGGCGCCCCAGGCCCTATAAATGCTCGAGGATAGAAAAAGGACATGAAGAAAAGCAAGCCAGATTCGGTGCTCCTTTGAGTTGAGGCTTGCAGGTGTCACCTTAGCAAGTGCATATCCGCCATGCATCTCTCATCGTATATCTCAATCTCAGTGCAACATCTGATGGAATTTTCTAGCTTCCTCTTCGCCCTCATAACCTTTTGTTGTCTTGCAATGGCGTGGCAGTGTCTCTCCAGTCTCCAAGGGAGCTTCGAAATAGCATAGTTCAGGTAGCAGTTTCTTACTCCCACCGTTTTGGTGTCACGTCCCAGCTGAATTGCAACCCTGTCGGTCCGATCGGTTGGCATTGAGCAAGCAAACCCCCATGTTCACTTACTCTCTCCCCCTCACTGCTCTTGTCTCAACATTTTCCTTTCCAAGATCGGCACTGAAGCCTGCCAACAAGCCGCATACGAGGTGGTAAGCTACAGGCCTTTTTTTGCGGGCTGTGTTTCCACGGGACCGCCCCAACCACAAACCACCTCCCGTGTCAAGACAAGGCCCAATAATCCCAAGTCCTCTGCATGAGGCCATTCTGAATCCATCCATTCGCTCGCCCGCAGGGGCAGATCCCGGACCAGCATCTGGCGCCCATCTGGTGCCGCACATGCTGGTTTTGGCTTTTGGCGAGCGGGCCTCTGTGCGGCCGAAGGGGATACGAGAGACACAAAAATGTGATGGAGTGCTATTTTTGTTCAAAGATGCCGTCTATTTTTTTCCTCTTTTTTTTTACATCGTTGCCTTTTTGCTGCCGATTAACCACTCGCTTATTGTTTTGTCTGTATTCAAGCCAGGCTGTCTCATTCGTTTCTTTCCCACTCTCTGAAACCAGCAGCTACGGCCTCTGTTGCTCCTCCCAAGACTCGAGATTTCTCAGCATCTCACCATCGCCACGTGGATTGCTCTCGAGCCACCTTTGGGTCTTAACACATACAGTCGTTTCTTTTTTCATCACGCCCAGTTTCTTTCACTGAGTTTCTATTTTACAGAGGCTGGCCAATTTTAACCATTACAACAAAGTCTGCGGATTCCAGGCCACTTCTTCTTGGCTGTCGCTGGCTAATATAAACTGCTCGTGGGCCGCAACCTCTAGAGTTCGTCAACATGGGTGCCTTCTTCACTGGGTGGGAGTTGTGGGAAGAAATGAGCTTCGTAAGTGATTGAAATCTATTTGAACTGCCCTGCTTCATCACATTTTCTTTGTTCTGCTATCAAGCCGAATTCCTGACTTATCTTTATGTAGGTCTTGGCATGCTCCATCGTGTTAGTCTTCGCCTTTGGGCTGGTACGGCTGTGGTGGACGAACCGCAAAATTGCAAAGCTCGAATTGATCGACGAAGAACGGCGCGTACGATTGGCCGAGATGCGGTATTGCGGTATCAACGCTCGCGGCATCACTGATATCCCCTTTGGGGTGCGCGCAATACAAAGTGGCATCGAAGTGGAAGGTATCTGGATATCAAGGCCTAACACACCTGGCTCCAGCCGTGCCGCCTCTTCTCCCACTCTTATTGGCGATCCTACAGGTCTCAAGGCAAAATTGAAGGAAAAGGGCAAAGGAAAGGCTCGCTACATGTCGGTGGAAGTTAGTGAGACGGCTTCATCGTCCCCTCCTCAGACGACTCCTACATCGGGTTCTTCGACACCCCAGCGAGCTGACGATACCGATGTAAATGATGCACGACAGCCTCGAATTCAGCAACCGATGGATTATTCAAACACACCCAAGGGATCACTTGATGCTCAGCGACGAAGCATTGCTCGCCAAGTAGCCTCTCGCAGCTCCTCTGCCAACCGCAACAGCATGGCCTCGTCATCCATGGGCGACTTTGTGGTTCCCCACTCGAGGAACTCTTATGCCAGCTCAAAGCCAATCCTTCAGGGATCCACCGAATACTACTCTGACATATCCAGAACCGGAACAAATGACTTCTACGACGCCCCTCCGTCTGCAGTTTGGGACCACGCATACAGCAGCTCTGATGCGGAGAGCGCAGAAGTGGCTGACCAGCGATCACAGCCAGGGCCCTCCAGGCTTCAGAAGAAATCGCATTTCTATAAGCCAGTACGAAATTAACGATGCAGGTGTTAGGGGAAAGAATTCTGAAGGCCCCCTGGTGGGGCTATGATTTTCACGTGGTTATAATGACTTGATGTCTTTTTACACGCCGTTTATGAGATATGTTTTATAAGAAAAAGAAATCAAGATGGACTTAGATTTTGCCATGCGGGCCATTTGCAAATACTAGCTAAATTACCAGACAAAGAAATACTGAACACCAAAAGAACGACTATAGTCCATAATCCACCATATCTAGAAGTGATTTTCTTCCATCTGCTCCCCACATACTGAAAATTAGAGTCAAACACGCAATCCATCTGTCGGCATCTCGTCAGTTGATCCGAGAACACAGTCACAGCATCGGCACTTGCCCACGCCGACCCGGCACACCGGCACGGGAATAAGTGCGGAATTGGCGTCAGACCTCCGCTTTAGTGGGCATGAGGTTAGAAGCTCGATGTTGAGAGATTGAGCTATATAGCGAAGATAAAATCTCACATTTTTAAATCTCAGTTTTTCATGTAAAGTATCGTTCAAGGTTTGTTCGCTGAGGGCAAACAAAGATGGCGTCCGCAGAGTACCTACAGGCCTCGTCAACCGGCTTCAAAGACGCCAAGGCCTACGATACGCACCGGCCGTCGTACCCTGCCGAAGCAGTCCAGAGCCTCCTGACTCACCTCGGCGTGGCGGGCAAGTCCAAGGCGAGAATCATTGACCTCGCAGCCGGCACGGGCAAGTTTACGGAGCTGCTGGCAGCTCGGCCGGAGGAGTATGAGATCCTAGCGGTGGAGCCTACGGGGTCGATGAGGGAGACGCTGGTTGAGAAGGGGCTGAGGGGCGTGACGGCGAAGGAGGGGACTGCTGAGAAGATGGATGTTGAGGATGGGTGGGCGGATGGGATTGTGATTGCTCAGGCGTTTCACTGGTAAGTCGGTGATGGGAAATGATATACTTTTGGATATACTAATCAGGTGAAGGTTTGCGACTGAGGCTTCATTGGCGGAGATTCATCGAGTACTCAAGCCAGGAGGCACGGTGGGAATGATTTGGAACGTGGAAGATTGTAAGTTCATTTTGTCTTGTACGTCGATAGCATAAGACTGACACCTGCACGCATAGACAACAAGCCAGCATCGTGGCCCGCCAGCAGCAAATGGGCAGAGGCACTCAACGCCCGCATCTTTGCCCTCCCAGACTTTGGCCCCCCTCGCTTCCGCCATCTCAAATGGCCGCTGGTATTCGAACGCCAGGCGAAATTCGAAAAGCCGCTGTTCTCGACGCCAATCGGAGAGGAAAAGGTTCCCTGGACAGTCTGGCTGGAGAAGGATGCGGTGTGGAGCCGGGTGCACACGCTCAGCCATGTGTATACCTTGGAGGGCGAGGAGAAGACGAAGTTCAAGGCGAAGTTTGATGAGGAGGTGAATAGTGAGAATGGCGAGGTGAATGATAAGGGCGAGGTGGGCGTGCATGGGGTGACGCTTTTGGCGTGGAGTAAGAAGCTGTGAGGATGGTCTTGTATCTGTAGCAATATCATGGATCAGATGCGCAGTAGAGATTGCTGTGAAGCCGAAAAAGTAAAGTTTATTGCGATTAAATAGAATTTCCTTATTCAAACATTATGAGTCCGCTGAAATATACATGACTATCTCAAAAAGTTAGCTCAAGTTGACCATCCAGATTCAGGCTCACTCACCATTGTTGCCTCGCACAAAGGTATCTCCATACTCCTTCCGCTTTGCGCCATTGACATATTCCACCGTCTTCTCCAGCGCAATGTTCATGTATCCGTCCACAGACTGTAGTTCTCCTATGAATCGCACAAAAGTTAGATCGCCATAAGCTTCTCGAAGAGAGCCAAACATCTCGAACCGCCTCCCTTGGACAGTAAGACTCACCCTTGTAAACGACGCCGGAATTGAGCTTCACAATGACAGAGTTGCCGATGATATCGCTGAGGAAGCTGGACGGGTCCTTGCCCTCGCCCTGTGAGATGCCGCCGTTCTCCATGACGTCTGCTGGTGTGGTGGTTTGTAGTTTAAGGAACGTTTAGGCGGCCTGCTTTTGTCGTGGGGAAGTTTGGCCTGCGCCAGCAAGGCTCGATAAGATAACCCCAAAAAGGTACTTGTGCTCAGGTAGGCGGCTGAAAGGAATGCGGCTCGGTTCGCACTGTAACCCCACCACAGCAGCTAGCAGCTGTGCACCGCGCCTGTGAAATCCCCTAACAAGTCCCCGTAAATTTCCAATTGGGCGCTGTAAACAGCGGCGCGCGCATCACAGTATTTATTAGAGCTCCCCCAAAGAGATCGTCATGCCATTCCCGCTTCAAAAGATACATTGTACTTCTCTCTTTGTGCGCCGCGCTGGGCAACTATTCCACCAGCTTCCCATCTCTTCTGGTTTTGGAGCTTCTCTTGTCCCTTTTTTTTGCAGGCTTCGTCGCCGATCTTGATTTGGTCACTGCGACCAGGTCGTCCCGACGAGATCTTCGCCATGAGTGATGGAGCAGCCGCCGCTGCGCCTAAGAAGAAGCTCCCGTTTAAACCAACAGCCTTGCGCAAGGCGGCTCCGGAGTCGAAGCCTGATGATTCTGTAAAGAATGGCAAACGGAAGGAAGGCAGCGACGATGAGGACGACGACGGCCTGGGCTTATTTCGCCAGTCCAGGGAAATGGAATCCATCGTGGCCGCCGAAAGAGCGCGAAAGCTGAAGAAGAAGCAGAAGCAGGCGGAAGAGCGTCGCCTCTCGGATACGGTGGGGAGACAGCTCTTGGATTCGGACGAGGATGGGCTTCCGTCTTTACCAGTCGCTGCCGAGACGTCTCAGACGACTCTTGTGGATGAGTCTTTGACAATGGACGAAGACAGTGTCAGGTAGGTTACGCCGCTATTATCTGCCAACGTCCTCAGCTGCTAACAGTCTCTCAGCAGAAAATTAGCTACTCCTCCGTCTTCGAAACGCTCGAGAGGCGATTCGGAATCAGGTTCAAGGTCGTACAAGCGGCAACGATCTGCTGTAGAGCCTTTAGATGACGATCCGTTCAACGACTCTCCATCGCAGTCAACGCTGCCAAATTCCAATACCGCTACTCCTAGTAAACGATCCAAGAAGCAGTCTGTCATACCGATCGAGGCTCCGATAATATCACTCGACTCTGACTCTGACTCTGGTTCTGATTTCGATGGCGGTAACGACGGCATGAATGCACCCGAGTCTGCACAACGAGAGGAGTGTCTCGAACTCGTTAGCTCGGATATAGTTGACGCTGGGCCACCGATTGTTACTCCCAAACCACTAGCGGCGACAGAGATTGAAGACGACGACGATGATGAATTCGCCGATTATGTTCGCAAGGCTGAGGAACAGCGCGCTCGCAACAAAGACATGATGCAAATGGAGTCTGACAAGGCCGCCAAGAAGGATGCGGCAGCTGATATTTTGGTCAGATCCAACATTCCCGGCACCAAAGTTGCCATTATGAAGTATCAATTTGACAGACCTATCCGCCTGATACGCGATAGCTGGTTTGCGCTTCAAGAAAGGAACAAGCACCCAGAGCTCCCAATCGCTTCAGCCGAAGAAATCATTTTGACATGGCAGCGAAAGAAGGTGTACACGTATTCTTCGCTGCTTGGACTGGGGATCCGACCGCAGGGTGATGGCAAAATCATCGCTGATGAATACGCCAAAGGGGGCCTGCAAGACGGACGTACAAAGGTGGTCTTTGAAGCGTGGACGACGGAGGGCTTCCAGCAGATGGAGCTCGAAGAAGAGCTACGCATGAAGAGAGAGGCGGGCGAGCTATCAGACGAGGAATCGACACAGGAAGAGCAAGCCAAGGAGACGAAGCTGCGCATTGTGCTCAGAGCCAAGGATATGGAGGCTGTCAAATTGACTGTGCGGTTGGAAACTACAGTCGAGACGCTCATTGTTGGATTCCGGACTCAGAGGAGTGTCCCATCCAGCAAGGACGTGGGCATATGGTTTGATGGCGACCGGCTTGAAGAGCACCAAACTATGGAGGATGTCGATATCAACGACATGGACACATTGGAGGTGCATATCAAATAGCGGCGGTATCAGCGGCAGGAGCAAGGTGGATATTCTAGCTTGAAGCACTTATTTATGGATATGGGCGTTTATTCTTTTGAAAATCAAGCGTTGGGAAGCTGAGATACCCCAGGGACAATCATTGGAGTCATATTTTGAGTCGTTACAAACTTAGCATAGGAAACACGTTTATTTTCTTTTCTCTCTTTCTATTTTCACTACGAATTCAAAGGACGTTCTTATCCCATCATTCAGCCAGTCCTCTGCCATGTACCTTCATCCCACGAAGGGTTGGGCGGATAGACGCTGCGTGACAGCATCCTCCACCATGTGCACCGTCACCTCGCGCGACTGTTCAAACCAAGTGCGAAATCCAGAAGGGATTAATTCGCCACTGCCCACACGACGAGTTATGGAAGATGGCATATCAATGTCGTCAAGTGAGGCTATGGTTATGCCGGACTTTGTCTTGTAGTACTTGAACAGGGGCTCCTCGGATCGCCTCCTGACGGAGCTGTTCTGGACCTCGAATCCATCATTCACGCAAGGGTTGTTGTTGCAGTACTTGACGCCTCCTGGGTTGCCAAAGTTGATGGAGAGCTGACGCAGACCTTGCTGCCCACCACGCTGCTGCTGCTTTTGAAGTCGCTGCGCAAGCAGTTCAAGCTGGGTACGCTGCTCGCACTGCTCTCCCTCAGGAACACATCTCGAGACTTGCGAAGCAGAAGGGATCGTGATAGGAGAAAACGGACTCCCCTCTGTAGAGATGGAAAACGGATAGACGTTGCAAGCGCTGTAAGGATGGTCGCGATGGCCCGTCTTGTTGAGGCCGTGGAGGTTGCCGCACAGATTGTTGATGCGGCAGCTGGCCGAGATGGCGGTGCTCTCGTTTTGCGAGCCAGGCCCGTAGCCGCCGGGATCGAGGGAAAAGACTTGCGAGAAGGAGGGCTGAGCGCAGCGGACGGCCCAGCACATGTTTGTGCAGATTTCGGGCATTTCGTTGCAGAGAAAGGTGACGTCTGGGGGGCGGGCGAGGATGGAGGTGGCGAGGGCTGCGAAGAGGATGAAGGTGGTTTTGCAAGACATTGTAGCGATTGGCTGATAGGACAGATGGTTCAATGTGAGATAATAATATCTTGTTTTAGGTATGAGAGTGATGATAAAGAGGTGGACGAGTTTGCGTCCTCGCAGCTCCTTTTCTATTTCGCATGCAGGGCTTGTACGTAAATTTTCCAAGCGAGGCTAGGGAATGTTTATCCTTGTGTCTGGTGATATCCGGGAAGGGAGTTGAAGTAGCACCTTCCAAGCATCATCTCATTCACGTTACCATCAAGCCCTTGGATTCGGGGGGGCAGTAGCCATTAGCTCTTTCATGAGTGCCTATATGCAACGCCGTCATATGTCTCATGCCCATGTATGTACTTGTCTTGGAGTGAGCCGCCGTCAAATCTCGAGTATTATGCAAGGGTCTATCATATCATGACATCAGTGTCTGATCTCTTCCATTGTACGATTGGCAAGCAAGTGTGTGATACATATACATGCGCTTGCTGGGCAAACTGGTCAGGTAGGACCAAAAGGTGACCAAAAGGACAGTGTAACCTGTATTATATTTAACAATTAAGATTCTTTATACCACAGATCTAATGTTTGCAGTGGACGACTTATTTTGTGTCATCGGGAGGGAATTCTAGAACAATGTTTGGAGCCGCGTTGGTCATAAAGAAGTCAATTGAACTGAGTGGAGTTCTCTGAATAACGTGAGTTTAGATTTAAAATGAGATCAATAATGAAAGAAACTTTTCAGAACCAGAATGTACCGAGCATGCTCTCCCAATGCCACAATAACTAACGCGAATTCAAAGAAATAGAAGCACCTCCCCAAATAATCCCTCGACGTCATAATACAGAAAGTGCACGCAGCGGATGAAAGTAAATTTGTCGAAGATAAAACGAATCCAGCCAGACTTCTCGATATCGCCGGGGGCAAAACGCGCTCCCGTGAAGACATATTAGAAGCAAGAAAAAATAAGCAAAGCCCCTCATGTATCATAAAAGAAAAGAAGACAGAAGAAAATCTGAGGGGCTCCCTCAAAAAGCTTGGGAGCAAGAATACATATATCCCCTCACTCATTTGCCCTCGGTGGTTTGCGGTCGATCAGTTGCAACATACGACTGCCCAACATTCTTCCTTCAATCATTGCTTCCAGGCGGTCATAAAGCTCTTTCATGGCAGTAAAAATGCTTTGCCGTTCATGGCCAAAGTCTCTGGCAATCTGCACCAACTCGACGTAGCGAATTATTGAGGTTGCGTTTGATGGATCTCTCGTTCGTGCCGCTTGCCTCAGTTTGTCCACTCTTCGATCCTCCGTAACTTTATCTCCCTCGTCCTCCGCGGAGATGTTATTCGGGAACCTAGGCGGAAGAAACCAAGGATCATTCAAAGAACAACCACAGAAATGACACAGTGCTTTGATGAGAGCATTCACTGGTGCCACATGTCGAGCATCGGGGCGGCTGCCTGAGCAATATGCATGAGACGCACTGAAAGCGTTCCAGTCCGCGACTTCTTCGTCGTTTGCTCTGACTATAGCTCTCTTGAAGGACTCCTCATCCCAGATACTATAGGCTAATGTCAAATCCAAGTTATCCTCAAATCTGGTCCAAACCGGGTGAGCGTTGTTATGTTTTTGCCTAAGAATCTTTATTGCAGGGTCTATCAGGCAGAGAAATTGATCGATTGTTTCTTTCCCGCCATCTTTAGATGCCAAGCTGTCATGCGAGTAACGAGGCTCCATAGATCGTCCAAGGTCAACAGTTTCTGCAGAGATGTATGGCTCAATTGGACTTTCCTCTGGAGATATTGTTTTTGCGAGAGGAGATTGCCCGTCAGCTTCCCAAAGCCCGCTGGGTCCCAATCTAAGCTTTGCGTTTGGCTTTATCGTTATGTATCCCTCAGATACAAGCCTCTTCATTGCATGGTAGTGGTCTGCATTGTAGGAAGTTTGTGCCATAGGCGGGAGATGGAGCCTCGTGTCAAATGGCACTCGGGCGCTGTTCAGCTCCTTATCCATCTTGTGATTTGAGCCCGAGTTACGTTCTTCTTTTCTCCTGCTTGCTCACTGTCAGTGGTGGTTGTCGCTTGGCCTTGCGTGCTAAATATGCAGTCCGGTGACTCGAGCCTTACATATATTGGGCGACAGAATGCTTCAAGTTAGCTGGGCTGCAGCCAAGTAGAGTCTCTTGGAGAGAAGAGTACAAAGATAGAAGAAGGAAGATGTGAAGAAGGAAAAAGTCTTTGGGAGAAGAGAAGGAAAGAAAAGTAGATATAGCCACGGTCTGTGCGTGGGCGCGCAAACGCTTTCGCCGGTGTTCGAGCGGCGGTGTGTATGAGAATCTTCTCTCCAAGGTACTTCCAGCTCAGCGTTTCTATATACTGGTAACGAAGTATCTATCAGAGAGCGTGCTCTTCCCTCGGCCAGAGGTTCATACAAGTTCCGCCCAGCTTCATCAGCTTATAGGCGAACAACAAAGATTAAATCATTGGACTATCTCACCATCACTTATTCCGTGATATCTCTTCCAAGCGCTAAGGGCTCAACAAACGAAACGACATCACACAGGCTGTGGGGTTGGCTCGCCATTGAACTAAGGTTACTTGATCTCAAGAATAGGAATCTCAATCGGTCTTTCTCAGATCATCTTAAAGAAGGGTCTCGCTAGCTGGCTCGCAGCTCAAAAACCTCCCCTTTTGGCTGAAGCTCTTGCGCGGAGAAGATAAGAGCGCTCATCAGGCGCGCTCCTCGCGAACGAACTAAGGCGAACAAGAAGACCAACAACCATCTCCCGTCCCCTCTTCATCGTAAGTTATGACCCATACAATATCAGCGGGTCGACAGGCAAAGAGCATATAGCTAAAGGAAGGCGGAAGAGCCAAGAAAATGAACAGGCAACAAGCCAGCGCGCCCATCATGGCTGAGGATCGCCCCGTGTCCCTCAAGGGCGCACCGGGAAATCTGCGATTTGTCCCAGGCGAAGACGTGGAGAACGCTTTAGGAGCAGCCGCCCATCTCACTATTGTACGCGGAATGCTCCGTGCAGTCGTCGAAGATCCCCAGGGCCTTACCGAGGAGGACTTTGAAGAATTCGAAAAGACTCTCGACTTCCTTGCGACGGAAGATCTTGCTAAACACGTCGAAAGTTTGCAAGCCACCGTCAGACGTTCGCGTCTATCCCGATTCGCTCGCTTTGTGCACACTTCTGCCACTCCCTCCCCACCAGTGGCCAAGAAAGCCCTCTGTGCTCTCCCTCCAATCCCTCGAAAGCGCTGCCGCATCTTCGAGGAACTCGAGGAAGAAGAAGAAGAACGCAGAATTGCCGCCACCTCCAAAATCATTCTCAATGAACAAAACTGACTCATCTCGCCAAAGGCCACTTACGGAGCGATCGATTATGGGAACTGAAGGGTGCAAGCCGTTTCGGTGTCAGCGAGAATAGATTAAGAATGATTTTTGGAATCAGGTTGATAAGGAGAATACGGTCGGCTGGATAGATACCACAGATAATGAGAAGCCTGAGATATTTGCCATTTAGTGACTCTGGTGATCGAAGCCAGAACGTTGTGTCCATTCATGCCCAAGCTATGCTACTACATACACAAAGGGGTTCCCTATGAGATATGGAATAAAGATAGGCAACCATAATATATCTGGCTAGCTAATATCAAATCACCTGATTCAAGTACTTCTATCGATGCTGGGAAGCGATATAACCACTAACTATGTGTCTTCTTGTTGACCCATGCGTCTGTTTCATATACTTCCAAGCTAGATCTGCCATCTTCAGATATTTCTGTCGTTCCCCCATGAACATTTTCCCATCTACTTGCAAGCTTCATCAACCACATCTCTTTAGACACATAACTTATTGTATTTGAAACAGCTTCTTGCAGCACCAGTGTCTGTAGATGATTACCTCACGACCTAGGAGAGTGTGAATACGCTGACACAGATCTTTCTATTACATCCAGCAATGAAGATCCGTTCCCCTCACCCAGCCACACAAGCCTTTTCTCTTCCTCTAGTAATTGAATGCACATGCTGCTGCTTCTCATAGCACAGTAGCATCAGAAGGAGTAATCACAGCAGTAGGAGTAGTAGCCTATAATATAGCTGGACTACTTGGATAATAGAATTGGACCGCTGGATAAGTTTTCCTTCTGTGTTAGTTATTCTACCTAAATCAAATGACAGTAAATCTAGAAGTCAATACAGAGTCGCGTTTTGGGGAAAGATGGCGAAGCGGCGTTGGTCCTCGGGGTTGTGGTTCGCTTGAAAGCCCTTGATGAATTTCTCGGTGTCTTCCGCACCGAAATAGTTCAGCACGGCCTTGATATCCGCCATGTCATCTGCTGTGATTTCTTTAGAGTCATGCACCATGCCTCGGAGCATGGTCATGGCGATGTGGGCGATGCTGGCTGCTCCAAGCGCGTTCTCCTGGTCTTCTCCTGGGACGAACCGCAGGTTTCCTGGCGCACCTTGGAGAACCAGGGGAGTGTCCCTGACAGTAATAGGGGATCCCGGGTTACATCCCGGGTTTTGGAGTTCCGTAGTGCGGTTGCGCAGTGCGCGCGTGCGGTTGAGGGTTTTGGCATGTTGCCGGTTCATTGCTGCGAATCTGCCTTTAGGGTCTCGTGCCATAGACTCTTCCCCCACGATTTCTTCAATGTTGTGGACGGGAATAGAACGTGTGATCTCTCTAGGAAGTTCCGGGGGATTTTCAGGAGAAGGTGGGTTGTTGGGATTGTAGGTTGAAGGGCCTCCCGTTGCTGTAGCGCGAACGTAGGACGTGTGGATTCCTGCTTCTGTGACAGATCCCCTTTCCCAGTCGTAGCCTAAGCTGTTGACGTAACGCCGGTAGAGCTCTAGGTCTCCCGGGGTTTTGCTTTCGCCACTCGTTGAAATGGCTTAAGGACGATTTGAGGCTGTTAAACAGGCTATCTTCGCACCCGTAGACCTGGAGGGCTCTGACATAGCCTTTCCTAGACAGTCTAGGAGTTTTTTTGGCAAGGGGCGCTGAGAAAGAATCTCGGAAAACGAGATCCTTGGAAGGATAATGGTGGCTCTTCGCGGGACCTGGAATAGATACATTGCTTTCCTGTAGAAGATTAGGGCAGGGGAAACGCTTGGCGAGGGGGTTAGGCGGCGGTTTATACATAAAAGTCTAGGTCGTGTTTTTTTATTTTGATTTCCCGCGAGCTTCTTTTCTTTCTCATGGTGTTTCGGTCGCCGTTGCCGGGCAGCTGTGGCTGGCGGGCTGCTTTTGTTTGGACATGAGGACGTCTGGCAGCTCGTAGATTTTTTCAGTCTACCTTTTGTTTACAGGGCCATTTCAGCGCGGTGATTCTCTTTAATAGTGAGTTGAATAGAGTTGAGCGAAAGGGAAAAGAACAGAGAGATGGAAAGGAAAGATGAAATTAGATGTTGTAAAAAATGGTAATCGTGCGAGAAAGGGAGGCATCTCTTTTGTTCTCGGAGATTTCTTTATGAATATTTTGGCGGGTACGACTTCTGTTTGTTTCCCTCGCTTTCTATTGAGGTTGCTACTTGTAAGAGTGGCGTTGTGGCTGGTAACATCTCCTTGGTTTTTCTTTCTATTGTAGGTTGGCTTCCTTGTCTAAGATTGATTGGACCCCCTGATGTTGTCTTATCAACTGGCTCCGGCCTGGTTTTAGACACGAACTCACCTCCACACCACTCAGCCTTTATAATGTATTGAGCCGATTCTCCATCATCAAATGGATTCTGTTGCGCCTTATAGCGCCGCCCAAGAAAGGAAATAACAAGCATTCCTAGATATTATCCTCATGCCCTCTCTTTACTCCTTGCGCCCCGTCTTAGCCCATTGCCGCAAGTCATTCTTCTTGATCTTGCCTGTGCTTGTCTTGGGCAGCTCCTTGACAATCTCCACCTCCCTCGGCACCATGAATTTACTAATGTTGCTCTGATGCTTGGCCCAGTTGATGACGTCCTCGCCAACCAAGTTCTTCCCCTCCTTGACTGTTATATATGCCTTGGGCCGCTCGCCCCAGTGGGAATCGGGAACGGATACGACGCCGGCTTCGAGAACGTCGGGATGCTGAACGAGCATGCTCTCCAGTGCCACCGACGAGATGTTCTCGCCACCAGAGATGATGATGTCTTTGGCACGATCTAGAATCTGAGCACTGCCGTCCGGATGCCATACAGCCAGATCCCCAGAACGTAGAGCGCCTCCCTCAAACAGTTTACGGGTAGCCTCGGGGTCTTTGTAGTACTCCTTGGCGCAAAGGTTTCCAAAGAAAACGATCTCGCCAATCTCTTTGCCGTCCTTAGCCACATCTATCAACGCGCCATTGGGTTGATCAGGCTTGACTATTCGAATGGGAAGACTAGTGATGAAGCCGTGGCCTTGGCGAGCCATCTTGGCGTACTTCTCCTGCGGCGGAAGATTATCCCACTCCGGCAAGATGTAACATTTGGTGAGCGGGCCATACGTCTCTGTAATTGAGGTAAGCAAGCGAGTACAATAGCGGGATGAAAAAGTCCAGACACTTACCAGTCATTCCGTAGACATGAACCGGAATGAGATTAAGGTTGGTCTATCAAGTCGGTTAGCTGGTTCCTGCAAGGTTCAAGTTTTCGAGTATTCACCATTTGCTCAAAGAGGTGGCCGCTTGGCGGACTAGCTGCGACCGTTACTCGAACCTCTTGTGGAAGCTTTTCGGCCTCTTTTGCTGCTACCAACAAAGTGTTGACTGTAGGCGCCGCGTTGAAATGGGTAATGCCTTGTTCTTTAAGCAGCTTCCATATCAATGGGTAGTCGATTTTTCTCAAACAGACATTCAAGCCACGCACTGCGACAACTGCCCAAGGAAACGTCCAGCCTATGGCATGAAACCTGTGTGGACAATCCCTTGTTAGTCAATTGACCTGATATGGTGAATATTTGAGATAACTGGAGGATTTACATGGGCAGAGTCCACAGGTACTTGCAGCGGCCATTGTTGAGACCTGATTCAATGATGTTGCCCATGGTGGCAAGATATGATCCGCGGTTGGTGTAAACAACACCCTTGGGTCGAGATGTCGTGCCGGAAGTAAAAGGAATGGCAATCATGTCATCCTCATTGGTGGCATGGGCATGGAGGCCGGCCCAGCCTGTGTTTCCAGTAGAGCGATCATAGTTCAATCCCTCCAAGACAGCTTCATCGAAAGGACCACATAGTTGGCCCTCCGTGGCATCAGTATCCTAGAGAGCATATTAGTACCGCGATGAGCAACAACAAAGCATCATGGATGTGAAAGGCAGCTTTACCGAGTCAATAATCAGAGGAATCTTCGGGTGTCTCTCCTTGAACAGGTCCAAAAGGCCAACAAACTCGTGGTCGACGATGATGCTATCAACTTCGGCAAACTCGAATATGTAAGCAATGTCGTCTGGCTTCAGTCTATAGTTTGCAGGTGCAATAACACCGCCCGCGGCCGGGATGCCGTAGATGGCTTCGAGAAAAGCCGGCGTGTTGGGCGCAAGAACGCCAACACGCTTGAAGCCATGCTTTTTCAAATAGTAGGCCAGGCCTCTGGCGCGGTCGGCGAATTCCTGATAGGACCGGTGCAGTATCGCGCCGTTGGAGGTGATGTGAAAGATGGCCTCGGCATTGGGCTCGATGGATGCGGCGCGCTCCAGGAAGAAGGTTGGCGACAGCTGGTGGATGTGAGGAGGCGTGGAGTGCTGGGGGACGAGATGGCCGAGAATTGAGCGGATGCGAGACGGTGGCCCGGACATGATGGACAATTACGCGACTGAGGACGAGATATAAGAAGTGTGAGTTGATCGGCGAGGGATGAGGCTCTGGATATTGCCGGCCCAAGGGAGGAGGCACGCTATTCGTGAATGAAAACAAGTGAAAAGACAGAAACGGCTCAGAGCAGAAAGGGAGTCATTACATGCAGTTTAGGATGGTACAAGTTGAAGTCATAGCCGTGATCATGGGAAACAAGAATGAAAAAAAGGGACAACAATGTGGGAAAAGGGAGGATCAGCTTCTCTTTAAGACATGCTCGCAGCTTGTCCTCGGTCCAAGAGCCCCGGTCCGAAGCCCGGCTCTCAGCGCTGCGGTGCAACTCGCGGGACGGCACGGCTATAAAACCAGCGACTGACTAAAGGCCCTGTAATTACTAGAGCTGGAGCCCCGATGGGGAAATCTGGGGGCCTCCGCATTTTGGTCGGATCTTGCCAGCTTAGCACTGTTCTGTCTAGCTGTAGTACTCCGAATACGCCGTACTGAGACGCCGTGATACACACGGTATTGGTGCATGGACGGAGATTGATTCGATGTTGTATCACGTAATATACTTGTAATGCGCTCCTTAGTAGCATTCTGAGTATGCATATACTGTTTTCCTTTTATTGTTTCCCATCAAGACTAGAGAGGCTGAGAGGCTATCCGATTCATGTCGACGACGGTCCGCCCATACAGTTTGCCATGGCCGCTTGTCCGTTTGCTGCATCCGGAGTCTGCTTGTGGCGACAGCGCCAGAGCGCCTCATGTTAGTGGCGGTGCGTGCTAAGCGTGCTAAGCGTGCTAAGCGTGCCTAGCATTAGCGCCCCATCCATGCCTCATCCATGCCCGCAGATCTTGTGTCGACTTGGGTGGGAGTGATCGGGGTTGGGTGGTATTATTTGACACTCTGTATAAAGCATTGGCTCAGATTATCAGCTGAATAGGCACCTCGTCAAAGACACTTGTAAGCTTACCACATTATACTCCCCATTCTGGCTCAGCGTCAATAATATCAATAATACGGCTGTGGTACCCAGATCAGACTGTGGCTTATCGCTATCCGAGCGATAGCAGGTGGGGGCTCCTCTTGCCCGCCCGCAGCAGGTGCAGCTTTTGGTGGCGCGCCGCATCTGAGCTCGTGCAAATCGTCTCGAGCTTCGTCATCTTCTGCTCTTCCACCTATCGCGGGTACCGCTTCATCCGCATTGGCCATTGCATCTTGTCTCGACATTGCTTTGCATTGTTTCCAGCAGAATTCACCGCAGCTTTCGATTCCCGTCGGCTGCAAAGGCATCCAGTTGGCACCTCCGTTTAAGCATCTGCCGTCCCGCTATCGTGCATCTATCCGCAACCCAAAATACTCCGCCGATCTAGAGCTCCCATTCTCGCTCAGCCATCTACGAGGGCATCTGTATTACTCTGTTTTTTTTTCAAAGCAAGTGACATACGGATGCTGCTCTAGCTACTAGTAGCCCTATCAGGTACGTACAGATGTGTCACACATATGAAACCCTATCAAACCCCTAAGGACCTATCCATCTAGTAGTTTAAGCTGCTGCTTCAGCCCAAAGCTCTCTCCTCCATGTCTTCTACTTTCTACGAGAGCATGGGGTGGCATGTCCTCTTATAAGCAGCTCTACCCATTATAACTCTCTGGTTCATTTTCATGTGTTCTTTATACCTACAGAGCCATGCCCATCCGGAATAATAGCTCACCGTCAGTCTTACAGCAGCTCATGGCTTCTCTTCCATCTTCCGATACTCCTCCCGCTGTTCGACCAAGCCCAGATAGACTCGCTTCTTACTCAAATCAGCTTAATTCGAACTCGAAAGACAGTATTCCGATCCCCAAGAGAGCTCATACTTTCCACTCGCCATCACCTTCCGAGAAGAATAAAGATGCCGGCTCTAATACCGAAACTCCCGACACATTCGACACCACCGAGAATAACTCCGACAATGAAGAATTTCCAGAGATGACGCGAGCGTCGATCGAACTCGACGATCTTCCAATCGAGCTGATTACCTTGACTGATAGGTGAGGCGATAGATTTTGCAACCGATGCAAAGGATATACATTGGTCTAACCAGCTTCTCTAGCTTCGTGGAATCGCTCTCTGCCAAGGTACACTCTACTCCACCCAATATCGCCAAGCTGTCCCAGCTCTTTCAAGCTTTCTATGCGCAGGCATCATCCAACATTGCCACACACATTAGCGCCCTTGCCTCTCGCCAAAGCCGCGAGAACTCACAACCACCGTCACCGCCATCCGTCGCCAGCCGCCTTCGATCAAAGGCTGCCTCGTTAGGCTCCAACGGCAAATCAAAGGCAGAGGTCGAACAACAGATGATCACACCCGAAGAGTTAGCCAACCGGAAGAAAGCAAGGAAAGCCCTTGAGGCGAAACGAAGTCTCCTCGAGGAAGCTGTAGAGCGGAGGCTTTGCGAGGGCATCTATGACCGAATCTATCGCCACAGGAGCACGCAAGATGAAGCCCAGGATGCAAAACTCAGGTCTAAAACTGCTGCTCTATCTCTTGTGGGCATCGGACCGTCTGATCTAGGAATAGACCTGGGCGAGGGGGAATCAGAAGCCGAAAAATCCACAGCCGAAAAGACAGAAACGATACGAAACCAACTGGAGCCGGCAAGAAGAGACCTGATTCGAATGGGCGAATCGAGGTATCCACTTGGCAAGTTGAATCGTTTGAAAGCTGCGCACAAGAGCATCGTTGATACACTCGCTCAATTTCACCCTTCTGCTTCAGCGGATGAAATTATGCCCATGCTCATTTACACCTTCATCACACTACCTCCCGAGCACCTTCACGCCATAAGCGATCTCAACTTTATCCAAAACTTTCGATGGGAGCAGAAGCTTACTGGCGAAGAGGCTTACTGCCTGACAAATCTTGAAGCTACCATCAGTTTCTTACAAACTGTTGATCTTGCTACTCTTAGAGAAGACGAGCGCCCATCAGGGCCTGCAAAGACACCGGGTCTGCCCGGAACGCCCAAAGTAGAGACATTTCCGCCAGCTTACTCTCAAGGGTTGACAGCCTCACCGCAGAGCACTGCTGCAGTCAATACTGAAAACGCCACGGCCTCCAAGCCGGAATCATCGCCCGCCAACCTCAAGCCGGCTGCTTCAACCATAAAAAATCGAAGGTTGAGCGACTTGGTCAATACCCCTGCCCAAGCCTTTGGCGCTGCTAGTGATGCCGTTTTCACCACAGCTGATCAAGGGCTGAAAACCATCTCAAACAGCCTCGGTGAGAGTTATAGCTTCCTCCTCGGCAAGCTTAAAGAGCGCCAGGAGGATCCCAAAGAACCCATCGCCGTCCCAAAGACACTGGATGAAGCTCGCAAGCTCGTCAGCACTCCGCCCCCTGAAGACGAAGAGAACGTCGCAGCCATAGCTGGGCTGGAATTGGATCTACCGAAAAGGCGGGACGAACGCGTATTGAGCATAATCGGCGGCCGTCGCGATCATAGTACAGACAGTGCTCGCAGTGGCCGAAGTGGCCGAAGCGCGAGCTCTTCAAAAAAGGTACTTTTCCTAGATGACCACAAGGCTGGAGCAGCAAGTACGACGCCAGCACCACAGAGTCCGGCAATGTTGGAGCAAATGCGAAATCTGAGCAACTCATTCAATCCGATGGCGCGGTTTTCTGGCATCAGCTTGGTCCGAGGATTTGGTCGAAACACATCAACACCAGCAGCCCCCCCAAAGGACAAGGACGCCAAAGACAAGGATAACAAGGATACCGCAGCAAAAGACGCTACGGATGCGAAAGACGCCAAGGATATCCTAAAGCCCACAGATGGAGGAGATTTAGCAACTGTAAGTCCATTTTCCCTCTCAGTTCCCTTTCGTTTGATCACCATCCTCGATCCGTCGCTAACTGCTTGAAACAATAAAGGCATTCCCTGACATTGCGGATGTCCTACCACCAAAAGAAATCCCTAAAATCAGTCCTCCTAACAAACGATTCATGGAGCTTCAAAACCCAGGAGAATTGAGGCTCAGCGAGGTATTGGACCTACTGAAAGATTATCGACGTTTGGCTGGTGCGTTGAAGAACATGGGCGCATTTGAAGACAAATAAATACAATCATTATAGAGGTGGCATTGTCGATTATATCTGCATCATGTTCTCCCATTTTTGGATAAATATTTGTTTTCTCCCTTATATTTCGCCCCTTTCCTCCTCTATGCTTTGGTATACCCCAAAAATAGGCGGATGGTGGGAGGGCATGTATGGACTCATTCATTACACGATATCACGGATATAGAGCAGGCGTTATAGCGAAAATACAAGACACCGGCTACTTGAGCCGCTTTCCTGGGAAATTTCTTCTTAATAACCATAAATACATTATTTAATCAAACCGCTATGACAAAACTGTTGCTACTTGTAATGGTGCAACAGAAAAAGCGCCTCTAGATGCGACCCGGTCATGAAAAAAGTGCAGTGTGCTGTTGTTTTCCACATGTGGATTCTTCGTTAAAGATAAATGAGTAAACCCGTCCTTGGTCACTTATGTGATTCCAGTTGCCTTGAGCAAGCTACTTAAAGAATCTCTTCAAGGGCCAGAAGAGGGATGCAAGAGAAAAATTCTCGTGCCAATAAAGGTATACGGGAGGAAATGAAGCTGTTTCTTGATAGCTGTGGAAGAAGTGAATTTGGATTAGATCATTGTTTATACCCACGGGTTCTTCTAAAAGGCAGATGACTCTGTCCGTCTCGGTTTATTTGGCGGGAGATCGGAACTCGAGATTTGTTCCAACTCGTCATCTTCTTCTCTCGGAGGCTCTAAATGAGCATCTGAGGGCTCCGATAGGGCATTTGTAACATCCACGGACTTGCTCCGTTGATACGCCTCGATTGATCTCCCTCTTGGTCGTGCGAGATGCTCTGGTGGGACAACCGGTCCCGGGTGCAGCAATTTGGATATCAAATTGCTGTTGGCTCTTTCACGACTCCTGCTGCGACTCAGTCCAGTGGTTGGCTGCCGCTGCAGACCCGTTGCGACTCCGGTGGATACGGCAGTGCTCGTTCGAGCAAGTGTGGCATCAGCTTCCTCTTGCTCCCTCTTCAGCCGCGCTTCGCTCGGAAGGATCACGGCTCGATCAAGGCCGTATGGCAGACCACGATGGCGTCCACGAATTTGCATAGCCACGATGATCAACTTGCCAGGCACAGAGAACTGTGAACACAGAGATGCGTTGACGTTGGGCACGCCCATGCTAAGGCCCACAGTTCCATAGGCACTGACAATCTCGAAGAGGACAGAAAATAGATCAAATCGGCCTCTTACAATCTTCCCGCCTTCGGTAATAGCGAGAAGGAAGAAGCCCAAAAAGACATACCACAAGTCAAAGGACAGCTGTCGTCGTAAGTGAGTTCCTACATAATCAAGAGCGCTTGCTTCAGCGTCGGGGTCCTCTTCGGACCGATCGTGGTACACGCCCAGAGACTTTTCTTCGTAGACGTTTGTTCGTCGAATAGAGATGGCGATGGGGAACACGGAGATGTACATCATGATTAGGTACAGAACGGGCATGGCAGGGTGGAGCTCGGACATGCTGACGGCCGAGAAACCAGCAGTTCGAGTAGAAGCGGCTTGGAATAGGCCAATAACAACACGGTTGTGGAGAGGCAAGGCAGTGATGGGTTCGGCTCCAAGCTTCGGAAATGTTAGCACTATAGCCCAATACCAAGCAACAATCACCCACATGTACAAGGAGAAACAAAACTTACATCAAGCACAATAAAGAAAAGCAAGTCGATGGCATTGAGCAGGATAAGGATCCAGAACAGCCACCATGTCGCATTTGACGGGAAAAGCAAGGTGAAACAGCGACGAGGGTGATCAAGCAAGAATCTAAATTCTTCCCAAAGACCGGAACCTTTTGGGGTAAGTTTAGAAGCGGCCCAAATAAGAAAGCGCAGCATCACCGGGAAGCCAGTGTTTCCGATAATGATAAAAAACCACAAGGCCATCAAGACCCATTCGGACTTTGCAAATGAATTCATGCTGTCTGGCGTAAGAGTAAACCCCACATCCATAAAGGCCATGTTGGAGGTCCAAAACGCCCACCAAGTCTTGCCAATGGAGTCTTCTGTAAGAACATTCCCATAATGTTGATTAGCAAGAATATAAGGAAGCAGGCATACGGCGCCGAGAATGTGGAACACGAAGAAGTAGAAGATCAGCACCAAAGCCAAAGTTCTTAATGCTCGATACTCGATACCGCCAAGCTCCTCACGCTGTTCGAGTGTCAGACCGAGGAAGTTTGAGTTACGGCCCATGGTTGGTGTATAGCTGAGATATGGCATATCATCCGTTGTCTTATCTCGAGACAAGACAGAGCGAATGGTGTCCATTGTCTTGGTTCGCACAGGGTGCGGGTGTGGGGTCCTTGATCGTGGCCTGTGTTCTCCGTCTTCGTGTACCTTGTCCTGGGAGCGATTAAGGAAGCGCGGCTTTCTAAATCTCAAGCTATCGACGGTACCACCAACAGCTTTGGCGTCGTTTTTCAGCTCTTCTCGCTTAGGATGCTCCGGCTCAGTAAATGTAATGGCTGTTTGTTGTTGGTCGTAGGTGTCGCTTGGTTCATTGATGCGGGAGTTAAAAGTTGCCTGGCGGGCAATTGGTTGATCATCATCTTCTCGATGATCGCCTTCTTCAAGTCGTCGAGGACCTAGACCCCTTTCAATATCTCGAGGTCCAGGAATATGGAGGACTTCAGTGTCTTGGTTTCGCTGCCTCTCAAGAATAGCAATATGCTCTGCATTAGGTCGCCATTGCGGGAATTTGGTAGGGTTGTCGTCCACTCCGTCACTCCGCTTAACAGTGTCGGCAAATGTGATTGCTGTCGTGAGGTGTTGTTCCGGTGATGGGAGACTTGCTGCTGCATCGTTTCTTTGTCGACCGTGGTCTGCATCTGAAACATCTCTCCGGCGAGGCTGATCCAAGGGGCCGATGTCTTCGTCAAGTTCGGCGCTTTTCTGCAGATCATCAGACGCTGTAGTCGTATCACTTGCGTTGCTACTCGGATTTAGCTTGGGCTCAGCTTCTTCTATCTTATCCAGAAGAATGCCATCGTTGGTTATTCGCTGTGCCCTGGTATTCTCTGGCACAACGGCAATACGCCTTCCATTCACACCCAGTCCATTTTCAAGTTGACTAAGGTCGTTTCGTGCCTTGGACTTTGATTTGCTAATGGTTCGGCGGCGTAGTTTGGCCTCTTGTACCCAGTTCTGGAAGCGTTTCTCGAACCAGTAAAGTCTGAGAAAAACAACACAACCATGCATCGTGATGGGGTTGGAAATTAAAGAAAATGTATAGATCCAAGACTGCTGGAATCCATTCAGGTTGTTGACATCAACAGGATTAAGTCCGGCTTGAGTGTTTGCACCACTGCCAAACATGAGAGCATCTATAAAGTGAAGGTGGCCTTTGCCGCCGGCAAATATCAGAACGCCAGAGAGTAATGTTGCAAAAATAATCCAGAAGTCTAGGTGTTTAGTAGTTAATATAAGAATGTTCATCCAAGGCGAGGGCTACAGATGGGCGTAAATAGACCACTCACAGTGGATAGTAATAAAGTTGAAATGTGGGTGTTTTGTTAGCACGGAAGGCCTAGCTCCCCTGAGCTGCGCCGCTAACCAGGCGCGAGCGCTGTCGAACATTTTTGATGTCAAAGAGACTCTAAGCGGTCAAAGAGTATGTATGTGGAAGAGGCCACTGTAGAAGGAAATAAAAGAAGAGTGGTTCAGTAACAGGCCAGACAAGCCGGCGCTGAGGTGAGGTGAGGTTGGGGATGAGACCAGTGCAGCGTATACGGCTGTGGGCGAGATTTCGTCTGAGTTGAGCTTTCCTTCAAGTAGCAAAGGCTAATTGAAAATATGACCCTGGATTCTTTAGGCGTGAGTCCAATCAAAGGACATCACAAGGAAGAGCAAACAAAAATGCATGATCGAGGGTAACGCAGAAAGCGAGACACGGCTATCGTGAGGCGACCATGTCTGGTCAGGGGGCGCAACTCGAAGTCTGGGGAAAATTGAATCCTGAACGAGCCAGGGGAAGCGCGCGTTGAACAGAGCCGGAAAATGGCTAAGCCTTGTGAAATAAGGAAAAAGGAGGGCCTTGAAGATGCCGTGCAGATGCAGGTACAGAGCCCCAGGCAATTACTGGTAGCAGTACAAGCAGCAGTATCTGGACGAGAGCAAAGGATGATGCGAGCTAGTCGACGATTTGCGAGCCCAAGGCAAAAGGAAAACAAGGAGGCCTGGGCCTAGTACTGTTGCCGGCGGGCAGCTTATCAGGAGCAGCGGTGCTGACGATTTTATGCTTGCGAGCACTAGTATCCTTGATTTTGCTGCGAAAAAAGACAAGGATCCCACTGATAGCGCTCGTGAGATTGGCGAGCAGGGCGATCTTTATTGGCGGTTGCTCTTGCGACTTGGTCGGGCGTGCGTGCGACTCGTCGATTGGCTTGCAGACGCCCTGATCAATGGCAAACGAAAGCCGGGATAGCTGGAGGAAAGTCTATTCAAAGAGAAACAGACGGTGAGACCAGAAACAAAGCCCGAAATTGTTCTGTGCTGTAGAACGTCGGCAGCAAAAACAAAGCCCCGGTGCGTTCCCCCCTTCTCGCTTTGTGTTGGCTCGTGGGCTGATGTGATGGCGCAGGCCCGTGGTTCCCAGGCAGCGCGGACGGAGCAGCAATGCAAGGTTGCGGCCAGAGAATTATCCCGGCCTCGTCGAGTCCCGCGGTTGCGGCCAGACGCCAAGCCCCTTTGGCGGCGGGTTGGACGTGGGAATTCGGGCTGAGTGGTTCGGAGCACGGAGGCTGGAGAATGGAGAACGCAGGGTGGACGGATGGATGGATGGAGCACAGCAAAGGCGCTGCCGTCGTCTAAGCCGAGGATCAACGACCTTTTTGTCTGCGTTTCCGATTCAATCGTGGGTTGGCGTCGCACTTGATTTCCCTCGAGGGAGGTGATTGAGAGAAGACGAGAGGCTGAAGAGAAGTCGAGCAATGAAGGTCACTAAGAAGGGGGGCGAAGAAAATTGAACGACGTGCGCCTCGTGGCAC